CACCGTCGCGCAAGAGATGCGCCTGGGGGTTCAGCGTCAGGGCATCCTCCCCATCCTACAGTCCCGCGTGCTATGCACCATGTTCTACGAACCCAGCACACGGACCTCCGCGTCCTTCGACGCCGCCATGCAGCGCCTCGGAGGCCGCACGATCGCCATCAACACCGACCACTCGAGCACGCAAAAGGGCGAATCGCTACCAGACAGCATCCGCACGCTGGGCTGCTACGGCGACGCAGTGGTCCTGCGCCACCCGGACAACGACTCCGCCGCCACGGCCGCCAAATTCTCCCCGGTCCCCATCATCAACGGCGGCAACGGCAGCCGCGAGCACCCCACGCAGGCGTTCCTCGACCTCTTCACCATCCGAGAAGAACTGGGCACCGTCACGGGCCTGACCGTCACCTTCACGGGCGACCTCAAGTACGGCCGCACCGTCCACTCGCTCGTCAAGCTGCTGCAGTACTACGAAGTGCGCATCAACCTCGTCTCACCTGCCGCGCTGGCCCTACCCGCCGAGGTCCGCGACCAGATCGTCGCGTCCGGCCAATTGGCCATCGAAGCGGACACGCTGACGCCCGACATCGTCGCTAAGAGCGATGTCCTGTACTGCACCCGTGTCCAGAAGGAACGATTCCCCTCGCTGGAAGAGTACGAGCGGCTGAAGGACTCGATGATCGTGGACAATGCGGTGCTCAAGCACGCCAAGAGCAGCATGATCGTCATGCACCCGTTGCCCCGGAACCGCGAAATCAGCGAGGAAGTGGACTTTGACCAGCGGGCCGCGTACTTCAGACAGATGCGCTATGGGTTGTACACGAGGATGGCGCTGTTGGCGCTAGTGCTCGCACATTGACAAGGTGGATCGATGGGGTTGGTGGCGTCACAAATCAAAAGCACGAAAGCAACACGTGAAATGGTTCATTAATACTGAAATTGAAATTCGCAGGGAGTTGGGAGGTGGGAGCCAGAATCACAAACAAACCAGATTGTAACTACTGCCTGATTTGAACAAAACTGGAAGCACGAGCAAAAGCAAAAGCAAAGTATAGACAAAATAGATTGTAGACATAGAATGGCAGGCACAGACGCAATCACACATAGAGCGTGTGCCTCGCGGCTATTCTCTGCATGGAGACCTACTGTGTATACAGGTCGTCGACATTCGAAAGGCAATGCCACATTTCCGGTCCGGTTCGAGTGAGATGTGTGTGGCGAGGTGTGTGTCTACGCCTCCTAAAATGAAATGCCCGGGCGTCAGTTGGCGGAATTGGCCCTCGAGCATCTCACCTCTCGGCCAAGGCGCCGACGAGGGAGGTTTGGCAGGAGTAGCACTCCACCGTCGTCTGGACGCCCTTGGACTGCGCCTGCTGAAACTGAGGCTACAACAAGGGCTCGCAATCGCACTCTGCGTACTCTAGGGTATCGTACCTCTTCCTGTGCCGGGTATTAATTAGGCTACTACAGTGCTTGCTTTCTCCCCGACCTGGCACAATGCCTGTAGCAGGCAATGTCTTGAGCGTTGAACTGTTTCCGTGGGATCAGGGACGCGTCCCTTGGCGAACAAATGAGTCCACTCCGATCCGGTCCTGTCCTGTCCAGTCCAGTCCAGGCAGACAAAGTCAGTGAAGTGAAGAGCATTGAACCCTCGTGCACCTGCAGGAAGCATCAGCCTCAGCAGGACCGCTGTCCTCCCGAAGGTCCGGATCGTTCTGTATCCCTTGAAGCATGGGGTGGTCGAGCATGCGAGGGTGGTGCTAGTAGCCTGGGTATCCGTGGGGATTGGAGCACACACTGCGTGGGTGGTGTAATGATATTCTGAGTGCTTAGTACGAGGTACAACTGTGCCGCCCCCGAGCAGCGGGATTAGCTGAGTGCCTCCCAGTGGCGCCATCCATGCTGACCGATGTGCCCGTCACTATCGCAAAAAGAAAGGGCAGGGCGTTGGCTGAGTCAAAACGCCGTGCGTGGAATCGGGACGGCCCTGGCAACAAACATACTGACAAGGTAAGCCTGCCTTTTTCGGTATGAGCCGGAAGCCTCAGATCGTGATCTCGGGTGTCTTTGTCACTGCAGCTGCAGCTGTTGCAGGGCACTACTGTGGTAGACAATGATAACTACGTCGCCATTTGATTTGCCTATTATCTCATGTTCCGGTGATATCCAAGGCGTCAACTTGCTGCCAGCGCTTCCTGGCTAACCGCATATAGTATACAGACATCCCGTTTTGGTCCTTTTTCTCTGCTGAAATTTGTGTAGTAAGCTCCGGTTGTTATCAGCATGGCGTTGCGTCAATGACTGTACGGGATCAAACAGAATCCCCGCCGAGAGAGATTCTCTCAGATTCTGTGCAGCGGGGTTGGGGATTGACGCAGGTTGATGGTCTGCACCACCCGAGTTTTCGTCGTGCTCATGTGCGCGTGACCATCTCAGTACTGTGTATAGTGAGGCTCTTGTGCCAGCTAGGCATGAGGGCCTGTTTTCTTGTCGAGGGCCTTTTCGAACCGTCGGGTGTTGAACCAACCAGTACGTCCCACAGGACGACCATTTTCGTGGGAGGGACAATGAGGCATATTCATTGCATCCAATTCCGTGGGGGTTCCGGAAAGAGGGGAAGCAAGATATTCGGCGGTGGACATAGCGGAGAGTTCCGCGCCGGAAAGTCATCTCCGACGTTGCGATGACCTGCAGCCTCAAAAGCACCTTCGAATCATGAAGGCTATCAATCCGCGGAGTCCGAATCCTGAGTCGGTACCGTCCAAGGTGGAGACATTGAGCGACAGGCAGGTTTCTACGTTGTACGGCTAGCGCGATGGACCGTACATGCGGTTCCACGGAGATCGACACGGTGTTGACCACATCCTGTGAAATATTGCTAGACCGGCAGGTTTCGAGCTTCCCCAAAGTTGCAATAATACAACTCGAGGAGATAAAGGGCCGACGTAATGAAAACCTGTTAGCAGCGTGGTACATGGTACGGAGCACATGGGATTCCGTTCTTCAATCGGCGTTTGCCCGCAGCCCAGGATGCCCTCGGGCAGAGTTCGAGAAACTCCAACTCACCAGGTCTTGGTGCGCGGAATCCAGTACCGACCTCTAGAGCTTTCTGCCGTGTCCTGTGAAATGCTCAGTCACAAACGTAACAATGAAGCTCCTCGCACCAGTGATTGGGCTTAAAGCGGACGGCTGGAGACCGAAGTCACCCAGGTGGATGCAAATTGTAAGCAAAGAACCCTCATGAATTTCTAAAAGGACGCCAGTTTGAGAAATCCCATAACTGGTGACAAAGAAAGGAGAGCTCCATATCTCTTGGTGTAATGTGTTCGCTGTAGGGAAACAGGAGTTGAGGGTTAGCGTATAAGCGAAGAAGGATTCTTCTGTGCAGTGGCACTGCCATTTTCGGGGCGTTTCCTGATCTTGTACGCGTATGAGTAGACCGGCACCAATATCCTGCATACTCGCCGAGGTCATCGCGATAATGGAGTGCTATCAGCGAGTGGTGGACGAGAGTGTTGCTCTGTGGACACAGTGTGCTGCCACATGGTGCAGTTGTTGTTGACAAAGCTCCTCACGTCGATTTCTTGTGCGTCTTCTGGCGGCATGCTAATTGAGTGTCCGTCACGAGAGTCGTTAGAGGATGACCAGAGGCAGTAATAGCGTCGGGCGCTTGAATGAAACAAGTAATCGGTGAGGTGGTCAACGGCCGGCCGGCCTGATAGACGGTGCTGAGGGAACCCTTACACGGCAAATCATGCGCACGTCTTGCCTGATCATCGGGCTTACCTTGGCCTGGGCGAGAGCGTATGCATACTGGAAGTGAACGCGCACAGCAAGGTGGACGGAATAGCGGTGTCGATATCTGGAGGCCGCCTGAGGGCCAAGAACTCTGCGTGCTCAAGTCATCATAGGATGTGAGAGCATGATTCGTAGTCGGCGCCCAGCATCAGCCAAGCAAGTGGTCGAAATGCGTAGACAGCGCATGGACAGTGCCTTACTCATCGTTTAATTGATGGGTGCGTGTGACCGAAACAGGTGGTGTCCGCGAATTGAGCAACTTCGCAGAACAATTACCCGTCAGCATAGAACAGTGCGCGACCTGATTCCTTGAGTGTTGTAGACGCACGTTATAGCCGGGTTGTCGTGGTTGTGGTGTCCTGCGAGATTCGTTTGAATGCGCACGGAACAAAATTGCAGAGCGTGGAGAAGGACCGGGCTATCGCTACGTCATTGACCTTTGGCTCCGTGGTGCTCCGGTTCGCATCAACGTTTGGGCGTGCTCGTCTCGTGTTCGGGCCTCACGTGCCCCCTCTGAGGTTCAGTTGTTCCGGTGCGAGCAGCGCATTTGGGCTCCCCTAAACACACGAATCCGGGGAAGGCCACGCCTACAGTAAGCCCTCGCTCGTCTTCTCCGATATAGGCTCGTACTTGTCCATTTCTTGCACTGCGGGATGAGGTCACGGCTCGAAGATTTCATTATTTGGCATCGGACCGGATCATTCGTCCAGCTGTGCAGCCATGGTCTGCCGCTGATCCTGGCTCCGGATGAAACTTGCCAGACTGTTGCTGCTTCAACGCCAATGCATTACGACGCCCTGCAGGCTTACCTCACGACTGTGCAGCCCGTCGACTGCGCCCTCAGCACAGCCGTCTCTTCCGACTTTGCGATCCGCATACGCGAAGACTGATGATACTACGATACGGAGTACTACGTGCGCAGGGGGGTCGGTTAGTGGGCTCGTTCAGGTCATCACTCTAATCCCTGCAACCCATTGTTGTCGCAACAAACTCGCAACACACTAACTTCCATCCATCCTGAATAGCTCGCCCCATACCCCCGGCTATTCCATCCTGACTTGTTCCTCTATCAGAGAGATATATTCTCCTTACTCCGTACACCATCTCTCTTCGCCATCCACTTCTCACTCGACAATCAACCAACACAAGCCAAGCACCACATCAGCAAAGCTTGACAGCAATATCAACAGTACAGTCAACCCGCCATGCTCTCAACTCCCTCAAACCCCGCCATGCAAGCCTACAAGGTATATCATCTCTCGCAAACCAAGCTCGATAAGGAATGCAGACGCCAAACCCCAGACTTGCACCGCATTGTTCTGCATGCCTCCATAGTCGACAACGTGCGCCGCTGGTCTCGCGACCTGGCCACCCCATCGGAGACCGTGCTCGTCGACTCCGATTCGGACACGGACAGCGACCCTTTCGACGACTCGGCCTCCTCGGGAGATGAAGCCGACGCTGACGATGCCGTTGCTATCTTCGATATCGAAGGCGACGACGACACCGTAATCGTGGAGCAAACCCAGGCTTCGGGCAAAGTCACCTACCAGGTGCAACATGTCGAGAACTCCAAGTCCTCGCCGGCGGCACCCAAACGCCGAGCTCCAGCGCCACCAACCAAGCACGAGCTGAAGGCCCAAGCCTGGAAGCAGAACCGTCGCGTCACCGTGCGGGAGACGGCCATCGAAGTGGACAGCGATGATTGAACGACCGGGCTGGACTCTGGCTCTTATTTGATGATCACGACCTTTACGACAGCTTGATACCCCACTAGTAAATGCATCAGCCGCAAGGCTACAACTTATCACGAATATTGACTTCGACTCTCGCCGCTCCTATCACCTCTTGGGCTAGGATCTCCCAGGACACAACACATTCGCAGACTCCAGTTGAGCTTGGCGCTGCGGAATCCACCGGCGGCGCGGCGGCTGAGACGAGTCAGGAAGCAGAGACGAAGACGAAGAGCGAGAGAAACTCACCCCAAAGAGGACCACGAGGGTAACCGAGCTGAACGCCACGCCACCGTTCACAAGAGATACCACCGGTTCTACATCGCCGCCCTCGGTAGTCGTGGCTTTGATAGCCAGCCTGGGGAAAGCATTTGCAGAAACGTTACTCGTATCTCGTTGAGACTGGAACTTCGCTGTGGCCGGTACCTTTGCGGTCGATTCACGGTGGCTTAGCGGGGGAGGCCTGATGAAGGATGATGAAATGTACTATACAACACGCTTACGTGGATGTCGACTTGCCGACGGAGAGGAGATGGCTTGGATACAATGCGCCGTCAAAACAGTCTTACTCTCTCCCTCTCGGGATCGAGCTTCAACTATTCGTGTACTCAATCCATGGTGATCCCAGTCTACATGTTTCTAACTGAGTGACCTGCTCGGTGTCTAAACTTCCGACCTTGAAAAACTGCAAGAGAGACATGACCCGAAAATGAACTGCTCATTTCACTGTCCAGCACATCTCACGCTTTCGTCTACAAAGTACACATCCTTTCCACAGCGCAAGCACGTTAGACTCGTACTCGATCCCGTCTGCAAACTTGAGCCCGCGGTTTTGCCCCCATGCTGATCTGATCGGATCTGACAAGTACGAGTAATGGATGATGCAGGGACGCACGTCAGTGGATCCGCCGGGGCCCTCACCCATGGGTCCCAGCGGATGAGATATCCGCTGATCACCCACGCACTCCGTCCAATGTTTACACGAGTACGGAGTACACAGCATATCAATACGATTGGGCGAGGAAGGTCTCTCTGAGACCTCGAAGGACGGGCGGGACAAGGACATGTCCGAGAGTAAGGGAGCCTCTTCCGTGGTTTTGATACTTTACGTGCACGACCCGTCGGCAAGTGAGAGGTCTAGAAGCATGTGTACAACTCTGGGTGCATTTAGTGATATCATTTCTGTAGAGGCTTGCTGGAGATCTTAACCCCTTGGGTGTGCCGGACGCTAGACCAAACACTTTGGGAGACCTTGACCGGCAGTTTCCTTCCTTTCAGTCTCTGATCAATCAGCCAGAGCCCGACCACAAACTCCTCCCGGTTGAGGGTCTTGACATTAGGCTGTGCGACAAGGTCCCAGATTTCTTCCAGCACGTCCTTGGGTAGTCGACTCCGGTCCCAGATATCGCGTACCACAACATTGACAACAAGGTCACTCACAGAAGTGCCATCGTTCCTGTGCTCGTGATCAACATTGTCGAGGTCATAATCGAGAAGTAGCCCCCTATTGGCTGCCCAAACACCTTCGTACCGTTTCCTCTCACGCTCTGTAACCTTGTCCCGCCATCTTCTGCGATCGCCTTCGTGGTGCATATTAGGGTGACGCCGCCAATGTTTCCGGCCACGTTTCTTCTCGTCGTATGGTTCATCTCGTTCCGGGGAGGAGCGCAACGTGTGCCTCATAGGCCTTGCCGGAAGCGGCTTTAGCTTTGGCGTACGCGACCCTGCGTCACTCCGCATCCCAGGCAAGTGCATCAAATGCTTTCCGCTTGAGAAGGCGCCAACTGACTGTGATCGCCGGCGAGGTACGGGTGGTGGCACTTTCTTCGGCGCAGGGGATACGGCCCGAGAGCCGGTGTGTGAAACTGCCAAGGAGCCAGCAACCATAGCGTCCGCTAGAGCGCTCACCGTCATGGTGGACCGTGGGCCTAGGATGGGGGTATTGTGACCTGTAGCATTGGCCGCCTCTCGTGCTGTGATGGCCGCACGTTGGGCATGAACTGGGACAGGTGCTGGTAGAGACTTCTGGGTATAATCACGTCCGGAACGGCCGTTATCGCTTTCTGAGTCAGTCAATGGAGGGGTTACTTTGACCTGGGGTCCAGATGATCCGCTTATAGTTTGAGGAGATGCGCTAAGATATCGGGTCACGGGTGCACCTGGGCTGCTCTCCTGGGATGTCGACAGAGCTCGCTTGCTGGCTTCCAAATGAGCAGCATTCCTAGTTGCTGTGACTGCGGCCGCGGTACCAGAGCCAGACGCAGGAGGGCTGGGAGCCGATGAAGATTGTGCTGGTGGAATTGTAAGATGGGAAAGGTAGCTTAGGTCGTCCCTCTGCTTGTCTCCCGTTGCAGTTTGAACGTGGACGGGTGCTGTTGTCATGGAGGCCTTCGCCCCGGCCAAAGCAGCCGCACTCTGTTGAAGTGACTGCAAAGCCTCGCTATTGCTGCTCGTGCTCGTACCCCGATCTCGAATCTGGGACGGATCCCGTCGCGCAAGATAGGACCCTAGGTCTCTCTTGAACTCTTGCCTGCGGACAGGACTCGTTTTCGCAGAAGCGGCAACGGCGGCAACGGCAGACGTGGACCGAGGGGCATGTGGGCGGAACACAGGCTTAGGAGGTGATACGGAGCTGGGACCGGCAACTGCGACAGGCAGTCTTTCTGTTGTGGGAGTTCGGCCGCGCGCGGATAGAGAGGCATCCCGAGGGAGAGGAAGAGTGGCATGCTGCTGAGTCTGCTGAGGCGTCTGCTGTGGCTGCTGCTGCTTCCGTGTCGAGGCAGCGGTAGCCGCGAGCAGGGCCCCTGCAGACGCAGATGGATTATGTGATGTGGAGGCATTAGGTAGAGAAGGTTTCAACGGGGCGGGTCGGAATGCCAAAGAGGCACCCTGGAGGGCGGGCGAGGGCAGCGGAGAGACTCCAGCAGCCGCGACATTCTGTTGTTGTCGAATGAAGGAGGGCTTGGGCGCCACAGGAGGACGCCGTGCCTGCTTCTCACTCATCAATCATCCATCGACACCAGATCAACGAAATACACGGTGCCGCAGCACCAGAGAACGAAATCCACGTTAAGCGAATGAGGGGAGGTTCAGCACATGAGTGATGGTCATCACTTCTGAATTACTCCGACATCAAGGCAGGATTCAAAAGCATGTCACAGAACGAATGATAGAAGGGAAAGCATCGAGTGAGTGACGGGCTCAGCAGGAACAGGAGAACGGCACAGAGCTGAGGTGTGGCATTGTCAGCGCAGTGCCCACTGTGCCTGGAGGCCTGCGGAGTACTGTGTAGCACACGCACGGTCATGCCACTGCCGCCTTCTCTCCACGTGACTTCGTGTCGCGTTTTGGGTGTGCGTCACTTTCTGTGGTACGGAGTACGAGTTACAGTAGGCAGCGGCATGCTGAGAATGAGACTTTACTGCCTACCGAGTAAGCACTGATCGTAGGGGAGCTTTCATCGAAAATGCGTGATGAGTTTGCAGGTCTTTCCCAAGCGATCCGCATGTGACCGTTGTTCACCCCGTCTGTTCTCATGAACAGCTGTTCATGCAAGCTGCCCCAAACTGACCTGCCAGACTCTCATAATGTCCGAGGACGACAGTCAGGACGGCTTTTCCCAGCGCCTAAATGCACCTCGAAGCCGTGAAGAAATTGAGAGACAACTTGATGAGGAGTACCCAAATCGCCCGCGAAATCATGGCAAATCACGTCCCTTTCACAGCCTCTTCCAGGAACTCTTCAATCCTCTACTCGATCTGAGGAATAAGCCCAAAGTGGCCGTGGTCAATCGGAGAAAAGTAGGTCCAGATGGGCAATCTAACAAGTCTCCATCCGAGAGACGCAGAGACTTGATTGAGCGGTACATCGATCGCTGGCGAAGAGATGTCGGACCTGATTTCTTCCCCGCCCTTCGTCTCATCATCCCGGACAAGGACCGTGAGCGAGGCGTGTACGGTCTCAAAGAAAAGATCATCGCCAAACTACTGATTAAGATCATGAAGATCGACAAGAACTCGGAGGATGGCTACAACCTTCTGAACTGGAAGAGCCCTGGCCAAACAAACACGTCTCACACGGCCGGCAATTTTGCCGCACGATGCTACGATGCACTCTCCAAACGACCAATGCGCACTAAGGTGGGCGACATGACCATAGACGAGGTCAACGGGATGCTGGACGAATTGTCTGCAGCCCCGAAAGAGCAGGACCAGCTTCCAATCCTAGCCGAGTTTTACAAGCGCATGAACGCTGAAGAGCTGAAGTGGCTCATCCAAATAATTCTCAAGGAAATGAAAGTGGGCGCCACTGAAAGGACATTCTTTGCTCTCTGGCACCCCGATGCAGAGAGCCTGTTCAACGTCTCCAGCAACCTCCGAAGAGTATGCTGGGAGCTGTACGATCCCAATGTTCGTCTCGACGGTGATGAAGCCGGGGTGGCTCTGATGCAGTGTTTCCAACCAATGCTAGCGCTTTCCAAGCAAGAACCGCTCAAGAAGGTTGTCGAGGCACTACGTCCAACACCAGAGGACCCTGAATTCTGGATAGAAGAGAAACTGGATGGCGAGCGTATGCAGATGCACATGGTGACCGATGAGTCCCACCCAGGCGGCAAGCGCTTCCAGTTCTGGTCACGCAAGGCGAAGGACTATACCTACCTCTACGGCAACGGTTTCCAGGATCCAAACGGAGCACTGACTCAATCAATCAAGGACTGTTTCAGAGGTGGTGTCGATAATATTATCCTTGATGGTGAGATGATCACTTGGGATCCAAACGAGAAGGCGCCGGTGCCGTTCGGGACGCTGAAATCGGCTGCTCTTGCAGAGCAGCGGAATCCGTTCGCTCAGGGGCATAGACCGGTCTTCAGAGTCTTCGATATACTCTTGCTGAACGGCCAACCTCTCACTCGCTACGAGCTGAGGGACCGTCGCAAAGCCCTTGCAGCTTCAATCCACAGCGAGGCTGAACGTTTTGAGATCCATGATTACGTCGTCGCCACTAAAGTGGAAGAGGTGGAGGACCTCCTCCGCCAAGTAGTCGCAGAGGCATCTGAAGGACTGGTCCTGAAGAATCCACGGTCCATGTACCTTTTAGATGATCGATCAGGCGACTGGCAAAAGGTGAAGCCCGAATACATGGAAGGATTTGGAGAAGACCTTGACTGCGTGATTTTAGGAGGATACTACGGATCCGGGAAACGCGGAGGGTTCTTGTCAAGCTTTCTCTGTGGCCTGCGCGCTTCAAGGCAGGACCTAGAGGTCGCCAGTCAACAACAAAGTCAGAGTCAGAGTCAGAGTCAAAATCAAGGCCGCAAAGGTTCGACTCATAACCGGGGCCGAAAGGCTCCACCCTCGCAGCGACCGCAGCACTCCCAAGCTGAAACGCAGTCCCAATCCCAATCTCAGTCCCAGGCACAGGTTCCAGATTCTCAGCCGACGCAAATCGAGGTAGACGGCCCAGTCGAGAACTTTACCACTTTCTTCAAGGTCGGTGGAGGCATGACCGCCAACGACTATGCGGCCATCCGCCATGCTACAGACGGGAAATGGCATCGCTGGGACTCTCGTCGCCCAGCTGCAGCAGACTACATTGACCAGGGTGATCTGAGCAGACTGGCAGAGAAGCCCGACATGTGGATCAAACCATCAGACTCGGTCGTTGTGCAAGTCAAGGCTGCGCAAGTCACGGCGAGTACTGACTATGGCTTTGGCTACACCCTTCGGTTCCCACGGTTCGTGAGGATCAGAAGAGACAGGGACTGGACGACCGCCCTGTCAGTCAACGAGTTTGCAGATCTCAGAGCCAAAGCGCAAGACAGAGAGGAGGAAAAGAAACTGGAAGTCGACCAGAAGCGGAAGGACAAGCGCAAGGCCCGTGCTGGCGGGTACGCAAGTCGCAAGAGACCGCTCACCGTGGCGGGATACAATGCCCGAGACGTGAACGCTGCCAAGCTACCAGAGGGTCCGCAAGGCAATGTCTTCGAAGGGCTGACCTTCTACATCATGACCGAGTCCGCTCTGCCGGGAGACCGGAAGAAATCCAAACTCGAGCTGGAAGGCCTAGTCAAAGTTAACGGTGGCAGAATCGTTCAACAAGCCACGCCCGCATCCGACGACCAAGATCCTGTGATGTGCATCGCGGCACGTCGCACCGTCAAGGTCGCAAGTCTGGAGAAGCACGGCCGGAAGGAAATCATCAAGCCGATCTGGATCTTCGACTGTCTTGACCAAGCGAAACGGGACTTTGCACTGGGGTTTGCAGACCAGATGGTCGTGCCGTTCGAACCGGAGAGACATATGTTTTTCGTGCCAGAGGAGATGAGGGACCGGCTCGGAGATAATGCGGATGAATACGGCGACAGCTACGCTCGAGACACGAGTGAAGACGAGCTCAGAGAAATCATGGACAAGATGGGAAGCGTCGACATCGAGGAAGGCGAAGAGAAGCGTATCCCAGATCTCTTTGGTGATGAGTTCTTCAACATGAAGGGATTCCTCTTCCACGGTATGGTCTTCTACTTTGACCTGGATACCGACGGCCTAGAAGACGTCGCGGGCTACGCGGAAAACGAAGCCTCCTCCGGCCTGACGACCACGTCTTTGAAAGCGATTGCGAAATTCGCGGGCGCAGAAGTTCTCTCGCCCGAGTACGCCATGCTCGCCTCTGTGCCACCGAAGCTGAAAACAACAATCACGCATATCATCGCCCACCCTGCCTCCGACCTGTCTTCTCTAAGAAAGGAGGTCGCGAGATGGACAGCCAGGAAGATCCCCCGGATCCTAACCAGGGGGTGGATACAAAAATGTTGGAACGAGGGAACCCGCGTCGACGAGGAAGCATTTGTTGCTTTCTAAGTCCGTTCGCATGTGACGGGGGACAGAGTAGAGCAGAGACTTCTCTCTCTGAGCCATGCTGGGATGGACACAGTCAGAGACGAGAGAAGTGCCAGTTAATACGCTACAGGCCGAAGACGCTACGGTCAGGCGAAGCGCGACGAGGCTCCATATGCACACCATGCGGGAGGAATTGCTTTACGATGCTCAATATGAACATTGAACAACATGCCGGATGAAGATGCTTCGTCCATACAGGACGTGCGTCGCATCGCAATATTTGAAACCGATACCACTACTCCGCGCGGGTATTCAAGCGAGTACTTACCTACAGTCCTACAGTCCTACAGTCCTACAGTCCTACGTGCTTACCCACTGCGTACTGCGTACTGCGTATGAAGTACAGTACAGTACAGTGCAGTACATCTAATCCTCTCGTCGGGCAGTTTCACGTACAGTACGGAGTCCACATGCACATAATGTAGGCGGAGTTGAAAGTCAAGCAGGACAGCGGGGTGGGAATTGTCCATGATATAATTATCCGAATTCAAAGCTAAGCAGGATTCCGCGGGGGGGGGGGGGGGGTTAAGCGAATATATCCAAGTATACTGTATACTGTGTCCTGGGAACCCTGCGTCGTGTATATATACCGGCTACATATCTACCTAGTGCATAGGCACTTAACTACAGCGCGTTGAGTGGGTGTGAAATTGAAATCTCACCACGTCTCAGGAGATACATACATACACGTCATCAGTGGGATAACTACTCCGTGCGTAAAGAAGTTCCGAAGGTCGAAGCAGATGGTATGGCATGAGCATTCATACACGCGTGGCTACGTCGGTACGTAGGACTGATTGCTCTCCAGTCCTCTTTCGTGAGTATACATAATTATTGTACCTCGGATGATCAAGGCTAGGTAGGCAGCTCCAGCTGGACTTTTGTGAACCATGTATCTTACACGTTTTTACTCTAACCCATCTGCCGTTCCTCAGGGCTGTCCTTTGAATGGCGGACGTCGGTCCCATGTAATCGCTTGTATCTCTCACACAGAGAGGAAACCTAAGAGTCGTCGACCGACCAAGTTGCCCATCTCTGCTCTCCACTCTGCCGTGACCTCTTCCTTCCGGTCTTGCCGCCCTCGTCAACGGCCGGTAGCCATAACTTTGCCCGTCCCGGAGCATCGTCGGCCAACTTCCCATTCTTGCGCATATTCATCTCGCACACGAACACGCGCAGGAAATCGCGGTTTTCTCGGGGTTCCCTGGGCCTCGGTTGTCCTTGGTCGATGCCGTGCTCCGGGTCCGCCCAAAGGGTCTGGGCAGCGCGGAACTTGTTGGATGGCGTGCCGTCGGGTTCGAGCCAGGTTGGTGGGGAAGAGGCATGGGCCGTGCGGATGGTGGAGGGTATACAAGTTGCTAGCGGCACCAACGAGGGAAGTTGGGAAGTTGTGCTTGCATAGGCCGAGAAAGGCGCTCTCTCGTTTGTGGGAGATGGAGTTCGCTGCGTCTGGTATTTCCTTTTGATTTTGAGTTTTGGCTTGTTCTCGGCTTTGGAGATCTGAGTAGGTGTAGGTTTCTCGTCGACCCAGAAGTGCAGTTGAGCTGGTGAGTCGGCAGGCACAACGGTATGAGGGTTGAGATAGCGTCGGACGGCTGCGGAGGGGGGTTCGTCCGAGGGTGGAGGTCGTCGATCGTCGGTCAATGAAGGTCTGAATTCAAAGACGGATGTTGCGAGGAAATCATCGGGTTGGACCAACGGAGGAGTAGTGGCGATATTGGACACTGTTTGCGCCGCAGATTTCAATGCCCTCAACGACGCAGTCAGGCTGGATTTGAAGGAACTTTGCGTTTTCTTTAGCGGCATTGGTCTCCGCCTTAGTTGCGATGGTGGTGAAATAGTCAGCTCGGGTGTCGATGTTTCGCTGAAGTGGTCCTCCTCGTCCATTGGCAGCAGCGGGTGCTCGTTGCTGCAGTCTTCGGAGCTCGCCATTTGCCGGAGTCGATGATCCGATGGAGATCTGACTGTTGCCGGAGAAATGCTGCTGAAGTCGTCGGCCGAAGACAGCGAAGGCATCGATTCAGCCGAGAGAGATCGTGCCGATAGTATGCCAGCGTCGAGGCCTTCACTGCCCACTATCATTTGTCCCTCCACCAAGCCGTCGATGGTGCCGAACAATCCCTCGAACTGCGGATTCGTCCAACTCCCCGACAGACTCCCTTCATGACTTGACTGGACATCGTCGCGTAGAAGCTTGCTGAAATCCGCCACGTAGTCAACATTTGGCAGCCGCTGACTTGGTCGCTGCTTTGGTTTCCTTCGTATGGGAATCGTCGTTGCGGACAGGACATCCTGAGCCGATTGTTTCCTCCTCGGGACGGGCTGCGATCGCAACACTGGAGACGATGTCGAGGGCTGTAATGAGGAAGGCCCGGGTCGTCGAGGGGTAAGCTGGATCCGCGGTTCTGTCTTCGACGGAATCTTTACAGGATCGGAAGTCGGTCTGTGAAGGGCAGCGGCGCGTTCCTGGGAGAGGCTCTGAGACAGCGCAGACCGCGTAGGAGGTGATCGAGAACGAGAGTCCCGTGCCTTCCTCTTTGCAAAGTTGTCCTTCTCTTTCTCTGTGAACTCAATCTGCTGTTGCCTCTGCGCCAAGGGATTGTGGCTAAAGGAGCGAGGGACCATCATCATGACGGCGGTGCACAGGGCCGACGGAGGGAATAGCGCCTGATGTCAGGTTCGAATCTCAACACAGCATCTCAAGGAGCCGAAACCGAACGGCATGCCTGGGGTTCGAGCGAGCGTGGGATGTTCGCGCGACCGGCTCGCAAAGCCGGATCAAGGCCTCTACACAGACAATTGAAGATGAGGCAGCAAAAGAACAACAACGAGAATAGTGAAGACGAGAAGTATGGCATGACGAGCCAGCCGTCCAGACACTGACTTAGGACATGGGTTTCAGCGGTTGTTGTTAGCTAATGATTGTCTTTGTAACATGGTGTCAGTGTCAGGCACAGCACACGACTGACTGGACCCCTTGGGCTGAGAGATAAGGCGGCCCAGCATATCGAGCAGTGCCCATTGGCCGAACCAGGCGTCAGTCCAGCTGGGTGGGATGCACTCGTAGGCGATGACGAGCCTCCGGGCATGCCCACACCCGCCGCGGCCACTAACATTCCTCGCTCCGACCCCTGCTTGATGCCTGGGGCTTTTCTTTTGGTTCGATCCGGATTCGCAGCGTCCCCTCGTGCAAGCCCCGGGCCTGCCCTTTTAGGCAACAACACCCAGCCCTCATTCCGTATGACAGATCCGTAACAGCTGTTATATTTGGCATTATTCATCCGAATGATGCGGGAGTGTTTTCGCGAGCTGAAATCACTTTCCATTGACCACCGAGGAGTTTGCTGTTCTCACGCTGCTTAAGAATGTCGCCGATTGACCGCAGACATCCTAGTACTTGGCAAACATGCTTGTTCATCTTCTCGACGAAGGCAACCTTGGGGCCTCCTCTTTCTGTGCGTAACGAAATCCAGGGGCCTCCAATATCTGCTGCGTACGAGTATTCGCAGCCACGCAATGGTACGTACCGAGGCATCTACGTAGGTATATCCTATCCCCCTTGAGGTCTTTTTCCAGAATGTGACTTCATCGCTCCATCTGGTACCCGCAGGACCGGTGGCATGGATCGCTCACGATAAGCGATTGGCAAGCGGAGTTTTGTTCGAGTAATGCTTATTTTGTCTGCTGGGCGCATGGAAGCGGACTGTGCCGACCGTCCTAACTTTTCACTGCGGCGAGATTTAATTATGCAAGGCACGGTTTCAAAGGAAACGAGATCCCATGATAAGATAAAACGGGCAAGGCTCGAGCACGTTGAATCAAGAAAGTTCTGTCACCTGTCACTGTCACGGCTTTCGGTCATCCGATGAAGCGGTGACGTCGACGTTAAACAGAAAGCCGGTTGAACATGGGCGAGCAAGCAGGGAAATGGCATTTGGCGTGCATGAATTATGCAATACCCCTATATCGATGAGGAGAACACAGAGCCGACCTTCACTGGTATTGTTTCGTCGGCCGAAAAGATTTCACTGCGTTTGTGGTATGGATTTCCAAAAACTCACAACGACGAATGGGCAAGCAGGCCAGCAAGCAAGGAGAAAGAACGACGGGTCGAAATCTGGAAGTTAGAAGAAACCTGTTCTCTCGCTTTTTCTCATCTCTTCCCTCCTCCATGGGTATCATTGATTGTGCCTATTGTCCGTGCCTGCCGGTATCTGGACCCAACTCCAGAACAAACTCCAATGCTCGCCAACGTTTTGTCTCGGTACGATAGATCTAACGACCCAACCCATCTGTGCACGCGCTGCCCTGGAGGCCTGCCGTGGAGATGCGAAGGGCAAGGCGTCGAGAATGTTGTTACAAAAAGTACTCCCCTACCGGCTTTTTGGCAGGCATGCCCCGAGTGCCTTGCGGCGCCGCTTCAAACACTCTATATCTCCGGCCCGGGGTGGCGAGATTCCACAGAACGCCGCTTCCGCCTCCATTGCCGTCTCCACCGACGGGTTCTCGTCTCCCCTGGTCGCCATTCGCGCGTTGTATGCAGCCCCCGTTCGAGCCGTCCTCGCCGAGCTCCAAGATGGCAGCCACGTTTCCGCACCTGTAGCAGTAGTTCGGCGCACTCCACACGGTCACGATGGTCTTGTCGAACATCTCCTTGTACCCTTCCATGACCAACTGATGGGCCCGTGCGATCAGCGACAAGTCGTTGTTGTGGTTGAAGTGCCGGACAATGTCGGCGCCGAAGAGAAAGCCCGCGCCCCGCGGACTCAGGCCCCAGCCCTCGATCTCGTCCGGATCAGACCACAAGAGGTCGCACATAGCGCCCTCATGCGGGACTTCTTGCTTGCGATCGATCAAGCGGATTTTGTCGACCGTTTCGATCAGGGGCGAGAGACCTCCATGCACGCAGAGGACAGCCCCGGTAGAGGAGGTGGGTGGGGTGAACAGTGACCGAGAAGCCCCGCTGAGGGACTGTTGCGAGGATATCGACGACGTAGGCGGCTCTAGCGGGTCCATGTCCGGCGCGGGAGATATTCGACTCGCATTCGAAGCCTGCTGCTGCGAGGGTTCTGAAGCCAACGACAATCCCTCGAATCTCCGACGCAGCGATTTCGACACGACCTCCCCGTTAGCGTTGAGGACCTCGGACTCGATCTCCTCGTCCTCCGGAGGGAGAGTGGATTGCGTGTTATTGTTGCTTTCGTTGCCCTGCGAGCTGCCTGTCGAGGGAGGGACGTCCGTGGTGGCACCCAGAATCAAGGCCCCCAGCGCGAGGTAATCGAACACCTCACAGCAGTACCGCCAGACGTTTGCGCTGCCGTATTTCCTAATACATTCGTCGTAGAAGCCGTACACGGTGGTGATCTGCCGCGACTCGTGGTTGCCCCGAATCAGCGTGATCCTGTCCGGGTACCTGACCTTCAAACAGAGCAGCAGCAGGAAACTTTCCAGGCTGTAGAATCCCCGGTCCACAAAGTCGCCCATGAACAAGTAATTCGTGTCCGGCACGTCGCCACCCACGCGAAACAGCTCCATCAGGTCGTGGAACTGCCCGTGTATGTCCCCGCATATTGTTACCGGCGCGTCGACGGTCACGACGTTGCCTTCTTCGATGAGCAGTTCGCGCGCCTTGTAGCACAGTTCGCGCACTTGAGGTTCGGGGATCGGGCGGCAAGCGCGTAATTGCGCAATGGCTCTGTGCGCACCGCTTTGTTAGTTTCTTGCGCTGGCAGGTTGGGCAAGATGGGGCTTACTTGTCGAGGTCGCTCATCGCCGCAGAGCAGAGCAGAGCAGGCGAGGTTCTACCTGCAACTGCGGCGCATGTGTGAGGACGTGGTCCAAGCGGAGTGGCGGTGCGTAAAAGAGTCCTCAGTGTTGGAGATCAGGTCGGGACAACGGTGGCGGGTGAGAGAACGGAACCGCTTCTGAGACCTTCTGCCGGCGGGAGGTGATCTCGGGATGGGCGCGATCGTCGTCAAGGGGCTTGTGAGTGCGGTTTGAGATTTCGAGAGGCAGAGCGATGCGTCAATTAGCATTCAACGTCCGGCGACGCAAAACCCCCCGCTACCCTGGACTTTGGGTACGGAAAGTAGTGTGCAAGTCGAATTGCCTCATGGCTAATCCTCGGTCTGACCGCCTCCACGGCGGAGCATTTCCCTAGAACATGTCCTTTGCATTCAATTGAGCTCGAAGCTCGTGATAATTGTACTTTGACGGCGACGATACAGCAGCGAGCACGCACGCGCCGCACGTCAACAAGGTCCCTGCCCTTCCCCTTCCCACTCTCTCGACCGCTCCGCCATGCCACCGCATCTCCATCCCCGCTCGACAGCCACGTCCACCCTCTTCGCCGGCACGCTCCTCGCCTCCTTCATCGTCGTCGGCATCCCACATGTCTTCCCGTGCCCGCGCCCGCGGACAGGCTACGCAGCCGACGCAGGCCGAGTAGAGTTCGACGAGGATGGCAAGCCCATTAGGAGAAAGACCAGCTCGAAAGCGCCTGACGCGTCGGGTTCCGGTGCGTCTGACGGTGAGCTAGAGGCTCGGAAAGCGACGCGGCAGCAGCAGCAACAACGAGCCCGAGTTCCGCAGAAAGCTCTGAGCCAGGCAAAAGACCTGGAGGAAGAAGCAGCCCTGTTTCGAGAGTTGGCTGCCGAGGCTGAGATGCTGGAGAAACAGGCCAAGTTGGCGAGGGAGTGTCCGGTGCCGAAACCCAGGGGCTGGGTGGGACGTATACTGGGCTTCGAAGATCAGCGGGCAGCCGGGGTCAGCGGAGGAAGTGACAAAGGGTGAGGAGCGTGAGCATTGACACGACGACAAACATTGCTCCGCGGAGCTCATGGAAAGCCATGGTCGACGTTGGAGGAACCAGATCCGGGCTATTAGGGGAACAAGCAGAATAAGGCTGATCGATGCTGGACCAACCGGTGTGAGGCCCTACAAGAGCGCTCAGAACGAGGCTGTCGACGCTTGATGAACCCATGGAGGATACAGTACACCAGAGGCGAGCAGGACGGGTTTGACCGACGGTGGGAGAACTGGTTGCAGGGCCTGCAGGGCCAAGCCGAACGAGGGCTGACCGAGACTGGAGCAACCCATACCAGGCCCTACAGGCCTCTCAGGCGCGCGCAGAGCGAAGCTGTCGACATCGAATGGATCTCCTGAAGATACACCAAAGGCGAGCAAAACGAGGACTGAGGGCCGACCGACGTTGACCGAGCACAGCGACGGCACTACAAAGCACACACATTAAGGCTATCAACAGCAGCAATATTGGGATAGAAAAGCAACCACCAGGCTATATTTCTACTGCAGGGCTAGAAACTAGAAGCTAGAGCTCATGTCAGCGTCCGTTCTCCTGATATGCAAATTTCGCGACACCGGGCGTTGCCTTCAGCATCCACGATGGCCAACGGCGGGATGCTATACCTGTTGCCAATACCTGCTTTGTGCATGCATGTGGTAGGTGTCGGTCAGCGGCAATGAGTTCGGGGCATTGGCCTCTGTGTCGAGTGAACGTGGAGGATTGGGGCAAAAGGAGCTGGGACGACCGAGGGGCTATTCGTACAAACAAGCACCTTGGTCAAGGAGAGGTGAAGATCGATCGATCATGGTGGAGTTGTGGAAGTGTCTGAATGGTAGGTATCAGTCTATCCAACTCTCTTCTCCCTGGCGCGTTCAGAGACATTGTTCGGAACCCGCCTCCATCGACCATGAGGAACGAAATATCAAGCAGAAAAAGAAAAAGCTAGTCAAACTGTCAAACACATCAGGACGCTCCCGCTTCCTGCCATCTGCAATGCAAAGCATCTCAACATGGCAGCCATGTCAATGTCAACTGTCAAACAACTTCATCCTCAGGTTCAGCTGGCTTCATAGTTGACTCTCCTCAGGTCATCCTGTGCCTCTTTGTCGGTCGGTAGGTGGACTTACTCCTCCCGTTCCCTATTGCCGTTGATTTCCTTCAACTTCATCCCCGTCTTCCAGTCCAGCTCCTTTGCGATCTGGGTCATGCGTTCAAAGACCGGCCTGCCAACATATCTCCAAAAACCACCTGCTCGGACACATGTCTCGCGCTGCTCGTTCTCGAACCGTTCCAAGTCATCTCGCACTAAGCCTTTGAGACTAGCAATAATGGAAGTGATTTGATGTGGCCTGCAGACAACGCCCTTGTCGACTCCAGCTCTGTTCTTTTTGGCACTACCACCGTTGACGATCGGGACCGCAAGGGGAGTGCCACAGGACCGGGCATGTTCGACATCTACTCCCAGCTTGCCCAGCACAGCCACAAGCAGATCCTCCATCTCATCCTCAGCTGGGTCATCGTCATTCACACGTTCGCTGAACCTTCGCTTTTTGGGACCACCACTGCTCGCAGTAGAAGCGCTCTTACGCCTGTCTCGGTCACTCCTCCTCCTCTGTGCAATGCTTGACAGCAACGCCTTCTTGTGGTCGTCAATGCTCGACAAGAAGCCCATGTTGCGGGCAATGACCTCCTCGATGGTCCTGTCGGTGGCCAGTGGATGTGTGGCACTCGCTGGGCCTTCTGCATCCGCAGCATCTCCGTGCAAGACCTTTGCCACGAAGGAGACATCTTCAGTGCGGACATTGATGACATGCCTCTGCTGGTTCTTAGCAGCTTTGGACTGTGACTTTGCGGCCTTGGAAGCTTTCTTCATGGCGCGGATTTCGGCTTTGGTCAGCTTGGCAGAAGCAGTAAGGGCACGTTCGCTATCTTCGGCTGTGCTTGCTGTGGTGTCGGTGACAGTTTGCGCATCATCATTTTCTTCATCTTCGAACTCGCCATCGAGAACATCAAAGTGACGGACTTCTTGCTGGGCATAAGGGACGTTGACAGGCAGTTCCTCCAATCTGTTTCTGGTCCTTGTCGAGATTGGGCCTGTTCCTGTTGCGATCTTGTACTCTGCAAGGAGCTCTGCGATCTTTTTCGACGTCAGTGAATGTTTCACGCTTTTGGCTCGTTGCCACAGCAACGCCATGGTCTCCCGACTCACCTTCCGATGCCTGTTTTCATGTAGCTCGTCTGCTTGGATGCATGAGAAGCAGTTGTGGCTTGTTCCGATGGCGTGCATGGTCTGGTGATAGCGTGTGCAAGGGATGCTGTGGGTTCCGTAGCAAGTTTGGCGGGCTTTGGGATTACTCATTTTCATGGAACAAAGATAACAACTGTGCTCTGTCCGACAGTTAATATCGATGTACGGGTATGACAGATGATGGTGGCTTGCCTAGTCCGGATGCTGCCTCCCACTTGAAAGGACTATTGGGTGCAGCCGGATCCATGGTGTTTCCTCGCCTTCGGGCGCCGTGGTCTCTACCTTGCTGTCTCTTGGAGGTTTGTTGGTCTTTTTAGGTGATAGGATTGCTTTGGCTTGCCAGTGGTTCGCGATGTGCAAGAGGGATTGCAAAGACAATGACGGGTATGGAGGAGGGATGTCTGTCAGCGTCGGTGTTTCAGATCAGGCAAAGGGCGCGCAGTGAGGCAAAGAAGCGTGAGAAACAGAAGATGTCGAGTGAAGAAAGCGTGCACCCGCTGCATCTGGCAGTGAACGCGGTGAAAGCCCGGACCAGCCGGACGCGGCAAGATGTGAAAGGCTGCGTCTCCGAATGCGCAATGTGAAGGACTATCAAGTCACCTTAGGACGCGGAGGAGAAAGCGAGGAATCTGACACGTTTTGGACCAGGGTCTTCGATTGCCTGGGGGTGTCGGTTGTGATTTCTCTTGGACATCTTGGGAACAAAGAGCATACGGCAGTGTATTGCAATCGAGAAGACATGGAGGCGGTACATGAAGTAAACTTGTTGCTGGCTGTCGGGCAACTGCAACTGGGTGGAGTTGGTCCGATGTGCAGTCCCCTTCACGCAGCAGCAGGGGCAAGGCGGCACCCCGGAGAGGATCGAGGATGTAAGCAGAGATGGCTTGACAGAGCCAGTTGACTGTGGAGGGGTCAAGGATGAGCAGAGATTGTTATCGTTGTGTACGGTACTGCTAAATGAATGGGTGCCAGCTATGGAAACCAAGTATTGCAAGAAGGAGCGACTAGGATCCTCCGCCATTCGAGACGAGACAATTCCGAGGGAGGTCCCCACTGAAGTCCCGAGTTTGCTCTCGCCTCAACGAGCCGTAGCCTTGTTACAGACTGGGAAGGTGTTGTTCCAACCAAAATCTCAACCAACATAGGCTCGCAGTCGCTGGAAAGCCGGGCAGGACGGGGGTCTGGAGCAAACCGATGGCGGCGGGCTGCATATTGGCCTGCCAGCGAGTCGGTGAGCCCCTGCCCATATTCCACCCCAGGCTAGACTGCGATATCCCTGACGAGCCTGGCCGTACACCATACATAGGGATAGTTCCTCTGGTACCAGTTGACAAAGGTCTTCTTCAGCGCGATGCGAGGCACGGTCGCCCAGCTACCACCGAGACAGACGTTGTGCTTGTCGTCGAAGAAGTCGGCTGTGTAGCCGGGGTACAGGTCCATTGCCTTGAAGCCGTCGTGTGGCGCCAACGGTGTGCTGGTCCATTCCCACAGACCTCCAAGATCGCTTTGTCCGCAGAGGCGGCTGCCGTTGCCCGTCACAGGCATTGGATGCCAGTGGCGGAAGGCAACATTGCGATCCTCGAGCTCGATGAAGAGCTCATCTGGGTCTGGCTTGGGATGTTTGGCACCGCCGTTGACGGCGCCGTTAGACAAAGAGCTTGATGGCGGGGTCTCTTCGACTCCGTCGTTCGAAAGATGCCTAGAGGGGTCAGATCATGCCAAGGCCGCAGAGATAGGGGCTTACCCGTTGACCGCCGAAATCAACTTGCTCGGGACCTTTTGAAGAATGCTCTTTTGCTCCTCGACATACTGATAGAGGCTTCGAGCCTCTTCCAAGGTTGGAATACGGCCACCAGACCATTCGGCGTACGCGGCCAGTTCGTCATAAGAGGCCATGACTGGCCAATCCAGAGCGTATTTGAGAGGGACGAGACCATAGACTGTTCGAACAGCCTTGCCTTCAACGAAACCGGAACTGGCCATCCTGAGAGCATCCTTTCCATGGCCGTTAACACCATTGGTGCCAATGGACTGGCCATTCATGGCCAAGGCAGTCCACGATGCCGGAAGAGGGCTCTTGAGAGTGACTTCTAAGAAGTGAGCATATTCGCCATTGCTGATAGGGCGGCTCTGAGCTTCGAACTCGTGGACCCTCGCATGGCGCGATGGCCTTTCGTTGTCCCAGCCAAAGTACCTGTCTGGTCCCAGATCGTTCTCTGGATCGTCTAGACCTAGTTTGACTTCGCTTGCGGGGACGTGATGCCACTGGTTCTCGACGCGTTGTGCCTTGGCTTCCGCTGCCAAAGCTCGGAAGTCTGGTGATTCTTGGCCCGGTGGCGGGAGGATTCGTTCACTTTGTAAGAGCATGTACATGAATGTCTCCAAATGCATCGCCTCGTGCTCATATGCTAACCATAGCGCCCGGCCAAGTTTGCGATCCGAATTCGCCAGACCAGATGCAGTGCTCTCCATTATACGTGCTCTCACACGTTCAGAATAAATCAGGATCTCTTTCAATGGAGGCCATGCATCTGGGATCTCGCTATGGTCATGACACAACTCAGGGTTGTCCACATCTATGCAAGATTAATATTCAGTCCGAGAGAGTGAGCGTGGCTGAGTACCTACCTGGATCAACACCACGTTCAAAGATAGAACGATAGGAGGCCGGATCTGTAGGCTTGCTACCTGTAGCCTTGGTATAATGGATGTCTATATTCCTGTCAGTACGATAGTTGAGCACCTATGCATACGATGCATACCTGCAAATGTCGGTATATGGCCCAGATAGAAGATCAGGTCATTTCTCAGCTTGATTGGTTTGTTGAGCAATTCATCTCTCGGAACCATGGACTTCGTCACGGTATCCCAAGCAGCCCATAGTTGCCTCCAATCGTTCTGAGACGGAACAGGACTCGCTGCAAACTCCGCTGGCTTGGTGGGGAAGTCAATGCTGGACGGAGACAGAAGATGGAGACCTGAGCCAACTATTAGCACGAGCTTGAGCACGACGTTGCAGCGCTCACGATAATCATTGGCCTCGTTGCCATAGGACATTTGCAGGATGAGGCCCGCAGCATGCCAAAGTGCATCACTTTCCGCCTCGGAATACTTGAAAGCGTCCTCAAGATGGATCTTCTCGCCTTTCTCGAAAGTGAAGTCTTTGACATGGATCGTCTTCAAGGCGACATAGGATGCTTGGTGTTTGTTTGACTTTTCGTCAAAAAGCCCGTCCACTCCCCACTCGTCCGCCTTGAATGCTTCGTATCCAAGGATGTTGTTGGCATGCTCGAGCCCGTTACGGTAGAAATGCTCGGTGACACGGGGAGAGTCATTATAAGCGCGGAAGACTCGCTCGGGTTGCTGGCATGCATCGAGCCCGACTAGCATGAAGTCTGATGCTGTCAAGGCCTTCTTGAATGAAGCGAGGAACTGAGCCGCGCTCTCACGGGTGAAGTTTCCCAAGGAAGAGCCCATTGTCATGACACACGTCGCGGCCCCATCTGCCTGGTGTTGTCCCAGCCACAACAGACCATCGTCGTAAGTACCATGCAACCCATGGAAGCTGACATAGTGGAAGGCACTTATGTCCAGCTCAGCGAAGGTCCGTTTAAGTTCGGGCAATGAGAGATCCAAAGCAAAGTAGTCGACCCTCTTTTTGGCTCGTTCGAATGCTTCGAGAAGGATGTTCACCTTTCGAAGGTTCCTATTGGTCACGTAACCTCAGCCCTGATCAGGTGGACTTCAAGGAACCTGGCAATACTCACCCACTACCAAGTTCCACAAGCCGACTGCCATCTGGAATCCGTGCGACGATCTCTTCGGCGTGCAGCTTGAGAGCCTCAATCTCTGCGTTCGTGAGGTAATACTCATCGAGGTACGTGATCTCCTCGAACAATTTCAGGCCCTTTTCTAGGATCGTTTAGTATTTGTCATTGACACAAAGGACCTCTGTACCATCGTAAAGCAACAGCGTAGGGAAGGTGCGCGGCTGGCCCTGAGGAGGATTCAACGATTGTTTCAATGTCTCAACAAGGGACTCGTTGGATGTATCCCCTCGAATATCAAGGATCGGCACACCGGCCGGAGTGTGGGTGGCCATGATAGTACTTCGACCAGGGGAGTATCAAAGTTCCAACACGAGAAGGGCTTGGGTATGTGGCACAGGCGAGATCAAAATATACTCGCTCGGTGTAAGACAGTTGAAGCAGAGATCGAGACTAGACTCAGCACGAGCAGACACCTCGATGTATGTTGTATGCAGGTCCCACTCTATCCCGGAGGTGGTTGGACCTTTGTCCAGGCAGGGCAAAATGTGATATACCAATGAGAGCCCTGATAGAAACGCTCCGCCGAATGGCTGAGGTGAGTCGGAACACAGCGCAAGGTTCCATTATTTTCAAGCTGTCCACGGGGATCGTCGAGCAACGTCTGGATCCCTATGCCCTGTGTGGACCTGTCAAAGGCGTCCCTTAGCGGCCGTGGAGAGCTAAACGTGCCGGGACTGGTTCGAGACGCGGAAGCTTGACGTTGTGGACGCGAAAATACGCATGATCAGTCAACACGAACATGCCACTACCAAGACCTGGGGCGGACCATGGTGGCGACCGCAGAGATTTCATGTTCAGGAACGGGGGCACAATGGTAGGGTTCGCGAACAGTTTGTGGCTTACCTAGGCCGACCCCGTCTTGAACCATAGCGGGCGAGAGCGGGGTACCGCGTGCTGACGTGACGACCTAGACGTAATTCCGAACCCCAGTACTGCCACTGACTGGGAGAAAGCGCGATCTTACGGAGTCAAGACATCTGCCGCGAAGAATTGAGCAGTCGTGACGACGTTGCTCGTATGGTGAACAAATAGGTGCACAAATAGCAAACACAGATGTGGTTAGTGGCGTGGCGTGTTCGTGTGAGAAATCCAGGGCTGCATGGGGTAAAGAGGGGCAGCTTTCGCCATGCTGCTTCGAGAACTTGTCGACGTAACACAGGGAGGCCTGCGGGACGTTGAACGGCCGAGTTTGGTCAGCCGCTTCCGTGCAGGCAGACGCCTGGATTCCGCTTCAGGGCTGACCTGACGGTCTTCCTGTACCGGGCGACATTGGTGCTGCCGAGGGTTCCACGACAGTCGGGCAAGCATCGACCTGAATGGTTGTCGCGTATCAGCGAGCTACTGTGTATACTCCGCGGGAGAGAGCGGCTGCACGCATTCCATAATCAGGAGTCCCTTCGGCGAGAGGTACATAGATCGGGCAGGGAGCTGCTGCCATGATAAGCCGAACATACGCACGTGGCTAGTCAAGTAGTCGTTCCCGACCGGTGTGAAGTCAAGTTGCCAAATTGCGGTGGAGTTGGAGCTTCCGCACCTCCAGGTATCAATAATCGAACAAGAGCCGACTGCAGTGGACTGATCCTGTCTCACCCGAGAGTGAAGGACGGAGGAAGAAGAACAGAGAGAATTGTGTCAGCTTCCGGCACGGAAGAATGTGGCCGGATGCGCTAACCTGAATGGGCAAAGAGTAAATAAAGATACGCGCACTTTGGAGCTTCGCTAAGATCTCGACACGCCAGCAGCTTCTTCATACCCAGCACAGTTATGCCACGCGCTTCTATGCATCGACAGTGAATATTGACTCTCTAAATCGCGTTGTGCGACATCGCCTCCGATGATGATCGTCCGTGCTGCTTCCGTTCCAGCTTGACCGACCCACATATACATACATTCTTCCTTTGGCACCTCCGCCTCCACCTCCACCTCGCTTCGATCGTCATGTCAAAGTCAGGCAACCTGGCCGCTCTCTCGGCCATACTCAGTCCTGGAGAGACACCCACCATTTACTATGCAGAAGATCCTCCCTACCTTCCACGAATACTCGTCTTCTACTTCCCAGTTCAAGCTGTTGGCTCACTAGCTTCAACATCCCGAATCCGGACGACCGTCCTCTCCGCTGCCGGCTTCAAAAGCTACGGAGCCTTCTCCGTCGCTCCCAACAGCAGTTACTACTCTGCAGTCCACAAGCTACCCGAGGACAAACAACGGGATGACGTCTACAGGGGTATCGCCTTTGCGCTTTGCAGGTACTTCTCCGAAGTCCCACCCGAAGTCAAGAACGCAATAGATGAAGAGAATGCCCACCATGGAATAGCGATGAAGTGGGGACAAACACATGCAGCCCAAGTTGCCTGCCGGATGAGCAGGGTCATCAATACTGAAGAGATCATTGAGGCGCTGCGCCCGTTTTCCAAGGAACGACCACCGAGCCCGCAGACACCCCTCAGGCCGCTAGCATCGATCAGAAAGACACGGCCCTCGTTCTTGCCGCAGGACCCTGGTAATCATGGCACCAGTCGTGTTGGCCAGGCATTCACTCCATCAAAGAGGATAGCCAGTGGACAAGCTAGGCGCACTCCGTCCATATCTTCTCCCGGACATCGAAAAGCAAGCAGCACGGTAGATCCGAAGCACTCGGTTCAACAGGTAGAGTCGCTACGGTTCAAGATGTGCGAGTTTGTGGATACCGAAGATCGATACATCACCCGTCTCCAGCAGTTGATCGAATTGGTCACCAACCAAGGGCGGACACCCAAGTCGTTGAGCTCCAAGTTTTCGAGCAAAGGCAACCATAAGGCTATGAACGCTATGCTTCAATTCCCGTCGCTGTTGGATCAGATCAGGGACCTGAATATTGCATTCCTGGACGACATTGAGACAGCATTGCACAACTCGGAAGATGCGGCCATAACTTTCCTGGACTCGGCTCAGTCAAACCCACAGCTTCTGCAGAATGCCAAAGATCCCATGGGCGTGCTCAGCTTTGCCAAGATCCTTCTGGCCCATTTCCCAAAATTCCCTATGCCCTACAGAGAGTACCTCGACCTGCATTCTCAGGTCTCGTCCAACCTCGACCAGTTTCTGAAGGAAGGCACGACATCAATCCAACAGGTACCGTCCCTGCTTATGGAGCCAGCGCAACGTATCTCGCGATACGGCCTTTACATCGACAGCATGCTCCCGCACGTGCCCTCGAATTTTACGGTGGCCATCCGCACGCTCGAAAAAGCGCGCAAGATCATTGCCGAAATCTGCGAAATGGAGCCCGCGGCATCAACAATCCTAGACTCTCTCCGCATCGAGCATGAAGCCAAAAAGAAGGGCCTCTCTCCCTCCAAACTGCTCTCCGGCCTGACACGATCGAACGGCACAATCCGCGAAGCTCCCGCCCTGACGGGAAATTTGAAAGAGCGCGACGGACCGCGCCTCTTCCCCAGCCTCGGTCGAAGTCTCAGCCGGCGCACAAAGACCACGCGGCCCGGTCTCGCCACGGTCCTTGCCGAACAAGACCCCGAACAAGCAAACAATATGCAGATGCAGATGCAGATGCCGACGCAGCCTCGCAACGACGAGAACAGGCCCCTCACCTCATCGTCGGCCCTGTCCTTTGGATCGGTCAAGAGACCCCCAACCTCCGGCTCGAGCATCAGCACAACGAACCGTTCCACCGCAAGTGCGAGTCCCCGGCCCAACATGAGCGGTCTGCTAAGCAGCAAAAAGCTGCGCGTGCGGACCGCTCCGGGCGGTGCGCCCCAGGGTTTGCGATCCCCTACGGAACCGCAGGGACTTTCTCATCCGCCTTCATCGCCGCCTATCAAGGTGGGGGGACCCGAGCCGCAGCGAAGTGTAGAGCACTTAAAGGCCGAGCTCATGCGCGTCGAGGAGGAGAATTACAAGCTCCTTCAGGAGAATGCCGACCTGAAGAGGGCGATACGGGAATGTACGTGTGGAGCAGCCGCGCGCCATTGATATCCAGAGGCGAAGATGGCTATTACTATCATCGCTGTGGTTTTGGTGCGCTGTTGGACAAAGGAAGGGGGATTGATTGGAAAGGAAGAGGAAAGACGGGACGAAATTAAATGGTTATTGGCTCATGATTCACGACATCTGCTTCACGTACCCAGCTGGGTGGGATCTCGACTCGGCCACTGGCCATCGGCCATGGGGCATTGTATTCGCGTCGGATGGGAGCTGTGCGAGTATGATTATCTGCTGCGTTGGACGCATGCGATGGGAGTCAGGCATTCACATTGGCGTTGGAATAAGCATCGGCATCGCATGGCATGGCATTGTATTGCATAAGTCATAGAGCGTATGTACGTACGCATAGCGTAGCGTCCCCGACGCATAAAAGTCGGTAAATGGAATACAGTACAGAACCGCCTTTGAGGGATGGCTTGATCCGAAGACGCTGAATTCAAGAAATGAATGGCTCTGAATTTGATCTCGGTGTTCATTCTTCTCGTCGTGGCTGCAAGAAGAATACTCCTGCCTCGTTACTTCACAACGCTCGATTGCCCGGCAGTTGGAAACCAAGAAAACGCCGGGTTTGACGCCGCTCTGCTCTGGCCTGAACTCATGCAAATGCAGGACATCGTACCTTGATGGCGTGCCTGGTTGATAGAAAGCAAGGACAGATTGTCCCTTGGCTCCCACCATGGTCAGAAGCACTTCCCACCTAGTCAATTTCTCTCACAGCCAAACAGCTCTCCGCTGGCAATTCGACTCCTTTCTAGGGCCTTGCCACACGTCTCGTATTCCCAGCAGCCCCTGACTAGCAATGATCAATGACCGACCTAGTCCTCCTCATCCCATCCTGCTACAACGGCCGCCCATCCGCTTTTCACCCGCGCCACGTCGCGTCCCGTGTTCGACCTCAGCTCTCGTGCTTTAGTGAGGTCATCCTCATACCAGCATCGGGCGACGTAATCGTCCGCTATGGTGACGAGTTGCCCATTGCCTGGGATCCACGCGCAGCAGGTGACTTCCTTCCTGTGGCCGTTGATGAGGGGAGTGCCATGGTAATACATAGGCGTGGCCCCTGGATCGCTGCTGTGCAAGGCAGTGCTGTAGGTAAAAGAAGTCGGCTTTCTCGAGGCAGCAGCGCGTTGTGCGAGAGAAGGGTGGGGGAGGTGGTTTGATGCACTTGAGGCGGTGGTTGAGAAAGGTGTTCGAGCAGCTTTCGCGAGGTATCGTTCGTCGGTGGGGAAGAGGACGGCGCAATCCTCGCCTGTGCCTGCAGCCAGCAGTTCCGTGTGCTCGTCTGTCTTAGGGCGTAGGGAAAGTTTATCGTAGAATGACCCGAGGCGCAGTTTCTCGTGGCGGAAGCCATACAATGGACCCAGGCCCGCGCCAGCGCTGCGAGAGCCTTTGATCGCTTGGATTGAGGATAAATTCATTTCTGGTGAGCCGCCAAGGACAAGATGGGCGGTGGAGTAAGCATAGATGGTATTGTCCCGGCAAAGAGTGTAGAGTCTTGAGCCATCCGTGCTCATCACTATGGACGTGACGCCGAAGGGCCGGGTAAGCTCGTGACTCTTGGGCTCTGCTGTCGCTGAAACAGGAGTTGGTCGACCTGATCGCTGCTTGTACGACGCTCGCAGGTCCCATAGCTTGATGATAGCGTTGTGCTCGGAAGCCGTCGCCAACATATGCGGACGAGTGTTGCTAATAAATGCGCAGGCTGTAACTGCAAAGTCGGCTTTCGAAGATAATGGAACAGACGGACGCTTGCTGTTCATCAGCTTGACCTTGTCCCAGGGCGTATGCGCGCCGACAATCTCGGTTTGAGGTTCGACTTCTCTGCTGTTATTGAGAAAGTGCGGTGAGCGCGTCAGGGGCTTCACCTTTAACGATCCCAAGGCGTTTTGTGCACAGCGTAGATCCCACAGACACACGCTTCCGTCTCGAGAACACGTCGCCAGTATCTTGTTGCCCGAAGCAGGTTGCCATCGCACATTTTTGATAGAGCCAACATGGCCAACCAGCGTATGCGTGCCGGTACGGGTGTTCATGTCGATGATACGGCAGGTCTGGTCCCCGGACGCCGTAGCGAGGAAATGGTCGTCTGGCGAAAACTGCATATCCATGATGGCGTTGTCGTGAGGGATCATTCGACCTTCGAACTTGAGAGAGCCATCATAACCCTCCACATGTGGCCACGCTCGGTATATCTCGATTTGGCCATCTTCGTTCCCAATAGCGACAGACTCTTGCTGATGGAAGCTCGTCGCGCAGAAGGGCAATGATCGTTCCCGTGTGGTGTTGGTAGAGTTGGTGAAGACGTCGTCTGGAAGGGTATAGAAGCTTCCCGTCTCATGCTGCCACAGTTTGCTGTCGTTGGCCTGCCGAAGAAACCCTCTAGCACCTATTTGCCTGGACAGGTAACCCGCAGAGCTGCTGAGAGATGGGTACCTAGTCGTTCGTGGCCGATATGCTAATTCGTGTTCGCCCAAATACTCGTCATCTTCTTCGTCCTCATCTTCGTCGGCGTCGTCGTCCTCGTTCAACCCAAGGCATGTCCCGACAGAGCCCTTTATCCCTATCGAGCCCCCTCCCGTATCCCGTGCATTAGCTCGGTTGGCAGGTGATTTCGTGACCGGCGAAGAAGGAATTGAGGGTATGGAGCTGAAGGAAAGTCGTCTCTTCTTTGCAGGCGGTCCGTCTCCCTCGTCCGCTGCGAATGTGACTTGGTTGCCCTTGGGACGGCTGTTAAGGTTTGCTGCGGACAACTTCTGCAAGGCTTTTCGAGACGTCCGGACTGACTTGTTCTTGGTGTCTTGTAGTCTGGGATGGAAGAATTTGTGGAAGCGGTTCGGTGTGATAGAAGGGTTCTTCTTTACGCGGCTACTCCGACGAGGACTTCTGGCTTCGGTGGGCGGAGCAGGTAACTTGTCCAAGCGGACACGTCTCTCCGGCGTAGTCTGCTCCATTGCGATTGCAGGTTCTGGATGACCGGAGATATAATTCTAACACTGATGGGCGATTGCTCATCTGGCTCAAGTAGACAAGCTCATAGTGGTCGATAGCGAGAGACGGGCGAGGACGAGCGGAGTATGCAGGAGCTGTGGTAGAGATGGAAGCTGCTGGGTGGCAAGATATGGCTGAAGTGGTAGGTCCGAAGTAGATGAATGGAAGCTCTGACGTTGAAGACCAGCCTCGCGTAGCTTCGCGGTACGCGTGAACGTGCCGACCGGCGCGTTGCCGGCCAATTCCAGTTAAAGCTTAGGGGCGAGGAGGGCTCTACCCGGCGTTTAGGCGAGCCTAACCACCAACGGCTACTCCACGCCGCTAGCTGAATGCTGATTGGCGGAAAGGAATTTCTGCATGAGTTTGCTCCGCAGCCCGCAACTCGATCCAAAATTTTGTTTGCTGCCAGTTCCTGCGATTCCACGCTGGTTGAGGCTGTCGTGGATAAGCAGACACACACACCGCTGATGTGCTAAGACTGCACGACAAATATTGCTCCCTCCTCAAAATGGCTTCCGCGAAGCGCAAACCTGAAGCAGCCCCTAGCAAACAGCCCAGCAAGAGACCAAAGACGGATCTCAGCTCGAAGGCAGAGGCTTCTGTCAAGGAACAAAAAAAAGACCAGAAGCCGAAACAAGCCTCGGTTCTTACGAAAGAACAACCTGCTTTCCCTCGGGGTGGTGCAAGTCTGCTGACTCCCTTGGAACGAAAGCAAATCCGAGCCGAGGCAGCACGAGATGCGGATCGAGAACAGAAGCCGACAGAGGATCTCTTCGGAGGCGTGGATAGAGCGCTCGATAGTGAGAGTGATAAGGGTGAGAAGGTGAAATCCGAGATACAGCCGAAGCGGCGCGAGCGGCAACGAACGAAAGGCAAGAAGAAGCCCGACTCTGCTGCGGTCAGAACGAAAGCAGAAGTTCAAATCGGAGGCCTGAGCTACAAACGAATCACTACTGCCTCCCTCATCCTCGCCCAGATCACATTCATAAGCCCGCGAACTCTGACCGTCGCATTGCCCAACAATCTCGTGGGGTATGTGCCCTTGACCGCCATCTCCCCACAGTTGAGCGACAAAATCCAGGGTCTGCTCGAGAAGAATGACGATGAAAGGGACAACAGCGACGATGAGGAAGAGGAGGATGACGATATCTCCTTGACCAACTACTTCCACCTCGGTCAATATTTACGAGTGGCCGTCACTTCTACCGAGCAGGAGAGGCGAGGACAGACGTCGTCGGCACGAAAGCGAATTGAATTATCTGTGGAACCGGCCTTGACCAATGCAGGCCTGAATCGTCCGAATCTCGCCATTGGTGCCACAGTACAGGCTTCAGTGAGTAGTGTCGAAGACCACGGCTTGGCGGTCGATGTCTCACTTGAAGATGACCATGTCCGTGGCTTCGTCCCCAGCAAACAATTACCAAGCGGCTGGTCTCTTCCGGACATCAAAACTGGTGCTGTTTTTCTATGCCATGTACTGGACGCCGGCTCCGACAACAAGGTCGTCAAGCTTTCCGCTGACCTCTCCAAGTCGGCTGCGCTCAAGACTGCCCCTTCCGTCGACACGTTTCTCCCCGGTACCAAAGCCGAAATCCTTATTAGCACCATGACCGAGGCCGGGCTTAGCGGAAAGATTATGGGGATGCTGGACGTGACTGCTGATGTTTTACACTCCGGTTCTTTCCGAGACAGGGAAGCCTTCCTTGCGAAATTCCAGGTTGGAAAGAAGATTGCCGGTCGCATCATTTACAATTTTCCTCTTTCAGACAATAAAAAGCTGGGGTTCTCAGTGCTGAGGAATATTCTGGACTTGACGGATGTCCCAGAGTCGACCGACGCGGGTGCTGGAAGACTTGCATTATCGTCTACTATCGAGGCTGCCTCCGTGATTCGTGTTGAGCCGGGTCTGGGCGTCTATCTGCAGTTAGACGAGCAAAACATTGGCTTTGCTCACTTATCCCGGTTGTCAGACAAGAAGCTGGACGCTATTTCTGAGCTCAGTGGTTCCTTCAAACTTGGGTCTGAGCACAAGGCGCGGGTACTCGAATTCAACCCGGTGGACAACCTCTACATCGTCTCGCTCCAAGAGAGCGTGCTTCAACAACCATTCCTGCGGTATGAAGACGTCCCTCTTGGTGCAGTGGTCAAAGGAACAATCGAGAAACTGGTGATCGGAGAAAGTGGAGTTGAAGGCCTGTTAGTGATACTTGCGGAAGGTATAACAGGCTTTGTTCCCAAGTTGCATCTGTCTAATGTCAAGCTGGATCATCCGGAGAAGAAGTTTAGAGCCGGTCAAGCCGTTACTGCCAGAGTTCTGACCAGCAATCCTGCCCGGCGCCGCCTTCGACTCACCCTAAAGAAAGCCCTCGTTACCAATGACCAGAAAGCTTGGCTGCGGTTTGAGGATATTGAGGTCGGAGATTCTACGGTAGGGACACTGGCAAAGGTTGACGCGCTCGGCGCAGTTGTTCGCTTTTTTGGATCTGTCAAGGGCTTTCTCCCTGTGTCCGAGATGAGCGAAGCCTACATCAAAGACGCGAGAGACCACTTTCGGGTGGGCCAAGTCGTTTCGGTGAGCGCTCTCAGCATCAACGCTGCCGAGAAGCGCATGACCCTGTCGTGTAGAGACATCAACCGATCAAATGCGTCGATTGAAAGCTCGCTGTCTCGCCTGCTTCCGGGTATCATCACTAATGGCACCGTTTTCGAAAAGTCCGAGAATGATATTCTGTTGCGCTTGGAAGAAAACGACGCCATTGCACGGCTTACCCTGGACCATGTCGCCGATGGGTCGCTGAAAAAAAGGCAATCCGCCTTCAGCAATATCCGCGTCAACCAAACGCTGGAAAGCATCCTCATTCTTCAGGTGCAGCCAAAACGACGAATTGTGCTGATCTCGAACAAACGGAGCCTGGTCAGCGCAACACGGGCCGGCATGTTTCTCAAAGGTTATGAGCAATTACAACTTGGTGTCGTGGTGACTGGATACGTCAAGAACATCACAGAAGACGGCGTGTTTGTGGGCTTTGCTGCTGGCATCACTGGCCTCATTCCCAGAAGTCAAGTATCTGAGGAGAGTGAAGACCAGGAGAACTTCGGCATGACCGAGATGCAACCCGTTACGGCCAAAGTGCTCAACATCGAGTATAAGGGTGCCGCGCCCAGGTTCTGGCTAACAATGCGTGAAGCTGGTCCAGTGACGAAGTCTGAGGTCCCACCCACGGAGCCGGCCTCGTTCAAACTTGTGAATCCCGTCGATGCCAGCCTCACGATTGTCACTGATGTCTCAGTCGGCATGAAAACAAAAGCTAAAGTTATCTCAGTCAAGGACACCCAAATCAACGTCGAGCTAGCAAAGGACGTACAAGGACGCATTGACGTCTCAGAAGTCTTCGACGAGTGGAAGGACATCAAGGACAGGAAAAAGCCGCTGAAGCCGTTCTATCCGCAGCTGGAATTGACCGTTCGTGTGCTTGGTGCCCATGACACAAGAAACCATCGGTTCCTCCCCCTTACGCATCGGAAGGGGAAGAATACCGTCTTTGAGCTGACATGCAAACCAAGCTCGATCGCGACCGAGAAGCTGCCCCAGTTGGCGTTGCAAGATATGACGGTGGGGTCATCTCACGTCGCCTTCGTCAATAATATCACCGACGACTGTGTCTGGGTCAACATCTCGCCTACTATTCGTGGCAGGATTCGGACCATTGATATCGCGGACGATTTGTCTCTGGCCGCTAACTTGCCTCGCAACTTCCCTTTGGGCTCCGCCGTGCGCGTTCGCGTCCTCGCCGTCGATCCTGAGAAGGGACATCTGGACTTAACAGCCCGGTCCGACGGTACTGCAGGCTCACTGGACTACGGTAATATTGCCCTGGGGCTTGTCCTTCCAGGTCGGGTCACCAAAGTCACCGATCGTAATATCTTCGTCCAACTCAGTGAGCACGTCGCTGGCTCAGTCGAGTTGGTCGACATGGCAGACAACTACGACGAAGCCAATGCTGCCAAATACCAGAAGAACGATATCATTCGAGTCACCATCGTGGCTGTCGATGTACCAAACAAGAGGGTTAGCCTCTCAACAAGACCCTCAAAAGTCCTCAGCTCTTCGATGGGAGTCGTGGATCGAGAGATCGCCTCTGTCAATCGAGTCGCCGTCAACGATATTGTTCGCGGGTTCGTCAAGAATGTGAGCGACCAGGGGGTCTTCGTTACACTTGGCCGTGGCGTGGTAGCGTTTGTTCGGATCAGCAATCTGTCAGACAGCTATCTCAAAGAATGGAAGGACCATTTCCAGCGGGATCAACTAGTCAGAGGCCGGGTCATCATGGTTGACGAGGCTTCTGGGCAGATTCAGATGAGCTTGAAAGAGTCAGCTCTGAAGCCCGATTTCAAGCTGCCTATCACGTTTAACGCCTTGAAGGTCGGGGATCTCGTGACGGGCCAAGTTGTCAATGTCCAACCCTTCGGTGTCTTCATCCTTGTGGACAACTCTGAGAAAATCCGTGGGCTGTGTCACCGCAGTGAAATCGCCGAGCAGCGAGTCGAAGATCCCGGCAACCTATTCGCAGTAGGAGACAAAGTGAAAGCCAAAGTGCTGAAACTGGATCCTGCGACTCGCAAGGTCAACTTTGGCATGAAAGCGTCCTATTTTAACGATCCCACTGAGGAGGAGGCAGAAAGCGACGCTGACTCTGAGAGCCAAGGTGGCGCAATTCTCGACGCCGAAATGCCGGACGCCGAGGCCGATGATAGTGGGTCCGACGACGAGGTAGATGAACCCGAGTTGGGGGACGATGACAGCCATGTGGGTGGAGACGACGAGGTTTCAGACATGTTAGACATACAAATCCACCCAGATATCAACGACACCGAAGATGAAGATGAAGACGGAGCCACAGCCATGTCCGCAGAGGCTTCGAAAAGCACAGCTCTCTCCGTCGGCGGTTTCGACTGGACGGGTCTTCGACCTGCACCAGCAACTTCGAGCAAGCGTCTCGCAGAAGCATCCGACTCCGACGCCGATACTCCCAAGAAAAAGCCCAAGAAGAAAAAGAACCAGCCAACCATGGACGTGGACCGCACCGCCGACCTGGATGTCAACGGTCCTCAATCTGCCGACGATTTCGAGCGCCTTCTCCTTGCTGAGCCCGACAACTCCGTCCTCTGGCTCCGGTACATGGCCTTCCACCTCGATTTGGGCGACATTGACGCCGCGCGAGCAATCGGAGAACGCGCCCTCCGCACCATCACCGTCGGACTCGAGGACGAGAAGTTCAACGTATGGGTAGCTCTGCTCAATTTGGAGGTCCACTTCGGCGACGACGAAAATGTCGAAGAGGAGACGTTCCGTAGAGCATGTGAAGTGAATGACCAGCAGGAGATTCACGCCCGTCTGGCCAGCATCTACATCAAAGAGGGCAAGTTCGGCAAGGCGACCGACCTGTTCGAACGCATGATCAAGAAATTCGCCCAGGACCCCAAAGTCTGGGTCAACTACGCGTCCTTCCTGCTCGACAAGATGGGCGACAACACCGGTCGCGAAAAGGCGCACGCACTCCACGCCCGCGCCCTGCAGACGCTTCCCAAATTCACGCACTTTGAGACGACAAAGTCGTTCGCCCGCCTGGAGTTCACGTCCGCGCACGGCCTGCCCGAGCGGGGCCGCACCTTGTTCGAGGGCCTGATTGCTGCGTTCCCCAAGCGCGTGGATCTCTTCGACGTGCTGCTCGATCTGGAGATGAATGTCACCAAGGACGACGAGCAAGTCCGGGCTACGTTTGAGCGCATCTTCACACTCAAGTTGAAGCCCAAGCAGGCGAGGAGTTTCTTCAAGCGCTGGGATCGGTTTGAGACGGACAAGGGGGACGAGAGGCGCGTCGAGGCTGTCAAGGCCAGGGCCGCCGCGTGGGTCAAGGAGAACGCAAATGCGAAATCGAGTGACTAGGATGGGGAATGAGGAAGGTTTATGGTGGGAGTCGCCTACGTGATGGAGACTGTTCGTGCATAGAAGACACCCAAGTAGAACGTAGATACGGAGTACATTATCAGCCACTGGCATCAGCACTCACCCGGCACCAGTAAGCTCATCATTAGCCTTGCTCGGCGATATTGTTTTTGTCCAGAGAATGAATTTAGCGTGAGAATCTGTCATTTATCCGCCAAAGGGGTATCTATCCAAGTATCGACCGCGTTAGGGGGCAATATCGTCCCAGGTCCTCGCCTCCAGGGTATCTAACATATCCAAGCATCGACTGCATTAGCCAGAATATCGTCTCAAGTCCTCGCCTCCAGGGGATCCACTGTATCCAACCATCGGCCGCATCAGCCGCAATATCGTCCCTGGTCCTCTCCTCCAGGGTATCCCCAGGGTATATATATATATCTCTTTCTAAGATATGAGTAATAGTAGTAGTCTGAGAAATTCGTGTAAATCCATCGCTGCCAACAATGCCAACAAGGTCAATAGGGAGTCAATCCCACGGGCAACGGTAACCGTCTTCATCTCCTGCCTTTCTTCCCCCCAGCAGTACTGGTGCCCTGCTCTTCAATCACCCTCTGCAGCATCTCCCTTGCCTGCCTCTCGCGCTTAGTGAAGCCGCCGCTAAACGTAGGATGCACGAGCTTCGCCGAGTTGGCGTGCTTCTCGGCAAACTCCGGCCCTTGCCAACCTTTGTCTCGACAGCACGCGACGGCTTCCTCCAGCAGGCCCTGCCCAATGCCCTTGCGGCGGTAGCGGCGCTTCACCGTCCACGCGCGGATCTGCCCGACGGTGGGGGCTGCATTTTTGCGTGATCTGCCGCCGCCGGGTGACGGGTCGCGAACGCCGCGCAGGACGATCGCCCCGATGACTTCGTCGCCGTAGCGTGTGAGGAGGATGTCGTCGTGCGAGCCGACTATCTCGGTGTCGGAGTGGGAGTCACCGCCACCGCGCCCTTCGTCGAGCCACTTCCACGTCCCCACCCGCTCGGCCTCGAAGATGTACCCGCCCGTGAGCCACCTCACGGTGATGAGCACGGCCATGAGGATACCCGCCGAGGTGGTCCCGACGAGTGCCCAGTCCGAGTACGACCCCTTGTAGAGGTTCTGGTAGGCCAGGCCGAAGAGCAGGACCAGCGCGCAGAGTGTGAGGGGGTGGAATATGATGGCCGTGGAGGCCAGTTGGCGTTGTTGGGCGACCGAGTCGGCGATCAGGTGCAGGGCTTCGACGCGGTCGTCGTCGGTCGCGGCAGGCTTGGTCGTGAGCTCGGGGAGCGAGGCGAGTGCGGCAACGGTGGAGTCGTCGTCATTGTTGGCCATTTCTGAATGCCAGTAGGAGTGGCACTGTGGTGAGGGGGCAGTAGAATTGAGAGTGCCTGAATTCCCTGGACTCGTCCAGTCCGCTGGGTGGAGGATGTCTGGAGGATTTGCGACGGACGAGGTATGTTCGAGGTCGAGGAGGATCAAGTTTGCTCGGAGGGTGGTGAAGAAAGCTGTGTTTGGGCAGATGATCTGTTAGAGAGCTGTTTCCAGTGCGATACTCTTACTATTGTCGTGTGGTGTGCTTGCTCACCGGCAGAAGTTTTGAACCCGGGGATGCGGTCACGGATCGCGAAAGCCCGGGAGCGCCCAACCTCCTGGAACAGGGAAGTCGAAGTGGCCAAGAATATGGCCGACTTGACCGCGAGGAGCGAAGTGGGCGCAGTCGCGGCGGAGAAGGCAGGGCTTGGCGGCGAGGGAGGAGAGAGGTAGAGGTGGTCAGGAAGACGAAGGGGGTGGTGGTGATTCTGATGGTGCCGGCCCATCGAGAACAAAATTCGGTGACGCTGCCAAAACTGGCATTGGCATGTTCAAGCAAAGCACCGAACCAGCGGCAACGGCGGGCCACAAGCTCGCGTGGCCCCCGAATCCAAAGTGACAAAAACTCTAGGGTAGCACGCGGGCGGGCAGCGCGTGGCCCGAAAAGAAGAAAAGGAGCGCCGCCTGGAACCAAGCGGGCTGCCACCTGGGGACCTACAGCACCAGGCAGAGGGCGAGGGGAAAAAAATAATAATACGAGGGGAAGAATATCGGAGGTGACGAGGGGCGACGGGGTGGATATTAATTAGCAGGAGTTTGAGACGGGCACGTGGACATGTTCTTCAGAGGCACTGGCCCGAGAGGATGGTGAACGATCGATGACTACGGAGTAGGCGTCACGCTGGTTTTGTACTCATCTCCATCGTCGCTCAGCATCGACGATGGGTACAATCCTCCCCTCCCGTGCCTGGGCTTATCGTAAGAGGGGTTTGACACAGTGCCAAGCGCCCCCTGATAGCGACTGCTGATACAGAGACCGCCGCGATTGGGCTCATGGTTGATCTTGCCCTGTTCCTGATCAGAGAACCAACCATAACAAGCCTCGCGGGCTGTCGCAATTGTATTCTCGGTAAAGCTAACCAAGCCTCGACTCTTCTTACACAGTAGACACTTGCACACGTCAAGTGATGGGTGTGGTGTTGAGTGCGCCTGACCCACTGGTCGTGAGTCAAAACTATGCGTGCCACGACCTGACCGCATCTAGAACTGCGTTGGATGCAAACGGTGCTCGACCAAGGCTGCGTTGTCGCGTGCCCCCTAGTATGACCGGCCGAACAAGCACCATTTCTCGGCGAGATTCGAGCACTGAGGATTGGTGCACTTGGTGACTCCCTTCTCAATCCCTTCAGGCTGATCGAACGGAATGCAAAGACTCTTTGCACCCATACTCGGAGCACGATCATCTTGGGCAACACCGCTTTGTTCCTCAGCTTTGCGTGCGCTCATATCTTTGATTTGGTCCTCGCAAGGCTCCGTCAGGCAGTGGGGGATCAAAATGACATTCTTGTCGTTCAATGCCGGGACGAATTCTTCCCAGTCTGTGATTTTCTTGATATGTGACCTGAATTTGGCATCGGCTCGGTCGTAAAGATCCTTCTGGATGGTGTCCAGGAGCTCGGGAACTGCCGTGTTGAGTTCACTGATAGCGATCTGACCTTTGCTCTCGGCTTTAGGAAGGTCTCGACGGGACGTCGTGACAAAATGGCCCTTACTCTCTCCCGGTCCAAACTCAAGGCGCAGCGGGACACCCTTCAACTCCCAGTCATTGAATTTCCACCCCGGAGAGTATCCCTCTCGGGAGTCAGCTTGGACCCGGATCTTGACGGCCTTGAGCACTTCTACAAGTCCATCAATCTCCTTGTACAGTGCCTCTCTGTCTTCTTCGGTGGTCTTGGCCGTCACTCCAACGGGGACAATAACAACCTGAGTTTCGACGACTCGAGGAGGGAGCACCAGACCCCGATCATCACCATGAATCATGACCATGACGCCGATGACTCGAGTCGACAAACCCCAAGAATTTTGCCACACAAACAGTTGGTTCTTCTTGTCTTCTTCCGTCTTCGCGTTGGGATCCTGGACCGTGATGCCGAACATCTTGCTGAAGTTCTGACCCAAGCAATGCGATGTGCCTCCCTGGATGCCCCGACCCGTGGCTGGAATGTATCCTTCGACGGTTGTCGTATACAGGCCTCCGGCGAATCTCTCCTTGTCTGTCTTCTTGCCCTTCATAACCGGCACCGCCAGCAGCTCTTCGTAGACTCCGGCATAAAGGTCAAGGATCTCCAGCACCTCCTTGCCGGCCTCTTGTTCAGTCAGGTGCGCCGTATGGCCTTCTTGCCAGTGAAACTCTCGAGTACGTAAGAACGGCTGAGGATGCTTGAATTCCCATCGCACGACCGAGTTCCATTGATTGAGCTTCAGAGGGAGGTCGCGGTGGCTCTGGATCCATTTGGCATAGTATGGGTACATGACGGTTTCGGAAGTAGGGCGGATCGCGATCTTCTTCTCCAGCTTAGTGCTACCCCCGTGGGTGACCCAAGCAACCTCAGCAGCGAAGCCTTCGATGTGGGACTTTTCGCGATTCAGAACCTCCTCGGAGACGAACAGTGGGAAGGAGCAGTTCTTGACCCCCATCTTCTTGATCCTCGAGTCGAACCAAGCTCGGACTTCGTCCCAGACGTATTGAGAGGCTGGCTTGAGGATATAGCACCCGGAAATATCGTAGTAGTCGAGCATGTCTCCCTTGAGCAGCACTTGCTGGTACCACTCTGGGAAATCGACGTCCTTGGAGACATCAATGCCTATCAGGGCGGCGCCCTCCATCTTCTTCTTCTTTCCTCCACCTCCTGCTTTCTGAGGCATCTTAGCTTCTTGCTTGCCAATCGGCTTTTCAGGTTTCGCCTTCCCCATTTTGCCTTCACTCTCGGTTTTCGGCTCTTTCTCGCGCGTAGGAATTTCGGTCTTGGAGGGGTTTCTGGAGTGCGACATTTGGTCAAGGGCTTGTCGTTACAGAAAAGCGAATGGTAAATTGATCAGAGGTGGATTGCGCTCAACAGCCACCTTCAACCGCTGGGTGAGTGCCTCGCACGGTGAAGAGTTGGGGGACAATGGATTTCTCACTCTTTGGTGACCTGACACACAACCAAATGTCCGCAGTCCAGCCCCGCCGACGCGATTGTGAGTCGAAAGTCGAGGTGGGGATCAATCCCGTGACACGGGAGCAAATATTCCTTGGCATGTTTGGCGCGTCTTCAGTTGATAAGTCGCGTGTCCCGACCTGATGAACTGATGGCCAAATGAAACTGGGGCTGCAACATGACAATGGGCCAAGAACGCAACTGTGCGTCACGATGCGTCGCGGTCCTTCCACTTCAAAGAAAGCGTGCAGGTTGTCTGAAGAGGAGACACTGGTGTTGATAGGTCTTCGGCCGCCGTCACGACTCTTCTCATCGAGTCCGAGGCCGGTATATCTGAAGTCGCCTGCGCTGTGGAACGGTACCATCAGCCCGTCTTCTCACATTCTAAAAGGCTATGCGCACGCGAGTAAAAGCTGACAGCCTTGTCCTCCGTTCAGCACGTGCGTGACATTCACCAAGGGACGGGCAAGCCAAGTTCCGTGGGAATGTGCTTCACGTGCCTTGGCGCATTCACCTCCATAATGAGATGCGCCAGGTCTCGGCAAACCGATCCTTGAGGCATGTCTCCCGTTGTGGGCGGGAACCATCAATCTCGCTATGGTTCGCAATGGTGCATCGGACGTGGTGTCAGGGCCCGATCAAATCCAAATCTCTCGCCTCTCACAACAAGAGCTGGCATGCGAACAATCCGATTGGATAGGTCGAGCCCTACCTTCCTACCACAGTATACTGCGCGATGCAACCTTGCTCGTACCCGCAAGAACATGTGGTGATGCCGCTCGGGCGCTCTCTGCTACTCGCCGACCACCTGTCAAGAATGATCCATGGGCGCAGCACGTTGTCCGATGGTCTTCCGCCAAGTCCTGCCAAGCCGGCGGACTTGACTCTCGCTGCCAGGCGAACCAAACGGATCACTTGATCGAGGAACAAGGCGATATGCCCCGATTGGGAACGAACCAACCGTCTGGCTCATATCAAGAACGTGCGCTCGCTTTTCCTGCCTTCTGTTCGACCTGCTTGCAGCCGCCACCATATAAATTCATATTCCTTCAGACTTTTCCAGGCCATCTCAGCCGCCAAGCCCGCTGGAGTTACAGCCAAGCTTCTCGAAGCCGAGAATGCTGCTTGAAGTTGCTTCTCTTGTCTTGGGATGTGGGTTATCTTGGTCTTGGCTGTAGCTTTGCCCCGTCCTTCGCGGGCGACAAGCCCTCTGAACCATGTCTAGATCAGTCCCGCTCCTGGGCACAGCCCCCAGTGCGGCGACGGCGTTGCCCGAACCATTGACAACAACCTGCTGATGGAGCGTTCTGCACGGATCAGTTGCGTCTAGTAGAAGAAGAAAGCGATGGTGGTCGCGTTCGATGGGGCGAGTCAGCAACCTCGAATCCGCTACAGCCGTGGGACACCTTTGCCGTGCAAGCGATATACTCTTTTCTTAGCGTGACAGCCAAATATCGTTCGACATAAAAGACCTGTCCAACCCTCTGTCTCGAACCTATCCTCTGTACCCGATCAAACTCAACAAGACCGATTGAGATCGCCGCTGGGCACGATGGCAGTCCTCTCCGAGTACAATTATGTCTTTGCCATTGGCACCTTGTTTGCCTTGCTTGATGCTTACAACAACGGCGCCAGTGAGTTCACAGGCGTACCTGTTTAACTCTGAGGACAGTACTGACTGGTTTGACAGACGATGTTGCAAACAGCTGGGCTACCAGTGTCTCGTCACGATCCGTTACCTACCAACAGGCCATGGTCCTCGGTGCCGTTTTCGAAATGCTCGGAGCCATCACCGTCGGTGCTCGGACCGCCTCCACGATCAAGAACAAGATTATTCCCCTCGACGCCTTCCAAGACAACGCCGGTGTTCAGATGCTTGCATTCACATGCGCCCTTGCAGGTGCCTCAATGTGGGTTATGTGGTGCACTCGACATTCAGCTCACGTCTCCTCCTCCTACTCACTGATCTCTGCTGTCGCTGGCGTCGGTGTCGCGACCGCCGGAGCTGCTCAGGTCGAATGGGGCTGGAACGGCGGCCAGGGCCTGGGTGCCATCTTCGCTGGTCTGGGTCTGGCCCCACTAATTTCTGGTGGTTTCGCGGCGACCATCTTCATGCTCATCAAACTCATTGTGCATCTCCGCAAGAACCCAATGCCGTGGGCGGTGTACACCTCGCCCTTCTTCTTCCTCGTTGCCGGAACGATCTGCACGCTGTCCGTTGTCTACAAAGGTTCACCAAACCTTGGCTTGAACAAGAAACCCGCGTGGTACATCGCCTCGGTCACACTCGGCGTTGGTGGCGGTCTGTTTGTGCTGTCCGCCATCTTCTTCGTCCCCTGGCTGTACGCTAAGACCATCAAAAAAGATCATACCATTCGATTCTGGCACCTGCCACTGGGTCCCATGCTCTGGAGGCGACCAGCACCTGCCGAGGTCCATGAGCATGCCAACGTTCCGGACTACGCTGTCATTCAGAAGGATCACGACGATGACTCTACTCACTCCAGCGAAGTAGGTGTCAAGGTCGGAGGCAATGTAACCAAGGTCGGCGTCCAGGCTACACCAGAGAAATCATCGCACGACCGAAGCCTCGCTGAGGCTGAGGCTGCCACTCCACAGATGTCCTACAAGGAGCGCGTGGCCGAAGCTCAAGCGCGGTTCCACGCCAAACTTCGCAAGAAGAGAGGTCCTCTCGGCTGGGCCATGCGCATGCTGCACAACAACCCCCTTGCTCCCGGCGAAATCTATGAGCTGAAGAACATCAAGATCATTCTCAAGCGCATTCCCGCCATGATCACGGTCGCCGCTCTCTACGGCGTCAACTACGATATCCACGCTGCGCAGACTGGTATTCACGGCACGCCTGAAGGCCGCCGTATGGAGCGAGTGTACTCTCACGCCACCAAGTACCCCAACGAGGTGGAGCATACCTACTCGTACATCCAGGTCATCACCGCCTGCACTGCCTCGTTTGCCCACGGCGCCAACGATATCGGCAACGCAGTCGGACCCTGGGCGGTCATCTACTCGGCCTGGAAAACCGGTGATGCCGCCAAGTCCAGCGCTGAGGTTCCCATCTGGCAGCTTGCCGTGCTCTCTGCGACACTCTCGGTCGGTCTGATCACCTACGGCTACAACATCATGAAAGTCATGGGCAACAAGATCACCTACCATTCACCATCTCGCGGTTCTTCCATGGAGATGGGCGCCGCCATCACCGTCCTCCTCTTCTCGCAATACAAGCTGCCCGTCTCTACTTCCATGTGCATCACGGGCGCGACCGTCGGCGTCGGTCTCTGCAACGGCACCTGGCGAGCAGTCAACTGGCAGCGAGTCGGTCTTTTGGGCTTCTCCTGGCTCATGACCATTCCCGTTGCTGGCACCCTAGCAGGTTGTATCATGGGCGTTGTCCTCAATGCTCCTCACTTCCTGTCGTAGACCTGGATATTTCGGCTTTCCTCTCAAACGGCACTTAATTCACACAAGGTTACAGATATGTCCTGCCTGTACCCGGGTACTCCCGATTTCCCCCGGTCGACCTGGGTGAGACGTCATATAATCAGGGGTTCTTATGAACGGACATAGGTGATGATGACTACTATAGCAAGAATTATCCCTAATGACACATTTCTGTACGATGTACACACACGCTTGTCACATGTCTGCATGAGTAGTAACCTAGTGGCTATGCTAGAACTTAACTTGGCATTCGGTTCTCATCAAGTACGGTATGATCATATGGTTGGACCAACCATGGAGATAGTATTGAGTCATTACTCCAAACGGAAACTACGAACCATAAAGAGTATGCTGCAGTTGCGCGGCTGCTGCCTGCCGACGAGGCATGGCAAGGTAAAAACTGATTTGATTTTTTTCAGGTCCTCTCGCTTGCTCTTTCTGTGTCTTCTACTATTTAAATGTCGGCTTGTTTGCCGCGCGCAGGAACTGTCGCCCTTACAATCACCATTGCCGACAGGGACGGGTTCTTTACACTATGTCGTGCTCGCCTATGCCACAGCGCACAGCTGTCGCCGAGCTGCTGCTCGTATCGCCAATAGCACTCAACCGGCTTGACCTCTCCTCGTCGAGAAGACGCCGAATCACGCCCACAGCCGAAGCAACGTCCCCAAGGAGAGTCGCAATCATCACCAGGCCCGGGGTCATAACCCCTTCGCTCAACAGCATAGATCGCTCCAGGTTCCCGCATCCGCTTGGATGGTCCAGTCGGGCCGAGGTGGCTCATATCGGTAAGGACTTCGTACTCTCTCCTACAGAATGGCAATACTAACATAGTGGTTTAGACCAGCGGGTATCTCTTTACAAAGCCACCACCGTCCCCAACTCGCTACACCAAAACATGGCAACACATGACCCCCAAGAACCACCGCCGGCGCGGCACCTCATTTTTTCCTTTGACCTACGGGAAAAGTTCGACCCCTCGAGTGATCCCGAAAAGCGAGACATTCTCTGGAACATATTTCCCGGAACCATTGGCATTGGTAGCGACGGGTGGTTCGTGTACCTTCAACTACGCACGCTACCGCCGAAACCGTGGCCACTTACCGTCGCCGGAGTTCCACTTTACCTCCACCTAAAGCTCGGCCAAAATCCCCTACCACCAGCAAGGCCTGTCTCTTGGAAGAATGGCTCCATCGCTGAAGACCAAGATGGGAAGTATATGAAGGATTGGAAGCCGCTCTTCCTTGCCATCAAGGACCATTTCCAGGACCTCCGCATCCCCATTACAGAGGTCATGTATCTTGGCAACGTGGTGGTCATTGTCTTGAAGCACCGCGATACTGATACCGACACACTGCCGTGCCGCGCAGCGAAGATCGGCTGTAACTACTTGTTCGAGGATGAAATGGGGAGACCGTCGGCACTGCACGCAAGCCGTCTTACTGATCCTGCTCCTGGGAATCCGGACGTCAGCCAATACGACACTCTGCAGCCAGGTTTGAGGGTGGCATCTTCCTACCTGCCAAGCAGCTCCGCCACATTTATGTCGACGACAACTGGCGTTCTTCTGAGGGACGGAGTTGGCAATGAATTCATGACTGTGGCCGCCCATGGCTTCCCCAGCCAATGTGGGACGCAAGTTTTTCATGCGTTCCCGGGTATCGGCCGCGACGTTGGCGAGCTCGTTATGGAAGTTTCTCACACAGACATCGCCCTGGTTAAGTTGAAAGACACGGAAAAATTCTCCAACATCACCTTTGAGAGCGATAGAATCCCAGAGCCTATCCAGCTCAAGCAATTGGCTCCGACTGCCAGCTGTCCACGCTTCAGTCTTGTATGCCTCGATTCACCCGATACAGGCTTCATCGAGGGCCAATTCATGTGGAGCTCGTTCCAGGCAATCCCTAGTGACGACGAATCAGCAGAACAGGACTGGGTCTTTACGACCTGGAGCTACATGGGCCAAGACGCAGCAATGAAATTTCCTGAAGAGATGTGCGGTAGTTCTATTTGGAGCGAGGACGGGAATGTCTTGGGCTTTTTCAGATACGCTCCAAAGGAAGGGTTGATGAAGGATTGGTGCGTGGGACTTGCCGCTGATGAGCTCATCAACCGAGGCTATACGCTGGTCAATACGAGGGATAGAACATAAAGTTCTGAGTCGTTGCAAAGTGGTCAGCGCTGTGCTCAGGCTGACCAGGGCAGGGCGCAGGACAAACTGGCTGGTGCTCAGGCTGGGAAACGGATATGGACCTGGAAGGGATTAAGATTCGGGAAGGTATGCTCTGTGTAGGTGACCGACACAAATACGTGTCCAACAGAAGTCGTCCAGTGCATCCTTTCTAGCTCGTTCGCTGCATAACCAAATCTTCGCAAGGCCGGTCTCATTTGAAACCATGTCGTGTTGGCCGTCCTCGAAATCACCTCGTCTTTATCGCTTCCTCAAGTATGTGAAAGGGTTGCATAGACAATAACGTGGTCCTCGAGGTCGTTTGTCAAGCTAAGTCTGTCCTGGTCGACGAATTGCAGCAGGCACATCGTGTTGGGCATGGCGCCGGCTACAAAGGGGAAAAAACTCCCAAGAGCACATGGTTGCCCGTCGAAGCAGGAGGGGTGGGGTCCTCGCAGATATCGAGCAGAGGCCGTAAAAGACCGCTGTTGCCCATGTTGCTTTTTTTTAGGAGACATTGCGTAGAACGAAGAGTAATCTGCCGCTCATGAGACGGTATCGAGGATGCCTTCCAACAACGGTTAGCTCTCCGGGCGGTACCCGCCTTTTATGTTAGCCACGAGCAGTTAGTTGCCTAGGTAGGTGGCAGCTTTGCTGCAGAAAAGCAGCAAACATGCCAAGGCGTCTATGATAACGGGCACGTGATGATAAGTCTGCCCGAAGTGCGTTCTCCATGAAGGCGCGTCCCCGTACCTGCGACCGTCAGGATATTTTCCTCAACCCCCCGTCAACAACATCTTGTGGCTTCTAACCTAAACAGCTGACAATCTTAGAGACACCTCGCAATGGCTGGCATCTTTGAGGGCTCGCGCATCGGTGGGACTCTATTTCTCGGGGGCACAAAGCTCAGCGGGCAGGACATTCGAGATCAAAATGTCCTCGCGACGCAAGCAATCGCCAATGTGGTCAGGACTTCTTTTGGACCCTCAGGTCTGGACAAGATGATGGTCGACGACATTGGCGATGTCACAGTCACAAATGACGGCGCTACGATCCTGAGTCTCCTCGACGTCGAGCATCCGGCCGGCAAGATTTTGGTCGATTTGGCGCACCAGCAGGACAGAGAGGTCGGTGACGGAACCACGTCCGTCGTGCTTGTCGCTGCCGAACTCCTCCGACGAGCGAACGAGCTCATGAAGAACCGAATACACCCCACTGTCATTATCACTGGGTATCGTCTGGCGCTACGAGAAGCGGTCAGATACATGCAAGAGAATATCAGCACAAAAGTCGAGTCCTTAGGCAGGGAAAGCCTGATTAACATTGCAAAAACCTCAATGTCGAGCAAGATTATTGGCGCGGATGCAGACTTTTTTGCGAACATGGTGGTCGACGCCATGCAGGCGGTTAAATCGGTCAACCAGCAGAAGAACGAGATCAAATATCCTGTCAAGGCCGTCAACATCCTAAAAGCGCATGGCAAGAGCGCCACGGAATCAATCCTGGTCAAGGGCTATGCACTAAACTGCACAGTTGCATCGCAGGCTATGAAGACGAGAATCACCGATGCAAGGATTGCCTGCCTGGACGTGAACTTACAAAAGGAACGGATGAAGCTTGGAGTCCAGATCACCGTCGAAGATCCCCAGCAGCTGGAAAAGATTCGAGAGCGAGAAGCAGGCATCGTCTTGGAAAGAGTAGACATGATCCTCAAGGCTGGTGCCAACGTAGTCTTGACCACGAAGGGCATCGACGACTTGGTGCTCAAGCTCTTTGTGGAACGTGGCTGCATGGGTGTCCGAAGATGTAAGAAAGAAGATTTGAGGCGAATCGCAAAGGCCACCGGAGCTACCCTTGTCAGCACGCTATCCGACCTGAACGGCGATGAGAAGTTCGAGAAGGAATTTCTCGGTCACGCCGACGAAGTTGTTCAGGAACGAATATCAGATGACGAGTGCATTCTGGTGAAGGGCACCAAGGCCTTCTCTTCGGCATCGATCATCCTTCGAGGCTCCAACGATTATCAGCTCGACGAGATGGAGCGTTCAGTGCATGATTCACTGTCTGCCGTCAAGCGGACTCTGGAGTCAGGCAGCATAGTACCTGGTGGTGGCGCCGTTGAATGCGCGCTGTCTATCTACCTTGAAGAGTTTGCCATGACCGTGTCCTCGCGCGAGCAGCTGGCTATTGGAGAGTTCTCCCAATCGCTTCTGATTGTCCCGAAAACACTGGCGGTCAATGCCGCGAAAGATGCTTCCGACCTGGTGGCTCAGCTACGTGTGCGGCATGCGCTGAGCCAGAGAGTCCAGGAAGGCGAAGCCAATGAAAGAGAAAAGGATATTGCGAAGAAGCGACAGTACAAGAACTATGGTCTGGATCTGATGCGAGGCAAAGTGACAGATGTCGTGAAGATGGGTGTCCTCGAGCCAAGCATGAGCAAGGTCAAACAGCTCAAAAGTGCCGTCGAGGCCTGCATTGCCATCATGAGGATTGACACTCTGATCAAACTCGATCCTCCCGAGTCACGAGACGACGATGGCCACGGGCACTGAAGGGACTCATAGTCACTACGCACAACCCAAGGCACAACGCAATAAGACGCGTCACGATCGATATGAGGATTATGTCTGATCTGCCTCGGACCTTCAATCCCTCCCTCCAGTCTGGCCAGGGACGAAGAGGACGGTGGGGACTTTGCTGCAGCGGCCAGTATGCGTGTCATGATTGGGGTCAGAAAGTGGCCCACACTTTGGACCTCGAGCCCGCTGCTCGAAGGTCATGCTGTGGTAGGCAGAGGATGTCCTCATGTGGTCGGGAACGATGTCAATGTCTGATGACCAATGTGGCGATGGTGAAGGAGCGCGTTGCTGGTGAACGAAGCGTGCCCAAATGGAAAAGAATGCAGGCCAATAGAGATGCATTAACATCTTCTCTCGGTCGTGAAGCTGCTGATAGTCCATCTGCTGACGATGCGCAACACTGAGCGAGTACCTCTGTACCTAGCGTCTTGCAGCCTAGCGGAGACAGAGCATACGCATATCCACAGCCGCGGTTGTGAAGCACATTTGCAGGCACTTTCCTCGTCCTCCTCTTCTTCTCTTGTTCTATGAAAATCTTGTCAGCTCCAAGAGAATTTTGTGTCAAGTGAGCAAACTAGTAGTGCTACCTCGTGTATCGACAAGGCCGACCCAGCTTTGCGAACCCCTCTTTGCGACGTAGTCTGACAAGGCTGAGCCAGCCTCGCGACACCCCTCCTCGCCACACAGTTTCTCCAACTGCGGGACATTTTCTTCATCATTCAGTCTCTCGCGGCACAGACCAGATCCTATCTCTATACAATTCACCACTCTCTCTGATAAAATCTACCCACCATGCCCGGCGAGGTCATCACCACCATCTCCCCCACCACCAACAAACCGATCCTCACCCGGCATGGCCTGTCGCCGCCAGAAATCCTCCAACTCGGCACCACGGCCCAAGCGGCGTTCAAAGCATTCCGCAAATCCCACGCCTCCCTCTCCAGTCGACAACAGATCATCGCAAAAGCACTAAGCCTCGTACTCGAGAAGCAAGATGTTCTCGCCCGCGAACTGACGGAACAAATGGGCCGGCCCATAGCGTACACAGCCAAGGAAATCACCACGGCCGTCAAACGCGCAGAGTACATGAACAGCATTGCGCCGGAGGTTCTGTCGCAGGACGCCACCATCCCCGGCCAGCCCGAAGAAGGGTTCAAGCGCTACATCACGCGGCGGGACCCCGTGGGCGTGGTTTTGGTCATCTTCGCGTGGAACTACCCTTACCTGATCCTGGTGAACAGCCTGATCCCCGCGCTGCTGGCAGGGTGCAGCGTGATTCTGAAACCGAGCCCGCAGACGCCCACGGTCGTCGAACACGTCGTCGACATCTTCGCCCAGGCGGGCCTCCCGCGCGACGTGATTCAGTACCTGCACTGCGGCAACCCGTTGGATCTGAGGCCGCTGATCACCTCCGAGGACGTCAACCACATCTGCTTCACGGGTAGTGTGGCCGCGGGGATCGCGATCCAGACGCTCGCCGCGACGCGGGTATCATGCTCGGTCGGGCTAGAGCTGGGCGGCAAAGACCCCGCGTACGTGCGCCGGGACGTGGACGCCGCGTGGGCGGCCGAGGAGATTGTCGACGGCGCGATCTTCAACTCGGGCCAATCGTGCTGCGCGATTGAGCGCGTGTACGTGCACGAGGATGTGTACGACAAGTTCGTCGACGCAGCGAAGACAATCCTCGCGGGATATCGGCTCGGCGATCCGCTGGACGAGTCCACACAATTGGGCCCCGTGGTCTCGCGGCGCGCGGTGGAAACTATTCGCGCACAAGTCGCCGATGCGCTTGCCAAGGGCGCAAAAGATGAGACTCCGCAGGGAGTCGAGTCCTTCACTTCGCCCCAGGGGCCGAGCGAGGGGAATTGGGTGCCTCCTACGTTGCTGACGCACGTCAATCACAGTATGGCTGTCATGCGCGAGGAAACGTTCGGCCCCGTCATACCCGTCCAGAAGGTCGGCTCGGACGAGGAGGCCATCGCGCTGATGAACGATAGCCAGTTCGGCCTGACGGCGTCGATCTGGACCAAGGACGTGGCTCGTGGGGAGGAATTATGTGGCCAGGTCGAGGCCGGGACCGTGTTTGTCAATCGTGCGGATTTTCCAGCCCCAGACCTCGCGTGGACGGGGTGGAAGGATTCAGGTAAAGGCGTGACCTTGAGTCGGGTGGGGTTTGAGCAGTTTGTCAAGGTCAAGAGTTATCATGTCAAGGCGTATCCGAGGTGAGGTGATCGTCGCGTGCGGAGGAGTAGGAGGACCGAGGACGAGTGGCGAGGACGCGAGTGGGTACCGAGTTACGAGTATCAGGTACGCGAATGAGAATGTAACGACACTACTTACAGAAAGGGGGTGTCGTGTCCGAAGTGGCGGGAGGACAGACCAGACCAGAAGGCCGCCGCCCTTGAGCACGAGCAGCTCAGTATGAACAAGTCGAGCACGAGCACCTCAACATGAAGAAGATGGAGGTGAAGACGAATGTACGGATCCATTGCATTGCGACCTCACAGAGTCAGTAATTACCGTACCCACCACCGTCTAAGCAAAGTGCAGCACCTGAGCTATCAGACATATGTACTTGACCGGGCAGTCCGAGTCACGGAGTATAGGGTAGGTGTTGGCGGGCTCCGACAGGAGCCGGAGTACAAGAGGCACGAGGCGTATGGGATACATGCATGCATAAATGCCCCCAGGAGTTACACGACTACTGTAGTTTAAGTACGCTGCACAGACGGGTAGACGGGTGTATAGATCTATAGGTAGATACAACCGGCCGGCCAATGCATCCAAAACCCCAGGAGATGCACGACTTGTCGTGGTACAGTACGCTGGATAGATGGATGTACGGCTAGATAATTACGGAGTACACAGATGGATGCAGAATAGATACATATACATGTAACGGGCCGCCATGCTGACGTTACACACTACATGATTAGTTACTCAAGCATACACTCATTGTTACAGTCCTCTAATCAGTGGTGGTTTGACCATACACTCATTGTACAGGCCTCTAATCCGCCGTGTGGTGGTGGTGGTGGTGGTGGTGGTGGTGATGTGGACACAAACGGAGTACAGAGCGAGCCTGCCCTTCCGTCTTCTGCTTCCGCTTCCGGTGCAGTAATTATGGTACGGTACGGTCTGGGTCGAGTCGATGCTCAATATTTGAGGAGTCCACAAGCCGATGACACCTGCTGGATGGCGAATTAGCCGAGTCGAGTCGAGTCGAGTCGACCAGATTCCGACCGAGTTGAGTCGCGCTTAAGTTGCGTCGAGCCATGTTGTGTCCAGGGTACCGTGTACGGAGTACAGTACACATACTGTGTTAGGTACTATGTAGTGTTAGGGGGTCCAAGATCCCTCCCTCCCTCCCTGCCCTTGGTGCAATGCGGTGGGCGGGACTGAGACCATTCTCTGGTGGAACGTTGCCTAAGCTGTCTTGGGGAGAAATTTAGGGGCTCGAAGATTCCTCGACTGCCTATGTACCCCGTGAAGTGCTGTGTCGGCTAGTAAAGCTAGCTATGCACCACAGAGATTACCTGCATTCGAGATCCGCACGAGGTCCGAGATTCAAGTTTCTTCGAGCGCCACCATCCGCATGGTGATTGTCTGATTGCCGGAGATTGTTTAGGACATCCTCGAAGTCTTGATATCTCGGAGTCGCGAAGACATGCAGCGGTGGACAGTACACGACAGAATAGTATTCTGAAGTATGGAGTATCACAGATCAACACAGACACAAGCAGGCACGCGAGGCAAAACGAGGCAGAGCTAGACGACAGAGGCATCTGCATCCACACAATATTCTGCTCCTGTCTGTCAACTATTGCACCACGTTCAATCATCATCAATGTCCACGTCAATGGCGTCCGGGTTTGCAGATACAGCGGCCTTTCCTTTGCCGTTTGCTTGGCCGTCTTCATTGGTGGCGGGTGGCCGATTTCCCCCTTCTGGACCTGTACTCGCGGCGACAAATCCAACCGGGGCGCGAGCTTGCCTTTCCAACGCCGCCATTGCGTCTGTGCCCGTCCCTCCCTCTTCCCCGTCTCTGTGTGCGCCGGACTCGGCATTTGCTGCCGCTTGCCCCCGTGCAACGGCCTGGCTGGCAATAAACGCTACGTCCGTATTGAACTGTGCGGCCACGCTCCTCTTGATCCGCAGCATCTCTTTGAACGTGTCTTCGTTGCCGTGCGCAACTTCGAATTTCTCCCACGTCTCCCAAAAGGGCTTGTCGACGCGGGGGTCCGCGTACTGAGACGCGTGGCCGTAGATGGCGCGCGCGCGGTCGATCTCGCCCAGCCGGCGCTCCATCTCGGCAAACTTGAGACACATGGCTTTGGCGTCCGAGTCGGGTAGGGCGGCAATGGCGCGCTCGTAGATCGGCCGTGTCGACGTGAGGCCGAAGTTTGTGGCTGATTTGGTGATGTAGAATTCGAACATAGGTAGACGATCTTCGTCCGACACGGCGCGGGTGGCGCGCTCGTAGATGCGCATGGCTGATCTGGCGAGCCCGCGCTCTTCTTCCAGATCGCCGTACATCAGATAGATGGGCTTGGCGAACTGCGGGGGGACGTTTTCCACGGCTTGTTCGAACAGGTCTCGCAGGCGCTCGAGCGCTATCTTGCGAGTCACCGCTTTCGTCAAATACAAATTCCAGATTTCAAAGGCGACGGGGTACGTAAAGACGTCGAGGCCGCGTTCGTAGACTTTGAATGATTCCTCAAAGTAGCCGTGTTCTTCCAGGAGGTTGGCGTAGTTGACTACCGTCTGGGGCGTGGCGATGCGGAGTTCAAAGATGCGGTCGTACACGGCGCGAGTTTCATCCAGTGAGCCCACCGACTCGACCAGGTCGACGTAGAACGACCAGACTTTCCAGGACTTGTGGACACGTTGCTGTGGCGAGAGGGTCTCGTCGAAGTAGTCGACCGTACTCCTCTTAGGCGCTTTCGTTGCCGTGGCCATGACCTTCAACGCATTGTCGAAGTTTTCATTGCGGAGCTCCATTTCGGCCCAGCCAACCCACGTGTCTGCCAGTTCTGCCACGGATTTATATGGCACCTTGACTGCTTTGTCGAGAATCATTCGTGCGGTGTCGAGATCGCCGTTTTCTTCGTAAAACTTGGCGTAATTGAGCCAGAGTTCGTGGAACTTGCCCACGGCTCTCTTCGGCTGGATTGCTGCTATTGCGTCGGTATAAGTCTGAACGATTTCCTGCTTGTTGTCGTTCCACAAGGCGACCCGCTTCTCCCATTCGACCACGTTGTTCGGGTTCTGCCGGAGGAGGACGTCGTTGACCAGGAACGGCCGCCGGTCCATGAGGTGCTCGAAGCGCATCATTTTCAGATCCAGGTCAAAGTCTTTCTCTGCGTCGACCACGCCCTTGGCAGCTCGGGCTGACGCGGCGTCCATGAGCGTGGATAGGATGGACTCCTCAAACTCGACATAGGCATCAAAGACCATCGTGAAATCGCGGACGGTCATGACTGTGGTAATGCCCTCCTCGAACACATCCCTTGCTCTTTCAAAATCCCCTCGTGTGATCCAGTAGGTTGCCAGCCCTGCCCAGAGCTTGCCTCTTTGATCTGCAAATCGTTCGATGCCACTCCTAATGATGGCATCAGGATCGAAGCCAGACACTGAGCTGTCTCCAATCTCTCTGGCCTTGTTCACCATGAGCTCAACCATCTCACTCCACAGCTGAAATTCGCTTTTGATGTGCTTCGACCGGAATTTCGGATTGTCCAGAATCTGCATATATCTCTTGACGGCCTCCAAGTAGTGTCCCGTCTCAATCAGCAGGTCGATAAAGTCTTCCATGTCCTCGGGATGGATCTGGACATATCGCTTCCATATCTTGACAGCAGTGTCGCCTCCAGCCGAATTTGCGAAAGACTTGTACAGCTTCCATATCCTGTTGTGCTGTGTGACCGGTAGGGCTCGCAGCGCGCGGTCAAAAGTCCTTCGTGTCTTGGTCACATAAGGTTGTCGCAAGAGGAACGTGAGATACATCTCCCAGATGACGGGCATTTTGTTCAGCAAGATCAGTGCTCTTTCGAAGAGCGCATTGACCTTGTTGTACTCGGCCTTGTATCTGACTGGGTTCTTCTTTTTCAGGTGCTTGACCCGGAACTCCAGGTACATCTTCCAGAGCTTGTAAGACCGCGGTAACTGTATGCATGCCCTCTCTTGCACAAACGCCTGCTCGTGGATCGTGCCATTGCGCATTTTGAAGTCGATGTAGGTGAGCCATGGTCGAATGCTGCCGGGGTTGCGTATGATGTCCTGTTCGTAGATAGCATCCTCGTTCGCGATGAGGTACAGATCGGGCTTCGGGGCCTTGGACGATGCCATGGCGATTCCTGAATTGCCGTGCGATTGACGCACAATGCCAGGCATGGCGCGAAGCCGACTATCAAGAGCGTCTCTCCACAGCTTCGCTCCCAAGAAAACGCAGACAACTCTGACCTTAAAAGGCAACGGGTCTCGGGATGAAGTTCTTGCGATTCCGGCTTGGCATTGTCATGGGAATTGGGGGCGCTTCGGCGTCACTCACTCCCCCACTCCTTGCCTTCACTCACTTGCAGCTTGTATACAGGCATGCGAGCGACGAATGAAAGTCCCTTTTTTCTCTCTTCTATCACATGGGCGGACGACGGGGGAAGCTGGAAGTCTGCCGGGCGCAACAATCGCGACGACTGTCGCCGTAAGGACAGCATGCAACAGAGCAGTAAATCCAGATTGGGCTTCTTGTAACTTTTACACATTGTCTCTCACCACCCTGTTGTCGCGGGTGTTGTTGGGTACGTGGCTGGAATGAGGTAGAAAGAGGGATGCCTTCGCCTCAGGTCGACCTAGATAAGCACTGTAGCTTGTCCGCGGAATCGAAGCATTGAAGCACAGTGACAGCCTTGTCTTCGGCTAGCCTAGTGCTACAGCACCTACCTTAGCTACCTAGGTACTCTGGCTGCCTGGCGTCTTCAACGTCGGGGTCATCGACCTGGACACAGAGATGCTGAAATGTGTATTTAACTGGCAATTTATGAGAGTCGAACGCCGACAGTGATGCTAATGCCGGGACGACTACTGTGTCCTGAGTGATTATGTTGCTGAACTATCGACTGTAGATCAATGACACTGGGCTGTTGCACGATACCTAATGCACTCATCTTCCATGCCATGCCATGCCAGCCAATCGCAGCATGCTGTCTATGCAACTTGTAGTGTCCACCGTATACAGTGACTTAGCTCCTCTGAACGCAGCCGTGGGTTCGTAGCACAATGAGTGGGGAAGTCTCTAATCTCGAACTAGCACGCAGACTGCTAGGATGGAGTGCGATATCCCATTTCCCGGTCCTCTACGGTGAAAGCTGTATTCACACTCACACAGTTCCAACCGGACCAAGCACATCCTCCCCCTTGTATTGATTAATCCGTCAATACACGGTTGACCGACTGGCCAATCGACGTGCATGCATCCCATGCAGAAGGCTGTAACGAGTAAGTATAGTTCCGTCCCCCATTTCCCTATTGGTGCAGCTGATCACAGATGATCTCCATGGGCTGCCTGTCCGCTCCTGGGAGACTGTGCGTCTTATGCGAGAATTGCTAACTAAGTGAGCATCATACAGTAGGTAAGCGAGTGAATGGGTACTGCACAATGTGTAAGTGGTGATAGTGAGCGGCTATGCGTCCGGAACCATTCCATGCTTGTACTCTGTACAGAGAACACTCTGGCAGTCTCGAGCTGCCCAAAGTCAGTGGCAGAGTGGCATTTTGACAAGAGGACAGACGAGGAATGGTTCCTTCCAGTTGCGGGCAGTGCTCATCCGTGGTTGACTCGTCGATTGCATTCTTCCGAAAACTGTGCGTCTACTGACCCCGACTTCAGGCCTGCTGGTGTGAATATCGGGTTTCTTTGCACGGATCATTGACATGATCGCTCATCCCTTCCCAGCGTAAGAAGATCGACGCCCCGGGACTGCCGGAGTTAAACTGATCGAGCAGAGGAAGTCCTTCTCCGCTCCGTCCGATAGCCATGAAGTCGTGCGCCGTTTCGAGGTGGAAGTGTGTAAGCCAGGTCGTGGTCTTTGGCATGTCTTTTTTGGACGCTGCAAGATCTCCTTCAATCTTCCGAAGTGCTATGTTGTCGGGGTGGTTGTGGTCGTGATGCTAGCCTACCTCTACTCTTGGGGGCTTATCCCCGCCGATTTGATCATGCCTGCCATCATCTCTTCGGCGGTGCATGAGCAATACCCCATACCCCGAAGTAGTCTCTGACCCACGTGAGCGGGAAAAAAGGAGGTGTTCTTCCTCGGTATTCAATGCACTACCCATGAAAGATAGCTCCGGGTAGGTAGCTCCCGCAGAGGCCGTGATAAACCAGTTTTGCAAAAGTCGAAGTAGGATCTATTTCTAGCAGCTTAGAACCGTCCGAGTCTAGCAACCACAGGCGATCACAAATGGCTTGGAAGACACGAATCGATGCTTCCCCTCTGTCTTCAACAGACAATTTGTTGATGATGGATACGGAACGATGAATCCAGAGCAGCTGTGGATGATGTAGCTGTACCTTTTCCAAAATGAAGTGGAATAGCTGGACCATGACTTCCTCGCGGGGACGGATCGGCTGGGGGAGTATGATGCTGTAGAAATACGGAAGGAACAAGACATGCTGTTCCGTCAAAAGCAGGCTGACCTGGTCGAAAGCTTGGTTGAAAAAGTAGAATGCTTCGGGAACTAGATTGAGGCAAAGCAGAGAGTGGCCGCCCAGGAAAAAGTTGAAAAACAGGTCCAATCGTGCGAGCGACTCGCCGCTGAAACTGCCATGCCTGGGAGGAGTCTGAAAAATAGAGTCACAGTAAACCCGGCTATGATACAGCAGGGCATCCAGGTGGTTCATCTCCCGAGTTGACGAGAAGGCAGGATTGATATAGCTAGGGTTGAGTGTCGCCCTCAGATTTCCACCGGTGATGCGGCCGCAATGCACATCAGGTGCTGCCAATACTGGAACGTTCCTTTCAGGGCTTTCCATGGTTGCCAATGTTTCTGGAGTGTGATATTCGACCTCTGTTGTAGCGACCACAGCAGGCGACTCTCGGAGAAGGGCTTGGAAGTCGACCACACCTTTGCGCTTGAAGTATCTCTTGATGTCGTTCGAAGTCACCACTCGACCGCGGAGGAGGAAAGTTGTGTCTTTTCCCAATGCTTGTCTTTCGAGGACGATCCGTAGAGCATAGAGCATGTCAGGCTCTTTGTTCTTTCGATCAAGATCCCATTTGCGGATTCGAGTCTTCAGCATAGCCACTCTACGGTGTCTTAGCTTTGATGAATGTGGATAAAGAATGATACTCACGTTGGATGAAAATCGTACTCTTCTGCAAATATTGCTTGTACGTCACGAAGGCTCTTGCCTTTGTACCGGTACAAGTGTGAAAAGATCGCTTTCTTACGCTCCCATTGGTCGTCAGAGTATGCCCGGGCGCGGGAGCGAGGTATAGAACGGTCGAGAGTGATTGAAGACATCAGTACGTTGAAGCTGCAAATTTCATGGTAGCTCGTTTTCAACGGAGCAACTCAGGGATGAGCGATATTTTATACCTGGAGGAACAAGGTGGAATCGATAAGGCTGAGGCATAATGCATCCTCCTCAAGGTTGCAGGATCAAAAGTTGCCTGCATGGCGCTAGCGCTCACACCGCGAGAAGATCGGTTATGGCTCATCCAATCGCTGGTGGCAGGTGAGAGTTCTTGCATAGAGTTGGAAGCTCACATGAAAGTGCATATGAGTGAAGCTGTGATAAGTACGGAACAGGCCTCTAGGGCGAGTTTGCGCTCACAGAGACTCGATGCTGGTGGATCATCCACGAGGATATAGCCCTGTCAACAGCAGCTACATGTTAAGGGTATTTGCTCACATTCCCTCTGGTCAGTAACTGGTCAAAACTAGCTTGGCTCCCAACGATACAACAGACGTCACGCGAAGATGTGCCTGATGATCAAGAGTGCTGCGCCGCTGTTCAACCTCTGGCAACTCAAGGGTATCGCGCAATACTGTGTAGTCGTAGAGAGAAGTGAGAGTTAGTGCAGCCCAGAGCCTTTGGGGGTTCGACGGAGTAAAGTTTTAGCGAGCTTCGCAACGTCATGCCTGTTCGAAGCCTCTGGCGGAGCACTCGCAGCTGCTATGCAAGCCTGTGCTCGTCACGCCAGCCAAACTACAAGCTGGGCTTCGTCGACATTACTTTGCGATCCTGTTTGCAGATAGCCCGTCCAGTCGGCATAAGAGCGCTTGATAGGCAAAATGTCTTCAGGAGCAGGCGTAAGCGCATCCTGAGATGCATATCCGTGCACCACTTCTGACATGGACTACAGCGAGAGGCCGTCTTCCCCACGCGGCAAGCGTTGGGTCAGATGAACAGCAAGTTGAAGGGAGCGCAGACCGGCCACAGCTTGCTCAAGAGAAAGAGTGAAGCCCTGACAAAGTGAGGTCGCGAGAAGATCAGAGGCCACCAGTTGCTGACCTTGAACTAGGCGTTTTCGAGGTGTGCATGAGCGTAATGCGAACCCTGGGCGACATTAAGCTGAACGAATGCAGAGATCCTCAAACGAATCGACGAGGCCAAGCGTAAGATGGGCCGAGTCATGCAAATCGCCGCCTTCTCCCTTGCCGAAGTAACCTATGCTGTCGGAGGAGACGTGGGCTACCAAATTCAAGAGTCCGTCAAGACCGCGCGGTTCAGGATCAAGACCAAGCAAGAGAACGTCTCGGGAGTCTTTCTACCACAATTCGAAGGATACACCAAGGATGAGATAAATGACTTCGGCCTGACAGGTCTGGGTAAGGGAGGTCAACAGGTGCAGAGATGTCGAGAGACATACACGCGAGCGGTCGAGACTCTGGTCGAGCTGGCCAGCTTGCAGACTGCCTTCATGATCTTAGACGAGGTCATCAAAGTGGTCAATCGAAGAGGTTCGTCGAATGATTTCAACACCGAGAATGAAGCTGACAATGCCAGTCAATGCCATTGAGCACGTCATTATTCCACGGACAGAGAACACTATCAAATGTGAGCCCAGTTCAGATGCTGTACGATGGCACAGGCACTAACGCATGCGCAGATATCAACTCGGAACTCGACGAGCTTGACCGCGAAGAGTTTTACAGACTCAAGAAAGTCTCAGGCAAGAAGCAGAGAGATCAGGCTGCCGCTGATGCGGAGATGAAGCGGAAGAGAGAAGCAGAGAAAGAAAGGCCGGACCAGGAAAATGGTGCTGAAGCGCAAGATGTCCTTGGTGAACACGAGGATGAAGACGTTATCTTTTGATGTCATTCACGGCGTGGAGTTTCTGCAGGTTTGGTGTACACTTGGAAGCCCACTCAACGCCAACTATCCGTCTCGCGAGCCATGCATGGGTATCGATAAATATAGCAGTCTTTTTGCTGCCGACATGAGGAGACCGTAACCTTTACACGTCCTTTTCGAAGCATTTCTTCAAGCGCGCTGGTAGGTAACTCGAATACCTTTGCCCTCGTCGCCCAGCTGCATGCCTGCCGTGGCTTCTTTGGCACTGATTGCCCCAGCTTCGGCCTCATATTCCACAAAAGCGATGCCTTTGCGGCCGGGCACCATTCTGACCTCCTTGAAGCCTTCAAACCGGCTGAATATCCTGCTCAAGCCATCCGCATCGTAGCTGTCCGGCAGATCCCGCAGGAACAGGATCTTGTTGGGCGGGAGGTATTCATCTGGGATAATGGCCGCAGCATTCGCGCCCGACGGTTTCAAGCCCGCTCCCTTGGCCGTCTTCACCGGCCGTGCTGCCAGCCCTGCTCCCGCCGCGGCGTCAGCTGGTGCAGCGGCCGGTCTCTTCAGCATCTTCTGCTGTGTAGCCTCCAACGCCTGTTTTCGCTCTTTCTCCGCAAGTCTTGCTCTCTTCCACTTTTCTAACCCGTGCTCGCCGTCTTCTTTCAGCACCGTCGCGTCCGACCTCGTCCTCGCAAAGTCCAGCTGCATCGGTTTGTCGAACAGCTCAAAGCCATTAATTTCTTCGATCGCTTTGGCGGCAGAGTCGGCGCTGTCAAAGACAACGAATGCTTGGCCTTTCGCTTTCAGGTTCGTCTTTGCGACCAGGTCGATGATGTTGCCGTACTCGGAGAAGATTTCGGAGAGAGCTGATTTCAGCTGGTCGATTTTTATCCGTTCCTCGAGGTTTTTGACATAGACTCTAGAGCGCCGTTAGTGACATGGGCCAGGATGTCGAGACGGAAACCAGAAACATACGTTGAGGACGGCGCATTTTGCATGGCGGTCGCCATGGCGGCGGGCTCAGACTAACTTGTCCCGGTATCCGATCTGTCTGCACGCCTGAAGGGATGATCAGGGTAAGTGTTACCAGGTGTAGTCGCTGGTCTGAAGATGCGATACGTAGAGGACGGGAACAGACCTAACACGTGACTGAGGCTCCCACCCCGCCGCTCGTATTGATTAATTAGGTTTAAACCCAATGCTCCATCTCCCCCTTCTTCGTCCCAAGGCCTTCGTGCCATTCCAACCCAGTAACATACATGCCAGAGGCATTTCCAGGACGCGATCCTTTCATGACTTAGCCCTTCGGCCTTCGCTGCTTCAGGTCACGTTCAAAGATGCAACATGAGCAGCACCGCAGTAGCTGAACGGCCCAGGAAAGGCCGACTCGGTAGCAGAGTCAAGAGCAATGGCGGCTGCCTGACATGCAAGATTCGCAAGGTCAAGTGTGGAGAGGAAAAGCCAGCCTGTCGGCGGTGCTTGAGCACAGGAAGGAAGTGCGATGGCTATGTGACCGCCATCAACTCACGCCAACACGCTCCAGTAGCGCCTGCATCGCCTACCCCAGCCCACGTCGGATGCATTTCAACCTATGCACATGCAAATCGGCTCGAGCTACAGGCCTTCGAGTTCTTTATAGGCGACGTGCTGCCTGGCTTTTCACGGATTGTGGACCGACGCTTTTGGCATCAAGTTATTCCGCAACTCAGCCAATCCGACAAGATCATCTGGGACGCGGTCAATGCCTTGTCATGTCTCATCCGCCATCCCCAAATCTCGTGGCGCTGGCTTTTACCTGGCCCGAAAGCATCTGCGCTGGCCGACGACAACCACCGCTTGGCTGTCAAGTGGTACAGCAAATCACTGCGTGGCCTTCAGAAACGCATGACTCACGGCAGCATGTCCCCAGGTATGCTCATGGTAACCTGCCTACTCTACATCAGCATCGAGTGCCTTCAAGACAACCTGGACGCCGCAATGGTGCTTTACTACAGAGCACTGGCTATAAATGGTATGCTGGCGGAGAAGGGGGAGAGCGACTGTTCAACTACAGCCGGGCGTGACCTGGGATCCGTCGAAGGAACGGTCCAGTCTCTGCTACGACACATGTCCATCTCCAGAGAACTCCCTACTTCCCTGAGAAAGACGAATAGTCACATCAACACGACTTTCAATTCTTTATCAGAAGTCAGGGAGGAGGGTTACTTGGTGCTTGACGAAGTGCACGAATTTCTCGAACACATCGATGGGATAAGAATGACAATGCCAAAAGCCTGGCTTCCCACATCGGACCTCATCGAGTGGTGGGAGAAGGTGAGGACTAGGATCCGTTTTCTGGAAACAGCTATACAGGAGGTGGTTAAAAGACGGGGACGGTCTATCTCGGAATGTCCTGATGAAGACGAGCTCTACTCAACGCTGATGTTGTCTTTTAACCACTTCTACATCGTGGTGTCTTCATCTGTGAGCATGTATCAGACGGCCCTGGACGAATTTATGTTTCAATTTCGATCGGTAATCGCGTATGCTCGCCGCGTGGTCGCCATCCAACGAACAAGATCTCGACGTCCGGTATTTGTCTTTGAGACGCGCATTCTCCCTGCTCTTTACTACGTCGCAACCAAGTGCCGCCATCCGCTCATCCGTCGAGAGGCGATTTTCTTGCTTGAAAACGAGGCGCCCCGCATGGAGTATATCGCCAAAGCAGAAGGGATGGCCGCAGTGGCCAAGAGGATTGTCGGGATCGAAGAAGCCTGTGGCAGCGAGCAGGGCGTGTTTCATGAGGACTGTCCTTCTCACAAGGTTGATTTGCTCCCGGCCGAAGACCATCGAATATATCGAGAGCGGCTGACGGCGCTGGTGGATACAGCCTCAGGTGAACCGATACATTTTCTGGAGTATGGCATATGGCGGCGAGCAGGCGACGGTGGTGCTTGGATTCCGACCAAAAATGTCGTCAAAGTGTGAGTCGAAGTCCCAGTCCAACATATCTTCCCAGAAAGATTGTCACAGGCGCTTGGGCACCCCAGCTTCCAACATCAATTCCTGGACATTTCTGTCCTTGACACTCCGCATGTATGACACCTGCTCGTCCGGCATCTGGAATGGACGAGGCGATTCTTGGAAGAAGATTAGCCTATGCAAGGCATAACCGATCACTACCGACACAGCTGCACTGCAAATGATGATCAGGATCATCACGGTTTTGCTTATCCCCATGCTGGCTGATGTTGAGCGGTCACCGTGTGTATAGAGAGAAATCCTGGTTTGTGGTTTTCGAGGGATTCTGGCTCGGCTTCAACACGACGAAGTACGAGCAGGTTGTAGACGAGCGAGGAAAGAAGTGAATGGTGGGGTTGGTATAATGGCCCTTCAGCTACGAGGCGATTTGCTTTGAGCTCAGGAGCACACTGCAGCCAAAGCTTGAACCTCGCTTTATGTACAGCGCTACGGTACCACCAACAACCTACGCAGCAGTCCAGCGAAGCTGGTGGTCTCCCTCCCCGTGCGCAGCAGTACCATGCTTCGCGAGGTACACTTGGCCAAGAATACCTCAGGATACTGGCATCTCACACAAAGTCTCTGGCTCCACAAACCGAACACGCCAGTCGCACCACGCGTTGTTGTCTTGGATGCCACTGGGCATGCTATACTTATATCCGAACACGAAGGTCGCTAGCCGTGCAATCTCTTGCATGGCAGGCAATCACGCCCCACATACCGACCTGTGCTATTGGCGTCCGAGAAACACGTTAGCCATCTGGAAGAGAACGTCGCCCTTTTGTCGTCGGCCTAACGCTTCAACACCTGTCCGCAATGCAATGTGGCTGCGGCGAGTTGCGGGCCGAAGAAGGAGCGTTACCATTGGTCATCCCTTTGCAGGGATGTGTACTTGGGCTGTGAGCGGAGTCTCCACAACCCGAACTGCCCTTTCAAACCACGAGTTTGGGCAGAACCCTCAAACTCAGAAGGTGCCTGGAGTTCAGCCTGTCCCTGAATCACAGTCTAACCCTTGATCTAGATGCTCGGCTGCCTCCTTTTACGCCTGCACCCTGAAAATCATGGCAGGGTTTGTGGTCGTGCTGGGGATGAAGACCGAAAGAGCCTGGCGCTTGACCAATTTGGGAGATGGAAGGGAAGACCGGGCCTAGTGCGTGGCCCTCGCGGTATGCGCCACGGCCATTGACAAGGCACAGCGGCTCTTTCTGCAGAGAACGAGGTAAGTTCTCCCTCCTTCCTTGGGTAGGTTCAACAACACTCTCTGTGCGTAAAGTCCAATATCTCCCTGTCCAGATGCCGTCAAGCGGGCTGCCAACTCGTCCCAGAGCGACACTGCGACATCGCTGAAGCTAGCCTCGAGACTTCTACTACCTTGACAGAGGGTAAGCTTCATGAAGCTGGTAATCCTCGCTTGATGCAGGCAACGACCGTCAGAATGCAGACGGCAATGGCAACCCAAAACGCCCCCATTGCACATTGTTCCGGTTGTCTTGCCAGCCTTGCAGGATGCCTCGTGGTTGATGCTCACCGGAAACCTACTTTGCGGCGACGATGCGGGGCGAAGTCCTGCAGATCTCGCTCAGAGGCCTTCCAATGCGGGCACCTCCCGAGGGAAGGCTCGATCTTTCGCTTCCGACGCTCTGTATTGAACCAGGATTATTGGCTCGTGGGAGGAAGTCGGAATCATCAATGGTAATACGCATCCAGTTTCTTCAAGAAAGCCAGCAGGGAACAGTTCGGCCAGAGTCAAACTTTCATACAAGTCCGGGCCTGTCACACAGTGGAAGATTACGGTGCCTGGGTCAATACCCTTGACTTCGAAGTGCTCGGTGAGGTCTCTTGTTCACTGGACAATGAACCCAGCCACATTTGCGCATGTTCCGGCGTTGAAGACTCTTGACAATTGTAGGTTATCCTTCTACATTGACTTGGCTGCCACTGTTCCGGACCAAACTCCTCCGATGTCCGTGAATCCCTCCCTCTCATTACGAGCAGCAATACGGCTCTGCCAACGAACTCGAGCACGCCGGCTACTAGCGATGTACTCGATCCTGTGTGAAGTCTTTGCTGTATGGCGTGGTTACGTTCTTCTTGACTCCCTCCCCTCAGCTGTTGTAGTAAGTTGCGCTCGTGCTTGTGGCTGCGTGACCGAAGAATCGCTACGGCCATGGACTACGACTGATGGTAGTGGTGAAAGAGCAACATTGTATCCTCATGATCGTCGTCTTGTCTGGTACTGAAAAACCCTGCCTTCCTACCCTGATTCCAAGATAAAAGATACCTTCTGTTTGCCAGGAGAGAGTGCGAGCCCGAGCAGAGGACGTCAAAGTCGCGGCCGTTGCAGTCGTTTGTTGATGTTACCTACCTAGGTAGGTATGCTGTACGCACACTCCGGAACATCTCGTGTGCCACAATCAGAACATAGAGCCTTGTAGTCTGCAACATTTCGCAATGAAGCGGAGGTATAGTGATCCTCTGACAGCCGACCCGAGATAGCCTACTTAGCCGAATGTCAACTACGGGGTGAGTAGTGCGTACACCAAGTGTCCTCAGTTGACCCGTCTAGCCGACCAGTCAAACACAGAGAGCTAATATTCTCCTTGATGACTTAGGAAGGAACGTCCATGCTCTTCTCAAATCAAACATTACGTCGATATGCGATGAATCGGGGCTGGAGGGGGACCCAGGACACGCCGAGGGAATAGCAGCTTCTGATCCTTCCAGCAGGCGGCATCTACAGTGATGATTGCGCCCTGAACTTATGCTTGGCCTGGCGGAAACAAACAAACACCACGAACACACGGGTGACACATGGGGGACACATCAAATCCTGGGGTCCTAGTCATGCATGGGTCAAGGTCGACTGGTGGGGATGGCGCAACTATGGACTGGACTGGACTGGAAAACAAGAGCAGTGAAACTTTGCATAGATTTCAAGATCCGCCGCTTCGGACGGACGGAGCACAGCAGGTGTGGTAATGATTCCTTGCTCCCACGTTCGTTGGGCTAAACACTGATTCTGGTGACTGAGCCAGAATCCATCCTAAAGCATAGCCCATGGGGCTTCCGTAACACATCGTGACCCACCCGTTCAAGCCTTCCCCCGTGACCGCAGATACGTCAACAAACCCCATTGCACGACGAAGAAGCTGGAATGGTGCTCGAGTCTCTTCGAGGGGTTGACTAGTTGGATGTCGTACCTCCGAATGATTTCGGGGATGATCTTGTTCATTTCGAGCAGGGCGAGATGTCGACCAATGCAGACGTGAGAACCGCCGCCGAACTGAAGTGACATTACTGTCAGCAATTTGGATGCAGAGATTTGACGTGTGGCGGCAACTCACCTGGAACATACACCGCTCCATCAATTTAATCTTCTCCTTGTCGCCTTCCAGCCACCTCTCCGGGCGGAAGACATCGGCATCTTCACCAAAGATGCCCTTGTGTCGGTGGAGAACCCAACCGTTGACAGCGACGGCTGTGCCGGCGGGGAGCTTGACGCCGTCGATCTCGGCGCCTCCGGGAGGGACTTTTCTCGTGATGTTCAAGCCCACGGCCGGGGCGATGCGCATGGCTTCCTTCAGACAGGCCTGGAAGTACGGCATGTTTTGGGATTCGTTGTACTGGACCATCTCGGACAGGTTGGCCGCCATGATTTCGTCGACCAACTTCTCGTATACCCTTTTGTTCGCCAGGACGTACCAGAAGAAGCTCTGCATCGTGCTGGCGGTCGAGTCGCTTCCGGCAAAGATGGCGCCGTGAGCTATGGCAAACACGTCCCCGTGGCTCAGGGCCTCGGGATGTTCCTGTTGGGCGATGATCAAACTGTTGAGAAGATCCTTGTATTCGGCCTTTTCGCCGTCTGAAGGTTTCTGGCGCTTCTCCAGCTGGCCGAGTGCCGTCCGCGTGACGAGGGCGTTCTTGGTCGACAGGAAGGGAATCAGATTCCAGAGCGGGTTTCGGCGGAAGATGTGGTCGAGCCAAGGTACCTGGCCAATGATGCCATTGTACCATTGTGAGTTGTCAATGGTCTTGATGTTGTTGTCCACGTCGACGCCAGCTTCCAAGAAGCCGAATTTCTTGGAGAAGGCGACTTCGCCGAGGACGTCAAAGGCGAAGAAATGGAGCCAGTCGCCCAGGTCGCACACCTTGTTGGTGTCGGCGAACTCGTCCAGCTTGGACAGCAATAGCTTCTCGGTCTCCTCGATGCGGGGCGTGCTTTGCTGCATGGACGCCAGGCTGTAAGGCGTTGCTGCGTATCGCTTCTTCACGCCATGGACCGCTTCCCGAGTCTCAGTGAAGATATCGGGGTTTTCAGGTGGAGGAAAGACTCCGTAGAAGTCCGTCTTGTGGAAGCCTTTCCCGGTCTTGAACAGTTCGATCGCGGCCTCGGGGTTGGAGAAGGAAACCTCGTTCGGCGCGATCCGTACGACGGGACCATATTTCTGGTGCAAAGCGATGTGATGCTGTTCGGTGTGGCCTGTCCAGGTACTCCAGACCTTCCATGCTCTAGTGCATGATGCAATGAAAGGGCCAGGAAACTGTCGTAGGGGTGAGGAATATCGTCTCCAGAGAGGTCGTACAAATAAAAGGACGAAAAGGATCAAGAACGGATGAGCAGCCACCACCTGCCACGCACTCAGGACGGCAGACTTGGTCAAGGGTTCGTCGTTCGTTTTGATCTCCATGCTGGTGGTGCTAATGTTGATGTGTCTAACGATGGAGTCGTTGTTTGGCGGAAGACAGCAACGATTAAGAAGAAGTAGGTTAAGAACCTCCCGCCACCACTGCAGTACCACCACCTGTGATGCCCATACCACTCAGGGCAGTCCCTTAACGAAATCATCGTGATGCCTGCCTCCTCCACGCCTGCCACACGATGCTCGTGGAATCAGCGGTCGCTCGGTCGGTTATTGATTCCCCATCTCACGGAAACGAGAATGCCCCACACGTCTAGCCCCACGATCTGTGGCCAGCGAGCATGGTCTCGGTGTTGCGAATTTCAGCGCCGCCGCAGGTCCACTGGCTGCCCCGGGATTTGCGACGGGCACAGGGGGCCGGACTGCACGGACTGGATAGATGGACTGACCTGGAAGCCCGTGCTTTGGGGATCTGGTCCCGTGGAGGGATCTGGCTGATGTGTGCAAGATGGGGTAGTCTGCGCTCACCTGGAACTAACCTCTCCTGGGCCACTCAACTGCCGAGGGGTCTCGCCGCCAACACCTGCACTTGAGCAACCTCATGGAAGCCACAGCGTCAGGAATGGTGGTGATCTCTCTTGGGTGCTTCTCGACTATGACCTTTCCACTAGTCATAAGCCGCCGATGCTCAAAGCTCTCTGTCCCGGTCGTTGATCATAGATGTCCGCATCGGACAGTCCTGAGATCTGCGTGTGCTCCCTTTCCCTTCGAAAGCCCTGCCATGCACAGAATCTTCTCCACATCACGCTACTCATACCGGTGTTTAGAGTTGAAGGCCAAGATTCGTAGCTAATTGGCACGGACCATGATGAGCGATGGTGAAGCTACCCCACATGGCGAGCTGATGTGAATGCACGAAAGAGGGCGTTGGTGAAGCCTTGGATTCTTTCGGCGGTATCCCGGTCATACTTCTGGGACGACATTCTATCATGCCACATATCAGATTGTGGGTGCCCTAATATTGTCTTCGACATATTGGTGCAGTCCATGAATGAAGAATATCACTTCTCTGTGGGCGCGGACGACCATGGCGTTCGGTACACCCCGGATGACACGACGGCCTGTAATGTCCAATGCAACCAACGTGATGGAGCTGAAGGCAATGCCCTACACCTTTACAGATGCTTTTGGCGCGGGATGTGGGATCGGAGTCAGAATAGTGAAACTATCAGCTCAACGTCGAGGTCGAAGGAGCCTCTTTACTTCTACGGTCGGCTGCCAACTCTCCGTATTGCGGTCTTGAATGTTCCAGTTGAAGGTCCCAGGATAACGTGGTCTTTCTGGGATGCTGGAAATTGTCCCTGCCCTTCTGCACTGTTCTGCTCAAAGGTTTCCATCTTCCAGAGTTCGGATTGTGACCTTGGAAGGCATTCGCTGATGTCAAACGAAATGCAGTGCAGGTGCAGGAGGTTAAAGGTTCACTTGAGGCCGTACGAGCAAAGAGGGTGAGAGGAAGGCGCGGCTGAATAACTTGACGCGTGGCTAAGAGGGATTGGCCTGGATGACGACCAAGTCCCCAGCTAAGGTACCGAGCAGGATTGCTGGCTGTCGGACGGTAAGAGGCGACTGAGGTAAGGTCGAAATGAAGGATGACATGTTTAATTCATTCCAGGAAATGGCGCCTCTAGGTAAGTTGGGCTTGCCTCGGATGAACCCATGAGACGTCCGTCTCTCGCTTTCCTCAGCACATATCACTCTTGAATTAATTATATTTGTACATACCGTTACCCTATGAGTACAACCCGCTAAAACTCATTCTGTGCGTGCCACTGCCAGACTAGCCCTTTCGCTTCCTTTCCCTCACCCTGTCAGGCCGACTTTCGCCTTCAACAGGCTCCCCGTTGATAAGCACAACTGGCTGATTGCCGTTGGTCTTGCCATTTGCTAAAGCCTTCTTTTCCTCCTTTGCAGGGATATTAGTATCTTCGTCCTCCTCTTCATCTTCGCTCCGCTCGTCGACCGTTATATTGGAGAAAACATAGTTCTTCGCGATGCGGAGGATCAGATATAGCCAGAAAAGATTGACGGCTTGAAGACAGGCAAGAAGTGAGAATGTGATATACTGGCTGATCCAGCACTTGTATTGTTGAGTCTCCCAATTCAAGTCAAAGGGACCGACGGTCCTGAATTCGGTCAGAGTCGCCCACAGGATTTGCCAGTTGATCCAATGGCGGAGGTAAATCCAGATGCCCATGAACATGAGATAGTAGGGGCCGACGACGATCGAGTCAAGGTAGTTAAGCGTTTTGGAGGTCTAGGGACTTGTCAGCATTCGAGACATGCACTACGGGAAAGAGCCCGTGTTCACCGCAAGAAAAAAGTCACTGATGTCGTGCGTGATATAGACGGCAATGCCCATCTTTGCAAAGTGGAAGCGGTAGCTCAGTCCAATGAGAGCAAGCGTGATGATGTGGTGGAAGACCAACTCCTTAAAGTCCTTGCGAGGCTTTTCCAGTTGCAAGACCAGAACTATGGCTTGCTGCGCCCAATATGCTGCCTGCAACAAGTAGTAGGCCTTGAAGATCCCTTCGTGCTTGCGGTGAGGGAAACCTTCAAACATGGCGGTCGTGTTGAAATACCACAAAGTGCCCTGCTTCATCACGTAGAGGCCGAAGGGGCCGAAGACGGCGAAGTACATGGCAGTGTAGACCTGCTCCATGAAGCGCGATTGCTTGGCTCGCTTGGTAATGCCGCATCGTATTGCCATGGGACGAATGACCCGCTGCATCATAAACTCTCTCGTGAAAGTAAAGAAGATGGTGTAAAATCCAACGAAAGCAAAGTCTGCCTTGCCCTTGCCATACATGTTCGGTCCACCCGGATGATCCGGTCCGAGAGGGTATGACAGGAAGATAGCTTTATGAAGAGGATTCTGCTCGCTTGGGTTTACGTAGTACGCCCCGAGCAATGCAAGGAGGAGGATGAGCGGGTTGAGCCAGGTGTGCCGCAGGGAGGTTTGCTTCCATTTTCGAAACGCGGATCTTGCTTTCCGTCTTTTCGAGTGAGGCTTGAGTTCTCTCTCGCGTGCCTACAGACTGTCAGGACCGTCAAAATACTGCTTTGGGTACATCGCACAGATATCTGGTTAGTGGGCCGCAGGGCCATGGTGGCCAAAGCAGGGGCGCCAGTGTCACCGCGAGGATCGCCACCGAGGTTACTCGACGTCCGGCGTGGGCGCGCCATGATGAATGATGAGGGCAACAAGAGCCCGTGCTTCCGAAATCAACAGGTAAAGAGGTTGTCAGTGAGTGATGGAAGTAAAGGGCATTAATGTGGTCAGGCCGGCCGCATTAAAAATGCATGTGAAGGGCCTTGAAATGAACAGTCAGCCTCCGCAGAAGCTCCGACTCCACACACAGAGAGAGGACCACAGCAATTTCCCAGCGAAATGTCAACCTGCTCGAAGCGCTCGTATCCCGTATCGCCGTATCCCGAGTATATGCACCGGATCTTGAGGTCACCTTTTAGGGCTCTCTGGACCGGAAAGGAAGTCAAGCCATGATGCCGTGTCTTGACTTGATGCTTTACTACACATGTGTGATTACTGCCGTGGCTATCAAACTCCATCAACATCGCGGTTTCCATCCTAAAGTGGAGGGATTGCCTCGACGTTGCATCACTCCGGCTGCTTCTTCTGGTCTGTCTCGTCAGGCCGGGGCGGTTCCTCGGGTCTCTTGGACTTGTCGACGGTGCCATGAATCTTCGCAGTCGCTGCCGGACCCTCAGGCTTGTGTTCCTCCCCTGATGAACCCATAAAGGGGTTATTCGAACCAGACACATCGCCTTGAGCCTGGCTGGTATCAGCAAGGAAGGTCCCAGAAAAGTTGGCATTACAGAACTTACATCTTTGGCGCCTTTTGCCTCTGACGTCCTCGCCTTGTCATCGGGTATAGCCGTGCCTTTGGGAGTCCTGAGCATCATGTTAGTCTGCACCGTAGCCCTGGCATAGTCCAACTTACACCTCCTTATCTTTGTTTTCACCCTTGTCGGCTGATTTCTCCTGGCCTTCGTCCTTGCCTCCGTCCTTTTCTTCGTCCTTTTCTTCATCCTTTCCTTCATCCTTTCCTTCCTCCTTGCCCTCGTCCTTGCCCTCCTCCTGCTTGCCGTCCTCGTCCTTGTCTGAATCCTCCTTAGGTGATTCTTCCTCTTCTTTCGACTCCTCAGCAGGTGCTTCTTCAACTACCTTTTCTTCATGGCCATGGCCGTGGTCGGACTTGGTCGGACCTTGCTGCCAGAGCCAACCAGCAGCTGGGACGGTGACCACGATTGAGCCGATCAACCTGTACCACTCCCGTCAGTAACCACTGAAGCTTTAGTGTTGTGTGACTGACCAAGGAAGGTCGCTGCTCTTTTGTGCGCCATGCTCACTGGCATATGTCCTCCGACCGACGGCACGAAGACTCGTCCGAGCTTGGGTTCCTGCGCGCTTGAGAGAAAAGGATTGGATGGAGCCCCGGAGGGCAGCTGGTCTCGGCAACGGCATTGATGCGGGAACTTCGAAAGACGATTGACAGGGACGATGAAGCGGGAGAGCTAGAAATCGGAGCTCACAGCTGAAGGTGGCTCTTTTGAGATAAAAGCAATTGATGTTGAATGAATTGATCCGAAGCGGGAAATGCCTCCGGACAGTCTTGGAAGCTCGCTCCGTAGAGGTCACCCCATTCCATTTGAGAAGAGCTCCAGGAACAGTAGCTACGCAACCAATGAAAATTCATCAGGCTGAGCCGGGGATGCAATGACGTCATTCTTGTGTCTTTAGTGGCTAAAATTCACTGCGCACGTGTCAGGCTGTTGATCTGCCTGTAACTTTGTACCGTACGCTTCACCCCGCTAAAGGTCTCTGGAAGACGGGGAGTTCAGAGCACCACTCCGAGTCAGTCCCCGACTTGTTTCACCAAAAGTCATTTCATTCCCTTGACTGCCTGGAGGCCGGTGTCTTTGTCGAAGCGTTCAAGCCCCCTCCAAACCATACACCGCGCATTTTCCCCTCCCACGGCTCGATCTGCTCTGTCCGCAGACTGCGTTGTCAAACCTCGAGCAAGTTCGTAGCCTCGTGCGAGTGTCCGCGCGGCGAGCTCGACCTTCGATGTCCTGAATCGGATTCTAGGAATATCTCTCTCTCTTCTCCCCGTTCAAGCAACCAACCTGTCCGTCGCCATGGCTAGGGACCGAAATTCAGCGCAGTCGGGCATTTCGCAGTTGCTCATGAAAATCAATGATCCCGATCCCGATATTCGCTTCATGCAGTTGAGCGATCTCACAAACATCCTCCTATCTCCTGCTTCAGAATACATACGGACTGATAATCATACTGCCGCAAGAATTATCGAGGGGTTGCTGAAGGCCTTAGCCGATCAGCATGGTGAAGTCCAGAATCAGGCTCTCAAATGGTGAGTTGGAACACGCCCACGTATGGACAGCACACTCATTCGTTCCGCAGCATTGGGCCTCTTGCTACACGCATCCCTGGTGAGACGATAGCGCCGCTTATCGACAAACTCACCGACCTCACCAACAAGGACATTGACATCTCAATCCCGAATACGGCCCTGCGCTCCCTCATCGCCTCCCTGCCTCAACCCAGACCGAATGAGGGGCCGAGCACCGAGGTGAAAGATGCCTACACTGCTGTGAGCAAGGTCTTGATTCCGAGACTCGTGGGCCACGTAATTATACCGTCAAGCAAACCTCCCCCACCCCTACCCAGAGGCTTGTTGGAGGCACAGAAAGATAAAGGCTACAGCAGCGACGCGGTCGATGTCATGATTGAAATAGTCAAGTGCTATGGCTCCTTGCTGCACGATTTGGAGCTAGTCGCTCTTGCCAAGGCGGTCATGAATATCATCGAGAGTCCGCAGGCTGGCGGTGTGGTCAAGAAGCGTGCTCTGGCAGGCATCGGAGCATTGTTACCTCATTTCAATGACACCCAGGTCAGATCCTTCGTGGCGGCTCTTACCGAAAGCTATCAGAACAGTCAACTGAGTATTGAACATCGGAGGTTTCTTGTGGCCACGATTGGAACGCTTGCGCGGTCGAGTCCGACCAAGTTTGGCCCCTATGTCGAGGACGTCATTCCCTATGTGCTGGAGGTCTTGAGCCAGGAAGAGATGTCGGCAAATGCATCCGTGGACGAAGATATTGAAGTTGACCCGGAGATTGAGGAACTTCGCGAAACAGCCCTCATCGCACTCGAGGCCATGCTTGGGTCGTGTCCAAATGAGACCAAATCCCGTCTCGCCGGCGCTATTGACGCCGCGCTGAGGTATCTCAAGTACGACCCTAATGTTGCCGACGTTGAAGACGACGAGATGGGTGGCACCCAAGATAACGATTCTGATGATGGCATAACAGATGATGCTCCGGACGACGATGACGATGAGTATGCCGAGCTGGATGACGATGACGCTTTCAGTGATGTTGATGACATGAGCTGGAAAGTTCGTCGCTGCGCTGCAAAGGCCTTGTACACCATTGTCTCGGGGTCGTCCTCTGGCGACAGAGGGCTGCTCTTTGGAAAAATTGCGCCTGTTCTAATATCCCGGCTGTTCAAGGAACGGGAAGACAGCGTCCGTCTAGAGGTGATCGCGGCTACAACTGCGCTGATCCGGAAAACTGGATCTGGCTTGACGGAGGCGGCACTCACCAGAGTCGACTCATCAGAAAATCCAGCCATGCCGACCAATACTCGCAAGCGAAGACGACAGGACAGCGAGGCGGACAAGAAAGACCCCGATCTCCGTGGCCTTATCTCCATACGGTCCAGTCCTCCGATTCTCCCAGCCTCGCCCCCGTCGGGTTCGCAGGCTGAGCTGGTCGGCTTGGTGCCGAAGATTGTTCAAGCTCTTACCAAATTATGGAAGAAAGCAAGCATCTCTCTGAAGCAAGCTGCTGTGGGAATGCTCAAGACCCTCACCTTGGCCCGGAATGGGATCTTATCTGATCACCTACAGCTTTTGGAGGATGCTATCGCTGACGCTTTGAAACCTGCATCTGGGGCTGGGACAGGCAGTGCAGCCTCAGGGACGTCCGCGACTGTTGCCAGCCTCCAGATCGAGACGTTGACGTTGATCAGTGTCATTGCCGAGACTAATGGTACCAGTGTACTGATTCCCTTCGTCATCGCACTCATTCCCTCGGTCACAGCAATCGTTCGAGACAAGAACTACAAAGTCTCGACAGAGGCTCTGGGCACTATTGAGCAGTTTGTGAAGGCTCTGACTCCACCCCGTTCTCAACCAGCAAACCAAGACCATTCGATACATATTGAGAAGCTTTGGCAGGCCATTGTTGATCGAGTCACCGACAATAACACAGACCTCGAGGTGCGCCATCGCGGTATCCAGGTGTTTGGTGTTCTCGTCGCCAGAACGTCAGGTACTGAGCTGTTATCGTCCTCAACCAGGGCTAAGAGCCTTGGGGTTCTAAGTGACAGACTAAAGAACGAGACCACACGTTTAGCAAGCGCGAGAGCCATTGGACTCATTGGCGAGGCTGCAAGCAGTCACGATAACATCGGTTCCGCTTGGGTTCAAGAAGTCTCCTTAGAGATGGCAAATCAACTTCGTAAAGCTGATAGGTCTCTTCGAGGATCCTGCTTGGAGTCATTGCAGTACCTCGCTTTAAACCCAGTCACGTCCTCTCTGTACGGAACAGGCACCATCCTGCAGATTCAGACATTGCTGATGCCGTTAATCTCGGCCACGGACCTGCATTTGTTGACGCCAGCTCTTGTGATAATGTCCAAGATCATCCCAACAAATGCACAAGCACTCGTGACGCCAGAGGTTGTCGAGGCACTTTGCGGTATATCACATACTAGGATCGAAGGACCTCCACTTCGAGCTTACCTCCTGGTTGCGAAAGTCATCGGTGAGCACGGAGTTGGTGCGCCACTTATGAAAGGCCTCCTCACTGTCGGAACGAACGGTGAGACGATGGTTCTTGGAAGAGCAATTGGCACCTTACTGGTGTACGGGGGCAACAATTTGACCATTACCGTAGATGACTTCCTGGCGGAACTGCAATCGTCTCATGATCTGCCGGCAATCTGCTTAGCACTAACGGTCTTGGGTGAAGTTGGCTTCAGAATGGGTTCTCAGTCTCCAGTAAAGGTCGAGACCTTCATCGAATGTCTCTCCGCCGAGTCCGACAAGATCCGGCTCGCTGCTGCGGTCGCGCTGGGCAGCGCCAGCTCCAACAACGTTTCGGAATGCCTGCCCATCATTCTTCGAAGCCTCGCGCAAACCCCTACCGCGGACTATCTGTACCTGCACTCTCTGAAAGAAATCCTTGAGCATTCCGAGAGCTCACTTGGGGAACTCCAACCGTATGCAGCAGAGTTGTGGCAGAAGCTGTTTGCCGTGGCGCAGACGGAGGACAACAGTGCCGTTGGTGCTGAATGCATAGGTCGACTGGCGACTATCGATCCGGACACATACGTCCCGGAGCTCTCCAAGTCGCTGTCGGATTCCAATGCATCAATTCGCGGCATCGTCATATCAGCGTTCCGCTTCACTTTGGGTGAAACTGGCAGTGCCTACAACAGTATCCTGATGAAGGCCATGACACCTATGCTTCAGGCCATGCTGCATGACAAGGACCTGTCGAACCGCCGTCTTGCTATTACTACTCTCAATGCTGCTATCCACAACAAGCCGGAACTGGTCATCCCAGACGTTGGTCAACTGCTTCCCACCGTCCTGGAGGATTCGAAGATCAAGCCTGAACTCATCAAGCAGGTCAAGATCGGACCGTTCACCCACACTGAAGATGCTGGTTTAGACCTGCGCAAATCTGCATATGCGACCATGTATGCCCTACTTGACTGTCCTGGAGCTATCCCACATCTCCCAATTGCCAAGATCTTTGATCGCATCCAGGACGGTATCCCCGATGATCACGACATCCGTACTCTCTGCATCCTCATGCTCACCCGTCTATCCGTGATTGATCCTGACGAAACCCGCCGCCGCCTTACGCCACTTGCTGAAAAGTTCCGCATCGTGCTTGGCGCCAAATTGAAAGAAAATGCGGTCAAGCAGGAAATCGAGAAGGTCAATGAAGCCAATGCGGCGGTCATACGCATCACCATCGAACTGGACCGCAAATTTCCTGGTGCCACTGCAGAGGGAGCGGGTGGTGAGTCGATTGGGTGGAAGGGGTATCTGGAGTATTTGAAAAAGGAATTTTCCTCGGTCGCGAGACAGGTGCAGATGGATGCTTGAGAGCTGGGAGTGAAGAAACTTTTGTCGTTACGGCTGTGCTCAAATGAGCGATGGCGTCTCTCTTCCAGGCACACAGAAGCAATGTAGCCGCGACATTGGGGAGGCGAGCACCAGTGCGTCTCATTACCCCAATCGCCAAACAGTGCACAGAAGACCTAGGCTGAGGTGCACCATTAGCGGCGGGAAGTGAATGGCTGTCTGTCCACATATCTTCAGGGATAGCCTCGCATCGGCTGAGGGGAGCGAGCCATCCTGATGGTACGTGCAGGTGATAGCACTTCAAGGCTCACGACACAGCAAATGATCCAGCGTGACTGATGTGCTGTGGTTTGGGGGGCGGAGTACGCCATGACGCCACGACGCGCGACAGTGAGCCACGATAGAAATGAAAAATGTTCAAGCGTGTACCTGGTATGGAACGACGCAGCCTGCCGATGTCCAGTACAGTACAGTAGTTGGCGCTCGCTTGCCTGGCCGTGTGCATATGGGAATCAAAGTGTCATGGCACCATATGCTCAGTAGTTCTGATCTCTTCGTTTCTCTTTTCAGCCAGCCGGCAAGCTGCTGTTCGTAGTTGTCCCAGCCAAGCAAATGTATGTGGTATGTGACGCGGTTGAATCATCCAAACGAAGCTCCTGGACGGAGTACTGATTGGGTATGGACTTCGTTTCTCCTCCCGTGGCAGCGCTTCATATGTACTGTAAGTACCACATTAATTAGTGCCCTGTTGGCTGCACGCTCCAATATACACATGTACCCCTATTTGTCTTTTTGGTGGCGAAGCGAGTATAGTCATGTTCTCTTCTATTCTGTTCTGTTCTGTTCTTATCTATCGAAAACCCCGTCTCCTCTGGTCCAAAACTCCGTCTCTTCTAGGATCCTCTACGTTCCTCTCCTCTTAGACACGTCGCGGTCTGCTGCGTCAGTGTACTCGCGCCTCATCCTCACCCTGAATCATCCTAATCCTTACTTCCGCCTTTCCATACCTTGTCGATGACAGCCCAATACCTGCCCGGATCACCCTGCATGTGTCCTACGTGTCGCGTGTGGTCGAACTTCTCGAGCCATATGTCGCAACCGGTACCGTCGTCACTGACTTTGTCGCCGCGACCGTTACTCTTACGCCTGTCGTCACCAATGTTGGGAGTTAGGTGAGTACTGGTCCCCACGTGGCGCTGATTCTCCTTATTCTTGTTCTCCCTCTGCCGCGCCCTCAGGATGGCCCGCGCCTCCTCGGCATGCACCTCCACGTCCGTCGCAGGGATCAACGCATCCGCCTCGCTGTAGATATAGGCCCTCGTGTGGAGGCCACTTTGCATAAAGGCGCCCTGCGGATCATTGAGTCTGCGCCGGATGTTCAGCGTGAGGTGTTCCCTGCCCAGTAGGGCGTCTAGGGCCGAAGTCAGCGCCAGGAAGCACGACACCGCAATCTCGCCCGTTTTGCGGGTGAGAGGGTATGTCTTCGCGCTGGGGAGGGCTTCGCAGATGGCGGCGTGCGAGGCCGCGGGGTCGGGCAGGCTGGGGGTTGAGTCTAGGATTAGGGCGGCGAGAGGGAGACACCCGGGGAGGATGGCATCATGATCACCCCTGCAAGCAAGGGCGTAGGCATCCGCAAGCTGACATGCCGACCAGGCGCCGCCGTTGGAAAAGACATGCATCAGCACCCTCAGTTTGTGGCCCGTGGCGTCGGCCTGAAGCCTTCGAATGACACGGATAGCGGGCTCCAAGTTGCGCATCTGCGTCGCGTGCGTGCGCCAGAAAAAGTCGCCGCCGTCTTGCCGGAGGAGGAGGATCGGCGAGGAGGTATACTTCGCCCGGTAAGCGGTCGAGTATTTCGCGATGTGCCGGGGCTGGGCGTACATCCAGGAGCAGATGATGATGAGGCCGGGATCGGCAGTTGGTTCTTGGGCGGCAGAGCTGCCAGTGGCAGAAGCAGAAGCAGAAGCAGTGGCGACCACGTCCGCCGTGCTTGATGTTGGTGGCGTGGGCGTTGATATGGACGTCGGGGATGATACGTAATAGTAGACCTGCTCGCCTAGACGGGTAAAGTCTGAAAGGTATGTGTCGTCGGGCTTGGATGTCGAGCCTGAGCCTGAGCTTGAGGCCGCCTGGGATTTGAGTTCGGGCACCGGGCCCGCGAGGTCCATGTTGACCGTTGATGATATGGTGGTCGTGTTGGTGTTGGTGGTGAGAGAGGGATGAGGGACTTTGGATTCGGAACCTTGAACCTCTGCGAAGATACGCTACCTCGTCGCTTGAACCTGGTGCTGTACCTTTTGTATAAGGGCCAAAGATCGGCCACTTCATGTAAATAGATATAGCGTCGGTCTGGAGTCCAAAAGTCTGGGTGGTGTCCCAACGACGGGATAGCTATCCACGTCCCATTAATCCATCGGGATCACTCCGTGCCGGGCTGTTGATATATATGTATATGAATGAATCTCGCTTTGAATGCGGGCCAAGTGAGGCCTAGCTAGATGACTGGAGGACCTTAGTCGCTACGATAGGTCGAATATGTACCTACGTACGTACCGTGTAGTATGGCCGGCCAGAGCGAGATAGAGATTACTCGCATAAAAGTCCGTCTAAGCCAGTTGTTTAGCCTTCGCGTAGCCGGAAGCACGTGGTATAGTCGGTGTGAGGTGCTCGTAGTCTCGGCAGTAAGGGTGTGTAGCCCTGTGTACCCCAAACCAGCGGCGACTCGGACTCGTTATGAAATGGGCTAGATCGAAGGCTGGCGATATAATCTTTACCACGAGAGAGTCGGAGGAACGGGGATGTCTTGATTTTATGAGACAGATTCAAATACCATGAAGTGAAAGAAAGTCGAAGAGATACAAAGCCATGTTGGAAGTTGTGGTACGAGCATTTCCAAATCTGACAAGGTGCAGCGCTCATACTCCGCCGTAGAGTGCCGTGCTTTGCCCTATTCTCGAGGTCCGGTAAAACACATAGACAATCAGCGCGAAGAAAGGTCAGCGTCGTCGGCGTGTTGTTTGACTTCCTGCATTGATTAAGGGAGAGGTTCGCACAAACATGTTGATCGCAATTGAGATACATTAGGCGTTGCTGCAGATGTGTCTGGCACGAGCTTGTGCAAGTACTGTCCTGCTAGAGAAGATTGTGCTGAAGGGCCGTCACAACGAGGCTGAAACCCCTGCGACACTGGTCAAAGGTGCCACGCGGAATCTGGGCACAAGGACAGGATGTGAGAACTCTGACACCGTCCAACACAATCTCGGAGCCACGCTGTTTGGAAGTACCCGGAGCACGTCACTGCGAGGTGCGAAAGAGGAACCACCATGTCAATCCCCCGGCCTGCGTGATTTGGCTGGCGTGTGTGCTTTTTCCGGCTAAAGAAGCACTGTACCAATGGTGTTGAGGCTCAGGAGCCGATGGCGCCGGATGCTGGCCTTCGTGTATCGGACGATCGGAGTTTCGGTAAGATATGTCTGCGCCATGGAGCGCTGGAGCTCACAGTGCTTTTAGGTATTGTTGTTTGAACCGCACCAGGGACATCGCCTTCAAGATACTCCGCCGGTTCCTCTTCCTCCCGAATCTCGGTCCAACACCAAGGCTGCCACATACATTTCGGAGGCCGTGGCTCTTTAGTCGCCTGAAAGTCGACGCTCGAGTCAGCAGTAGCGCGTTCCAAAGCATGCTCGGTCCAGTCCAATCTAATGCTCATGTCTTGTTATGTAGCCACGATAACGAGTCGTAGCCGAGGTGCATTTCAACGTGCAATCTCTTAACAACACTATCCGGATGTTGATATGGATCGGCAGCTCGTAGGGCTAGATCGAGGTGTAGGGAAGTACGCCATATCCAGCATTCTTCCATCTTCTGCGCGTGAAGCTCTTAGTGTACAGCGCAGGAAAATGACGGACTGATGATACAGAATGGGTCCTCAGGTATTCGTGACATATATCGGTGGCCGCGCTATTTCTTGGTGTTACTAGGATGCGGGCACCGTTGAGGCATTATGCGGCCAGAGCTGGACTACCCGTAGGTCCAGAGTAGATGCTCCAGCTTCCTGAACTCGGGAGCACTGTCCCTGATTGGGGTGATCGACAATACCGGCTACGCCTGTTCTTTGTTGACGTCTTGGAGCAAAGCGTGTGCATACTTTAAGCAATTCCCATATCGGCCGTTGTTCATGGCATACATTCTGCTCTGATCAACCGCCGTGTCCAAACGGGTCGCTTTCTTCTGGACCAGCACACTTGCGATCTGCCAGAACTCGAGAGGCGCAATCTTCAAGAAGCCATACCGCTCTTGCTGTCTCGGGTTTAACTTCGCGTTCTGGAAATCCCAGATCTCTTTCCACCGTTCCAGCGCAACCGCCATGCTCTGCATCAACTGCCTCTTCCTGGGTCTGTATGGCGATAGCCACAGGGTTTGCAAAAGTGCCAAGATGAGAGTGAATAAGTTGAGCAACGACAGGCTCAGCATGGAGGAGCGCATTTGCTCACTCCACGTGTCTTGCAAGAAAGCATTGCATAATTCGGAGAGGTGCAGAGTCTGAAGTCCGTGCTCCCTGAATGAAATCTGGTAGCAGTCCTGAGCGCTGTCGGCGAAAAAGGCCTCCACCGGACAGGGCATATCGACCTCCAGTTCTTCGGCGAATAACCGAGGTGTCATATTGTAGAGGATGGTGAAGCTCGCATCGAGATTGAAGATACCACATACAAGCCGTATCTTGGTTTCGCTGTCGCCATATTGATTCCACTGGAACATTTCTGGCAGTGGTGGTTCAGCGTGAAAAAAAGGATTGCGGGTTTGGAGGAGTCCAAGAGCGCGGACGCCAGAGATAATCGCTTCGAAACGAGCAGTCCGGGCTTCCTTCCGCTTGGCAAGAGAGCCTTCTCGAAGCTTGATCTGAGTGATGAAGAAGGCGGCTTGGAGAGCCTGCCATCCTCCGAGGTCATTTGTGTATTTAGTATGATGCGGTGCCTGAAGTAGCTTTACGAAATCTTCGTTGCTGAAGACATATTCCTCCACGAGTTCGAGGATCCCTCGCGCCAATTCAATGTCACCCGGACCTGAAGAAAACATTGCTCCAGTGATGACCATGACCGTCAGCAAATACGGTGAAGCCGAGCTGGCGTGGAATGTTCCCGGGAAGAGTATCGGGCTGTGCGGGATGTAATCGCGAAAGTAATGTCCAATGAACCGTTCAACGTTCTTTCTCGAAAATAGAGCAGAAGCTTTTGCCAGCCGATCGTTCAGGGCACGCTCAGGATGGCCCTGAGGCAATGACAGTGAAAAATTTGTCAAAGAGTCTACCAAGGTGCTGAAAGGATTGGGGTCGTTGAGGGTTGCGAAAGGTGTTGATACTTCGGACGCTTGCCAGTCCATGTGCCAGTTTGCATCAAGGCCGGTCCCTGCAAAGTCTTCTGAATCCGGAAAGAGGTAGGAGACGAAGACGTCGTCCATTCGCCCCGCGTCAAACGGCGCCACGTATTCGTCGAAAAGCAATTGTTGTATTGATGCAGACGCTCCGAGATCGCCTCCAGAGATACCATTGAGGGTGGTTGATGAGGGAACTAGAGAGCTCAGAATTCATTGTTGCACAGGGTCTGCTTGGTGCCTCACCATTTCCTTCTTCCTTCTCTGTCTCGTGACCGAATGCGTCGGCCATGGTTGTCGTGGTCGGATTGACATAGTTGAGCAAAAAGCCCAAGGAAATCTTGCTACGTTCCTGCCGACTAAGCGTCTTCGGTCTTGGAGGAGTCCCAGGAGAGCGTGTCTGGGTTGAGGGTGATGGATCACTAGAAATCGGAGCCGACGTTGGCTCCGTTATTGAATCGGGTTCGGGCTGCGAGACGCGGGTGTAGGTGCATTCAAGACCATGTGAAAGACATGTCTCGCATGGACTGTCCAGGTCACAGGCTAGCTTCAAGCGTGCACATGCATCACATGCTCGCGTCTTCTTGCCCTTCTTGAGTTTCCCGGGGATCGGTTGCTCTCCTCTAGATGGACAATTGATATAGTGCCGGCGGAGCACATCCCTAGGTCGGAGTCAGCCATTTGAGGGTCCCAGTCCACCTCGCCTTCGTTTACGGCGGAGTCGTCTGAAGCGGCAGAAGCATGCGACACCAATTATTTCAGGCGTCATTGGGAGGAGATTGTTGGCGCAACCACTTTTGGCAAGTTGCTCCTGATTGTTCGAGGCCGTGGTTTCGTCGGGCAAAGGCCACCATTTAAAGCAGCCACAGCAGGGAGTCACTTACGACCTGCGGTACGACTTGGTGCAAAAACAGCACACCCATGAGCGCAAGCGAGACTCTACCGAGATGCGTCAACAGAGATTGTAGTCGAAGGCTGGATGTTCCCGGCACCCGACCTCTAGCTGCTTGCTTACCTTGGGAGTCCATTTCTGTTTGATGTGATATTCAGTTCCTGTTCGACCGTCCGGCATCTCCCTCATTCCTTCATGGTCTGATGACCCAGTCGAACCGCGCACGACCATGTAGTGCAGTTATCGATAGAATCATCTCGCAACCGTGCTGCCAGGCCGTCATGGCTTCAGGCCCATAATAAGGACAGAGTCGTAGATTGTAAGACGTGCGTCTCATCGGACTCGAATGCTGACCGAGCCAAGATGTCATAGATACGATGTGCACGTCTGACAGCGGCCGTACGGATATCTTGCCCGTCAGAGGATCAGAGTGTCCATGTCCGACCGACGCGATACGGAGCGCATACGGAGTACGGAGTACTGTGACCGTTCACGCCAGTCCCACATGATTGGTTAGAGCTGACAGATGGTCTCGAACATTCCCAGCAGCGAGGTTCAACGGCGAGTCGGTCCAATGTCAAAGCCGGATCATCTGCGAGACTTTGTATCACTGTGTCGGAGAATTGTTCCCGGCTACAGACTACTCGGGTTCCATTCTATATGCGACAAGGGCTTAACTCCTTGTAACGCGGCCATGCAAGGTGCAGGTGAACAAGGTGTGAATTGGTTTTAGGCGTGACTTGCACAATGGGGAAGTTGTTCCTCCTGTTGAAAGCGGGCTAGACAGGGCTTTACACTATGACAGTCAGTCTGCGGGCTACGGTCGCTGTGAGAATTGCGTACCGGCAAGATGCTCAAGGTTGGGAGATGAAGAACCGGTTGGGAGTGAGCTTGATGTCCTGCTGGTGTCGGTCCACGCCCCACGTCATTTGCGTCTGACAAAAAACGCAGCTAAAGCGAGTGGATCCACTCAACGCGTCGCGGGGTCGGCCAGCGCAGTCGCGTCACCAATAATTGTCCTTATGGGCATCTTGATCGCACAGTGAGCATCAAATCGCACAGCAGCACTTTAAACACCGTCCTTCACGATGGATCAGGACTTCAAGAAATACCTGGCGACCGAGGTCCTCTCAGAACAACGGGCGATATCATATCGCAACGTATCGCGCGTCTTCAAAGTCCATGTGAATGCTGCGAAATGCATGCTCTATGACTTCTACGAATTCCAGAACAGCAAGAAGCCGGGCTCGATATACGCCACGTATCTTCTTTCCGGGTTCAAGAAGAGGCCGACTCCGCCAATCACAACTAATGGCGCCACCAGCAAGCATGACTTCGACCCGGACGAACACATTCCCTCCAGCCCTCCGCCCTTCACGAGCTCGATGCTCGAACCCAGTCAACAGAGCAGTCAAGCGGATGAGGAGGAAGATGCAGTGCAAGTCCCCGTGCGGACCATCTCGCTCGTGAAGGAGGACGCGTTGGAAGAGTTGAAAGACCAATACGAGAGCATCACATCCATACACATCTACAGCCTGTCGCCCACGCGCATCCAAGACCTGTTCACATTATCAGACATCGGCCGAAACTTGTTCAACGAAGAAGATCCCCTTCAGCACAACAAGGCCTACGGTGTGATCCAGAACCCCAATGTGCGACGGCGCAAAGGCAACAGGCCAGCCGCTATCCCCCCTGGACCTGCCGCAAAGTTCCAGCCCGTCAAAGAGGAGCCCAAAAAGACATCCGCATCTGCCATTCAAAGCAAGCCAGCTCCCAAATCTGGGCCAGCAGCCGGAGCCGTAGGCACAAAGGCCGAAGAACCATCTCGCCCTTCATCCCGCGACAGCACCTCGACAACCACATCCTCTAAGCAGCCTTCGAAACCACCCGCCTTGAAACGAGATGCATCCGACCTCTTCAAAGCCTTCGCGAAGCAAGGCAACAAGAAGTCAACACCGACCAGTACGCCAAAAGTGGCTCGGCAAGACACTACCATGAAAGACGTCGACATGGACGATGACGAAGGCGAATCCGAAGACGAAGCCCTCTTCCTGGACACGAACACGCGCAAACCCGCAAGCGGCTCCAAAAAACGACACAGCGACGTCGTGAAAAAGGAGAAGGAAGACCGAGCTGCGAAACTGCGAAAATTGATGGACTCGGACGACGAAGAAGTAGCTGCCGTGCCAAGCGTCGAGAAAGCGACGGGTCTAGAGACCGACGAGCCTGTCGCCGCCCGGAAAGGCACCGACGCAGATGCGCCGTCTAAAGGGCCTGGAGAAGACGAGCAGATCGCCTGGTCGGAAAGTGATGGTGAGAAGAAAGTGGCCACCAAGGAACCGAAACGACGCCGCGGCAAGCGCAAGGTCATGAAGAAACGCACGACAAAGGATGAAGACGGATATCTCGTCACAAAGGAGGAGGCCGTGTGGGAGAGTTTCAGCGAGGATGAGCCGGAGCCGCAGCCCGCGACCGCGAGGAAAGGCATGGCGAAGAGTTCCTCCAAGATACCGTCTCAGAGCCAGAGTCAGAGTCAGGGTCAGAGTCAGGGTCAGGGTCCGGGTCAGGCTCAGGGCAAGGCAGGGGTGAAGAAGAAGGGTACTGGAGGCGGAGGCGGCAATATCATGAGTTTCTTTGGGAAGAAGAACGCGTGAGCATGAGCGTGAGCGTCGTGGGCGGCGGAGTTGCATGATCGCATAGTCGTATAGTCGCATGGTGCACACACAAGTTCTCACGTGCCATAGAGTAAGCCTGCGTGAATGCGTTACCGTATCTCTTATTGCTATAGTAGATACGGATATTTACAGCCGGACGTGCTCTCTCCATCTTCTGTCAGCTAACCTGGAAGTGGGAGTGGTATAGCAGCGATGAGTAGGTAGGTAGGTATGTATGTATTGTGCCTGATATATGAGAGAGGTGTCATGACACGGCGCTTTGGGAGGCGAGAAGGCGCCTAATACCTCATAGCTAGGTACCTAGTACCTGTACATATATATGTCGAGCGGGTGTGTGGTTTGAGTACATCCTCTGTCGCCTTCACAGTGACCACAGTGAAGCTCCACTGTGCATGGTACCACCCACGGAACCATGATCGAGTGGACAATTGCCCTCGTCGAGCCATCACTACTTGATATTGTACATTGGTTGCGAATGACTGCGCGCCACATCAGCTTCATTCAGTCATCACGTCGTAATCTACATTTCGTGCCCTTTTGGCCACCCTTTCACACAGAATACTCGACCCAGCCGACCCCAACCCTGTACCCTCTCGTGCTGCTCCCATCGGCCTCGTCCTTGAGAATCAATCGAGGCTTCTTCTCCGCCAACCACAGCACAGTCTGCGCGAAGACGCTGTTCGCCCACGCGAACCAACTCCGCGTCATGCCCTCTCCACCGCCACTCGTCCTGACGCCTCTATTCACGTCCACGGACTCGTTGAGCAGGCCGAACACGCTGACATTCTTCACCCGCTCCAGACATTCCAGGATTTCGACGTCCGAGGTCGACGTCATGGCCTGAACGAGCACGGACATGGGCCACGCGTTCCGCAGGCCGATATGCGGGCCGCCTATGCCGCTGAACTTGGCGCCAGAGAGGAAATACGGATTGCCGCGTGGCGAGAGGATCATGCGGCGCGTATTCTGGTAGATTTCATCCGCGGCGTCGACAAAGCCGAGAAGTGGAAGAGATAGCAGAGAGGGGATGTTCGCGTCGTCGATCAGTAAATGCGAGCCGTATCCGTCGACCTCGTAGGCGAAGACTTGGCCGAACTCCGGGTGCGTGACGACCGCGTGCTTGTAGATACCATCTCTGATGACGTTCGCCCTCTGCGAGAGATCCTGGGCGAGTTGAAGGAGTTGGTTCGCTTGTCGTTCGCTCGATGCCGCGGAACTGGCGGACTTCAGCATGGCGGCTGCGCGGGAAAGTTCCACGCTCATCATTGCGTTCGCTGGGATGAGGAAGCCGAAGATGGTCGCGTCGTCGCTGGGGCGGAATGCCGAGCGGATCAGACCGGTTCCGGGGCCTAAGGGGTTGCCCGTCCCTTCCAGGTTAAGAGTCTCGGTGCCGATGCGCGTGGTGCGGGAAAACGTGTACTCGTTGCGTTCGTACCAGCCCGAGTCTGGGTTGAACGTGGGCCTCGCCTGCGCGTCCAGGACTTCCAGGAGAGATTCCAGTGCTTTGAACCACCTCGTCGTCAGGAACGCCGTGGAGCCAGTGGCAGAATGGTACTCGTTTGTCAGACGCAGGAAGGCCGCCAGACTGTCGAGCTCGTATTTACATTCAAACACGACGCTGGGTTCATACGCCGGGTGGACGATGTCGTCCTGGCCGGAGTGGACTGGCGAGAGGCGCGACGGGTCTGGTGGCTGGAACGCATTGCAGTAGGGAGAGGAGATGACGAACTCGGCTTGCGTGTTGATCGCGCCGAGGATGAGGCTGGAGATGTCTGGGGCGGATTTGGCGAGGAGTTGATATTGGGCGAGTTGGTTTGTCGAGTCGCGTAGCCATTCGGCATTGATGTCGCCGGTGACGATGAATGATTGTGCCGCTTTCCATTTGTCCTTGTCTCGTAGCAGCCTTGACTTTGGGGCGTGCGTCTTGTCTCCGTCTACGTGCCATAACACCGTCGTGTCGAGAGTATTGGGAAAGGCATTCTGAAACATCTGCGCCAGGTCCGCGTCTTTTATACGCGGATAGAGGTCGTCTATCACATGTTCCACCGCGGGGGAGGAGAACTTGCGACAATTCGGATGCGGTCTCTGGTACGGCAGTTGTAGAGGTCCCTTGCTGAGAGGTTTACTGCATACCAAGTCAGCAAGAGCCGTGATGCAAACACCGCTTGTCTTACTGGATATGCCGCGCGTAGCTTGTGTAATCTGGGCACAGCCCGAAGAGGGGTTCCTGCTGGTTCGCGGCATCGCTCTCATACGGTCGATCGTCTTCGTTGCTTGCTGCTGGATTGCCGTAGGCCGGTTGCAGCCACACAGGCAGAGTGAGTAGCTTTGCCCATTGCCGGACATGCATGACCGCTGCAAGGGACTATGAGGTTATTCTGGAGGAGGACATCCCCGTATTTCCCGCGTGTCGGAAGGTTGCGTCGACGACGAGGTCAAACAAGGCTGAGGGCTGATACGGTGGAGCATAAGAGGCATAATGGCAAGACTGTTAGTCGGCGCCATTCCCTTTCATGTTGATATCGTCAAAGATGAAGCGATAAAGCGAGCAGGTTGACACAACGGCTAAGTAATCTCATTACGCCCTCCCTGGGCACTGTGAACTGTTGTTACAACGCCTACATTGGCGCATTTCGTACAGAGGACGTCTCTAACTACCTCCGGCCCCAAGCTCGGTTCACACAGTCCCCCTTTGCATCCTTGCTGCCAAAGCTGGGGCCAGAGTCCTCTTCCTCCCCTCTTACATGCATCGCAGGCACTGCCCCCGCCCTCTTCTTCAGTGAGGTAGGCAGTTGCCTTATCTCATGCGCAGCGCACAAGGCCGCGGGATCGGAGCGTGATGCGCCAGGCGACCTTCACCCTTAGGGTGGAACAACATGTGTCCCATGTATTCGTTGCCATGAGAGTCCACCCCGTACCAAACCTGCGCGACGTCTGGCATCACGCACACGAGCTTGAATCCGTCGCGAACCCCCAGCTGACCATCGAAGTGTCGCCGAAATTCGGTGCGATAGCGAAAGGCATGTCCACACTCATCGCACTTGTACATCCAGTCCTTGTCTCTTTCGGCTATGCTGAACCCATATTCTAGGTTTGGTGGATGACATCGGTCCGGATTGTTTGGGTAGCGGTGTTTAGGCAGCGGAGGAAGGTTGCTCACATGTATGTTACCGGCTTGGCGAGAGACATCATGGGCAAGGGGTGTCATTCCCGGACGGCGCCGACGTCTTTCATCTGCCTCCTGAGGGTGGTTTGTCTGTGCAGCGTCTTCTGTCGCTTGTCTGCTCGTAGCCGCCGCTTGTGATGAGACATTGACATCATCAGGCATTCCGCTACTCAAAGTGACATTCCCAGCAGATGGCGACTGGATCTGAGTGTCTTCGGGCGGATGGTCCAAAGTCTGGTCGAGCAGAAGGCTTGAAGCCTGAGCGAGCAGAAGGAGTACAGAATGGCCGCTGTGGGGGTGCGTAGCTGGCCTGGGACTCTGAGGAGAAGCCGCCACAATCGTACGCATGGAGTCGAGTATTCCGTCCTCGAGCAAGTCGTCGAGATTGTAGTAGTCATGGAGCATGAGCAATTGTCGCTGCACCAGGATCCCTTGACTGGTCAAATCAAACGCGTCGACAAACCACTGGAGGTCGGCGTGAAGGTGTGCTGTCTGTGTTATTGGCTCATGAGTCTCAACAAAGGTTTCCACTGCCTGAATGAACGCCTCGTCCATGATGTTGAGGGTTTCCTCACTGACGGTACTTCCAGCCATTGTAGACTAAGCGTCCAGGCGACGAGACCGGTTTTGGTACGATGACAAAGAGGGTTCTGGCAAGTCTTCCTCAAGGCTGGTATGAGAGCGAAACTTGTAGCGCGAGACAACAACAGGCGCGCAAGGCACCTTTGGTGCGATTGCGCCTTGGCAGGGAACAAAAGCAGCGGGCCCATCTTGTGGATTGAAGGCGTTCTGTAGAGGTGCTGCTGGTGCCCGCCCTGTGCTGTCGGACCTTCACTGGGGAATATTAGCACTTTGTCAAAAACTGACACAGGTACGACGCACCTTGGCCACCTCAGACCAGACTCCTATACATATGACCTGACTTGATGCCCTGCCGCTGACTGTCTAGCACAGGGCGGTTAGCTCATGCTGAGGGCTGAAGGTGGAAGACGGATGCATGCTCTTATGCCCATGACAGCCGCTTGACAAGAGCCAACGACAAACGACCACGGGCAGATTGCTCCCGCAACTGACGTGTGTTTAGAGAAATGCAAACAAACACAGAGGCAGGGAGCGCGATCACCGGAAGTCGCTGTCCTCTCATATGACAGTCGTCGGCGGATTCCAATTTTCGACCGAGCGATCCAGCCAGTACCTAAGCCGGGCACTTGGTGACTGCGTAAGGGCTGGGAATAATGCCGCTTGGGCTGAGTCAGCGGACCAGGGACGTTTACCAGCGACTGAGGACTAGGACGATGTCCCTGATGGGGTCAGGGACCACGAGACCACCACCTTGTCGTGAAAGGTTTCCTGAAGGGATAACCGCAACAAAGCGCCGCGACTGCAACAAAGAGATTGTGCTCCCACTGAAGCGATGCAGGAGAAAGATGAGGAACGGAAGAGTGAGGAACCTCTTATACTCCGAACGACGACGACTACGACGCTGGCGCGGGGCAGCGTGACAATGTTGACGTCAGCGTGACACGACGAGGTGACATTTTGTGGCTTCTTCACAGCTCGCGACAGAGTTGGCACCAGCTGCAAGCACAGGCGTCAATGTCGACTGCGTCCCTCGCAAGACCAGAGGTCAAGGAAGAGTCGAGCTGTCGTGGTAGCGCAGATGGTCACGATTCGGGCTGTGGGACAAGTCGGACGACAGAAGCCACCAACAATGCCTTCGTAGCTAGCATGATGTGATGGAGACACCATGCGGCTCAGGATCCACAAGGCTGGACGGATCATGTCGATGGAGTTCAAGTGGACGTCGTCTTTGCCGTGTTCGCGGCCGTCGAAGACAACTCAGTGAAAGCCTCGTTTGGAAAGCATCGTTTCCTGGTGGACATTCGCTTCGGTAGCTTCCACCATAAAATGCTCCGTCGGAGAGTTGCTCGTTTGTATCCGACACATCCATCAAGGCCGGCCACAGTGCCAAGCATGGTCGGCGGGAACACTCGTATGGAGTACGGAGGGCAGAATTCCGTGTTGGTAGGGATGGTGCTGAGGAGGACTCCCCAATACCTGTCTGACTAAGAAACTCTGACGCAGGTATTGATCGAATATTCTCCGCGAGAAACCATTCCAGCAGGAGTACGGAGTGTTGTGACTACTGAGAGTTTCGGCCCCGACGGCAATGAAAGACAGGATGGTGCAAGGATGGTAATTACTTACCTGTAGTTACTGCATCGGGCCTCCTCCATCACCGATTCAGTCTGGAGATGAATATTCCCCACGGCCGGAACCTCGGTCCAGCAGTCATGAATCCAGGCCCGGCGCTCTGTACTGTATATGCTTGCAACATGCTTCCAATCAGGGCGAACGGCAAGGTACATACTGACTACTTTAGTGCATATGCAAACCCCGGTGTCCAGCACTTGGAGAAGCAGGCAAGGACCGCGGCTCGCAAGCGTTGCGAAGCGCACAGAATAACGGCACCGCTTCTCCATCGTCTACATTGCTTAACTGTTTGTCATACATATAAATTCAAGATATAAGCAAGAAGCACCTGTAACAACTTCAAAGACCGCTTCAAACCAATCATCACTCATCGAGGCTTCCCCAAAATGTCTCTTAAATATGACCCCGAGTTCTTCAAGGCGTTCGAGCCTCTCATGCCGGCCATCAGTGCCGCGCCCAAATCGCCCGTCCACGACGTTGAAGGCCGCCGCAAAGGCCTAGAAGCCGGCTTGACCCTGCTCGCCCAGCTTATGCCGTTCGACGCTCCAGACGTAGAACAGACAGAACACAGGTTCACGAGCGCCGCGGGCGTCGAGCTCTCCATCTACAGCTTCATCAAGAAGGGCTCCTCACCGACCCCCACATCCGCTATCCTGCACTGCCACGGCGGCGGCATGATCCTGGGCAGCGTGGCCACAATGTCGAAATCCGCCGCGTTTAGGGTCCAAGAGACCGGTGTCCCCTTCTTCAGCGTGGAGTACCGCCTCGCGCCGGAATCGAGCGGCACGAACCTCGTCGAAGACTGCTACGCCGGCCTGGAGTGGGTGTACGCGAACGCCGCCAAATTCAATGTCGACACCACCCGGATCGGCGTCACGGGGGAGTCTGCGGGCGGTGGTCTCGCGGCCGGGGTCGCGCTGATGGCGCGCGACAAGGGCTTGACTCCGCCCCTGGCCAAGCAGATCCTGATCTACCCGATGCTGGACGATCGGAACCTGGTCCCCAACCCGCGCATGGAGCCGTTCGTGTTCTGGTCCACCGACGACAACATCACGGGGTGGACGGCCCTGCTTGGCGCCGACAAGGCAGGGAAGCCCGACGCCGATGTGTCCCCTTATTGTGCGCCCGCGCGAACCCCATCGCTCGCGGGCCTGCCGTCGGCGTATATTGACGTTGGAGGGCTGGATATCTTCCGGGATGAGGATCTCGAGTACGCGCGACGGCTGGCCGCCGAGGACATCGATGTCGAGTTCCATTTGTACCCTGGGGTGCCGCATGCTTTTGAGCTGTTTGCGCCAAAGTCCGGTGTCACGGAGCGGGCGATGGCGAATAGGCTCAGGGCTCTGCTGAGTTTTTGAGCGCCGTGGGGGTATCGGACCGGATGCAGTCTCTGACCTCTCAAGCATATAGGCCTGTGAGCCGGGCATGACCTGACCGGTCTGTACTGCGTATTTGAGCCTTACCGTGCGCTGGGCAAGCGCTGCATACAGTAGAGAGCCGAGAACTCAGACATGGACACCTTCTATGCAGTAAGAGTAGAGAGTAGATTACGATCCGAAATCTTTGTCTGAGACTCTCTGGCCTTTAGCCCAGTCTAGTCCGGCATAGTCTTTATCGACCGTCCAGAACGGGAGGGAAAACCTAGAGGAGTCATTTCCTCAAGAGAGTGCTCGGCTGTGTTGGTGCACGAGTCCTGGGCTGGGGTCCTCACTTCGCTACCCGAATGTTTTCGGCGTCTAAGAAAGAGACCAGCTGACGCACGATCTATGGGCATCGCCGTCCGTTCTCTACTTCCCAGCAATATTCAGGCTCATCTGGGCGTCCACCTGCCTACCTGCGAGCAATACCTCCGCACTGCCTCATCCAACCAGCCACCTCTACCGCGCTTGAGTATATTGCAGCCACGATCTATGCATCCAGAAATCCTCCATCAAGAAATCCCCCAATATTGCGGAGGCAGCCTCCAACTGGGATCGGTCGCGCCAGCCATTGCTGCAACTCCGATCCACTCACGCATCGTATAGACGTAGATGTCGACCTCCTCAACACTAGACCCCAGGATAGGCCGGGTCGATTGCGAGCGATAGGGTTGATTTTGACGAATCCACGAGTCAATAGCGGCTTCTTGAAGTCTTCTCCCGGCGGCAATCGCAGGACATAGCTGGCAAAAAAGAGCTGCGTGGGCCAGTATTCTGAGAGAGCAGTCCAGTCAGTGGGTCAGGCATTCGGCTATCAGTCATTGTAGCACCAGGCCGTGGAACCGCGAGTTGCGATCGCAAGAGAACCTAATTACCGAGGAAGGAGGGAGAGCCAGGACTTACCATTCTGCAGGTTCAAAAATCTCTCCTTCTCTTCCTCGTTGTGCCAGCTCGGCGACGACATGATGAAGCTCTCGTACCGCTCTGTGTTTGGTCTAAACTAGGGGTTCTCGTCTGGCTCTTCGGCGAGAGGGTTACGCTGCTGGTATGCGTTAGGAAGAACGTATGGCTATGCTTCTGAGCTGCTGCTTGGAGCGGTCTTGGTGCTCTGTCTTACGGTGTTGCTAGACTTCTGGTGGAGACCGCTAACATGTGAAGTAGATATACGGACAGACTCCAGCAAAGACTTCAAGAGACCAGGATGGATGCGCAGGTATTTGTACAAGGAACCCGGATGTGTTAGGAAGTAATGAAATGCTCGCATCTCGTCGTCGCTGGGACGGTGTGCGAGGTCGACGCCGCCTGTATCTATCAGTCGAGGAATAATTGGGTACTCAAGACTTGCTATCTCAGGTTCGTTTATTGGGCGCGACATAAAAGCCGGCTCTGCGACGCCACTCGCGTCGGACATATTGTTCTCGGGAGTGAGTGGAGGCAAGGCAAGTATCATCCTCTGAGTTGAGAAGCGTGCACCCAGGTTTCCAGTCGAATAGGGGTCAGCCCAGGTGACGCTTGCAAAAGCTGGCTGGCCGTCTCGGGGCATATGCAAAGGTCGTGCCTCGTGGTTGTTCACTTCGCCCATGCCAGAGGTCGGGGTGGTTGTAGAGCTTGAGGGCAACGGAGGTATGGGGCCTGCAAATGAGTACGAGGGGGGAACAGAAGCCGCACTTGAGGTGTCTGCCTGTCCCAATGACTTGCGTTGCTCTCGATGCTGGTGGCTAGTGTAACCAGGATCCGTGGGCACCGTGGCTCCGTCCCCAGCAGAAGGAGTCAGAGTGGGAAGTGCTTGCTGTGACGGCAGGTCTGCTCTGCTGGCTTCATCATGGGAGGATTCCTCTTTGACCATGCAGGTGGCCGGAATAGCTGCTTTTTGGGGTGGCGGTCGATTTTGACACTCATCAATCATCTGCTGATCTTCATCAGGTCCATATTCGACTTTGATTGGGGTAGAGGTCGGCCTGAGAGGCGGAGGAAAGCCTGGGGATGGGGGGCGGTTTGCGAGTGACGTTGTTGCGGTGCTGTAGTGCTTGCGATGCAGCTGAGCAGTCCGACGCAGATGCTATTAGCTGTTGGATCTTTTTGCTGGAACGTATGCGGGAGGCAACTGAGTTGAAGAAACAAGAAGAAGAAGTGTTCGTCACTTGAAATAATCGGTTACTTGGTTCTGCTGTGAAAGAGCCAGCTGATTTTTGATGGCTCCGTCGGAGGTAGCAGTACGTTTGTTCCCCACGACTGATGCCCCTGTCCGTCTGTCTTGATCATGACCACCGGGAGCTTGTTGTTTGACACAACCTGGATCTCCTAGGGTCACGATCTTGGATGAGAAAAAGCCGACCATGACCTCTGATGAGCCACCCAACCTTGCAAAGAGAGATAATCGTCTTGTTACTGACGCGGTCGTCAAGGTGCAGCCATCCCGTCTTATAAGAGGCGTATCTGTGCCATGAATATGCTCGGCTGTACACCATGTCTCTCCCAGATCCGCTTCAACAAAGTCGACAACGTAAAGATGAGGCTATCCAGCGCATATCACGCGGGCAATAGCGGTGTCGATGGACCTTGAATAAGCCGTAGATGAAGCTCCAGGACGTTCCATCGCAGCAACGACGCTTCCAGCGTCAAAGAAGAATTTGGTCTGCAGAGGGGTCTGGCCGCAGAGAAGTTTCCCCCGGGAAAGGCATCATGGGAACGACATTGGCGACTGCTCCGCTTGCAAGTGAACCTGTGCTCATACGCTCATACCGCAGGCGGCAAACACCTGCATCACGTTGGGCATTCAATAGTATCCAGCACATTTTGTATCACCTTTTCTGGGTCCAGATCATTCAGCAGGTCGTGGGCAGAAGCGAGATCTGTGCCATATTGAGTGCTCCGTTCACGACTTGATGTGGCCATAATGATCCGATGCGGATATATCTTCTTTGCTGCCAATGCTACGAGGGAGGGTGTCACATAGTCGATGCCATGGAAAGGAGCGAGGTACCTGCAACATACATTAGTGACAGAAGCGTATGAAATTTGGGGACTGACTTTGCCAAAGCCAGGAACAGTGTCGTTGCATATGGGGAGATGCCTCCATCTACGCCTCTTTCCATACGGAGGAATACCACAACATCTTGAAGATATCGGCGGATCTCTGGTGTTACGGTGGTAGCTTGACTCTGGGCTCGAAGCTGCTCGATCAACTGAAGCTGCACGTCAGATCGCACCGATCCTCGCCTAACGGATAATCTTACCTTTGCGTCAATGCGCCGACTGGCAATTGTTTCTTGACGCCTCGCACTCGGTGAATGAGAGTATGAATATCCAGAACCATGGTCTTCGGAGCTAGCTGCACCGTCGAGCTCTTCTAGGTTGGGAAAGCCGTCCTCCGCAGAGTGAGAGTGTGACATGAATATGCGGTCGCTCTGGCTAACATGAGCAACAGCCGGATGGTGGATGAATCGAACTCACAAGGTGCTTGTTCAGTCTGATATGCTTGGAAGAGGTGGTGACTAGCGGAAGCAACAGGAATGTTTTCGGCGCAAGATGGACAGTCGTTCGGCTATATACCCTACGTCTTCGAATAAGCTACACGCTCTGTCAGCACAGTCCGAAGCAGATATGTATGTCATCGCACATCAAGGGCTTGGATCTGGACGTCTTGGTGGGCATAGTTGAAGTCCTTTGCAATAACGACATTGACCACTTTCCGGGTATCCAGTTTCGACCGCTCGAGAAGACTGGACGGCGCAGCGCGGAAGTCCACTGAAGCGAGTTTCGGACTGAGCATCCCAGGCTAACAACCAGTCAGCAAAGCGATTGGACACGTAGACGCGGGTACAGACATTGGCGACGTCGGCGTCAGATTCATACAGAGCACCATCGTCGTCAGCGTTATCATCGTCCAGAATTGCAGCGCCAAAGGCATTTATGGACTGAAGGTCATCCCGATCGAGAATTATGTATGAGAGATTGAACATATCCCTGACAATCTTGGTGGGCATTAGCCACGGCCTCAACTTCGTCTCAGGACAACCTACCAGGGCGAGTTCTGACGCCAGATCATCCAGCAGGTCCCCGGTCGTGACCACCATACAGTGGTGCTGAGCCACAAGACTGAGAAGAACAGCCAGCTCGAGGTCTGTGAGGTCCTCGACATGCTCCAGGAATGCTTGTGCTGACTCCATCTTCGTCCAGCTTTGAGCCTTCCAGGCTAGTACACGACACCTTCCCAGAGCATTATGTCTCCCACGTGTGGATATGAAGAAGCTGGGCTCTTGACTCGAAGGCAGAAAGTCTTTTGGGCGTATCGATTCAGGACGTTCTCGCATATGCGACCTCTGAGTTCGAGGGATAACTAAACGAACCGAGCAAGAAGCGAGCGGAGCGGGAACTGTTTCTTGCCTTGTGGAACCAGGAAGGTAAACCGAGCGTACATATGATTGGTTGACAACAACCATCAGTCTGCCTGTTCTATGCCGCAACACCCCCTCTACTTCTCCCACTACGTCAAGGCACATTGTTCATCTAGACATTATTGTCCACACAATCCCCTGCGGCCGACCCGATGAGATGACAGCAAGCAATCCCAGGGCTGGCTGGGAGAAAGTCGGCGACCAGTTCTACCGAAAAGTACCCGTGTACGAGTCGGTTTTCGACCAGGATCTCGAGCTTGAAAACTACCTGGTAGCTGGAGCCCCGTATGGTGGCGCTCTAGGTAAGTATCGTCTCGCCTTTGGTACGTTGGTCGAAGCTCATACTTGCAGCGCTATGGCGGGATACTGCCAAGATAGCAAAGTATCGAACAGGCCATTCCACGAAGCCGACGATCGACATCTACTCATCCTCAGGCAAGCTCATCAGCAACATTAACTGGGAGAGAGGCGTGATCAAAGCCCTTGGGTGGTCCGATGATGAGAAGCTATTGGTTGTTACTGAGGACGGGACAGTACATTGCTACTTCGGCCTTCACAGTGACTTTCAACCCTTCTCGCTTGGCCACGGCTCAGAGGAATTCGGGGTCTTGTCGTGTCGCTTCTGGTCTCACGGATTTGTCGCTCTGCTCTCCAACAATTCTCTGATCGCCGTTTCATCGTTCGATGAGCCTAGGCCAAGGCTACTCGCCCAGACACCAGAAGGCCAAGTTCATTCCTGGTCACTGATTCCCCCAGCGTACACTCTATCTAGGTCAGTGGAAGTGCTGCTAGCCGTGGACAAGACAATATTCGTGGTGGACGCCAGCGACGCCGAAGACCGAGGACTATCAGATGGACCCTTCATGCACGTCAGTGTCTCCCCCAACGGGAGATTCGCAGCATTATTCACCGAGAATGGCAAAGTCTGGGTTGTGGGCAGTGACTTCCAGAGCAAATACAGCGAGTACGACTCCAAGGCCAGAACAATGCCGACGCAGATCTACTGGTGTGGAAATGACTCTGTTATCCTGGCCTGGGAGGACGAGATCCATATGGTTGGACCGAATGGGGCTGCTGTCAAATATTACTATGACGACCAAGTCCATGTTGTGCCCGATATTGACGGTGTTCGTCTCATCACGAACGACGTATGCGAGTTCCTGCACAAGGTTCCTGACCCGCTAGAAGAGGTTTTCAAGCTTGGCTCGACATCTCCCGCCTCAGTGCTAGTTGATTCCATTGAGCTGCTGGAAAAGAGGTCGCCCAAAGCAGACGAGAACATTCAACGAATCAAGCCAAACCTCCCCGAAGCTGTTGAGACCTGTATTCGGGCTGCGGGGCATGAGTTCAACCAAAGTCTGCAGAAACTGTTGTTACGGGGAGCCTCGTTCGGCAAATCCGTCTTGGACCTATACAGCAGCGACGAGTTTGTTGACATGTGCGAAGATCTGCGGGTACTGAATGCCGTCCGAGACTACCGCATCGGCCTTTACATGTCGTACGAGCAATATGTCAGACTCACCCCAGAACGACTCATCACGCGGTTGGTGAACCGGAGGGAATATCTTCTAGCAATCAAGCTGTCTGAATTCCTGCATCTCCCTCTGAACAAGATATATGTCCACTGGGCATGTCAAAAGGTCCGAGGATCCTCGGCGGATGACGATGCGGTCCGGGAATTGGTGGTGGAGCGGCTACGCGGCAAGCAAGGCATCTCCTTCGAAGCGATTGCGAGAGCAGCCTACGACGAAGGACGCAGTCACCTGGCTACAACACTCCTCAACCACGAACCGAGGGCGGGCAAACAAGTGCCTCTCCTGCTCAACATGGAAGAGGATGAAATTGCACTCAACAAAGCGATTGAGTCAGGAGATACCGATCTAGTCTTTTTCGTCTTGCTCGAGCTCAAGAAGAAACTGCCCCTAGCAGCATTCCTGCGCATGATCAGCGACAAGCCTGTGGCGTCGGCTCTTGTTGAAAGTTCAGCAAGAGCTCAAGACACAGAGTTGCTGAAGGATTTGTACTATCAAGATGACCGTCCGATCGAAGGGTCAAACCTGCTGTTGGAAGAAGCCATGCAGCAACCGCAAGTACAAGCAGTCATTGACAAGCTCAAACTCGCTAGTAGATTGCTTACTGACGCTAAGGACCCTACAGCGCAATTCCACACCAAGGCTCTCAACGAAGCCGGCCAGCTTCTCAAGATGCAGGAAGCATTTGATAAGGACATAACCGACAGCAGCGGAAGCTATATCGGACTGAGTGTCAATGAGACCATGTTCCGCTTGATCAAATCCGGATACAGCAAACGAGCTGCAAAGGTCCAAAGTGACTTCCGTGTCCCGGAGAAGACCTGGTGCTGGATTCGCCTCCGGGCATTGACTGCTGCTCGACTTTGGGGTGAGGTGGAAGAAATCGCTAAGAACAAGAAGTCGCCCATCGGATGGGAAGTAAGTGCTGTGGTCCGTTTCCTTACGAGAGGCTTGAATCTAACTTCGTCCAGCCCTTCTACAACGAAGTGCTTGGGGCAGGCAACACCCGTCTTGCATCGTCATTTGTCCCGAAGTGCACTAACCTTCAGCCGTCCGAGCGGATCGAGATGTGGGTGAAGTGTGGCATGGTCACCAAGGCTGGTGAAGAGGCCGTCAGAGCCAAAGATGTGAATGCCCTGGAACTCCTGCGCGACAAGGCTAACGGCCAGCAATTGGTGGAGATTGAGCGTATGCTGAGCCAGGTGCGCCCAAAGCGGTAAACTTGGTATGCGAAAGAAGCGAGGCGCGATCATGTTATCTTGTCGACTTCATCATCCTCAGCGGCCGTCGGCGCCGCGGCCAGCGAATGTGCAGTTCGGTCGACCACGACCAGATGGGTATCGGCAGTCCCGGGCAGGTTATCAGCACGCTCATCCACCTCTTCCATATCCTCCCATTCGTCTTTCTCTTCTTCGTCCACTTCATCGCCAAGGGTCTTCAGCTTCTCGAATTTGTTCACGCTACCGTTCACCTCATCCCACATGCACTTCCGCTCCCGCCTCTTTTTCAGCCGCCCTGCAGCATCTTCCACCTTTTTTGACATCTGGTCTTGAACGACTTCCGCCCTTGCGAGTACGCGTTCTTGCCTCTGTCTCTGTCCCCTTGTCAAGGGCTTTTGTTTCTTCTTCGATTTTGTAACTCCGCCATTGGGCCGGGCTGCGAGTAACGGTGTGACATCCGAGGCACGGGGGGCTTGCTTTATAGACTTGTCAACGTCGATGGAGGGAGAAGTCGCTCTCTTCGAGGCTCGAGACCTGGAATTTGCTGTGGGGTATTAGAGGACACGGTTATTTTCATTGTGCGTCGAGGTCTACCTGTTGCCTTCTTCACCTTCGCTGTTTTCGCCATGGCTGCAAATGCTGAAGTCGACCCTCCTCCACGACTTGTGCTCGCTATGGTCGAGACGGACGTAGGTGAGCAGGTGTACGAGGTGCCGGTCGCATTCCTAAATCATTTCTGCCCGCTCGAATAGTCGGATGAGATTCACCGAAGTTTGACCAGCGAGTGACGTAGCAGTTCAGCCTCGTCATTATCGACATCGGAACCCGCATCCTGGCATACCCTCCTCCTACACGTAGATCTGCTGCCCAACCCATACCCCCGAAGCTCATGCTTGCTTAGGATAGTCAGCCACCATGGCCCCTCCGCCGTTGAAGCGGCAGAAGACGAATCCGACTGAAGAATCTCAACCACAGCCCACGCTCCAAGAACAGGCTCAGCAGGCTGCCAACGTTCCTCTGCCTCCAGACACGCCTCGGATCCCAAGCTCAACTCCAAGGGAAGACAAGCGATCGGTAAGAGAACCGCCTTGCTCCCGAGATGTTATATCCTGACTGGTTGGCAGTCATGGCTTGCGCGAACGTGGCCGCGTAAAGCTCCCCCACTGACTCAAACACACCGTGAGAGCGTGTCTTCTGCGTCCAGCAACAGCCCTTTGACATCGCAACCTGCTGCCCAAGAGGGCCCCGCGCCTACCCGGGAGCGAGCAAAAATGCAGAGGTCGCCATCTTTAGCGATGACACTCGGAAAATCCACCTCAAACCGGTCTCTCCCTATTAATGCCACGACGACGATTGTCAATGCCACCTCAGGAGCTACAGCGTCCTCAACAAAGGCGAATACACAATCAGGGCTGTCTTTGCAGGCAAAAGATGATGCGACAGTGGGCAACCAAGTGGTCAAAGACGACCAGCGGCCGGAGAAGACAGATGAGACCTCCACGCGAACCCTGCCGGACGGAGCGCCAATCGCGGAAACTTCACAGCCAGATTCTACCAACCAAACCCTCCCAGAACCCCAGAGTATGTGGCTAAGCTGGCTACCTGGCAAGAAGGACGGAGTAACAGCCAAGCCTGCGGAAGCACAGGGATCTCCACCCCGACCAAAGCTCGCCGAAGCATCGGAAGTGCCTCCAGGAAACGACGCGGTCCCAGATCCCGCCAAAACGCAGCCCGAGGTGGCCGAACAGCCTCAACAATCCTCTGTAAATGCGACCAACAAGAGGAGTTGGTATCAAATGTGGAGCAGCAATGATCCACCAGCTGAAGTTCCGAAGCAAGACGAGCCTGCATCAGAGTCAGGTCAAAGCAGTTCGACAGGACGAATTGAAGCTACAGAGCCAGCAACAGCACCCACGAAGCATCTGGACATACTCCCTCTCAGCACGCCCAAGCCCAAAGATAGTTCCCAAGCGTCTTCACTGGAGACATCACCTCCTCCAGCTCTGCACAATGATGGTTCCAAGTCAGGGTGGGTGTTCTGGTCTCGAGAAAAGAAGCGCCCGGAGTCAATCAAGTCCGAAAGTGAGCCTCGCGTGGGCGAGATAGCCATTTCGGATACGCCCTCACAAGCCCGACCGAAACGAGCCTCAATCAGCCTGCAAGACGAAGCAGCTACGCCAGCACTCAAACCATCTCCTCAAGAAATCCAGTCCAAAAAAGCCGTTGCGCAGAGAAATGCGGAGCCCAAGCAGCAAGTGCCCACCGAACAGTCACTACCGGGGAAAGCCCAGAAGTCATTAGCCTCTAAGCAAGATCCCTCGCGAACCACCAAAGCCTCATCCTCTACGGCTGCAGCCATTGCGAAAGAACCTCGTCCGGCCTCCCCAGCACCATCCCTCGACAAAAGGAAAGAAGACACCAATCTGCTCCTGCCGCTTCTTCACGATACTCTGACCCACGAAGAACAACCTTCCCTCATTCAACAGCTCGCACGTCTGCTCTACTACACCCGCGAACCCGACGCGCATCAACACCTCTCTCTAATCCGCGATCCGCCTCGGATAAAACACGCCCTGGCTATCGGCGTGCACGGCTACTTCCCCGCCCCCATGGTTCGATCCATCCTCGGCCAACCCACCGGCACGAGCATCAAATTCGCGGAAAAGGCCGCACAGAATATTCGTCGCTATACAGCCTCGCAGGGGTACGACTGTGAAGTCAAGACAGCGGCACTAGAGGGAGAAGGTCGCATTGCCGAACGAGTCGAGCTGCTATGGAAGCTCCTGCTGAATTGGATTGACGAGATCAGACGCAGCGATTTTATCCTCATCGCCGCTCACTCCCAGGGCGTGCCCGTGGCAATCATGCTCATCGCAAAGCTTATCCACTTTGGCTGTCTCAGCCCGGCTGCCCGGGTTGGCGTCTGCGCCATGGCAGGCGTCAACATAGGTCCCTTCCAGGACTACAAGTCGCCCTGGATCACAGGCTCGGCGGGCGAATTGTTCGAGTTCACCAACCCGCACAGCAAAGTCTCGACGGACTACCTTGCCGCCATCTCCGACTGTTTGCAACATGGCGTCAAGGTCACTTTCGTCGGCAGCATCGACGACCAACTCGTGTCGATGGAATCGTCCATCTTCGCGCCCCTGACGCACCCGCATATCTACCGCGCCGTCAGCATCGACAGTCGCATCCACGCGCCCAACTTCCTCTCCAACCTCGTGGGCTTCGTGCTCAAGCTCCGCAACGTCGGCGTCCCTGACCACGGCCTCATCCGCGAACTCTCCGCCCCGCTGGCCGGCTCGCTGTACACGGGCGAAGGCCACTCGCGGCTCTACGAGGACGATGCCGTCTACGCGCTCGCCATCGCCTTCACCCTCGAGACCACATCTCTGCCACACACGCCTATAACCTCATCGAAGCGCGCCGCGATCTCCGTGCCCAGTGATGGGAAAGCCATCTCCTCGAGCGGCTCTCAGACCAGCAACAGCAACCCGTATATCCTGCCGTTCGCCATGCGCGGGATCCTGGAAGAGGATATCGTCAAGAAGGATCTGAGGGAGGAGGCCAAGAGGCTGCTCGAGCAGTTTGACGAGTGGGAGCCCAAGACCAAGGTCCTCAAGGATGTCAAGTTCCGACTCGAGGGCGTGAGGAGTCAGTTGCTGTAGGCGTGTGCCGAGGTCCGGAAGGATGTCAAGTTCCGACTCGAGCGCGTGAGGAGTTAGTTGTTGTGAGGCGAGCACGGACACGAGCAATATTGAGCACGATCCCAAGATGCAGCTTTACTAGAGCGGGTAATGAATAGCGTATAATAGCGCGTCCACTTCAAGTGTGTTTTGATGTGGCGATGTCCTCCTATAACTACGGGAAATGCAGTACAGGGACGAGTTAAGACACGACTCAGAACCAAGGATCATAGATTCCGTATAATGTGATTCATGACAACTGGTGGCAGCATACCTCCCTCAGCCTCCGAGTTTACAGGTGTAAATGCAAAGAGCGCACCGTGACTCCGAGCGAAGTGAGGTCAATATCTCCGGGCCACGCATCGGGTGAGGAGTGTGTGAACAAGACGCGCTGTCGACTCTGAGACAAACATTCATCAATTGAATTCCTGGGCGTAAACATCAATGTGCGGTGATAAAGTATACTGTCATGATCAATGCTACCGATGAACCGCTCAGAAGTACAATGCTTGTAAAAGCCCTAATCTCCACCGATTCCCTTCTTTTTTTATGATACTCCACGCCCTATTTCGCCGTGGTCACCACAGTCGGCAATGAGGCGAATCTCCAGTACCCTTCCAGTCACCTCGTCTCACATTCCGGTGTTGCCGACATTGTATGTCCCCGATGCCGGCGGTCAGAGACATCATTTCCCGTCAGCAACCTGACCAACACTGGGGACAAGCAAATGCCTCGCATCCGATCTCCCAGCACTGCCGTCAAACACGAAAGGTCCGGCGTTATTCCTAGGAGTCAACGGACCTTCTCCGGCTATCATCTCAGTGGGGTCAGGAGTCTGCGTATTCGTGCGTTGGTGTTCGAGCTGACCGCCCAGCTCGGCTTCATCCGCTCGATCGGGCATGTCGATATTACCATTCATGGTCGAAAGTTCGGGTGAAGCTGGATTTGTTGCTTGTCTTCGGGCGAGAAGCCCAGAGCTCCTGATAGCCAGTGGTGAAGAAGCGTTGCCATCAGTGTTGACCCCGGGTTGTGTGACGGCGACGGGAGGGTTCTCCGGGAAACTCAAGGTACCTTGGTTTGCTTGCGAGTTCGCATTGCTCAGCGGGTTATCGGCCGCCGGCTCACCTGTTACTTGGCCATTCATGTGACCAGTCGACGGGGCAGTTGGTTCATTGATCCGTTCTGCATTGATTTCGGTGGGTTGGTTTTCTTGGTCATCAGTGTTGTCCATCCACTCGTCTATGTCGGATTGAGCAAGGTCAACGTCTGCGGTGAGATCGGAATATGCTCTGCAATTCGGACACTGGAACTGCGGATAAACACTGTTCTTGCCTTCAAGCAGCGGTCGGATACATTTATAATGCCAGACATGAGCGCAAGGAGCAACAAATAATGCTTGGCATGGCTAAGGACAAAGTCAGTAATCGTGGGGAGGTACAGAACCGGCAACTTACCAATACGGAACCCAAGCATATAGAGCACTCTCCGCTGTTGGCATCTGCTGATGGCTGGTCTTTCGCAAGACTCTGCAGTTGCTGGTGTCTGGCCTTGCTGCGTAAAGGGTTAGGGCTCAGAGTATGGACGATGAGAGGTGCTAACCTACTTGAAGTTGTTTGCCTTCTTCTGCCATGCCCGATTGCACTCAATGCGGATCTTGACACATCGGAATATCATCTCTTCTCCTCCCCTGAAGTCGATCCCCAGTTGCACAATGTCACCATCCTTGATAGGGAAGAGCCTTGACTCGGTGTTGGGCTGACTCAGTCTGATATGGTTAAGAAACGTGCCGGACGAAGAGGCGACATCCTTGATCTGCCATTGACCGTCGAGGAAACTGAACTCGCAGTGTCTCCGACTGACGACTTTGGATTTGAAGCCAACGGGCGCATCGGAGGGGCCGGTAGGATTGGACGAGGGGACCCCCTCTCGCTCGGAGTAACGGCCAACTCTTATGATGGAATGTTCGCTGGGTAACGTCCTCGCTATGGGCGTGAAGTTGAGGGAGGGTCGTCCATTTCTAATTTCCTGGTGAGGATAGAACCGGATTGTGGGTAAATGCTGCTTCACCTCTCCATCTTGAGTGCCTGACTTAGAAGTGTTCCTGGGGTTCATGGTTCTTGAGGCGGCTTCCGAAGCCGTTGTAGGCTGCGTATCAGCCTGCCGGCTATCACTTGCATTCCTCCGCGATGTTGAACTCCTGTGTCTGACCATCTCGTCTGTGGTGTCTTGTTCTCCCCGGTCAATTGGGGCGTCGGAAGTGGGTGCAGCTGGTGCAACACGGGGCGAGGGGCTTCTAGTATCGACCTGACGGAGGTCTGGGGACAGAGGAGTCGTAGGTTCGTTAGGACGAGATATGCTCCGTCGTCGGGTTGTGGTAGGATCTGGGCGGTTGTCGTTGTAACTGAGGGATCTTTGAAAGTAGTGTCTCGGTGAGCGGGAGGGGGGCTCGTTCGGGCTGGTTCCACCCGATGACCGGTTGTGGGATAACGCACGAAGGTAACTCAAACCACGGCGCCGTGCAGATGTGGTCCTGTTGACAGTCGGATCGCCAGCCGCTGGAGAAGAAACGGCGGCAGGCGGTGAGATCATGGGAAATGACAGGAATGTGACAGACCAGTCCTGGGAATGAACGACTGTCGACGAGGGAAGTGAATTCAAAGGCGAGAGCGACGGCAACCACGACAGTAAGCAGCGACCGCAAGTGATTAGGCCGTGGCCTCGTCCAGGAGCACTCGATCAGGCTTCCACACGGCTGTGCCCCGCGGATGCAGAACAGGTTCACAAGGATATGCTGTTAGATAGGTGCAGTGCTGTAAGTAAACAGATGTTCGCATGCGCCCGCAATTCACTGGCGGGCTTCGGTGGGAGAAGCGGCACCACAACAGGGATGTCTTAAGGGGCCTCGTGCAGCCTCCAGGGGTCGGGATAAGACGCCTATTGAGCCTAATTAGCGGGCCGCGGTGAGGAGGCGCAAAGCGATGTGTCCCGTTGTGTCGAAACCAATCTCAAACGTTGAGGTATACTTCAAATGGATAAGTATCTGGAGGGCTACGAATGCCACGAGGAGACGGGCTGAGAGCAGAGTAATAAGCGGGCTACGATCATGCTCGTCTTTGATCAGCAGTACGTAGTACCTCGTCCCACTGCTAGTACTTCGGCTGATGAACGAGCCATCGATGTCATCAGGCATATCGAGTCGCCTACAGTACGAGGCAAGCTTGGCGGGCCACATGGGCCAGAGGATATCAGGATCGCCTTCCGATCTCGACGGGGACGGGGACGGGGACGGGTACGGGTACATGTAAATTCGATCAGCGGGCCGTGGACGCAATTGTCTACGGCGACTACACAGGATCGCAGGAGTACTGTGTACCTACCTATTAAGGTAGCTCCTTTCCGGCTATCTCGAACCACCAGCAGTCACTGTGATCAAAAAGTCCAGCATCCCAACGGCAGCGTCGGTGGCCCATCAGCTCCACCGAATTCTTCTCCACAGAAAACTCCACAGCAACGGTCACGTCCTTGCGGCTTTCTACCTGCGGGCATGATTCTGCCGGACTGAGCAGTCCATCGTCACTTCAAACTCACTGTTATCAACATTCTGGGTCCTGGCGCCAACATGAGGACGGCGGCGGTTCGAGCTTTGCGCAATGCGAAGCTGAATGCAAACGCACCAAAAATCCTTGCCAGAAATTATGCGTCAATCAAAGATTCCATCCAAAAGGTAGGGCCATCTCTGCTCTTATAACACGGAGCAATTCTCTGACGGCTAGAAATGAATAGGATCCTGTCGAGTTAGACCATATCACAAAGTTGTCTAACGGCGTCCGCGTCGCCACCGAGTCGCTTCCCGGCCCTTTCTCCGGCGTTGGAGTTTACATCGACGCCGGGTCCAGATACGAGGATGAATCACTGCGAGGTGTCAGCCATATCGTTGACCGACTAGCATTTAAGTCTACCAAGGCAAGAAGTGCAGATCAGATGCTGGAAGCACTGGAATCACTTGGGGGAAACATCCAGTGTGCCTCTTCCAGAGAAGCTCTGATGTACCAATCCGCGACCTTCAACGCCAGCGTCCCGGACACGGTCGCCTTGCTCGCAGAGACCGTACGAGATCCTTTAATCACAGACCAAGAAGTGGAACAGCAGCTGCAGACCGCCGAGTATGAGATTCAAGAGATTTGGGCCAAGCCAGATTTGATCATTCCGGAATTGTTGCACATGGCGGCTTATAAGGACAATACGCTCGGCCACCCTCTGCTATGTCCGCGAGAGAGATTGCCTTACATCAACAAAGATCTGATCGAGAAATATCGAAGCAACTTTTACAAACCTGAGCGGATAGTCGTCGCATTTGCTGGGATCCAGCATGACGAGGCTGTTCGATTAACGGAAAAGTATTTCGGGGATATGGCTAAGTCTGTCAACCCTTCACTATCGCAGCCTGCGACAGAGTCGTCGACGTCTGACTCGCAACCTTCAAACCCGCACATCCAGTCACCTCCTCCACAGTCTCCTACGAGCAAACTTCTTTCGAAGATCCCCGGTTTCAACGCTTTTTCAACCTCCGCTCCTCACCAAGCCACCGTATCACCCCTTGATCCATCGCTCATCCAACCGCGACCCGAATCCCTTCTCACCATGCCATCCCACTACACAGGAGGCTATCTCGCTCTTCCAACACTCCCTCCGCCTCCCAACAAATTCACCATACCTCTTTCTTACGTTCATATTGCCTTCGAAGGTCTTCCAATATCTTCTGATGACATCTACGCTCAGGCCACATTGCAAACACTGCTCGGAGGCGGAGGATCGTTCTCCGCGGGCGGTCCCGGCAAAGGAATGTATTCCCGACTGTACACGAATGTCCTCAATCAGCATGGCTGGGTGGAGAGTTGTGTTGCATTCAACCACAGCTACACCGACAGCGGCCTCTTCGGTATTGCAGGCGCGTGCGAGCCTGGGCGAGTCGGCCACATGGTTGATGTCATCTGTCGAGAACTTCAAGCGCTCACGTTAGACTCAGGCTTCTCCAGCCTGAACGTTGCCGAAGTCAATCGCGCGAAAAATCAACTTCGATTTAGCCTGCTCATGAACCTCGAGTCACGGTTAGTCGAGCTAGAAGATCTGGGCCGGCAAGTTCAAGTCCACGGTCGGAAAGTCGGGGTCAAAGAGATGTGTGAGAAGATTGATGCTCTCACCGTGGCTGACCTCCGACGAGTCGCCACGCAGATCTTCACCGGCAAGGTGGACAATAACGGCCACGGCAGCGGCGCACCAACAGTGGTCATACAGGAAGGAGAGGCTGCAAACGGGAAAAAGGTCAAACAAATACCGTGGGAGGATGTCCAGTCGCGCATCGCTCGATGGAAGTTGGGAAGATTGTAACTTTATGCTGATCTCAGGTGTGTATACCTCTGAAACGTTGTACTATATCTCCACCGGCATGCGAAATGGCGGCATCCGTCGTGAAGGCTCTCGACAACTCCTACCATCGAATAATCATTTCACTCCAACCAGGACCGGAAGAAGGCACTTTCCTTGCCTCCATGCCGTTCGACTGCCCCTGCGTTTCGCGTTCGAAGGGGCGCTCTTGCAGTTTGTCGCAGACGGTGCTTTTATCTGGCAGCAGACACGTCTCAGCGACTTGATTCTCTTCCTAACCACTTTCTCTGCAGTCTACCCAGCATCGTCAAGTTGAAGTTCAAAGCTGCATTTCCACTACGGTCGCTTTATTGCATGTTGTTTTTGTATCTTGGTCTTCCATATCCGCCAATCCAGACGACGGAGAATCCAACTAATCCGCCTCACACAAGCTGTCCTCCAGAAGTCTGCCCCTGCCACGATTGCAGCTTCTGGCTGTAACCAAGTTACACCACTGTCGCTCTGTCTCTTCATAATCCTACAAATGGCCTCCTCGACACACAATTCGGCCTTTTACCCACGCGATGGGGCCGATGCCTCTTATGACAACGGAACTGCACATAGGCAGAATTCTCCACCAGAATGCACCAGCAACTGCAAGAATGACGAGGCACCACTTTGTGACAAACTTTTTGCCAGAGGTGTGCTGCCGGCTAGACATGCACGCCGGTGGGCAGATGCTGCGAAGGAGAGAACTGTACCGGCACCCAAATTTTGCTCGCGGACTGGAATCCATGCAGCCATGCTCTCCCTTCCAGAATCGACGGCCACTGACCTTGGAGAACGCGCTATTCTTCTCGCTAAGGGTCAGCACTTACACGATGCCGGGACTCAGGACCCTGTCAGTGTGACAACTAAAACTCGATGTGTTGTCGACACCCAAGGTCCCGATTTTCAGGATTGTTTGGCGGTAGCTCTCCATTACCTGCGGGTCAGAAATATTGTCCGCGGGCGTGCTCGACCTTCTAAAGCCCAATACTTTGCGCCAGACAGTCTTTCCCACTACCTCTCCTTTCTCGCCCATTTCAGGGATATGCTCCTGTCGTGCTCCACAACGCTCGCGACTTACTCATTAGAGATAATGCCAAAGACGACCCATAATCCCGAAAGGATGCAGGAACAAGAGTTTGTCGAGTACTTTGACATTGTTTGATGGGGCATGGACCACAAGGATAAAGAGTTGTCTCTGCTGGACCACCTCATGTTGGTTTCTTATATGGGGTCTATTTAGCTACTGATCAGGAACTTCAACGGCCTTCTTCCTTTGGTGCGGCAGCCTATCCTTGCGCTGCCAATACGTCCTTGTATCCTCCGTTTGCGGGTATCAACTGTCCGTTAATCCATCTTGCCTCCTCGCTCGCCAGAAACCCAACCACAAACGCAATATCCTCTGGAACTCCCATACGTTTCTCGGCCGTCGTCGGTTCGACCGCGCTGTCGATCATCGGTTGTCCAAAGATCTCAGCAGCTGCTAGGGTTGCACCAGATTGAGTCGGTCCGACGCTCACGCTGTTGAATGTTGCGCCGGTCTTCAATCCCAGCACAAGCGCTAGGGATCGTGTGATACTCTCGAGGGCTGCCTTCGAAGCGCCGTATGTCAAGACTGGGTCGATATTCGGTTGTTGTCCCGCTATACTGGAGATGTTGATGACCCGCCCGCCCTTTGCTGGGAGATAGGGCAGGGTGGCATTGATGATGCTCATGGGTGCGAAGACATTCCCTTGCATCATCTTGCTGAAGGTCTCCAGGGTGGTGCCCGCAAATGGCTGGAGTAGGCCCATGTCGAGGACAGCAGCATTGTTGACCACAATGTCGATCCGCTCCGTACCTAAACCTTTGACGGTCCTCGATATAAGGTTGGGCCCAATGGACGGGTCCAAAATATCAGCTTGGATAGCCACGGTCTTCAAGGAAGGCGAAATTGCGAGGCATTCCGAGAACGTTTTCTCCGCGCCTTTGGAATTTTTGACGTAGGTGATCGCGAGGGCGGCGAGGTCCTTTCGTACCAATTGCACCGCTATGGCTGCTCCTATGCCTTGCGAGCCGCCAGTGATCAAGGCGACTTTGCCGTGGAGCGAGGAGGCGGACTGGGTTTCTTCGAGTCTTGTCATGGTGGGCCTGTGGTCAGCGAAGTCTTTGTTTTTATGAGCGGCGCTGCTTGTCTGTCTGGAAAGTTGTACTTTTCTGGGATTCGGGCCGTTTTATACCTTCTTACGACCATTTTCGAGGATCGATACCCATCTCCCAACCCCTGGTCCAGAGTGAATTCGGCCGATTCCCAGGCGACTGCCGCAGTCGTTCTTTGACCGATCAGCTTCACATCTTGTGACGAGATCATGCAAACCCATACGCTGCATGACTCCTGCCTTGTTCAGGGAAGTTGCTGCTACTGAAACTCTGGGCCGCAAATTTGCGCAAGGTTGAGATGTATACTATGTGGGGAAGATGCAACTGGATTACCCCCTGGTCGCTTTGGCGGCTGACCTGGACATCGGCAGCTACTCGTCTACGAGATCGTCGGCCGATGTTTCGGCCGAGCGGTCATTGGCCTCCCAACTCGGGCGGACTCGACGAGCACTGTCGTCTTGAATGCTCTTCGTCATCTATGGCACTACGAATTGCACCTGAGCTTTGAAGCTCATGACAACCACGTCGACCGAGCCCGACTTTTAGTGTCGTTAGTGAACACTAGACATCGTCTTGGCCGACAGAGTGAGCATGGCTATCATCAGCAATGCGGCAGCATCGCCGACCACCGCCAGAAGGTTTACCGGAGAAGACTGGACGGGGATTTCTAATCCCAAAAGACGAAAACGGCTCCAGAACAGGTTGAATCAGCGGGCATACAAAGAGCGCCGGCGGCAACAAAAGCTGGCAAGAGCATTTGGTCCGAGCGAGGGATCCCAACATGAGAGGCATGTTGAGAATCAGAACACACTTTCAACACAGTCAGAGTCTGTGTTGAGCCTGAGATATCCAGTTACGTGGTACCCTGGGGCTCTAGTCGATCCAGTTGTACGGGGAGTTATTTTCTTTGGTGTGTGACCTCCTTGTCCCTACTCCGTCTTCGGGTTGGACACTAATCAACACCGTATCCGCCTATAGCAAGAGATACCCTTTGGCCGACCTTCTCTTACTCGAAATCGTACCCTGGGTTTGCACCTTCGCTCTCCGAGATATGGTTCCACCGCATACTCAACGTACCAGTTATGCGCAATGCTGTGATCATTGGGACGTGTATTGACCTCGAGCTCCTGACGGGCAGACGGTATTCGTCCACCATCTCGAAGACTGTTATTGAACTGAGCCGAGAGGTTAGACGACTTTTGGGGGCAATCGCTCCTACAAGTCATTCAAATGCTGTTGGACGCGACAGGCAAGGTCATTCGGGCAGTCAAACCTCCCACAATCATGCTGACAACCATGAGACAGCAGCAGGGGAAGCGCCACAAGTCAAGGATGACCTCCTCTTCGCTGTAATGCATCTTGTTAAAGCGAGCACCATCAACCTGTCTTCTAGTCGCATACCATCTGGCTCTTTCGACACCGCACCAGGCATATTCGGTCTTTTTACACCCTCGCTGTTCCTTCAGCGGCTTCAGGCTCTACACCTCTGGGGTCGCTCTTGCCCATTCCAAAGTCAAGGAAAGGAGTTAGATGCACAGGCCACTCAGCACCTCTCGGCGCTGGAGTCCCTGGTCGCCCTCAGGGGTGGGCTCCACAGCATTCATACGCCCGGCTTTGCCGAGGGTTTGCACCTATTTGGTGTCATTGAAGCGGCGAAGCGCTTGGCCAGGCCTAGGTTCGAGCTATCGGAACAGAGTGTCCGGTCCTTGAGACTCACGAGAAGCCTACGAGGAGGCGAGTCCGTGCGTGCTTTGGGAATTGGTGCATTTGCAAGGATCCTTGATGACCCTTTGTTGCTAGAAATTCTGACGGATATACACATCCTCTGTTCGTGGGTGCCAAGCGGGTCCGGTCTCCATCGTCACCATGGGGCTGAAAGAAACCTGGCTTTGGTTCCGATACATCTGCCCTCGGCCGAGAATATCTCCACACTCAGGAACTCGATTGAGTATCATTTGCTCACATACTCGCTCGAGTCAGATAACGCCGTTGTCGAAAAATTGGCACACACGGCGATGCTAGTGTTCATGCACGGGGTTCTTTTTCCGCTGCCGCATCGGACCTCAATGATACGACTGATTGAAAGGTTGAGCGAGACCTTGCGCGGTCATTTCCAGCACATTGATTTTTCATTCCTCAATCCAGAGGAGCAGAAGTTCCTTACCTGGGTAGCCATGATGGGCGTCATGGCGACTTCAGATGCCGATGTGCTGGAAAGAACGTTCCTCGTCGGACAGCTTGCGCTGTTCGTGGGGCACATGGGTGTATCGAACTGGTGGGATTTGAAAACAATCTTGGAAGAGTACCTGTGGGTTGGGTGGGCATGCGATTCGGGTGGACTATATGTATGGAATATGCTAGTCGAGCATGGTATTGGTGCTGGAGGAGCGGCCATTTGGTGATCCCGCAGGAACGGCATGGAGAGCTTCTAGCAGCTAGCCAGGCAACCCCCACGAGCAGGTCTAAAGACCAGTTCGCAACTTTATTTCATGGCGGGCGCGGAGTACTTGACCCTCTGTCCGGATACTGCTGTCTCTGGCAGCGGCGCAAGCGGAGCAGGCGGGGCAAAATGAGTCTCTATCCATACCATCCAAATATCCAGGTCATATCTTCCATCACCATAAGCCATTGTGACATGTTTAACCTTACTTCCCATCCCGAGCCACAACCCTGCCGCGTGGATACTCTTGACCAACCGCCTTATCCTCTCGATCCGCATGAGACCTCCAGCTCTACCCCAAGCGTGTCCCGTACGCTAACTAACGCAATAGGCGGGCGGGAACCCTCTTGCTACAACCTACGCGTCAGCAACGTCCTGAACTTCAAGAACCCGTTGCTCGTCAACTGGAGACAGAACAAAGTATTAGAGTCACGGCCTGTCTCTGTCCGCGACTTGATACTCAGCAACAGATCGCAGCCCGCTTGCGAGTGTGGTCGGTCGGTCGGTCGGTCAATGGTCGGTCAATGGTCGCAGTACTGCAAGCAAGGATGCTACAGTGGACCTCGCGCACATCAATCACCATTAGTGGTGAGTGGCCTCGTATATATCAGTTGAAGCCGAAGAGCAGAAAGCAAAGTACGGAGTACGTAGGGTATAATCCAGGCGGAGCACCATCACTTGGCGTTTATTCCGCGTGGGTCGGTCTCTAGATCAGTGGGAAAAGAGTTTGTGGTGGGGCAGTCCCGTTACTTCCCAGTTGCTTCCTTGTTCCCGTCCCTGGCCACGCATGGCGAGGCAGCAGCACAGGCCATGGACAATTAGTTCGTAGTGAACTGGGGGTGAGGCTTCATGGGCCGAACGGGGTATGTCTCTCGTGTGGCGGCAGGCACTGCCTCTCACACTCGAACCACACACTACATCCCAAAAGAATGGCGCAGAGGGTCTGTGGTTGATCGTCTGTGTTGCCTTGCCTGGCTATGAAACTATCCTTGAAGTAATTACTCCGTAAACAAGGACAAAAAGGAAAAAGAAGCGCAGCCTTGCGCTAAAGTGCCAGCCAATCAGAACGCTCGGTTGCAGTCCCTGAACATTTCTCCAAGGGAGTGTGGCCAGCCTTGCCAAACTAGAACCTCTCTCCACCACATTACAAATAGCTGCGAGCCCAGCTCTCCAGAGATAGACTCCAGCAGAGATTTGACATACTGCGGTGCCTCTGCCGCAGGAGTCTTGCGTACAATGCCATTGGACTCATTGTCGCGGATCGGCCCAACTTCGACGACGTCTACCAGAACCAATAATTAAGAGAGGCGGAGAGGAGAGAGTCGCCGGCCTCAACACTGTATATTTACGCCTTTGAGAACGAGAAGGCTGCAGTTTGCCGCAGCCGCACGTGTGGCTCCTAACCCTACTGTCATCGGGATGTCGCTGCGGCAAGGCACCATGATCCCCACGCACGCCGCACCTCATGAAGGATAATGGCACTGCCTCCGCCCATCCTCTGTGAAAATTTCCAAGAACGGCCTCTCACTGGACAGCACCAGTGTCCCGTTCCTGGCGTTCTTGGTTTCCGTCGCCCACGTGGCGCCGCCATTCTTCCACGCCACCAGGTTCCCGTCGTTGCCTCCATGGAAGATCAGATCGCCTGCACCCTCGCCGTACTTACCGAACGCCCACTGGACTCTTTGGTTGGCGTCGTATACCACGAGGTTGCCGTCGCGCTGGTAGCAGAACTGGTTGCCATTCTCGAACACCAAGAAGGGCTTGTCGTTCGGGCTGACCTTGAAGGTATCCCCCTTGAACGAGACCGACTGTCTGCCCGTAGACACTCCGTTGGCGAACTTGATCTGTTTGGCCTTTTCGGTGGCTTGATTGATCCGCGAGTCCACGTCTTGCTTGGCCTTTTCGATCTCCGTCTTGGCTTGCGCTTTGGCCTGTTCGGTTTCTCGCCTGGCCTGGTCCCGCTCCTCGCGGAAAGCGTTGATCGTGGCATTGTTGGTGTTCGTGTCGGTGTCGTACACCGGAGCGGGCTCGGCCACGGTATTGGATAGTTTTGTGGAGGTAGAGTCTCCCCAGATGAGACCTAGTCGTAGGATACCGCCATTTGTTTCGTTCGTATCGAGCCTACCGAAAAAGCCCTTGAGCGTGCCTGTACTGAAAGCATTGTCAAGGTAGACCGTGTGGATGTTTTCGTATACGACGCTATCCTTGGAAACTTTGCCTCCAGGCATGATGTCGTTTTTCACGGCTTGGCCGAGGAGCCGACGGCCGCGGTTGGTGTACATGCACACGGAGAGAACTCTGGGATCTTGAGTTCCCGTCGCCACACCATGTTCAATGGCCACAGCAAAGATACGTTCGCCCGCTTGAAAGTTGCCGAGAGTCTTCCGGACGAGATTCTCCGCTGCCAGTCCTTTCCGGAGGATGAGGCCATTCTCGTAGACGACTTCGACGGCGCCAACACAGCCACGTTTCGTGATGCCGATGGAAATGGATTCGACTTGCCATTCAGGGAGGAGGAAATCCAGGTTATTGAACAAAGCGCCCTTGTCCGTCTTGGGCGCAGCTGTCGATACTTGCAGGTGCTTGCCAATCTTGGGGACCTTCTTGCGAACGTCGTCCAGTGAAGCTGTCTCATCAGGATACAGGTCTTGATCCATCTGGTATAACGCCGGGGATTCATTCTGCAGCTGGTCCTGCTCCTTTTGTTCGTCGAGTAGTTCTTGCTCGGTTTGTGTTTTGGCCATGATTCTCTTGCCAGTAAGCGGGTCCGATTTGGGCTTCAACCTATCTGGAATTTTCATGTTGGGCAGTCGGGTCTCGAAGAGCGTGGGGGATTGGAACGGTTCTTCATGCTCTTCGTCTGTGGCGACTTTGGGGTCTTTCTCGATTAGGTCAATCTCGTTGACAATGTATACCATCTGGCGGCGGATGAACTTGCGAGCATCACTGAGACCTTGCAGAGACGCCTGGAACGGAGTGGTGTCCACTGCGGCAGCGAGAGCAGCTGCATAGCTCTTGGCAGCGGCCAAAGCTCGTGCATCACCGGATGCGATCGCTTGCCCGATTGCTGTGTGGGCCGTGGAGCTGGCAGGAGTCGAGCTGCTCGCTGGACGACTGCCGTCTGTGCCGTCGCTACTTGGCCAAGGTTCGAACTCCAATGTCTTGTTTTGAAAACCGGTGGCCTGGTCGCCAAGTTTCTTGTACAATGACTTGTAGGACATGAATGCATCCATGAGCACATTCGTGTAGATCTGTGCATTCTCATACTGGATAGGCGAGTATGCTGCCGGTCGAAGTGAAACAAAGCTTCTCAAGCTCTCATACTTGGTCAGTATGGCGTGTGTCCGTTGCGGGCAGTTGGCGACGAGACTCGGGAAGCGTGCAGCAGCCTCCATGATACTTTGGATATTCCACGGTTGCTCCATGTGTTTGATATGCCCACCGCCACACCAACTCACTTGGATGGTGGTTTCAGTGTTCATCTCCAGGTTGGTCCTCGCGATGCCGACGTTGGCTTCTGCGGTGATATCCACAGGACCAGTCGTGAGTGCCACCTTTGCTTCGGCCTTGATGTCCAGTAGCTTGGCTTTGTTGTGAACTTTCATGCTAACGAGGGCATTGAACTCGCCGCCCTCGACGAAGCCGGAGATGAAACTGTCGCCGTAAACCTTTTTCCACTCATCTGAACCGGGCTCACAAGAGCGCATAGAATTGTAGACCAGGGCGTCTTTGAAGTTGATGGTTTGGTTGATAACCTTGACGGAAATATAAAAGTTCAGGTCGCTTTGCTTGAACTTGTCCGAGTCGACGAATGAGCCTCGTCCAGACCCTCCAATCTTGGCCATCTTGACAGACAAAGCCCCAGAGATGCACATGTCATCAGTCACGTCGCTCAGTTTGTCAATGAACCTACTTGAGTAGGTGACTGTTTGGCTCGGACCCCTTGGCGCAGTAGGGTCAAATGGGTAGGCTCTGTCGCTATTGAAGATGCCGTCGAAACGATCTGCAAACTGGTTCTGGGCTTTGATCTTATTGAGATCTTCAAGCGTCAAGGCATCTTTCTTGGCCGCGATAGCTTCGGACATGGCCTTCTGAGCTGCCTCTCGACGAGCTTGGTCATACTTCCTCTTTTCCGCGCGAATCTGTGCCTGTTCTGCACGTTCATCTTGTTGACGTTGCCGTTCGTCTTGACGAGCCTCAAGCTCAAGCTGCTTTTGATAATCACGCTGCTCTTTCATGCGTGCCTTTTCTTCTCTCATCATCTCAAGCTGCTCCTGTTTTTCAAGGCGAGCTTGCTCGATCTCGAGTTCTGTAAGTGGTTTCTTTGGAGCAGGCTTGGGCGTGGGAGGAGCTGCATCTTTGCGCTCCCTCGTTGGGATTTCTTTGACCTGGAATTTAGCAGATCCCTTCTTCGGTTCTACGCTTGTTTTTGAAGTGCTTTGTTTGTGACCGACAGAGGAAGATCGAGGTTTGGTTCCAGCTGTTTTGCTGTTGGGAGATGTAGTCGTGGCCGAAGTCTTAGCTGCGCGGGTCTCATACTTCGCAACAAGTTCGCTCGTCGCTGACTTCGGAGCAGTGTGGCTTGTATCTGCCTCTGGTGTTTCCGGAGCAGGGTCCGGATGAGTATCTTCTTCGCTGACCTTGACGACGGACCCAACGTCGCTGGAGTCGCTAGCGCCGGCTGTATGAGCGGTCTCGTCTGTGGCTGCCTCAGCTCCATTTTTGTCGTCAGCATTCGCGGCTGCAGCAGCATCGGCATTAGCATCGGTATCATGGTCTGCGGCGGTATCCTCATGGGCCGTAGCAGTCGTATCACTTTGGACGTGAGCATCACCATGAGCATCCGCGTCTGGGCTGGCATTGACATCAGGATCTGTGGCGGCTACTGTATCACTGTGTCCAGCTGAAACATCATCGGGCTTTGCTACTCCCTCAATCAAGCCTGCTGGGGTGGAATCGGGACTAGGCTCCAGCGAGTCCGTCGATTTGGTCGGACCTGGATCTACAACTTCCTTAAGTCTGTTCCAAGCACTGGGCTTTCCGGAAGTCTCGGCGACGATTCGCATTGTCGTGCCATCGTTGGTGAGGATATTCTCTGCCCTGTTCGGGTCCACGATCACAGCATCGTCGACGCATATTTGCTGGGTATATGAATTGAACCTTGCCAGAAGTTAACATGGTGGTCTCAAGGTCGCCGACCCACAGGGCTTACCCTTGGCCAAGCCGCATGGCATTGGTATACGGAGCTAAAAGGAGAGACATCTTGAAGGTATACTAGATGTGTTCGCGACGAGTGTGTAGGATAGGAAAGAACGAGGGCCCGTTAAAGGGCAACTCGGCCAGGTCGAGGCAGTCTTTTAATGCATAGTACGGAAACGAAGTATTTGGCCACGCATGCCGTTGCTTCAGCTTCCCGAGACATATTCAACCTCAAGCGAAGGCTCCACTCACCATATGGGGATCCCGACATCCTCGTACGTTCGTCTTGGAAGAGCCGGTAGCGAATGTAGACTAGCATCAAACGAACTTTCCCATTCCAGCCAGCCCAACTGTCTTGGAGGGGATTAGTAGAGGACCAACAAATCAGATGACACGCAGCCTCAATATGTGCTCCCGCCTTCAGTTCAGCTCGCCATTGTGGCCAGCCCAGTGGTTACCGCAGAAGCCGTGGATATTGGGAAAGAGCAGAATATCGATTCGTCGGCGTCCTAAAAGGGGCTGAAGTTCAAGGCCCGGCCCAGCCGCACGCTCCACTTCTTTCCGGTGTCTAGACCGCGGTGGCTTTCAGTGCGGGCAGCCACGCGGCGTTGATGGCAGTTTTGATGGTAGGCGCCCTGAATTGAGTTTGGCAAGTTCTGTTCTGCAGTTTCGAAAGACTTCATACGCTGTCCGTGCTATTGAAATGGGCACCTCCTTTTCTTTCCTTCGTGGGAACGAAGGCGCGTCCGCACCAGCCGTCGATGGCGCCAGCCAGAATAGAAGACAGTGAATTCGAGGACTGGCTTCAGCTAGGTCTTGACGACAACAACTGGATTGTCCAACAAGCCTCCCTAGGTGTTCCTATCACACTGCCCTGGAAGAGACAGCGGGTTAGGTTGGGATCCTGTTTCCGATCCCGCGCCATACATGGCGATCCGTGGCTTGAAGGAAATCCCTTCATCTTGTCAGACCTTTTCATGATCCCCAAGATCTTGCGGAGCGAATACGGCAGTGTGTCTTCGTTTCACTCTGTCAATACAACCCGCAAAAGCGAGACTGGTAACCATTTAAGCCTGGGCTTTGGCGTTGGAGTTGGCCTACCTCTCCTGTGTTCTGCTTCCGTCAAAGGAACGTATGATGAGGACGTGCAAAACAACACAGATGTAAGCTCGTCCACCCGGAATATTAGTGAAAGCGTCTCAATCTAACGAAGAGTACTAGTCGGACAAAAGTTCTATCCGTGCCAGTGTTCGGAGTGCAACTGTGCAACTGGACCGTAATCCGCGGCTCTCTCACGAGGCTATGGTAATGCTAAAGTACGGAGGTGGCTATCAAGCATTCACGGAGAAGTATGGCGACTACTTCGTGTGGGGATATCGTCTTGGAGGGGATGCTGGGCTTATGGTGAGCAGCTCCAGCTTTTCAACCAGAAAGGACGAGTCGTACGGCATCAAAGCGACTCTCGAAGTCTTGACCGTCGAAGTGAGCCACACCTGGACCAAAGACTTGCATTCCTTTGATGCTGGAAAGGCGATGAGAGTCTTGGGCTACGACACGCTCAGCAACCGGAATTGGAACGTCACGAGTGCTGGGGATGGCGGCATTAATGCTCTGCTTGGGCAGACAGGAGAGATCATTCTGAGTTCGCAAAATATCCTTGAGAGAGTGCTCAAAATCTTGGAGGAACAGAAAATGACTGACGGAGACTCGTTATCAAATGAACAGTGCGACTTTCTGACTAGCAATGGAGTGGTAGTCGAGCTTGTTCTTCTGCCCATGTCTGCTATGAGGGATGTAGCTCGCTGGACAACTGAACATGATGTAATATAACGACTACAGACAAAGGTATCGGATGGAGCCCAAGTCTACTCGCGTCTCCCAAACAAGCCATTGAAACCGTAGAATTGAAGATCACCTGAGGCATCGTGAATGGGACTCCAAGCTACATCAAGGCGAAGACCGTTTCGTTCTTTCCAAACTTCCAGATAGCATTCAATCGATCTTTCTGCCGGCGTACTCGCCATGGAAGGTCCAGTGTCGTACCTTCCAATCTCCAAGTCGGTCCTGATCAAGCCGAAAGGATGCTGTCTGGTGTCTTTTTCAGCCCGAGAATTGCCCCGGATGCTCCAACTCGCTCGATCGGTCGAGCAACATGCCGTAAACTGTGGTGCATTTCTGGTCTGTGCAGCGTGGCACGCATCAGAACAGCCAGCGTCTCTGTATGTGGTCCGTGCCGTACCATTTCTTCAGCTCCCCACAACTCTAGACGGTTCCATTGATCCTCGAGAACCCACTCTGCGAGACAGAAGACTCAATTTCAGCCAGCCTCCAGAAACCATGCAGGTGCGGTCATGCGTACCTTTGAAACAAGGGCACTGCCACAGAAATGAGGAAAGTTCGGCAGCGGATAGGCGCTGAATTAGTGTTGGTTTTTCTCAGCTTCTGTGACCAGACCTTGCTCTCATCACTTTCATGAGTCCACCCACTGAGGCCGGACCGCCCCGGCTGTGGCCTCTCAAGATCTAGCCTAGCCAAGATTGTTCGGTACAGACTCGACAGATTCACCAATAATGTGGCCGCCAGACGCGTCGCGTTCATCTTGGCTGGATCCAGCCTCTCGGTGAATTGATACCTCGCTTATCTTGCCTTGCTAGGTACTGTACCTCTAGTCAACACTCGGCTCTCCCCACGACTCAGCCAGCCACGTGCTGAATAAAGTTTTCAACTGAGTGTTGTTTCACGTCCCTGCGTTGACCACAACAGTTGTTCCCTGTTAGGGCGGGTGATTCGGGCCATCCCATCTGATCATGGCTTTTGTGGATCATACGGCTTGTCAGCTTCGAGATGTGTCGCTCCACTCCAAGCAACCAACTGTCTGCTCAGCGGCAATACATGTGGAAGTCCTCAATCGGCCCATCAGGTAGCAGCATGTGCTCTGCTTGTACTACGCACGACAAGGGACGACATCCCAAGAGAGTTCACAGTGGTCACTTGCATAAGTATCTACCAGTTCCCTTGATTGAAAGTGTCTTTCCTTCATCAATAGTCGGTCTACTTCGAAATCAACTCTAACATCGTGAGCACACGACAAGGAAGAACTAAATTCAGTTGTCTACCCTCGTCACTTAGCCACAAGCTTTACAGCACGGAACTTGCACCAAGACAGCAACAAAAACACAGGAGTCAGCCGGATTCAGCAGTCGACAAAATGGTCACCTATTCAGACAACATTTTGCCCCGTTGCAAGGGAATCGCCAAGGCTGCCACTGAGCAGAACCAAACATTCACGAAGGACTTCTTGAACACCGAAGTCAAGTATTACGACAAGATGGACGAACCAAAGAAAGTAACCCACCCACAACGCCTCGATGACCTGTACGGCACTCTCTTCAGTTCATTCACTAGCCCGCTGCCCGCCGGCACTCCTGACAAGGAGAAGAAGAAAATGGTCCAGACAGTTCTCGATCAATACCATGCCAAACAAGCTTCGGCCCGAGCATATCTGGTACTTGCTTCTCAGAACGGGGGAATGCAGAAGCCCTATGACAAAAGCGCTGTTGGGTGGTTTGACAGGACTCAAAAGACCCTGGAGGACTTGATCTTGGGACTTCAAAAGACGTTGAACGAGTGGAAAGTATGAAGATGGCTGTGGTAGATTCCCCGATTTTGCTTTCCGCATTGGGATTGCTGAAGCTTTGAGCGACGCTGTGACTCAGAGGCTTCTCCCAAGAACGCATGAAGCCACGATGCTATGGTTGAGCTTCTTCGGTGTCTAGAGTTTGATGAATAAGTCACAATATGATGGTGGACCTCGATTGTCCTTCCAGCCATCCTCCGCTAGCGAAGCCTTGTAGCCTAGTGTACCCATGTCTTCACAGCTCAGTCCCTTCTACCTCATTTGCAGGCTCGATTTCCGTCCTGACTGTCTCACTTCAAGAGTCGCATTCCTCTTTCGGTGAGATTTCCCGATGTACTCGTGAAGCCCCCTCGCAGCAGCAGACAGTTCGATAAGAGATTGCTCATGGAATCGGTTTATTGGTCCTCCACCAGTCCACCAGTGCCGTCAAAAGTCCTTGACCGCTTTCTGTGACCAAGAAATGATGGACTGGTGAACTTTCCCCCTGGCTGTTCAGTCTGGGTTACAACCTTCAAGGGTAATGTGGTGACGGAGAGCATTCAGCCACCGATGCGAGCTTGCAAAGGTTTTCGTCCGCACATGGAGAGGTTATGTAGTCGCAGCGTTGTACTGCGACAAAGCATGAGTGCACACTACGGAGTACCCTTCTTCTTTTCACCGTTGATAGATGTATCACTTGATCTCCTCACTGGTTCTTCACGACGGTACCGTCTTTTCTCCCTGTTTGCCTAAAGTCAATAAAGCTCATGTACATATTGTACATCAGAAATCAATATCTAGCCGGTGTTTCATCACCCACATCGTTGACGACGGTACCCAACCTTTCAGACACTATTGCAACATGGTTGGGTGCGGAGGGAGCAAAGAACGGCTCCTTAGTAAGCGGCATCATCCCCGCGGCAGAAGCGAGAGCGCGGCACCGGTGGCATCTTTGCAGTGGTTAAGTACACAATAGCAGGTGAGCAAAGACCGTCCCGAAACCACCACTATCGCTGGCCACGTCACAACTACATCACATCTATTAGCAGAGCAACCGTTATGAACTCCAGCTCACCAGATTCTTCCGCCGTCGTCGTACCCTCTCGTAGCGCAGGCGTTGAGGCATTTGCACTTGGATCGCCACACGAAGATTCTCGACAGCCACCACCTCTCCGCCGATCCTCTCCCAGACTTTTTCGAGAAGTCTTTAATGCCATGCCTGATACTGCCTCCCGCAGACAAGCAACGCTTCCGTACCCCGTGTCTAGTCCGCAAGATCCCCTCCAGAGCGTCAGCCGAGCCCTGCAAAGCGTCAATCGAGCACTTCAGGACGCCCAACAGGCATTCCACCAACCCAGACGACCAACAAGTGAGACCGAAGCGCGAAGCCTGGGAACGAGGGGTGAAGCAGCTGAGCTACCGGTTGATCTAACAGCGACGAGCAGTCCCAACTCACGATCGGCGGAAAGTCACTACATCTCATATACCACTCATCCTCACGACTCCTCTCAAGCCCATCGCACGAGAAGATTCAACGCCCTCAACGAGCCTATCTACCCTAATCCTACTCAAGCCTCCTCTCCCCATCGGAGCCATACTTCCAACCACGAACTCCCTCATCCTCTACCCAACTACAGCTTCTGGCCTCCGTACCGACTCGGCAACGTGCGACTGCCCCGTATACGACCCTTGGGCGAAGGGCAATTGCCGTCCGCAGTGGAGGAGGAGGCCATAAACCGGCAGCGTGAGAATCACTCAAATTGGGAACGCACACAAGCCAGGAACAGGGAGCGTCAGCGAAATCAGGGACAACGTCAAGATCAAGATTCTTCGCAGCACTCGAGTCAATCCACCATGTCGCCCCCATCGTCCTCCCACAGCAGACCGACCACGCAATCTTCTCGACACCGCACTTCCACGCCACAGCTCGTGAGTGATCCATCCGTCGATGAAGTCGACCTCACCGCCGTGGATGACCGTGCAAGCCTCTCCGCTGCCCTTTCCAAACAGCGTGAGGATGCCATTCTAGCGCAAAATCCAGGGACAGAAGCAGGCCGGACACCGCTTACCGCGTACAAGTGTCCAGTGTGTATGGACACGCCGACCGATGCTACTTCTACTGTATGTGGGCATGTGTTCTGCCACCGGTGTATAGTAGATACCCTCAACTGGTCTATCGACCAACGTAGGGAAGATGCACCAGCGCACCGCAAAGTCAAAGGTGTATGTCCCGTATGTCGGAAACCTCTGGATCTCAAGGACACGCCTGGTACGGGACGGAGCCTGGTCCCACTCGAACTGCGGCTGTTGGTGAAGAAGAGGAAACGGGACGGGGACGCCGACACCGGCAAGGCAAAGGTGACATCCATGGTCAAGGCCGAGAGGTCAAGTGATGACGAAGAGGTGCGCAGCGGCAAGGCGAGGGCTGGAAAGGCACGGAAAGGAGAACGCGAGTCTACCGAGGAGGCGATATGGAGGGTGTTTACGAATGGTACGGATAACGACAACACCTAGGCCGCCCAAACTCTGTTCGGAGGACGACTATCTCTGCTGTTCCTGTGCAGCATCTCGACGGCCTCGCTCGTGTGGGAAGTGGAGTAGTCGTTTGATGCGATTCGAGGGAAACACCCACGATGCCACATCGGCTTTCATACGTTAGGCCTGCTATGTTCGTGGTAGTGATGCTTTGCAAATCAATTCGATTGAGCAATCACCACACAATGAAGATATAAAAGGCCAAGTTGACTGTCGACTTCTAGATCCTGGGTTCCGTGACATGTCATAGGGACTCAGTCATGCGTGCCGACCTTATCATACCTGTACTCATGAAGCGCAGCTTGTGGGGACCAACTTCCAGACGAAGCTCTAATAATTTGGTGGTCTGGGTCGTCTCATAAATGACGAAGAGCCTCATAGTGGCTGCTGAACAAGCCTTAAATAGAGCCTAAACGTACAGTAGGCGGTCTCCCTCACCAATTGCAGGTTGGATAGTGCCTTAGTTGGTTCGCAAGCTCAAATGCTTCGCCTAAGAGCCTGGGCATCAAGGGCATGTACGGAGTACTGTGGTAAGGTCCGCGTCGTGCCTCGTGGGCGCCGCCATTGGCCCCAGGCGGGCACCTCTTTGGTCCCTCATGCTCAAATTGGCCCCTGTGCGTCATTGTAGGATTTCCTCAAACAAAGCCAGACGCAAGTCATTTTTTTGAGCGGCTGCGACATCATGTCCTGTACGTGACTGCCCCTGTGCTTTTGTCCCTACCATGGGCAGCCTCCTTTTCGTTTGCTGAAGCGACTCTTTGTATTCGGACCTTGCTCGACCCCTCGGAGTTGCTCCCGTCCGCCACAATGACACACGGCTCGCATGTCCTCTCCTCCTCGAAGCGCGCTTCGGTCGACTCGGAAGACACGTCGCAAAGCCCTCTCGCGCGTCACTCCCGAGACCATGGACATAGACCACACTTGCACGATCTGGAAGCGCAGAACCATGCGGCAGAAAGCCTCCATCCCCATGTGAGAATTCAGGACAACCCAGAGCACCATCAACATGCAGCAGACGAGGATACCCAACCTCACTCGCCCCGAATTCTGCATCGCACCGAGACCGTCATGTCCAAAGGTTCGATAAAGTCCCTGCGGCGGAGAGGAAGAGCAGATACCGCCAATGTCATCTACGGTCCGGCCGAGATGGGCAGGTCAACGGGCTGGACGCCGGGCCAGGAGCCTGGTATTGACACGAGCGACCCGGCTCCTCCGTACAGTCAGGGCAACGCGGTTGGCGGAGACTCAGCGCACCTCGAGAAGCTCAATCAGCGGTGTGAGATCACAGTGGTGGACTTCAGCAATGAGGCGGTCTCGACAACGGACCTTGACAATGACAATATCGAGGACTTTCTTCAGAAAGGGCCCCCAGGCTGGAGCGACGTCCGATGGATCAACGTCAATGGATTGTCATGGGACGTGATCCGAGTACTAGGGAACCACAAGCGGCTTCACCGGCTTGCCATTGAGGATCTGATTCATACTAAGAACAGGACGAAGGTGGATTGGTATAGCGACCATACCTACATGGTCTTGCCTCTGCAGAAGCTCATCAACCTGGAAGAGAACGATTCGGATGACAGCTCTGACGACGAAGGCAAGGGCGACTCGAAGTCTGACGTTGCCGAGTCTGAATACCGCAGTAGAGTCATCACCGAACACCAGAGGAGGAAACGCGAAAACAAGCGAAGGAAAGGAGCTATTCTCTCACTCATCGAGGACTTGCGGAAGCCCATGAAGAAGAAAAGGAAACGCGGGTCTGGCTCCGCCGATATCATGGAGGGCCTACAGCCTTCAAACAGCTTCAAAAACAATAAAGTGGGAATCCCGTGGGCGCCCAGGAACATCCGTACCATGCAACGCTATCACGCCGGGCCCAACCAGGACCGCATTGACTACATGGAGCGGCACGCCGTCCTCAGTCCAAAGGGCATCGGTGTCTCTATGGAACAGGTGTCGATTTTTCTCTGCGCCGACAACACCGTCATCTCCTTCTTCGAGTATTCCGCGCACGATGTTCAAACACCCATCATCCGCCGCCTCCAATCACCGGGGACCATTCTGCGCCAATGCTCAGACGCCAGCATGCTCTGCCAAGCTATCCTCGATGCGATAATCGATCTTGCCATCCCTGTAACGACGGCCTATCAAGATGCAATAGGAGACTTGGAACTAGACGTGCTCACAGACCCCGACATACATCAATCCAACGTTCTTTACATTCTCACCTCGGAGATTGCCATCCTGCGCAACGCAATCGCGCCAGTCGTTCAATTCATCGGCGCCCTGAAAGACCACAAAACAGATGCTCAGCCTGCACCGGCAACCCATTCGCGCGTCGCTAGTCCCGCCGCGTTCGAGCCACACGATCCTCTCAGCAAAGCCACGCCCCAGGAGTTGAAGAATCCGAATCTTCGGAAACAGTTCTCCTCGCCACCTCTTTTGAGTGGGGTACAGATTTCTCCTCTGACGATAACTTACCTCGGCGATGTGGAAGACCACGCGTTGCTGATTCAAGACTCTTACGATCAAATGCGCCGTAATGCCGACAACCTTGTCGACTTGATTTTCAACACGGTCTCGGCGTACCAGAACGAATCCATGAAACAACTCACCATCGTGACCTGTTTCTTCTTGCCCCTGACCTTTTTGACCGGCTATTTTGGACAGAACTTCGAGCGCTTCAATGGCGTGCAGCATCACAGCGATGCCTTTTTCTGGGTTATTGCTGTGCCAGTGTCGGTGGTGGTGTTTTTGTTGCTGATGAGGGATGTCATGACGAGATGGGTGGTGAGGTGGGCGAACAAGGCACTTATCAAGAGAGGGCGGCGGCGACGGTTGCAGTCTGATGGGAAATGAGGTGACAGTCTGTGGGAAAATGAGGCTGATCAGTGTTCAAGCGATATTGGGCCAGTGGCGATCGACGCAGGCGGCTCCGTGCCTGGGTACAGAGTTGGACTGGACCAGATCTATACCCTGTGCTTAGCATTCGCTTGTAGGCGTCCGGTTCAGTCTATCGAGCGTGGAGTTGCGGAGGGTTGGAAACCAGGCAGAAGCCCAGTCCAAATCATCTACTATGTCGTTGGATGCTCTCACTATGACGTTCGGAGCGCTCTACTTGACTGGTCACAGCAACGCAATATGCAGAGATAGTACTATGTAGCCATGGCCAGTAATCTGTTACAAAGACGCACAGAAATGGCTTAATGCGGCGGCGTATGTTCCACGCTGCAATAATTTGCCGTGTGACACCGGGGTTGCCCATGTCTCATGTACTCCGTCCTTCGTAAATGGAAGCACTTCCCAATCCAAGATGTCAACCACGGCTCTATCTCCCGAACGGGCATCCTGCTCGGGTAGAAGCTCGGCTCTACTTCCGGATTGGGAGTTCCTTGCCGGCAATACATCGGTATTATGCCCGCGAGCTTTTGCAAGGCTGGCCTCTAATTACTCATACTGTGTACACAGTACCTGCTCCCTCAGGGACACCACCAGACACGGGAATTGGCACTTTGAAGGGGAAAGGCCACGGTTGTACACTACACAACCATCATGGCGGCCATATAAGCCCTCGAGGGAACAATTGACTCCCTTCTCCTTCGGGGATATCCCTTTCCTACGGTACATCCACTTATCCCACTCCCACCTCATCAAGTCACCATGACAACCGCCAAAGGCATCACCGTTTTCAGCGGCGGCAGCGCAGCCAACGCCCTCGTCGAAGTCTTCGAAGCCGTGCGTACCACCAAATCCTGCCCCCTCAACTACATCATCCCCATCTCCGACAACGGCGGCTCCTCAAGCGAACTTATCCGCGTCTTCGGCGGGCCAGGCATCGGCGACGTGCGCTCGCGCCTCGTGCGCCTGATCCCGCGCTCCGATCCGCCCTCGATCGAGATGTCGGCAATCTCCAACCTGTTTAACCACCGCCTCTCGAGCACATCGGCCGCCGACGCCGCGGCCAGCTGGCAGGCCATCGTGTGGGGCACGAGTCCCCTGTGGCGCGACATCCCCTCTGCGAAGAAGGAACTCATCCGCGCTTTCCTGAACGCGCTGAATCTCGAAGTCGTGAAACGGGCGAGGCCCCCTTCGTCGACGTTCGACTTTACCTCGGCGAGTGTCGGGAATTTGTTCCTCACGGGGGCGCGGCTGTTCAGCGGCAGCTTCGAGTCGGCGATTTACTTGCTGAGTTCGATCTGCGCGATTCCGGACGACGAGGTGCGCGTGATTCCGAGCATCAATTCGAATTTCTCGCATCATATCGCGGCGGGTCTCGCGAATGGGGAGGTCATCGTCGGGCAGAATAATATCTCGCATCCCGAGGCGCGGACGAAGTTGGAGATGCCTGCCGTGGTGGAAGTGGGAGGGGATCCACCGTCGCTATCGCCGTCTACAGGCGGAGACGAATCCGAATTGCGCGTGCTGCACCATGGATCCGCCGACGACATCGAGGACGCGCATATCCCTGGCACGCTGCCTACGCTACGCCAGCGGAACATCAAATTCTCCAAGGATCACGACGAGGACCTGCCGGCCCGGATCGAGCGCATATGGTATATCAACCCGTATGGACAGGAGATGCTGCCGCCCGCGAACCCGCGGGTGCTGTCTGCGATCAAGGAATCTCAGGCTATCATCTATTCGATTGGCTCACTTTACACGTCTATTGTCCCGTCGATTGTGCTCAAGGGGGTCGGGGACGCGCTGCGCTCGACGCCCGCGCGCCACAAGATCTTGATTCTCAACGGGTCTCTCGACCGCGAGACGGGGCCGAGTTCCAACCCCTTCTCGGCCTTCGATTTCGTCGAGGCAATTGCTCGGGCGGGCGAACATTCGTCAGGTCGGCCGTGGCGGCCAAAGCTTCATGCCTCGCGGTCCGAGGAGACACTGAGGTCTTCAGCCCCGCCGACTCCTGCAGCGACTCGGCACGGCGGGTTTTTGTTCCCTGCTGCTGCAACGAACGGGGTGGCCTCGCACATGCCGAATCACGACCCGTCCCGAGACGCCGTCTATCGCAAATATGTGACGCACGTGATCCACCTGTCTGGGGAGGGCACGCCGCAGGTGGACCGAAGCCATCTCGCCTCGCTGGGCATTGACTGCCTAAAGCTGTACGGTCGAAAGAGCTCCAAGGGCGTCATGCTGTACGACTCGCAAGCTCTGATCGGAGCCATCGAGGCAATTCTGGGGAAGAAGGGCGACGCAATGACGCTGGCCAAGAGTCGGAGAAACACCGTCGACTCGAACGGGTTTCCACAGGTGCAGCAGGAGGCAAAAGCGAATGCCCTAACACCTCCCTGAACGGCTGAGGTGCAAGAGGCAAAAGCGAGCGCTCTGACATCTTTCCTGAATGGCGTTCAGAGCTTGCCACGCCTGTTCCGCAACCACGCCACGAACGGCAGCTTCCACTCGACACGTCTCAGGTCAGGGTGGAAAATGTCAAAGTCGACCTTCTGCAGCCGGTCCAGCCACAATTGTGCGCTGACGGCTGGCCCCATTACGATGCCAAACCCCTTGTCGATGTCTTCTTTCCGCCGTTCCGCCGACGTGCGCTCGCCAATGTCGTACTTGGTGTATCCGTGCCCTTCGTCGTACATGTGCTCGAATTCGTGGCCCGGATCGCGGTATTGTTGGAGGTTCTTGAGCAACTCGCGGGCCGTTATGAGATGGTCGGATGCGCGAGTGGCGACCGTGAAGACGGCATCGCGGACACCGACAGCGTTCGCGCCATTCCGAAATATGTCCTCTTCTTGGACGCCGCATTGGGACATGACGTCCAGAGGGAGGGTAACCACGCCTTGTCGCTCTCGCGTGCCGCCACCCATTTGAGGTGGGTTGACCGAGTGTGTATTGGGTGGAGGGGGAAATGCAAGTAGTGGGACACCACGGAGAACGGCAGCGATGCCTGCGGCTTTCCCGACGTGAGATGCCAGGTGGTCCACCTCCACCGACTTCAGGGGTAGTGCCGAGAGCGTCAGGTAAAGGAGCGTCGAGTATGTTGACTCGGCGTAAGATTCGAGCTCGGACAGATTGGTGAATCCCGGATGCGTCAACTTGCGGTCTCGGGCGGTAATGATGCGTTGGAACCACGTCTTGTTGAGCTTGTGGCCTTGCTTGAGGTAGGACGCGATCAGGATGGCCACGGGCTCCGACGGCGGAGTGAGCTTGAAGCTCTTGTCGATGGTGTCTCTCCAGAATTGCATCCTCATCGCTCCGATTTGAGGCATTGATACGACGTCGGGGATTCTGGCCAGCTCGATGTTGAACGCCCGGATGGCGAAGTACGCCGGGAGCATGTGCGGCGGGATGAAGTAGGCCAGCGTGTATGATGGTGAGTCATAGTTTCTGGAGCTGCAATGAGAAATACGTTCGACGGGCGAGGGAATAGATGAACCCACCGGACAAGACTGGTGCAATAGCCATGTGCTTTCTTTACGTCTGGTGAATCCCTGTCAAGTGAAAGCCGTGCTGGTCGCGTCGACGCGAAGTTGCGAACTTGAGGACACCATGCTTTCTGGGCTTCTTTGGGCCATCTCGATAACAGCCGTCTGCCACATCCTCCCACTGCCGACATATCGGAAGACTGTCCGGCTCGCTGCTCTTTTCCTCTGCCTTCCGAAAGACCCCTAGACTTGACAATCCTTCATTCTGTCTTCGAGCAGTACAGGCAGTACAGCCTTTTCTACAACTTGCATTGGATTGAGTCGCAACTGGACCTTCAACTTTGGTCCTTTGATTGCTCAAGAGGCGAAGCAGGTAGGAGAATTAAATTGCTTGTATGACGTTGACTCGGCGCATCACGTGCACGCGCGTCCAATGCACGCGTCGTCGCCTCTTTCACTCCCTCTTCAATTTGTGCCCATTGCGCAGGCCACCAACGGTTGGGATCCATGGACGTGGACGTGCGGCCCAGAAAAAAGAGACGTTTCTTCGTCGACGACCCAGAGGATGTCGCCGAACAACCGCAACCCTCGTCTTCGGTGAATGCCTCGAGTCGACCAAACTCCGCCACCTCTTCGACCGACCGTGAGCCCAAGTCCAGCCAGACAGATCACGTTGACCTTGGGAACTCTGGTAACAATGCGGCGGCATCTACGTTTGATTCTGACACATTCCGCACCTTTGTCGGAGAGAATGTCCCTCAGGATGTGGTGGACAAAGTGCAGTCTGCCGCCAACGGTAATATTGAGCGAGCAATCAATATGTACTTTGACGGCTCATGGAAGAATATCACAACACCAGCGCCGGACTTACCGCTTCCTTCAAGAGGAGTAGACTCATGGTTGGGCTCTTCTGCTGCTCCAGCCAATGCCCCTTCGGTGCCCAAGCAACGAAAGAAGAGCCAGGGCGAGGCTCTCCCGCAGGCGATACGGTTGGAGACTATGCCGGAAGAGCGATACGTGGGGTCATTTGGTGTGGGCGCATGGATGACCAAGAGCGGTACAGCCTTGTTGGGCCACGGAGAGGCAATACGAATAGAACGGTCCAAAATCAGCCCGAAGACAAAGATTGGGCGAGGTGGGAAGCTGGTACCGGTCGTGGGCAGGAACCAGAAGGCGGACGTCATCACGCGTTTTACGAATTCCAAAGGCGAAGAACTAGGCCGCCTACCTGAAGAGACGGCCTCTTGGGTATCGCCATTGCTGGATCAAAAGATATGCCGTTTCGACGGAACGTGCGTGTTTGCGCCGGATCGTGTCCGGGTCAACGATACAATCTACCTCCAGCTTCATGCTTATCTGCTCAAGACTGCTTTCGAAGCCAACGCTTTCGTCAAACCCAAAGATGACAACAGAGCCACGGGTTTCTTTCTGGAGAAGGAGAGTACAGAGGAGAAGGACCTTCGACTACGACAAGTCGCGCTCGTCAAGCTGTTCGACGAGGTGAACCTCAGTCCCACAACCACGAACGAAACAGTGGCGAAGCACAAGAAGCAAGGATTGTTGAAAGCCGCCGAAATGGCGGAGCAATACGACAAAGACAAAGAGGCCAAGGGCAAGTCCGGCACTACGACACCAGGCTCTGAAGATGAGGAAGGAGAGGAACTGGAGGAGGATCAGCTTGACACGTTGTACCGCAAAGCACAGTCGTTCGACTTCAACACTCCAGAAGCTGAGCCTGCCGCAACCTTCCAACTCGACTTGCGAAAGTACCAGAAACAGGCGTTGCATTGGATGCTTGCCAAAGAACGGGACGAGAAGTCCGACAAACAATTGTCAATGCATCCCCTATGGGAAGAGTACACGTGGCCCGCCAAAGATGCAGACGACAAGCCAGTGCCTGTTGTGGAAGGCCAGGACAAATTCTACGTGAACCTCTATTCCGGAGAGATTAGTCTGGACTTCCCAGTCCAAGAACAGAATTGCTTGGGAGGAATCCTGGCAGACGAAATGGGCCTAGGCAAGACAATCGAGATATACAGCCTGATCCATTCGAACCGGTCCCAGGTTGATCTGGATGCCATGGACAAGACACTGACCTCCGTCAACAACCTGCCTCGACTGCCCCAGTCGTCGATTTATGTTGAGCCAGCGCCATGCACAACCCTGGTAGTGGCACCGATGTCACTGTTGTCACAATGGGAAAGCGAGGCTGTCAAGTCTTCGAAGCCAGGCACGTTGAGGACCATGGTTTATTATGGCAGCGAGAAGTCTGTCAATCTGCAGATCCTGTGCTCTGCTTCGAATGCTGGTTCTGCCCCGAATGTCATCATCACGAGTTATGGCACCGTCTTATCAGAGTTCAACCAAGTGTCTGCCGCTGGTGGCGACAGGGCAACTCATGGCGGCCTGTTCTCCGTGGACTTCCACCGAGTTATTCTCGACGAAGCGCACACCATCAAGAACAGGCAGGCAAAGACATCAAAGGCTTGCTATGAGCTCCGAGCGAGGCACAGATGGGTCCTCACCGGGACGCCCATTGTTAATCGTCTGGAAGATCTCTTCAGCCTGGTACGGTTCCTCAAAGTCGAGCCATGGAGTAACTTTTCTTTCTGGAAAACGTTCATCACGGTGCCATTTGAGTCGAAAGAAATCGCAAGGGCACTCAACGTCGTGCAAACGGTACTGGAACCTCTGGTGCTCCGCAGAACCAAAGACATGAAGACGCCCGAAGGCGAAGCCCTCGTGCCGCTGCCTCCCAAAACAATCATTGTCGAAGAAGTCGAGTTGTCAAAAACAGAGCGCGAAGTGTATGACCTGATCTTCACCCGGGCCAAACGGGCTTTCAACGAGTCGGTCGCAGCTGGCACTCTCTTGAAGTCCTACACCACAATCTTTGCTCAGATCCTTCGCTTGCGGCAGTCCTGTTGCCATCCTGTATTGACTCGCAACAAGGACATCGTGGCCGACGAAGAAGACGCCGCTGTCGCCGCGGCCGCCGACGAGAATGGCTTTGCCGACGACATGGATCTCCAAGACCTCATCGCCCGGTTCACCAAAGACACTGATCTTGCCGACAAGGAGAATCCGGCATCGAAAGATCCGATCAACACATTCACCACCAATGCTCTGCGCCAAATCCAGGACGAATCAAGCGGCGAGTGTCCGCTCTGCTTTGAAGAGCCCATGAACGACCCTGCCGTCACCACCTGCTGGCACAGTGCATGCAAAGACTGCCTAGAAAAGTACATTGCACACCAGCTGGACAAAGGAGAGAATCCTCGTTGCTTCTCCTGCAGAGAGGAGATCAACCCTCGAGACGTCTTCGAGGTTGTTAAGCACAGCACTCGATCGGCATCTTTTGACGAAGACCAAGACATGTATGGGGCGGATGAAGCTGCAATTGTAAAGCCGGCCAAGATCTCGTTGCGCCGGATCCATCCTTACTCACCTTCTGCGTCGACTTCGGCCAAGATAGCGGCCTTGCTAAGCCACTTGTCCGCGTTGCCTAGGGGCACGAAATCGGTGGTTTTCTCCCAGTTCACGTCTTTCCTCGACCTGATCGCTCCCCAACTCACCAAGCATGGCTTCGCGTATCTGCGCTTCGACGGCACGATGTCGCAGAAAGTCCGAGCGCAAGTGATTCGCGCGTTTAATGCAGAGAACGCATCAGACCCGAAGGCGCCGCGCATCTTGCTCCTTTCGCTGCGAGCAGGCGGTGTCGGGCTCAATCTCACGGCCGCGAATCGGTGCTACATGATGGATCCGTGGTGGAGTTTCGCCGTGGAAGCACAGGCGATCGATCGCGTGCATCGGATGGGTCAGACGCAGAAAGTCGAGGTGGTGAGGTTCGTGACGAAGGAGAGCATCGAAGGCAGGATGTTGAGGGTGCAGGAAAGGAAGATGGCCGTGGCGGGGAGTTTGGGGGTCGGGCACTCCGGGGCGGGTGAAGGCGAGGAGGAGAGGAGGAAGAAAAGGATCGAGGAGTTGGAAATGTTGCTGGGTTAGACAAAGACGAGCGACAGCATTGGGAGGAAGAGCAACAGTCAGAGGCGTTTCCCTCTTCTCGACAGGATCTCTCATGAAGGATGCATTCCCGGTGCGAGGAGTGGACTTACCTTGGTGTGTGTGATAAGTCCTAACGGCCGCGGGGGACGACGAGATCATGAAGCGCGCGCGGCGTGCCGAATAGTGCGGTAGGATACCTCGACCGAGCACGCAATATAGGAAGTTCTATCAGAGGAACTATGATCAGACACGTATGTTTAGCCAGGTCCCCATATCACGGGCACATGATGACGAGACTCCTGCAACCTCGGGTTGTCTCGCCTGATAACTTAAAATCTCGACTGCCTCGTAGTGATGGGTGTGATCCGAGTAACTCCGGATGCAGTTGGTGTTGGTGCGCAGCGAGCGCGATTGATTAATTAGGTGGCACGGCACCACGGTTGATAACCAACCAAGAGCTACCTAACTACTCGCATAGCAATAGTGAGGTGGTGTTGAGAGCGAAATATGACGTGACAAAAATGTTTTCCCAGCTGGGGGCACCCCAGTGGGCGTGTCTTGAATGGTGGCTTCCCGTGGCATTGACGCCGTGCGACCTATGTACTCCGTACTCACATCCCGATGGACTGTGAAAAGGCCGGCGCCGCGACGAGCAGCTAAAGCAGGTACAGACAGGAGGATTGACATAGTGACGAAGCAGGCTCACAGGCAACAACGCAATACGAAAGGGAAGATGCAGGATGACTAATAGTTGAGCCGACTGGTGGCCACAAACTCCGCAGGACGAGAGGCGGCCGCGGCGGCCGTGCGCGGGTGTAGTGTGTAAGGGTACTGTAGCGTGTACTGGAGCTGCGTCGGGAGAATCGACTGTAGTCGTCTGCGGCGTTGTTAGCGGGCGACAGCCAGTAAGTGACTGACTGACTGACTTTTGTCAATCACTTGCCAATGCGTTTGTTGCCGTAGACCTCGTCCGTCGGCGATGGAGTTAAGTTGGGAGATACACGGTGATTTACCGACCCTGGTACTGAGCGGCGCCAATGCCCGCTCCTGAGACCGTATTCTGCTTGATACTTACATACTCTCGACTGGACGAAGAACTGCTGGGGCCATGCTATATATAAGAGGGCACCAGCGGGGAGACACGAGCTCGGGCTTGAGATTTGATAGACAGCACATCCAAACCACATACAAACTGTACCTGAGGCGTACTATTATCAGTACCGTGTGCTTGTACTCCCAGTACCGAGAACCCAGCTACCACAATGTCCACCAAGCCTCTCGTCCTGCTCACGGGCCCGAATGGCTATGTTGGCGCCCACGTCCTCCGCACGCTCCTTTCGCACAACTACCGCGTGCGAGGCACACTGCGCTCCCTCGCCAAGGCCACCTACCTGACGAAGCAGTACCCCGAGGCCAGTGCCTCGGGGAACCTGACATTTGTGGAAGTCCCCGACATTCAAGCCGCAGGGGCGCTTGACAAGGCCGCCGAAGGCGTCGATTTCATCTGCCACGTCGCGAGCCCATACTTTACCGTCTCGGCGGACCCGATCAAGGAACTTGTGAACCCGGCCGTGAACGGCACACGCAACGTCGTGTCTTCGGCATTGAAGAGTAAATCATTGAAGAGAATGACCATCTTGTCCTCCTTCGCTAGCGTGGTTGATCTCTCCAAGAATCTTCGGCCGGGGTATACTTACACGTCTGAGGACTGGGACCCCCTGACGCTCGACGAGGCCAAGCAGGACGGATACAAGGGCTACCACGCGTCCAAGACGTTCGCGGAGCGCGCGGCGTGGGAGATGTGGCGGGACGCAAAGTCCAAGGGCGACATCTCATGGGACTTGATCACGTTCTGTCCGCCCATGATCTACGGGCCGCCGATCCAGGAACTGGACGTGTCCAAGGGCGTGGATGGGCTGAACACCAGTATCAAAAGGCTCGTGGTGTCCGTGCAGGGCAAGGATCCGAACTTCGCCCCCAAGGTCGCTACGCCGGGGTTGCCTGCTTGGGTGGACGTGCGGGATGTCGCTGAGGCTCATCTGAAGGCGCTGTCGTTGGACCAGGGGATCAATGAACGGTTTTTGCTCTGTGGTGGGGTCGACTATTTCGAGGATGGCCTCGCTGGTCTGAGGGCAAGGGGCGAGGAAGGCTTGGGAGAGGAGGGCGCAAAGGTGGACAGGACTAAGCACTTCAGTCTGGATAGGAGTAAGGCGGAGCAGGTGTTGGGGCTGCAATTCACCGAGTTTCACAAGACGGTGGAGGATACGTGGGAGCAGTTGAAGAAGCTGGGTTATTTCTGATACGATCTCATTGGCTCGTCACTCACCACTGGGAGGACATTGGTTGGTATCCAGGCGAACACAAGGCGGTTGGAGTAACAATTGCCGATATCTGCACTTTTACTTACACATTTCCTCGTGCTCGAAACTAGAGCAGGTGCTACGTAGACCAGACGGACTCTCGTATCTGGACATATTCGACGACACTGGTTGCACAGCAGATTTTCCTAAACGAGGATTGATATGCTCGCCGGAGCCCGGATATGCACGGTGTGTAAGATGGAGCGGGGCTCCCAGACTGGGTGTGCGTGCTCTTTGCATCCCGATCAAGGAGCATCGTATCTCACAGGTCAGATGCGCGTTGGCAAGTACCGGAAAAATGTTCATTGTGCAAAGCGAAGGTGCTTGCGTGAGAAAATGATGAAGTGAAGCTCGCGCGACGAGCTCGTGCGAGGCCATGTCGACCAATCACGGCTCGAGCAGTAGCGGATTCCTGGCGGCCAATTGATTCGCCGGTAGCGGGGCCGGGTCAACCAATCAGTCTTCGATGCTTCTGCAATGAGGATGTATCTCCCGGAAAACTTCGCTTCTCACTCCTGCATCCATTGCGTCGTCATACACTCATCACGTCCAGTTCGTCTCTCGCTCGATTGGCGGCTCGAAGCTGGCCACTGGAGCTGCCGGCATGACGCTTGTTGCGCCTCAAAGCCGCGAAGGACCTGATGAAACTGCACAGAAGCCACCAATGAACTAAGTCCTCGAGTGTTTCAGTGCGAATGAGAGCAAGCAATGGACTTCAAGTGGGCAGAGCTTCAGTTCCCGGCTATTGAGCTCGCGGTTCCTAGTGACACCTCTTTTTCTTATGTTTGGCCGGACGCGCCTCTTCCTTGTCCTTCACTTTTATCCACTCGACGCTTTTCCGCCTTCCGGCACTCCTATTCTGGTCGCTCAGCAGTACATGAACTCGTCGACTGTGACAACGTGGAGCTAACGTAGGACCTTGTCTGCGGCAATATTGGACCACTACAGGATTGCCCAACATGCACACCGACGTCCGCATGAGAGAGCTGAGAAGCCACTACCAGGTTGTACTTCAGTGCCCAACGAAGAAACCAGCTGACAATGGTTGCTGTGCAGCCGCAAGACGAATGGAAGCTCGAGCAGGGTCTCGCTGCGGCAGAGCTGCCCATTCGGGATCAGACGCTGCCGGAAGGAAAGTTCGTTGAAGAGGTCCCGCGTGATCCGGAATTGGAAAAGGAGCTCGCAGAGGCCAAAGAATTCGTGGAGAAAGACGAGATCGACCACGATGTGGTGTTTGCTGAGGAGCGCCCAGGATGGAGAGGGTGAGCAACAAATCTGATCATCCGAGGCCACACTAAGACCCCTTTCCCAGGTACATCGAGTGGGAGCAGTACCCTGAGAAGAAAGCCATTGCCCACAAGATCATGGTGGGCCAAACGTTTCCGCCCCCGCCAGAATTCCAGCTCGGAGCCATCCCAGACACCAACCCGGTGCTCGAGGGTGTGCGTTGGAAACTATGGCACAAGGCCATCGGAGGGCCCTTGACTTCTGTGCCGGAGGAATCCTGGCTGCGTGTCATCCAAGAGAAGCACCCGGACATGCTCCATCTCTTGCAGTTCCCGTACAACGGGGAACCGCCCAAGAGGCTTGTCACTGCCAAGCCCGTCACTCCGACATCCCTGCACTTTATCCGAAACCACGGCGGCATCCCTGACATAGATGCCGATGCATGGGAACTCACGCTCGACGGCCTGGTCAAACATCCCCGCAAATTCACACTCAAGGACCTGCAGAACGAGGAGGTGTTCCCCCGAATGGAGAAGCTCGTGACCATCCAGTGCAGCGGCACGCGCCGCGTCGAGCAGATTCAAATGTACGCAGGGGAGGGCGACGAGATGATCAACGCCCCCTGGGCCGAAGGCGCCATCGGCACGGCCCGCTACGTCGGCGTCTCGCTGAAAAAGGTCATCAAGCAGTGCGGCGGCATGGCCGAAGGCGGCAAGCACCTCGAGTTCCACGGCGCAGACACGTACTTTAAGCAGAACGAGCTGATGAACTACCTCGTCAGCGTGCCCTGGTCCAAGGTCAAGGCCAACGAGGTGATGCTGGCATGGGAGATGAACGGCGAACCCTTGCCCAAGATCCACGGCTACCCCGTGAGGCTCGTCGTCATGGGCTACATCGGCGCGCGGTCCGTGAAATGGGTGTACCGCATCCGCGGGCTCGCGCAGCCGTCCCGCGCCCCCGTCCAGAGCAAAGAATACCTCTACTTCAACCAACAGGTGGGCAAGCACAACCAACTGCCCGTCAACGGCATCCAGATTCAAGAAATGCCCGTATCCAGCGCCATCATGTCGCCCTGGGCGAAGCAAGTGGTCGTGCACGAGGGCAAGATCCACTGCCAGGGCTGGGCCTATTCGGGTGGCGGGCGGTGGCCCGAACGCGTCGAACTCTCGGCGGACGGCGGCTTCTCGTGGTACGAGGTCCCGCACGAGAATCTGTCGGCCAAGCACAAATTCGCCTGGCGCACCTGGGAGTGCGAACTGCCCTGCGACGTCGAGGGGTGGATCGAGATCGTCGTCCGCTGCTGGGACAACTCGCTCAACACGCAGCCGCTCGACGTGCGCAACTCGTGGAACTGGGGCCTCCACGTCACGTCCAGCTGCCACCGCGTCAAGATCTACAGCGTCAACAAGACGCGCGAGCGCACCAAGCAGCGCATCGCCGACTTTGCGAAACGCGGCGAGTCGCTCGTCCCCATTACCAGGCCTACCGAGTTCGCGACCATGTCGTTGGAGGAGTATGATCAATATTGGGCCACGCATGAGCCCAGAGACGTGGATGACTAGTCTATGATGTAGCGCTGCTTGGCATAGTAAATATATCGTACAGAGCAAAGTATTGATTTTTCGAACAAGGCGCTGGAGGGAGTATAATCGGTACTGGGCCACGCATGAGCCCAGGGACGTGGATGACTAGGTTTGTAGCGCTGCATAGCGTAGCATATAATCGTACAATATATCGTATAGAAGAAGGCGGCAGGTTTTTCAAGGTAGACAAAGATCGATCAATATATCTGGTGAATATACAGTACTTGGAACAAAACTTGAGGGTCACAGGACCAATACTAGACTCGCATTGCCGGTGATCATGATGGTAACAATCTTCCACGCAAGCTAGGTACAGACCGTACTGCAACTTCTTGTAGTATCGCGTGAAAGACTTGTGTCTGGGTGTGGCGCGTCACTTGCCATTCTACACTGTCTGTTCGTGCGATGACTCGTCTAGGAGGAATGGAATCGGTGGTGCATCGCGGTGACTGCGCTTCATGCTTACTGGAGGTAGATTACTTCGTACTACCTATTGCATATAATCGTACAGGTACGAGCGATCTGGCACGCTGATGGGAATCAAGCCAAACTGTGGCGACTTCTTGACTCCATGCCTTCCACATCTCCATCCCCGGCCTTCCGAGTCACGTAGAAAAGATAATGAAAAATAAGGGGGGACCAGCCGTCAGAAGAGCGCCATGTAAGGAGGAAAGGACTTCAACGCCCACTCAATGCCCAATCAATACGCTTGCTGCCGTGTCCGTGATGCTTCGAAGACCAACCAGACAAAACGTTCCTGGGTATCAATGCTTTTTGCCACCGCCAAATCAACAATAACGATCCTATGTTGCGCTACGCAACAGTCCGGGAAAGGTGGGATTAACGGTTTCGTGTCATGTCGTATGCTGTCGTGTCTCGTTGTGAATAGTATGTGGCAGGGTCGAATGGGCCTAGGGAAATGGGTTGCTGCGTGTAGGGTACGCGTGCCCCGCTCCAATCATTATCGCGCGGCCGACGTGCTGCCTTCGGCATAATCTTCTTGCGAGTCAGTCTGTTGCTGGTCTCCCGACTGTCGCCGGTTCAAGGTGTACTGAGGAGGCTCGGCACCCAGCTCGTCGTTCGTCAAACCAGCCAAAGGTCTCCTGATGGGACTGAATCTCCGCGAGGGACCGTCACCGCCGGAGCTGGATCGGCCAACCGGGTGCGGCCTCTGTCGCATTGGAAGGCCGGTATTGCGTGCGGCAGCAGAAGATTCTTCGTTGCCCATGTTTTCCAGATCTTCATATTCGGGCAACTCGCCGTGGTAGTCCTCGATGACCGCTCCACCCCACGCCCCGTCATTCCTGTCGGCGCTGCCATACCCGGGTGGACTTGGTGGAACATCTTCGTAAACAGGTGGCATTTCTTCGTCCCAGCTAATACCCATGCCGGCTCGTTCTGTAACAACTAAGCCGAACTGCATCCTGAGCACACGGGCAGCACCGGTGGGAGTGACGAGGGAAAGATTTTTGTTCGGGCAAAACTCTTCGGCGACTATCAACTCGATGACCAGGTTGTGCTTGACTTCAATTCCTGTCGGCGAATCCACGTCGCAGCTGGGTCGTTGGCCACTCTTAGTCGTCAAAGACGCCTCGAATTCCATGGTGATTTCACCTCCGATTGTATCAAAGTCACTCTTCCAGCCACCCTTCAACTCGTCGTTGCCGAGGACTCTGGTTTCCTGGTGGAGGATGGACTTTCCCTCGCTGACCTTGTGAGCATGCTTGGGGCAGGGGTTCGATATTGCCTTGGAGTGCTCCTCGACCCGCCAGGTCATTTTTCTGAGCCTCCACCGAGTCTGACTTTCGGTCTTCTTTTCCACCACGCCGCTTAATGACATTGTGACTGGGAAGACGCCAATGGGGTGGACGACCGGGGGAAGTTGTACTCGCCCGGTAAGATTGGTCGGCGGGAAGATCCTAATGCTTGACTTGTCGGGACCAGGTTGAATTGCTCGTTGGACAGTCAATGGGTGAGTCATGGTAATCTCCTCGCCATGCGAAGTGGTCCCTGTTGCCAGCAGCGAGTATTGGATCGACGCCAGCTGGGATTGTGTCGAGGCGGGCAGATGGCCTGGGAGGAGGAAGGAGTAAGGAAATTGGTTGTCTTTGCCAGAGAAAGTCCGTGGTTCGGAAAGGAATTCCCAGGTCTTGAGGATCTCGACCTTCTCGCTGCATTCCCTACAGTCTTTGCCAACCGGTTTCTTGGAAGTACTGATGGCTCTCAGCACCATGTGGAAATTGTTTAACCGCACCTCACCGGTGGGATCGCTGACTAGGAATTTCAGGCGGCCCGACAGTAGTGCTCCACTCGAATTGCTAGAGTTCCCATACATAACCAGCGGAGGGGATTCAATGATCATTTCGAAGCGGCCCGGCTGAGCTGCTGTGACTCGCGGCGAACGGGCAGATGCGCTGTCCTTGGATTTGCTTGAATGACGGCCGGTTAGTGACAAACGCTTGGAATTGCTGGAGTCGCGGTCTCGGGGCTCTTCATGATTCTTGTCCTTTTTGGGATGAAGTAATGAATCCATCGAGAATGACGGTCTTCTCGGAGGGGTGACGGACGTTTCAATGTGGTTGCTTGTCAATTTGCGCTGCAGAGCATTGACCACATCGTTGACGGTACTGGGAGCCTGTCGTGGAGAGGGCGATGTGCCTTGGATGCGCGACGGCATGATGCACCTGTAGCGGCGCAAACTCGATGGTGATGACGCGGGGCGCAGGCGAATAGGCTCGCAGGCGATACGGGCAGGTGGGGGTGAGGGTGGCTTCCTTGGCCTCCACCGCTGCAGGAAGGAGAACCTTGCCTTGAGGGTATGACGTTGCCGACGAGCCAAGAATGAACAAGATTATACGATGGCCCAGCGCTGTGTCGTGATGGTAGCGAAAGAATACAACGGCAGGCAAGAAGAGATTTTCACAAACACACAAGGCATACGCGCCCGACTTTGTATGCTCTGTCGCGTTGGGCATGACCTAGCCAAATAGACGAGGTATGAATAATGGAAACCTCGATCAGGGCAAAGTGACAGCAGCTAGATGCAAGGGGCACCGACGCTACAACTTCATTTGTCTCCTGGGCCATTGACGACCGGAGAGGTGGTCCGAAAGGTGCCAGGTTCTCTGTACGACATGTCTACTAACATGTCTCACGCTTTCTCATGATCCATGATGTGGCGGCAGCTGACATCACGAAGGAGATGTAGGTATTCGTGGAGATTTCTGGTACCAACAAAACCTGCAGCGGTGTGGACGGTTGGATCGATCACACGTAAACCCTGTGAAAATCTCGCCAGATTCAAGCGCGGTCTCTTGCTGCGGTCCGCCAACTGGAAACAGCAATGGCGACCAGCTGACTTGAGACTTTTGACGGCAAAGTCAACCAGAAGTCAGCCCTCCCGGACCGGCGCCCGTCCCAGCGCCCCAAGCGAGGCAACCGCATCCCTTGCCCGCGCTTTAGCGATCCAACGGGCCCCCAAGTGCCGCCAGAGCCCAATAACGGCGGCAAGAAGGCGCCACAATTCTGCACCCCGCAATTCCTCCAAGGCTCGCCTGGCTCACTTTACTTTCAGTTCAGGCTGATCGACGAGCATCTGAAAAGCAGTGTACAGAACAATTCCGAGGAGTCAGTGGTGGCCCAGGAGCACCATAACTTCGACGCCATATCCGACTCCCCATCTGCAAATGCCATAACTCGTAGTACTCCGTACCAGCCGCCCGTTGACCGATGTGACATCCGTGACGAGGTGACTCAGACGATTTCACCATTCTGACGCGCCTTGTCGCAAGAAAATTTTCCCACGTGCATCGGAGAATACCTTCTGCTGGACACGTACCTCCTGTTTCCTCGCTACTATTACTCGATAATTATTCCATTATATCCACCGGGGAATCATTTCTCGGTCCTGCTTTCAGGAACGTGGCCGCAAGCGTGCCCTTTGTACTACCTGTGCGAAAATTTTCCATGCGGCGTCGCCTGTTTGGGACATGTCTCTTCCGCACAAGGTGAGATCGGTGTTCTCCGATGCGGGCCTTCGCACACCCTTGGCTCCACGCACATTACGGACAACCGAAAATGCATGTCGGACCGTGTGGCATTTAGCATGGAAAGTGCACTGGACTGTGTAAGGCTGTGTTAGTTGTTTTGCTCATTGGGGATCTATTCCACGCAGGAGCATTCCTTCGACACCGATGGCCACCACCAAGAATGGCAGATGTTCCAGAATGAGCCGTATCCCTGGCAGTGACGCCAGCTCCTACACGGTAGACCTGAGTGTTGGCTTGTACGATGCCTCAAGGTTTGGCGTGCGTTGTACCTTGTACCACCAGCCGGGATATCGCACCCGGTGGTGTGACACAGGTGGTGCGGGGAGGGGCAGCATTTTTCAGCATCTCCGCCATCTCCGGGGCGTCGAACGGAGTGAACGGAGAAGTGTGCCATCATGAACCCGTCCGGGCGCCACCAATCACCATCGACCTCGTGTCTGTGCCGCCGATGATCGTGATCGTATCTGACTACGAGTACCCTAGCTTGAGTGACGCCGTACGAGGTACTCACAGTAAGTACACAGTAGATGGTAGGAGGAGCACTGTAGTCGATTTGAGAAAGCCCAAGACGTATTGCCATGCTCGTGGGGGACATTGGAATCTGCGGATTAGACACCGAACCAAAGCTACATGCCTCTAATAGTACCTGAGTTTGGTCAGAGAACCCAGATTCTGGGCTCCTGGCCTCAACGCCGAACGGGTAGGTACTGTAGGTCTCTTGATCGCTGTCGAGCTATACATACACACTATGCCCTGGACGACACTCACATAATCCCATACCCAAACCACCAAGCATACAACCCCGGCCCCAACACCCCGGCCAACGCGCCCACCAACCCCATCTCCAACACAGCCCACACCCAGATCGTGCCCACGCTCGGCGCGTTCTTCATAACAGCATAGTATCCCTTGTCATTCGTCAACCAGATCAAATAACACCCCGCCACATTCGCCACGACGAGATAGACGAGCGATCTCGCCGCAACGACCCACCCCTTGGCCGCTGGGGACGACAGCCTCGCAAGCGACGAAGGGAGTAAATTGCCGTGGAACAGCGCGATCAGCACCGTCAGCGTTGGGCAGGCGATGCCCAGCGTCTGCAACACCAAAGGCGGGAACCGCAATTCTTCGGCGTATTGGTGCATGGCTAGTACGGAGAGGGTAAAGTGGACGGCCGAGAGCGACGAGGCTAGCAGGATGGTGTCTAGCCAGGGTGTGTCTGACGCGGCCGCAGAGGCTGATACTCCCAAAGGCGACGTTGCGCTCAGATCCGGGACGATCGATCCATCCGGACCAATCTTCACTTGGACGATATTCTCTGGGTTGAGGGCGTTGGCGTCGATCGGGGCAGCGTGAAGTCCAGACTTTGAGCCACCGAGCAGTTCGGCTTGTCGCTCGGCCGCAATTTCGAGTAATGTCCTTGTCTTTGGATCTCGGGTCTGGGCTTTCGTCTTCTTGGGTGGTGGCGCGAGAGGGATGTCGTCCGCCGTGTTGATGTGGTTGGTCGAGGTTGAGTCCTTTGCGCGGCGCTGTTTGCGGTTCATCTTTCTCAGTCTTCAAGTGACGCTGACGCTGGCGCTGAGTGGGGTAAATCACACTGCGACTTATTATGAAGTGTATTGAGATGTAGTGTATCCCGGTACAAAGCAGCAGTTTGATGGGCTCGCTGGCGCTTGGCTTTGCTTCGCTTGTCGACGGGATTGGAGAGAAGCAGGAATGTCCAGATCACCCCGATCGATGTACACTTAGTGGCCTGGAACGAGTGACTATGTCTGCCGCTGACACAGTGTTAGAATTACCATTGAGCATACTATGATGAATCGTTAATGCTTGTATCGCGAAAGGATAGATGATGAGGTGAAAGATTGTCAAGATATTGTTCCTCCTGCCAAGAGGCGAGAGGCCGCCCGCAGCCTTGCCCCTTCTGCCCCTTTTAGACGCTCAGCCTGACCTGCCATGCCGCGTCAGTCTTGGATCCAACATGTACATCGTCCGGACGGCGTAAGGCTACGTGCATGTCAGAGTGCTGTCGAGCTTTCACGACGGTATCGCTGCTGTATGGCGCTCGCGAAGGCACGGTGGCGTGATTTTAATCAGTACACAAGGGAAGTATGGACAGTATGCACCATTTGAACTCGACCAATGGCTTTCTCCTCCTTGAATTTGTCGAGAAAGGAACGATGACGGTCTTGGAAGTTCGCTGCTCCTGCAACGGGTTGTCCTGTGCAGGGATAACGTCTACAACGTGATACTAGGCCGTCCTCGTCTCTTGTCCGACATTCTTTGGTCCCGGCTCCCACTTTCATGACTTCCACGGCCACAGACTCCTTCTTCAAAGGACCGCCCATTGATACCGTTAATAATGGTCCCAAAAGGTAGAGTGGTACTCCTCATCGGTTCCATCCCCAGCGGTAGTTACAGGATTCCGCGGATGTCCAAAGACATGGAAATGCTGCTGCACTAGAGCTGCACATGCCGATACTCGACGTAGAAGTTCCTGTTACGAAGGCGCTTCATCCGGCCGCTGTGGTGACTGTGATTGAGATCTGCTGAGGCAGTCACCCTGGGAGCGCGGTTGGCATTTCAACCCGCATTGGACTTAGGTTCCTTCTTTACTTTTGGGCAAGGTTTTTGCAAAGGGGGGTGCCGCGGCTGGGGACGTTTAAAATATGATACTGTGCCTATGCTGAGGAACCAACAACCGCCAGATGCTCTAGGCCCAAAAGCAAGTAGGAGGCAGCCTCGCAGCCTCGCAGACCCGGGGCCCCGGATGGGGGCTCCAGCCTGTGCCTGCGGCGCCCCGGCGGCTTGTCAGGGTACTTTGCGAGACGACCACGAGGCTGAACCTCTGGAAATAGCCTCTTCTCCGATATACGCGCTGTGGAACCAGGATCCGACGGGTATATTCCGGGAATACAGGTCGATAGATGGTCGGCCATTGTCATGGCCGGGCAATCTTCGAAAAGCCGCGCCAGCCGCGATTTTAGGTTCACAGATTCCGCAGATTGAACCTCGCGGCTGTTACAGGAAACGTGTGCTGCTCGTATGGGCACATGGCTGCAGGGTCAAATGTCTGACCGATCTCCGGAGTTGTATAAGTTAGCTGCGTACTTGTAATGTGGAGGTCAGACCCGGGGATGTGGTTACTGCTGAAGAAAGGCAATCCGTATATTTGGGTATTCAAGATGCAGTTTTATGCTAGATACCGGTCACACGGGAAACTACCCATTTGTGCCTCCTTAAAAGACGTCAACTGATGGCAGATCAATCCTCCGGAATGGATGGTAACGCCAGGCACAGCTCAATAGAACTAGAGCGCAACATGCCCACGTCCAGTCTTCAGAGGTGTAAGGCAAATTCAAGTTGCCGCCTTCTCTGGCTGCTCCATGTCGACGGCCTTGTCAGTGTGTGGTCTCTCTCCAAGCACGTTCTTCTCCATGTTGACTGCAGTGTGGTTCGTCAAGTATTCTGACGCGTCTTTGATGAACAAAGCCGCAATGATGGCGATCACGCCAAAGGGAATGGTGCTAAAGAACACCCGTTGATACGCGTAGCCATATGCCGATTTGTATGCCTCCGAGGTCGCATGGATCAGGGCTGGAGTGGCGCCCTGGATTTTGGCAAAGGCGCCTGGAATACCCCTTGCATTATTGGTGACAGCCGTGACAAGCGCTTCGGTGGCGTCCGCGTCGCCACGGAATCCATTGGCCGCGGCTGCCGCCAGGATACGTGGTACCAGCTGGCTCTTAAGAACACCATTTCGGATGGTGTTGAAAATGGAGATGCCGACGCTGCCGCCGGTGTTGCGGAATGTCCCGACCAGTCCTGAAGCGATACCCAGATCCCTGTGAGGCACGTGTAGACCAACCACCACGTAAGAGCACAGGGTGATCCATGCAAAGCACATCATGCCGAAAAACTGGAAGGTCACCCAGGCGGCCTTATGGTGAGGGATGATTCCGTAAGCGTACAGGGCCGAAAACAGTGTCTGGATGCACAGCGCAACCACGATCTGAGCTCGGATATGCTTGATCTTGTGGATCAACGCCGGAAGGACGGCGCCACCAATGAACTGACCAACACCGTTAGGAATCAAAGCCACTCCGAGCTTGATGGGATCGCTGTCGTAAACCGACTCGGTTGCCTGTGGAAGGAGAGACACCATGGCGAAAAACACCATGCCGGACACGAAAAGCGCAACCAGTAGGATGGTGAACTCCCGGACCATGCGGAAGATGTGGAGTGGCATCAAAGGAAGCTTGGGCTTGACAGTCCAGTCGTAGACGAAGGTGCCGATGAAGACCAGACCACCCAACACGATCGGCGCGACGACAGAGGCCGAACTCCAGGCATGGTCTGCCTCGCCAGCCCAGCTCAACCCGATGAGGAAGACAGTCAATCCTCCAGCATACAGGATGTAGCCAATAAAGTCCAGTTCACAGAATTCCTGCCACCTAGTCTTGTCGTAGTCTTTTCGTGGACGAGCAGGCGGGAAATAGAAGATGGCAGTCCCAACAAAGCAGACTGCTGCATAAATCACGGAAAGGTAATACACCCAACGCCAAGTGGCATGCGCGTTGAGCTGGTTTGCGAGGAGCGTGGCCAGTAAGCCCCATGGAATTGTGATGCAGAATTCCGTCCACGCTAGACCCATCCCACTGTGAACGAAGGTCAGCTGATGTCGCAAGAGTGCTGCTTGACCATGACTCACCGGTACTTGTTGGGGAGAATCTCAGGAATACCAGCATAAGCAACGAAAACCAAGCCGGCACCGAAACCAATAACGGCAGACCCAGCAATCACATGTGTCACTTTCTGAGCTGTCGCACTGACAATGGCGCCGACGATGTTGAGCAGTTGTCCTGCCATGATGACATAGCGACGGCCGAAGATGTCGCTGAGGCCACCACCGAGGGACATGCTAACTGCTGATGTGACGGCCCAGGAAGAGGCGATCCAGCCAATGGGTTCCAAATCTCCAAGGGCAGTGCCTATCGGGACCAGGATCGAGGAGGCAAGCAGAAATGAGGTCGAGATACATGCTGTGAACGACAAGCCCAAGAACTGTTGCAGACAGCCGTCAGCGCAAATGCATATGGCTTTTCGACTGAGCGGAAAATCTACTTACGAAGACCGACAATACCGTCGACCAGGTGATTTTTTCAGCCACCTCCGGATTGAGCTCCAGAGCAGCGCGATGGGGGTCATCCTCAATATCCTCAATCATCGCCATGTCCTGTCGGGGCACTGAAGCGGCTTCGATCTCCTCAGACCTGTTGGCCATCTCTTTCCTTGTTGTAGCGTCTGTCATGATGTTTCGATCGTGGCAGAGTAGGTTGGTCCGCCAGCAGAGAGAGAGATACAGAGCTTCTTATTAAGAAAATCAGGTAGCGTGTTGTCCGGAGATCGTTCGTTTATGCATTTTGAGACTCCAGACTCCAGACCCCAGACACAGAGTCCGGGGAATGAACGGGGACGGTCAGCAAGAGGAAGAGGCCGCCAAGGGCCTCCGCAAAGAGGATCAGGCAGCCCTGTGCCGTGGCACGCGTCCAGGCAAGGGTCAAAGCATGCGGTACTCAAGCACCCTAAGCAACGAGTTGGAGAAGCTTGAGAGGATTGCACGGGAGAAAGTACGAAGGACCCGCACAGCAGACGGAAAGTCGCCGGCAGTAATTTATCCCGCAGTTGCTGTGGGTCTAGTAGCGGGGAGCTATAATTCGACCAATCAGGACTGCGATATGCCGCGTGCCGCTGAGCTTGGCTTTGCTAGCGCATTCGGTTCCACAGCCTGATGGTTTGCGCTGCTCCCTCACCATGCCGCACGACAGAAAGAGCGGCTCGCTTACTCCGGGAGCTAGGCGTTTCTGGCCATGCGGGAGAAAGTCCAGTTGATAACTTGCACTGAGGAGCCGATCAGTCCAGCTTAATCCCCGGCTCAGTTAGCAACTGTACTGGGTATCGCTATCCCCAGCGCGACTTGAGTCAGCCGCGAGCAGCCGCGGGACGAAGCCAATGCTGAAAAGATCCTGAGGCCTGCCGCTTCAACCGGCCGCCTGCATGAGGAGGCCAGCCACTCACGTTCGCATGGACCTTATCCGCGCTCTCCCCGATGACCATTCCAGCTTGCGACCACAAACGCTCGAAAACTGCGTACCGTGTACCGGGTGGACCGATTGAGATCAGAACGCAATCCCAGGTCCGCGTACTATGCCACCAGAGCACAGAATTGAGATCAGTGCTGCGCTTACCACCTCGTCTGCGGACTTCAAGCTGACCCAAGTTACACGGTTGTGAGCATCAAAAGCAGCGTTAACTATGTTGGCCGTAGGTCGCAAACCACTATCGAACGGTCACGGAGTAAAATCCCACCATATACAACTCTCCTGCGCGTAGCGTCAGCAAGCAGTAACCCATCCTGGCAACCTTGTGGACTCACAGTCGATATGATGCTTTGCGCGACAAAGGACTTCCATTGCCATGCCATCAGAGGCCATGAGAGATTCCGCCTCTCAAATACAGTAAACCAGCCGCCCACATGCACAAATGTCCCTGCTACTGAGCACGATACCGGCTTTGGATATGAACTGCAACGGGTTGTGCTGGTCGAATCTGCATGACCCGGAACCTGCTCTGGTAAATCTCCGGTACCCGAGAACAATACCAAGGGGTGTCTTCATACCTGAGAGAACAATACTAAGGGTGGAGCCTTTCATGCCTGAGAGAACAATATCAAGATACAGTCTTTGTTCCAGTCTCGTTCTCCCCATCGCTATGCGTGCACCGCCCCCCAGAACGGCACAGCTCTTTTGGCCTCTAAACTCCAGAGCACCTTGACTTCTTCGAACGCGATCGAATGCGTCGGATGCGTTTGTTCGAGGTGAGGATGGCCCACCACGCCCCCCCCCGAACAAAGCCTTTATGCGTGGCGGCAGCTCAGAACAGCCATGATCACATATAAGATGTTGTTGGGGCACGAATCTTGGTGTCTGGGTGTACCACGGCCCTCAGGGTAATTTACTCAGTTTCAGCCATAACTCGCACTAATGGTTGCTTTCAAACACGTTCTCCTGGCTTCATTAGCCGCCCTGGCTGTCGCGTCTCCTGCCTCGACTCAACAGGAGAAGCCCCGCAGCTCTTCAGCTAGTGTCGCCCACCAAGGCGGACCCGGATGGCCTGCGGCAGGTGATGGCACTGGACCTCAGGAACATGGCAGCTGGCAACAAGCTGGCAAAGGAGAGGCCGGGGAATATGCACATAAAGTTCCTGCAGGCATGGGCAATGACAAGAACAAGTACAGCCAGCACCAGCCCCGAAACGAGGGTGCCATGCCAAACCATCAGGGTCACAGCAATAGCAAATGGGAGCATGCGGAATCTCCAGACAAGAACGGCGACGACGATCGCCACAATCGCCATCACACTCGGAACGCAAACCCCTCCATCGACCTAGACCACGACGATCCGATGCTTTCTCAGATGCGCGAGATGCTTGGTGCGCATAACGAGACCGAGAGCCACGAGCATGAGGGCAGGCACCACCTCGGTCGTCGAGGTCTCAAAGGCATTTACGAATGCATGAATCATAATTTTGTTGCCCCATGCAAGTGGACTGAGATCAAATCAGAGAGCCAGTGTTACAACGCGTAAGTTCAGCCCAGCTTCTCCCCATCCCGCTCGTCCTGTGAGCCAACGTGAGCCCGAGAGGTTGATCCTGATACTAACATGTGGCTTCCATGCAGATTTTACAATTGGAAGGGATCGATGGGTCCCGACAAAGGCCTATGCTGCACCATCTATGAGAAGAAAAACTGCAACAAGGACGGCTGGCAGACAATCGACAACGTATTCCACTATCCCGGTATTCCGGATTACGGGAAGAGCCCGGTGCTGATCGATAATGGTATGAACGATGAAGGCATAGTCAGTCTCAAGTGCAAGTTCAAAGACTGCTAAGTGAGTTGGCTTCGGAAGGCACAGGATTGTGGAATGCACTTCCTCGTCACAGACTAGGACGAGTGGTTGTGGACGCACGGCCACTACGTCCAGGATATTGGCGCATCTAATACGCGGGTGCTATTGAGCCGGCCTGGTGCTCTGAGTTGATGGTCTTGTCTGTATCTTCGTCTCATCCATGTATCTCGTCGTCCATAGCATGGAATAATGCAGCTTGTTACTTTAGCCTGATCAAGCTGTGGCCCACGCGAGGCTGACGCCAACGTGAGGCTGAGATGAACTTCGCGGCACCCGATCGGGCTTTGGTTATCTAACGCCACAATGACGTCGCTCACTCCTCCATTTGGCTCACATCTCGTATCGCAAGGTCTCTAGCACCCAGTCTGATGGTCCCACTGCCGTCATCGAGTCAGCAGGCTCATACCCAAACAGGTTTTCTTAGCAATGAATGCTATCATGATAGGTTGCGGGCAGGTTCTAGCCCGTTCCTCGCCGCAGCCTTTGCCCAGCGACGGTGCGGGATGACATCGTCGATGTGGCTGCAGAGCCCGCGAGCGAAACGATGCACGAGGGAACCACGACTAACCCGCATCTTCGGGGTATATATCTACGGATTAATCTTCCCTCGCTTGCCTCGAACATAGCAACTCCACCACAGACGCACATCAATATCCTAAAGACAATCCACCCGACCACGCTCTAAGACATCGCTAGACATCGCTACAAACTAGAGTCTGCAAACCCGACACCACCTCCAGCAAACATGAACTCATTAAGATCGGCGAGCAACTGGATCTCCAACAAGACCAAGGGCGGCGCCCACTCCGCGAGCAAGGAGACCAACAAATCGTATGTTCCCACGCATTGTCGCTGGTTACTAGGTTACCGAGTCCCAATATTGCCTTACTGACTCTGTACCGCGCAGAATCGCCAAAGATCCTAATGTGCGGAGCTCGACTCGTCTGCGAGCCGCCGGGAATGCGATGAAGGACAAGGTGCACGAGACGAATTACAACCGGCAAGCAGATGTCCACAAGCAGGCCGCAAAGCACAACTACTGAGCCAGCCAGCTTTGTTTGAACCTGGGATCAGAGCCGCCCAGCATATCTTGTACGACGAATATGGATGAGGGGCCTAAGGTGGCGATTGACATGATACCCTTGTACACTATTGTACTCTGCGCGCGGTGCTCCTGTTAGAATGATGTTTGATGACCTAATGACCGAGGACGTTATGTATCACCATGAATTTGAGATTGTGTTCGTACTATCCGGAAACTGGAGTCCCAAGGGCACGTGGAAGAAGAGCTCAATGCTGTGATTGTCTCTCAGAGTGCAGTTGCCCTCATCAGTGATGTAGACAGAAACCTCAAAACAAGCGCGTACTGACTTCGCTGAGATCGAATACCTTCCCGGGAATTCTCAACAAAGCAAGAAGCTGGCAGGAAGTTCTGAATTGGTTGTTTTAATCCTTTTGTTCGGAAAGGCGGTGTCAGTATGTACAGCGCAGAATGGCTCTTGCGCAGAGCGGATCGCAGCCTCGCATGCCGCCTTGTGTGGCCCCCTCATCTACTTCGTCTTGATATGCTTCAATCTCGGCCCGCCCTCATGCAAGAAATTGTTCGCATACGCCTTGGGGACCACCCTCCTCTCCTGCGGCTCCTGCACGTACCACTCATAGCCCTGTTTCTCCGCAAACGCAATAGCGTCCTCCTTGGACATGAAATTGATTTTCGTCCCTTGCATGAAATCTGCCGACGACTGCCATCCCATCAACGGATTCTCCCAGCGATGGCCCTTGCCGAGCACGTCCCAATCCATGCGCCACGCATGGGATCCCCAGCTCCCAGACTGCGTGGCCGGCCGGACGGGTTTGTAGATTCTGTGGTGTGCGCCGCCGCGGTCAGAGGGCTGCGCCGCTTGTGTGTACAATTTGGTGGCAATCTTACCTGACTGTTCGGGCTTGCAAGTCCACGGGCGCGCCCGACACCACAGCCGCAGGCGTGAAATGGCCGGGCTCACTGCCATCCATGACCCTCCGCGGGACGGGCGAGTACGCCGACGTGCCGTGGTCGACGTTGGCGGTATAATCGGGCTGGTGGTCCGGGTGGTATTTCTGGACGGCCGGGCCAGGCTTGTGATCGACGGCGACCATGGAGGCCTGGTCTTCCGTCATCTTCATAGCTGCGACGTCCGGGATGGCTCGTGGGTCTGGGTCGCCTACTCGCCGGTGAGGTGTCTGGGAGATGTGTCTCATCGTGGATCTGGGAATTTGGGTGCATGTTCTCGAGAGCCGCAGAGAGCTCTGCGTGCGTAGGAGCGACATCGTTGGTGTCTGCGTGGATGGCGTATGGATGTGAGGAGAGGAGGCTCTGATGTCGTTTGAGTCCGGCGTCGATTGACTTGCGCATCGATCGACGCCGCCAAGTCGAGCTTCCAGGAATGGACTAGTGCGTATCATCCACCTTGCGCAGTCACGTGAAAGGCATATCTCCCTTCTGTTATTATAAACTTCCTCTCGCTTGTCCCTTTGTCGATGGACCATTTTTTGGCCCCGCCCAAGGTATCCAGTCTTTCGTGGGCCACTGGATACTCAGTACTCCGTACAGTACCTTGATTCCCGATCCTCGGTCCTCGGGATGATTGACCAAGTCTACGGCTTCCTGGAGCAGCATCAGGCGATGGAACAGGAACGACTTCCGAGAGCTTTCTCTGCGACCCAGGTGTGCTTCAAGCGGGCCGTTTCGTGTGCTATACATCGAATTCTTCCCGAATATGCGGCATCGCAGTCACAATCGAGGGCTGCACGCAATCTGTCCGTGCAGCGGGTCAAGCGCCTTCCTCCGGCATCAAGACAAGATCTAATCGATCTATTTTTAGGGGTGGAGGACAAGGGCTTGGATTACTAGAATGGGACCTCGTCTGTCTCCAGTGGAAGTCCCTGGGGAGAGTGTTGGGAGGATTCCATGCGTGGACCGGTGTCTACACAGTACCGCGTCCAGAAGGGTTCATACATCGCTCACCAAACGAACTCCTCTACTCTGTCACCAGGAGGGATTCCGTACCTTGCACGGCCCTGCTTGTTGGCTTATGATATCGATATCCGTGCCCACCCAACGTATCCTGTGATGAGTTCATTTCCTCGCGTCTCGATTGGTGACAACTGCATTCGATAACGCGCTCTGAACGAGTGAGTGCGTGCATCGCTGGTTGGTTCGTCTTTGAGCCCTGCAGCAGATTCCGCTTCAAGTGGCCTAGGTGGTGAGCTCTCTGTTGTCAGCGCGACGACTGTCTTTACTGAGGACAACAGTTCATTGGCGAGAGCTCGTCCTGCTCTTGCCTCTAGGTTCGTTACATTTACCGCAAAAGCATCAATGTCCTCCAAGATCCCAGCATCTTCTGTCCTCTGCATGACAAGTATCGTGAACATGCCAACGGGCACCTCCCTGGAGCCCTGCTCCGGGTTGACGGCGAGTTTGATCGGATTAAACTTGTTGAGCAGCAATCTGGACTTGCGTTCCAAGCGTATCACGACATAGGTGGCGGTCAAGGTGCCGCTGTCGCTCAAGTCAACGTCATATGCGGTGACTCCTTTCGGCGGTCCAAGCAGACTCAACTGCCTGCCGGCATTGAGAAGGCTTCTAGGCGCCCAACGAAGGCCTGCAATCGGCAATTTCTCGCCGCCCAGAAAAAGAATATTCATTGGAATCTTGACCTTCTCCCGGAGAGCTATCCAGAACATAGCCATCCGATCATCAAGCGCCTTGGTATCGAGGATGCGCCGGGGCTCGATGTCGAACAACGCTGCAAGGGCGGGCACCTCGTCCTCTCTCTTACTCGTGGTCCGGTAACAAAGCGATTGATGGATATACCGAAGTGGATTGATGTTCGCTGAGAACAAGCCGTACAGATCAGGCATCAGGGCGCCGCTAACCGGGTTGTCGGAGTCGTTATGATCTGCATCTTTCATGAGGTCGGATAGCAATACGACGCCGTCATTGAAGGCAAAGAGAGGGAGCTGAGACAAGCGGCCCTCCGGGAGTGTCCACATTCTCTGCATCCACGCCGCAGTCGTGACCCAGAGCAGCAACCGTCGAGTATTAGTGTGGGCTGTCGCCGCGTGCATGAGCTCAGGGTCCAATACCAGCGTCCTGGATGCGCGGGTGTACACCTTGTTCATCCCGGTGATCGACATCTTCCGCAGCCGCTTTTCCCTTGGTATGCAAAGTGAGTCGATCCACATCAGTTTCGACGACCCGGCCACTTCGGCATAGCCAGCCAGGTATTCGACAGCGCATGTCGGGAGGCCTTCTTCCGAGGTCGAGCCCAGACCGCCAGACCAAACATGGGATACGGCAGTGAACACGGATGACTCTTCCATGGGCACAACCTCAACAGTCATGCTGCCATCTTCCGCTTCCGAGATCCTGTTGAGATCGATCAAAGGTATTCGCCCACTGTCTAGGACCTCGGCGATCCGAGGCAAGCTGGGTCGTACGAAAGCGCATTGACATCCCGAGCGGATATGCCTGGGCTTATACGTGCTTTCGTCGATGTTGTGCCGCACACAGCCGTGGGCTGAGCATAAGTCGTGCGTAAACCGGGTGACTGGAGGTCCAACAATCGCGGCGTATTCTGCAACAGTGATATTGACCGGGCTCAACATGGTCCGCACGTATGGGCACCAGCCACGTCTCACCAATCTTTCAGCAAGAGACCGCTGATATGCATCAATGGGAATCCAGGGGTTCTGCAGTCGGCCTCGAAAGCTCCCTTGGACAAACGTTGCAAGCACCTCGCCCATATACTGCAGCGCCACGCCGCTGAGCGTGAAAAGCCGCATGATCCTCTCGTAGGTCTCATCGCAGAAGTCAGGGTTGACGTTTACGAACAGTTGCGGTTCGCCGAGCATTCGGCTCCAGACGCTGGCCGATGCCAGTACATGGACTAAATGCTCCAACACCTGGATCTTGTGGGGGTCGTCTCTCGGCAGGTTTTCGAAATGCTCTCGCAGATCCTTGAATATCTGCCGCAATGGCTCGTTAGTGAAGAAGTGAGCCGATTCCCTTTGGACAATAAAGACATCTTTGTCGAGACTCCGTCGGAGCGCCATCTCGTACAAACCGATGCTGAACCAACTCTGGAGGAACGCCTTCAAGCCTTCTTGTTCTAGATTGCCGAGTCTACCTTCTTTGAGGTCGTACAGTTTCTCTCTCGACCATCCTCGCTGCAGAGCATAGTCGTCAAATTCGCCCACTTCGGACGGTCTGTGATCGTATCCCAACCATGGTATTTCCGGGATGTTGTGTTGAAATTCCTCCAACTCTTCCTTCGACAGGACGTAGTCCATGGTGAGTGGTTGGAGGGACTATGCAAGCAAGGCCGGTTCATCGCGGCCCGGATTCGTTGACTCGTAAGTCGAGCTTCATGGCTTCATTTTGACTCTCGACCAGCCATATCACCTTGTACAACCTTCAGGACTGCGTACATGTCTGCTGGGAAAGTCAGCACATCGAAGTCCCACTGGTCGGGAATCTCACGCAAAATCGTCTTAGGAATCTAATCAAGAGTAGGCTCGCCATGTGAAGGGAGGTGATGGGCCTAAGTACAAGGTTGGGGGCCTTACCTAAAAGCACGCTTACATAACCATTCCTCTCAACCTGTCTACCACTGTTGCTACAGGCGTGGCGGGCGTGGAGGTACAAGTGGCTATCCAGGAATGTCCTCTAACCAACCGGGATTCGTTACAAAAGAGCCATTGGACCTGCGGAGGAGAGGTAGAAGTGGACTGGCGCCGGAAATTCCCATCTGTACTGAGTAGAACATGAAGCTCTGTGAGACTCGGTGAAGAAGAGACCTGTTCGGAGGCTTCTCCTTCAAAGACACACAGGAAAATCTCGTGGCTTGACGCTCAGGACCTACAGAAAAGAAAACGCCATGCATGGACGGACTGACTACCGGCTCATTACCATAGTCAACATCAGATGGAATCCAAAACCGAGCTCACCACCCGTAACGTAATCTTGAAGTAGACGTCTTCGAACTCCATACAGACGGACTTCTTGTTCCATTCTGGTGAGGACCTAGAATGATTGCGTGATTTCGATACCAACGCTGTGAAGTCCAGCCCAGAAAGAAGAGTCTTCACATTTCATCCTCCGGTCAATTGACTACATTAATTAGCTTGCGTTCTTCATCTCCCTCAGCACGGCCATAACCTCATGCGGTTCACTCTTGCCCGTCACCTTCTTCATCTCGTCACTACTCGTCCTCATGAACGCATTGTGCGCCTTCTCCTGCCCGATCGTGAACTTGCCCTGCGTCTCTTTATTCTCATTGGCGAACTTATCCAACCGCTGCACGGCCTCGTTCTCGCCATCTATTGTCTTCAAGAACTTGACATTCGACTTGGTATACTCGTGGCCCGGGAACACTTTGGTGTCGTCCGGTAGGGCCGCCAGGATTTCGTTTAGGGCCTTGTTCATCTCCGTGCCGTTGCCCTCGAAGAATTTCCCGCAGCCACCAATGAACAAAGTGTCACCCGTAAACACGACGCGGTCGTCCGTGGCCTTGTCCTCCATGTACCAGCAGATGCTGTCCTGGGTGTGGCACGGCGTGTGCAGTGCCGTGACTTGGATGTTCTTGCCTATTGAGAAGGTCGAGCCGTGCGAGGGAGTCGTCGATACGGCTTCGCTGTCTTTGCCGGCTATGACGAGGAGGTTGGGGTAGGCGGCGAGGATCTTCTTGTTCCCGCCGGCGTGGTCCCAGTGGTGGTGCGTGTTTATGATGGCTGTGAGATTCAGGGATTTTGACTTGTCCTCGAGCACGGGGAGGACTCTGCGGCGGGGTCTCGTGTCAGAATCTGAATTTGCGGGTTTGCCTGGGCGCAAGCGGGAGTCCAGACTTACTCGGGAGGATTTGCTGGGTCGATGATCACGGCGTCTTTAGTCTCGTCGTCGCTGACTAGGTAGGCGTAGTTGTTGGATGAGCCCACCCCTGGGGCATCCCAATGTTGTCAGCATGCGTTTTAAGTTGTTCATATCTGAACCTCGCTCTTGCTCACGGGCTCATCTCCTGCCACCTTCTGTACCGCGACGACAGGGAAGAAAACAGGTCGACGTACACATCGGAATGCTTAGGATATGCATCTTTTTCACTGGCTGCTGTACAAGTCCTGATATATGCGGGGTATTGACGGGTCGCACGAGAGAGGCAAAGGCGGCGCTGGTGGAGAGTAAGGGCCTGACGAGGCGCGATGTGATCATGAATGAAGTCGCTCTAGAGCTATCTGGAGGGCGACAAGACGCTTGCAAGATGGGCCTTCGAGTTTTTTGTGAATGATATTGTGAAGTACTCAGTAAGCGAGCTGCTCGTCAAAGCAAAGCAGGCCAATGCGGAGAAATTCCACGTGAGAATCTCCAACATTGATGATGTAATTGCGCTGGCGTTCATGTGTCACCGATGGAGTATTGGTTTGATGGTGTTATTCGTTCGTGGTCACAGAGGGCTAGGAGATCAGGGAGAATCGGGTGCTCGGAGGTGACTGCTAGGGCATCGCTGAGTGCGAGTACATTGCAACGATAATATATTCTATATCAATGTTTTATCACTCTACCGTACCGTATTCCACGTGATGATGACTTCTGCGCCGACTCATGCTGAGATGCCCGCTCTCGTTTAATAGCCGCTGGCTCTGAGCCAAGTCTACCACCTTATCTTTTCCTGCGATGCTGGGGATCCAACCTCGCATCCATCCGCTGACCCTTTCCCAGTGGCTGTAGCCATGGCTATCCCTGACTTTCACAAGTCTCTCCTCCTCTTCACCGTACAGCATGAACTGAACTCCCATCATCGCATCCATGAACAGGACGCCGGCTGCGCCCAGGAAGAATGGAGCTGCTCTCGCGACCCATGCCCACCTTTGATTCCCATCTGCATCGACCCAGCCGTGGTGGCCATGTGGCTTATAGTCTGACCATGCATTCGGGTTCGTGATCATGGAGGCAGAATAGAAGAAGTTCCCGCAAAAAGCGGCGAAGAACAGGAGTGGGGACAAACCAGCAGTCGATTGACGCTGCCAGTTCTTGTAGAGTTGAGGCAATCGTGAGCCAAGGTAGAGCAAGGTCGAGCACCAGGACAAAATGGTTCCTACAATTTCGAGAGGCGTGTCGACGCGGAGAAGGTGTATGCCGTGAACATAGTGATCCGAAGGGAAGGGGACAGGGGCGGCTGCTACATTGGAAGCGAGCGACGACATGGTTGCTGCATACAGCAGCGTACGCGGGGAGGGCGAAGCTAACCAACTTGATGCCATTTTGTCGCCATAGGCGATGTCCTGGGTGCCGGAGCCTTTCTTCTCTCCGTAGCTCACAGAGGAAAAGAGGGGCGCATTAATATTCGTAGGAGTGGATCGCTTGGAAGAGTGGTCGTCAGAGTCTCTAGGAAGCGGGCCATCGTCACCAAACTGGGTGTTGATTGGAGAAAGTCCATTAATGATGGCACTGTCTGCATCGTCGATATCGCTGCTTCCAGACGAGTGAAGGCTCTCCTCGTAGATCCATTTGGCGAAATGACTGTACCAGAAGTATTGGATGACCAGGCACAGATCCACGAAGACATAGTAGCTGGCTATAATGATTTGCCAGCCCGCCTGCCTAGTGAACACGGCACCCAGCAAGTTTGTCAAATCGCCGAGTAGCCATTCGCCTAGGAAGAATATCGACAACCCAGCAGTAGACTTGATCCGGTAGTTCTTGAATATCTGAGGCATCTGTGCAAATAGCCATGACACTATCGACAGGGTGCCGAGCAGCGTCGACAACGCAGCCAGAGGAGTGGGTACGCAGATTCCCAATTGTGAGGAAAGGCTGGACAAGAGCGAAGTGGTTGGCGTGCAATGGTCTGGTAGAGCAAGCTCTCTTAAGGGGATATATGCCAGAGCCATTGTGTGTTAGAGACTAGAACGCGCTTCTGACCATGCGTGTGAGCCTCGGAGGTGGTTGTAACCGCTTTATTGTTGCCCTATGTGTAGAGAGGCCGTCCGCAGGTTTGTTTTTCCAACATCAAGCCCGATATTCCTCCCATCAACGTTGACTTCCTCTTTGTGACCGCGCTCTGTTCGGGCAGCTGCCAAACCTCGTTCGGAGCGTTCGAGGCTCGAGTCTCGATCGACGTAGTGGCTGTGCCTTGCTGATAACGGGGTCCCGTTCGCCAGGGACAGATGTTTCCTCGATTACTGGCCTAAGCTCGTGAGTACATTCATGAAAGACTGAAGAAAGAAACAATGCAGAACGATTGAAGCATTGGATTCCATAAAGGCCGTAAGCATGTCCACGGGGAGCAAGTGGAAGTGAGTGCAGGCAAACGTCCGGGCGTGATAGAACCAGGCGCCCGATAAGGCAGTCACACCCCATAATCCCAAATGAAAAAGGAAGCTCAGATATGAACGTCAGCCTCGAATTCGAGGTTCATTCGGTGCGGCAGTGGGACGAGCCGAAGGAGCTCGGCTGATTGTGTGCAGATGACACTGCGCAATGACTCGGGAATTGGTCAGATGGTTGTTCGGCGAGATAGAATTGGTTCAATCGCGGTCTGGTGAGCCAGAATTCCACATTAGGTTGCATGACGGAGCCATCAAAGTGGGCGAACAGTGACAGCGAAAGGCGGAGTTGCACGAGACCGTCACACATTGACCTTCACAACACAAACTGATAAGCACTTGAACGCTGCTGATTCGTGCCCAATGGCATCTCTTGGCGTGGGGAAGGAGATCGCCGACCAGCGCCGGCGGAAACACGACATCCAAATACGAGGCGATGAGGTAACCGAGCACGACAGTTCGAAGAAGCCCGCATTAGAAACAATATATGTGTGTGGTCTCGACGACGAGAACAAGGACCAACCTACAATGAGATACTGTGCCTCCATCGCCCCCGAGCTCGACAACCCTCAATCGCGCTCTCCGCATAGCGAGAGTGTCGCTTAGCTGCCTGCACCCCCTCATTGGATACCATAGCGCAATCGGCAGTCTTTTCCACCAGAGCTCAAACAGAGATCTGCTGAAGCAGGTTGCTCCCTTCAGACAACTGCTATTGGATAGTCATCGCTTCACACCAAAGTCTAACTTCACTCATTACATGACAAAAATCATCAATTCCGTAAGGAGATCGCGGACTGATCACTGTCTCCGAGGTCCTTTGCAAAAGGCTCGATCGTGACCTCGTTCAACTCCAGCTGCACGTCCCGTCGGACCCCTTCTTAACAGACAGGGATATGGTCAGCGTGCTACGGCCTAACAAGACCTCTGTCCACCTATCTACACAGTAAGTAGGTATATTGCTGTGCATTCGGTGGCCTGACACGCGAGCCTTGAGTCGTCCAGCAAGGACAATCCCTTGGAAAGTCAGTATTGCCTACTTTGCAGCATTAACTCCATAATAAGTCCAGATACCCTGTACTCCCATGCTGGACCATCTCTTCTGATTCCCCGCCCTGGCCAGCCGAAACAGATGCCAGATCGAAACCAGGCAGTTCCCGAAGACCTACTTGTTAGTCGCGCTCGCCTGTGGAAGATCACAACACTCCCCGCTTCGACTGGAAATGTTGCGCGTAGTTTCTTGAAGATGGTCACCGATCCATCAATGCAAGGAATCGAGCTCCCCACCACCCGCAGAATTTGAACGATGGGATGCGTCTACACTGACGACAGCGACCTCTTGCCCGTCGATTGCGATTTGGTACTTGTGTAACCCACACAACCGGATGGTTGACCGTTACAGATGTTGGAAATGTCTGAAATCGATCAGGTTCCAGCGCAGGCATCGACGCCGCGCTCTATGACATCCACTTGTAATCGACAGTGCTGCCCTTAACTGTGAGACAGAGGTCGCCTATGCACTATTATGGCGAAAAAGCCACCATTTGGTCCAGCTCCGTACGTACCAGCTGGCTTTGCGTGGTCCAACTTCTACACACAGCAAATCCATGCGGCTCCTTTAGAAGCTATGTCTGAAGAAAGATATCTGCAACGGAGAAAAGGTTGCACTTTGATGAAGATACGTTCTCCGCATGATGTTCTTTCGTGGCGACTGAGCCATGCCACAATTCTGTGCGGTGAAGTCATTCAACAAACATGCAGGCACAGACCATTTGCCGTGCTCTACGCGATGCCCACGTGGAACCTGGTATCTCGGGGGTAATCCGCTAGACAATGACTAGCCTGTCTGAATACTCAACATGAAATACGGTGCGTGGGCAAAATTCAAGATCGTGGAGTTACTATCTTCAAGCACGAATAACAGCTTCAGCCTGACCGGTACGGGTACGTATGAACGCTCGCAAGTCTGAGGGCAGTGAAGCGGCCCAAGACGCAAGGCAACATCTTTCCCTGTTATTTCAGATGCGACGAGGACGAGGCAGCTTCAGACCTTGACACAGCAAGCTCGGAAAAGGCTCTCGAATAGCCTTGCAATGTTTCGGAGACCATGATAATCCGGATGCGTTGCTGATGGGCGATCGGGATATCCGACATCCGTCGCTGATTCCAGGCCTCGTAAGGCAAGCCGCAGCGAGATATGGATCGCGCGTCCAGGTGTCCCAAAGAGCTCATGCTTTGTTTGTGAAGCTTTGCAAGTGCAAAGCATCCCGGCTGGCAACCACCCATGACGATGGTCGACGCTGTGCTTCGCTGGTCTCGGGGAGTTTTGATTGGTTCTTTAGAGGGATCAATAGGATGTAGTCGTCACCATGATGCAATTATGGGGCATTCGGACTAGTCTTCCGGATCTCACCACAACGACGTCCCTTCAATGGCCTTCAGCTACGAGTTCTCGTGCGAGCAGTTACCTGCCCGAATTTGCCATAACAAGCATCAATTCTCGAGCACTTTGTGACCATGACGAAATGCGCTTCAATGTGGGAACATTGCCAGACTCCGCACACGCCAGTCCGTTGGCCCGCTCAGAGCTTCTTGTGCCTCGCCTTGGACACGCGTTTGTGGGCAAGAGCGAACGCCTCTGTCAGTGGTCCTGTCACGCACGTTGCTTGTGATGCAAGAGCTTCTCGCTAGAAGATGATAGGAGAAAATCTTCACTGATTTGTATCGGCAGAGCTTCAATTGGTAGACACGCCGGTAGGGGCAACAAAAACGCGTCCTCACAACCCCGCCTCATACTTGTTTCACTTTCCCTTTATATCGTACTCACGTCCCTCCTCTATCCATTCCTCTCTGGCATCTTACAAGCACATGCAGAAGATGGCTACCACAGTTTCAAACACTCTCCGCGACATCGGTAACTCCGCCGCTGGCGCTGTGGAAGGTGCTGTGCATAACAAGAAAATCGCGGACCTAGAGAAGAACAAGAAGAACCAGCACGATACCAAGCAGAACACCACTACCGACTGGGGTGCCAAAGTTTCTGATGTTGACCATGCGGTGAAGATTGTCGATGAGAAGGGCAACCATGTCGGCCCCACCCTGCTGGAAGATGAAGTGTTCCGCGAGAGGGTAAGCTACCACTGGGCACCATTCAACTCACGCATACTGATGATGATTAGATCCATCGGTTTGATCACGAGCGCATCCCTGAGCGTGTTGTCCACGCAAGAGGAGCCGGTGCCCACGGTACTTTCAAGCTCTTCGAGAGCTGTGAAGATGTCACCTCGGCCGGCGTCTTGACTGACACTTCTCGAACAACTCCCATCTTTGTCCGTTTCTCAACCGTGCAAGGCAGTCGCGGTAGCGCAGACACCGTTCGAGATGTCAGAGGTTTTGCTCTGAAGTTTTACACGGATGAGGGCAACTGGGATATTGTGGCAAACGACATTCCCGTGTTCTTCATTCAAGAAGCTATCAAGGTAAGTGTTTGAGACGGAGTTGCCACCTATGCACCCATTGACCTGTCGCAGTTCCCCGATCTCGTGCATTCCCTTAAGCCAGAGCCCGACAACGAGGTCCCTCAGGGCCAAACTGCGCACAACAACTTCTGGGACTTCGCATTCCTGCACAAGGAAGCAACCCACATGTTGTTCTGGGCCATGTCCGATCGAGGGATTCCCCGCTCCTACCGCATGATTCAAGGATTTGGTGTCAACACATTCGTGATGATCAACGCGAAAGGCGAGCGTACCTTCGTCAAATTCATCTGGACACCCGAACTAGGTGTGCATTCGTTGGTTTGGGATGAGGCTCTTAAGCTGGCTGGCCAGGACCCAGATTTCCACCGCAAAGATCTGTGGGAAGCCATTGAGAATGGAGCCTATCCTAAATGGAAGTTCGGTTTCCAAGCCATCAAGGACGGCGACCAGGACAAATTCGATTTCGATATCCTTGACGCCACCAAGGTGTGGCCTGAAGAATTGGTGCCCATCCGTTACGTCGGAGAACTCGAATTGAACCGCAACATTGACGAGTACTTCGCGGAGACCGAACAGGTGGCCTTCTGCACCAGCCACATTGTTCCTGGTATCGACTTCAGCGAGGACCCTCTCCTTCAAGGCCGCAACTTCTCCTACCAAGACACTCAACTCTCGCGGCTGGGCGTCAACTGGGAGGAACTACCCATCAACCGCCCCGTCTGCCCGGTGTTGAACTTCAACCGGGATGGCCAAGGACGACACACCATAAGCAAAGGCAAAGCCAACTACTGGCCTAACCGATTCGAAGCCAACCCACCAACAGGCCAAGGCGGAAAGGGTGGTCTCGAGTCCTTCCCAGCCACATACCCAGGCGTCAAAGCCCGCAGACTGACGCCCAAGTGGAAGGAATATCTCTCGCAAGCTCAACTCTTCTTCAACTCCATGTCCGAGATTGAAAAGAAGCACATTATCGAAGCCTTCTCGTTCGAACTTGATCACTGCGACGATGATATCGTTTATGAGCGCATGGTGACCCGGTTGGCCGAGATCGATCTTTCGCTCGCCCAGGCCGTGGCGCAGAATGCCGGTGCCAAGTCGCCGGAGGTGCAACTCCAACCCAACCACGGCAAGAAAGCGAAGGGTCTCAGCCAGTTCGACTATATGCCCAAGGAGCCAACGATCAAGGGCCGCCGCGTCGCAATCCTTATCGCAGATGGGTTCGATCTCACCGCCTACGAGGCCATGAAGGCTGCGGTATTTGCACAGTCAGCTGTTCCCTGGACGATAGGAGTCAAGCGTCAAGCCATGAAGTCTGCGGATGGAACCAAGGAAGTCAAGGCTGATCACTTTATCAACGGCCAGCGATCAACCATGTTCGATGCTCTGTTCATCCCAGGTGGTGCCCAGTCAATCCAGACGCTCAAGAAGATGGGGCTTGCGAGATTCTGGGTCAAGGAGGCTTTCGGCCACTTGAAGGCCATCGCTGCCGTTGGGGAAGGTGTCGACCTCGTCCACGCCGCTCTCACTGAAGTCGAGAATGTCAAGTTGGCAGGCGCCGGTGCTGGTGCTGACGGAGTGGTGAACTGGTATGGTGTGATCACTGCTACTGATGCTTCAGCCGCCAGCATTGCCAAGGAAGCCGTCAAAATCACCAAAGATACCAAGGACTTCGCCGGCCAATTCTTCTTCGAAATTTCGCAGCATAGGAACTTCTTCAGAGAGTTGGATGGTTATGCTGAACAGGTGTCCATCTAAGTCGTCTGTTGGATCTGTGCATGGAACGTCGATACCCCAGAGAGCGTCGTGGGAGTGAGAATATGGTGGTTCGATCCGCCAAAAGGGCGAAATGTGGCTCATGCTCAGCGTGGGTTGACGAAATTAACGATACCTAGTAATGTACATAGCATCAATGTAAAACGATCAGGTCATAGATTTCGCTACCCCAGTGACAGTGTTTTCAGCTCAAGTAAGACCGCAGCAAGTTCACTCGGCCTTTTGGCTTTAAATCGACCCATCTCATAAGTTTCCTCCTTAGCCCTGCGCATAGATATCCACTCACCTTCACTTACGACAGTAAGGAAGAAAAGATCGGAAGAGAACCTGAGTCACGGTACAAACGAAACCTCCGACGAAAGACACCTCGACCAAACGTTGAGCTTATATCAGGACATTGTCGAACCTCACCTTTGCCAAGTCGTGCGAGTGCAGTGCGAGGACCACCGCGCCAGCATCAAGGGCCCTCCCCCTCGGTTAGTGTCGGTATGTAGTCGACAGCCCCGGCGCGCCCTGCCCTGGTCCTGAGCCTCAAAAGGCTCACTCTTTCGGATTGCCCCCGAGCTCGGACTCAGCGACACCCAAAACACCGAAACACCAAAACACCAAAACACCACATCGAGTGGACGAGGTACGACTGATTGCGCTGCCCTGCCCTGCCTGTCGGTGTGTCCACGCGCGGGACTGCCTGACAAAAGACGCGGCGTCCGGAGTCCAGAGTGGATGGACGATGGAAGGGATATGGCGTGGCGTGGCGTGGTGATGAGAAGTAGAAGCGGCAACGGCAACAGCAACGGCGGCAGCGGCAGCAGTGGGAGGCGGAGCAAGAGGAGGAGGAGGAAAAGGGACATTCTGACCAGCAGCGGCGGGCCCACGAAGTGGCCACGTCTGCTACATGACAGCACGTCGTATAGACCCGGAATTGTGGCCTGTAGCGCGGAATCGTCGACTATCGTCATTCATGGCCACATAGGCGCATGGGGATGGGTAGCTCCCTCCCTTCCCCTTTCACCTTCCTCTGCCTTACAGTACCTACCAGTCCGGTACACGCACTCAAGCACGAACGCACGCACCTACGCGATGAGGTGCAACACGTTCTGCGTTTCTCATTCGAGTCAACGCAGTCGCCAATGAATGGAAGTCGACGACGAGGGTGTGGACGTAGAATGTGAATACGAGGGGAGGCGGGAGTGAGTCGACGGAGGCCTACTTCACCCAGTCTGTACTCGTACAGTACTGTGTATCGTGAGAGGGAAAGGTGCTTCGTCTGAACTCCGCGCCTCTGCCTGCATCTTCTTGCCTCGCATCCTCGCATCCTCGTGTGCTCGTGTTTCCGGCTCCATCAAGTACTGCTGATGGGGTCGGTAGTCGTACTCGCACAAAATCCTCTGGACTTCGGAATGGTGTCGCTGAAGTGCAAGACACATGGGCCATACTTCCGGCAATGCCATTACAATCGTCCGAGTTCGACTCTGAGAGGCCACGCCGTCATCTCGTAATCACGTCTGTTAATCTTCATTGAAGAGTGGTCCAGGAGGGAGGGAATGTCTGCTTTGTCTTCTGGTTGTTGAAAAGGCTTGCAATGGATGCACTACACAGTACATGGTGCTTTATGTATTGTAGGTTGATAGGTTGGCTCAGCCGTGCATCCATATATCCATTCGGTTGTTTGGTTATTCCGTTCATTTCATGGTTTGGAGGTCTACTGTAGCTCAGGGGGTTATCCGTCTATCGTGCGTGCGTGCATGCGTGCTTTAGCAGGAGGGCGAAACTGGCTCGCCACCGCCCGTCTTTTTCCGCTCATGGGTGTGCTGTACAGGACGTGGCTGTTGACGTAAAGCTAAAATACATTCTCATCTGCATTGCAAGCGGACGGATATGGGCGATAGGATGTCAAGGATGCTGAACATGCAAGGTCTGCCGCATTGTTGGGCCGAAATACTTTGTACTTACCGCCCATGGCAATATGTACCTCCTACCCTGCAGCTTCACCGTGTAGCAATATTTAGGCAAGCTGGAAACGTTCTTTGCCATCAAGTGGGTGGGCCATCTTCGACTTACAGTCCCTCGTACTTTGCGGGTGAGGGTGGCCGATCAATCTTGCCTATTGGAGCTTCTCATCCCTGAGCTTACGAGTACTGTCTGCACTGTATTTGCCGCACAAGGATGGAGTATGTCGTACTGTGTATGTTGGGCCGTGCCTGAGCCTGTTGACGGAACCTATTCGTGCGTTGTGCCGTGGTAGATAAGACATCAGGATGGAAAAGCTGAACATGCCACTCGCCGTGTCATGCATGGAGTGTATTTGTGGTGGTTAGGTGCCGGAAGACGAGTGAACAAGCCAGGCCAAGCCGATCAACTTGGGCACAACTCACAGGTCACATCATACATACGTACCACGACTCGTGCCATGCGAAGCCGAGGCTGTCACTGGGTGCCGCTGAGGCGTCCGTTGACGTCGATAATAGTAATCATATCACGGACGTCGCAGACACGACAGACATGTTTCATCACATGGCGGACATGACGCAGGGCACCTGCGCGGATCCTGGAGTTACAACGCACCGGGTACACGGGTCAGTAAGAGAGACGCGGAGACTGATGCGACGTTTGACGGGTGCACTTCGAAGCTTTGGGTACGAGATCCTCGGATCAAGCGAAGCGAGTGACGAGAAAGCAAGGGTGCGGAATCCTAAAGCACAAGTAGTCAATGATGGCAGCAATTTTCCCAGGGGGTCGGAGTATGTTGCCCGGCCTGGTGGCGAAAGCACTCCGTACAACACTGCCGTAAGACGGAGCAAGGTCTGAGTCGAGCGTCAAGTGGAAAGATCAAATGCTGACTGATTTGCGGATGGATGCCCTGGACCCGCGTTTTCGTTGACAACCATGGGTTGTGCGGATGTGTCATGGACGCCTCGCAGGTCTGACCAAGACAAAGAGAAGCAAGGTTGCATTAGAGTTTTGACAGCGGTGTTGGGATCAGCGGGATCATGGGTGCTCAGCGAGAGGCCAGCAGACTTCTATTGCCTGCGGGAGAGGGAACCTTTGGGACCTATACGTCGTATCATGTCGGACATGCTTTTTGCTGCTGCAGGCGTGCGTGGCAACAGAAGGCACACGCTGAGTGCGAGACACTTGGCTGCATCAACCGGTCGTGTGCCGTCGGAGTCTTTGCGGTGTCAACCACACAGCGATGGTGGCATGGTTGTGCAGGGGAAGCAGCTGCTCTTGCAGGCGGTGCTCCAATCTCGGGCTCGGCGTCTCAACTTTCTGAAAGATGCGGAATCGAAGCTGCACTGCAGGAGCCTGTTTCGTTCTCATCACGGAGGTTTGGCAGGCTAGTCAGTAGTCGAGGTTGCTAGTCAGAGACTCTTGCGGCAAGAATGCGGCTGCGAAGGTTGACCAAGAGATCGGCAACTCTGCTCACAGGATGCAGCAGCTTGGAAATGGATTGGAGAAGTTGAAGGTGCCAGGACGAATATTCCTTGCTGGCAGGTCCGTGTTAAGGCGGCTGGCCCCCGTCAAATCTCTTTATGCTTCGAGTCGGTCGCCGATCCATTGTCTCGCCTGCATGGACAGGAGCAGTGAGTGAGCCACGAGAGCCTCAGCTGATGTGGGCTTTGGTCAAGGATCGACGGACAGACGGGAAGCGACCGTCATGACGGTCTGTGTGAGGTACGGGGCACTACTGTACTGTTTACCGGCACTGCTCTCGAAGGGCTAGAACAGGCTGCATCGGTACCAAGTATCAGTGCATGCGCCCTAAAGTCCCGAGGCGCACCCCCAAAATTGTCCCGCTGTCGTTTGGCTCATGCTTGTGTGACCGGCATCTGAAGGCCAACCGACCAACATCTCGAGCTTCCGATAACCAAGACGTCGACTTGCTGCAGGTCGCTTTGGAGTTGCAGCATGGGCTGGCGCCGCCTGCTGCTCCCTCAACGATCATGTCATGCCTCGATAGCTGGGTGGTCGGTGCAATACTCCGCGCCATCGAACCAATTTTGCAACATCCTGACTTCACGCCGCAGCTACACTAGGCGGGACGACAGGCACCACCTCGCCACAACATTTAATTTCTGGTATCACAGTACGAGACAATGGTTGTGAGAGCAAGCCGCAGTCCAACACATCGAATCCACGTCTCGTGCGTGCATGCTAGCTCCCATTCACTGTCTACGACGGAGATGGCGCCGTGCTGGCAGGTCCCAGGTGCGAACAAGAAAAAGGCGAGAGATCATGCATAGCCCTGGCGGTGGTTCCAGTACAGACTGCACAAGGGTGGTATTCAACCATAGCCAGCCCAATACCGTAAGGGCATTTCTACAACGGGATGCTCTTGCTACCCGTGCTACTGAAGTAGGGTGGATAGTGGTGGTTTGGTGCATATGCAGGCGCTGAAGCCTACTGAGGAAGATATTTGGTAGACTGCCATGCCGACCTAGAATCGGCCTGTGAGAATATGAATATGTGGCTTCCATTGGGCAAACTCAACGTCGGTCCAATGCAGGTGTCAGGGTATGGGCCGCCAGAGTTCCGTACGATGCCGTGCGTCGCACCCTAGTAGGGTCCGCTCTTGGGACACATGCGCCTGAAGGCTGTCGCGCCCGCGCTTGTGACACCTCGAGTGACAGGGGGTCCGAGAATAAGCGACTCGCTGGATGTGCACATTTGAAGTTCAAACTTGCAAGCCCGTCAGATCAGACCAGGGTTGGATGTCGATGTGATGCTCGTCCTGACGGAGCCGACATGCCAGCACCCTGCAATAGCCTTGATTCGTCGAAATGATTGATCAGAGCTTCACAAGAAGGGCCTGGAAAACGTGCTCTCTGTGCTCTGCGCCTTTTGTTGTCGGTACGTTGCCCATTGCGCAGGGGGCATCAGTTCTCTTCTATCTGATACTGCGGTAGAGCTTCGACCCAGTACTAGCCTCGCTACAGAGGTGGTACGGATGCCACACAGTGCCGTCGAGCATGCCTCGCACGAATACAGTCGTCAAACGCCCCAGCAGGAATGTGATAGTTGTTGCCGCTGATTGCAAGGGTGGTTCTCGGCTACGCAGCAACGCAGCTGCATATCCTGACTTACCGCACAGGATGGTGCAGGTACTCCGTACCTCGTACGAGTACGAATATCAAAGTCAAGCAAACCTTCAAGGCGGTGGTCACTCCTGATGACACTGGCAAAGGATTATCACAATGCTTTTCGAGGACGGAAAGCGCCCCGCTCCCCTGGTTGGCAGGTGCTGCTCGACACGACCATCCTCTACTAGTCGTATCCGGTACGAGTATTAAGCTACCCAGTGCGACCTCAAGAAGCCAGAGGCAGATGCCGAAAGACGCCCCTGGCTGCAGAGAATCGAATCTGTGATATAATCCAGGACCGCTTCCCGTGTACCTCCGACATCCGGGTTACAGACTTTGACGTTGAAAGTGTACTGTGCACATCCTTTCTACGCCGGCACCCAGGCAGAGGTCGCTCCTTCTTGGTCATGCTTTGCATAGACTGACATATTTTCCCATAGCGCAGCACTGTGTGGCGGGCCGCCCTCGAAGATTTGTCACTTTGTCGGATCATTGTCCAATTCATCATAGGGGGTTTTAGATTCCCAAGAGGCTTTTGGTACTGTGGCCTGAAGCTTAACCTTACACAGCAGTCGCGAGGCGAGTGGTCCCCGTACACACCCAATATTGCTGATCTCGGGTGAGTTGGCAGCCAAGGGCGCTTTGTCGGACTGGGTTGCTATCGGGACCCTAAGATATGGGGAAGTCACCATGTAGTTGGTAGTGTCGTGTCAAGCTCGGACCGGTGGATACTGCGGACATTCGAGACTCGCTGAGGCTCATGTTCCTTTGGGGAGGAAAGCGTCTCGCCGCAGCTGACGCTGAAGCAATATGTTCGCTGGAAGCACACGGTAATATTTGATCACATTGCTCACTAAGTACGAAATAATTCTGGCGACAATTAGATCGACCGACGATACTCAGGGTATGGAATTGGACCGATGACAATCAGGTGCTATCGGTGATTGCTCTCAAAGTAGGGACCCAAATCATTCCTAACTGATTTGCACAATCCACGAGGGACTTCAATTATGCAATGATTAGACAACCCGGCGAGGTCCTGCAAATGGACTGGTGTTTGTGCAATCGTGAGTGACACTCTGAATAGTGTAGGCGGACGCGGTCGCGGACTAGATAAAATACGAGTTCGAGGCCGAGGTAACAGAGCAGCGCTGTTGTGGGGAGAGGTCGGGTTGTCGCGGGTCCACTATGACCGACTGGCGAGGGGGGCAGGAAGAGCGTCGAACAAGGTCCAAGATGAAGAAGCTGACCCTCGACTGAGCATGGAACCATGATCCAGGTCCAAATGAGAAGAGGAAGCGGGTGGCTAGAGGCGCTCACACATCAATATTTTATCACTTCTCGCCAAACCATGCAAGTCGCATCTGCTCAAAGCGCGATTCGCTATCATCACTTCAGTAGTGCGTGCACTTGCACAGTAGTAGACTCGAGGGAGGCTACGCAAGCAATCCTCACCCTGCACCAACACAAGTAGAATTTGCATTCTACGGAGTACGAGTTACTGTGGTCTGCATCGCAAAGCTAAATCGTAGCTTCCTGGACCTTCGATGAGGAACGTGCAGGTCTTGACAGAACCTGTAGTGAGTCGGCGGTGTCTGCCAACCAATCAGTCGGTAGTCGGTGGTGGACTTTCGCCTTCCCGTAGCATGCGCTCGGCACGCCCATGCAGCCCCTTCCATGATGCATGCGGGCGTCAGTCAGGCCTCAGGGGCTTTACTATGATACCTGGGCTTTCTCTTACACAGTACCCCTCGGGTGCCTCCGCATTTTTGCCCTTGCAAGGGTCGAATTCGCAAGTCAGGTGGGGGCCTCCCAAGCGCGGCTTTGCTTTTGGCTGATGGCTGTCATCACCTTTCATCGAGGCTGTGGTTCCATCCAGCGCCTAACACATATCCCTCCAGCCGAGCGTGTAGATTCCCTTCGTTGGCATCTTCCGGGTTATTCATCTTTTCCCCTTTTGTGGCTGGAGCCCGATTCACATTCTGGTGAGAGCGAACAACACTCCCGCATGCTCTGACTCCGATGTGTGGTCCTTGTCCTTTCACTCCCACTTCCAATACCTACGCGGGACAAATATCCCTTCATCGGCATATTTTACACTCTTTGTGACTAGATGGGAAATTCATAGGCTTTCCGATGGATCGGCTATCTCAAGCATGTCTAGAACCTTAGTGCGTCCATCACCCGACAGATATGCAATCTCTCGACCCTTGACCCTTGAGCTTGACGTGCCTCATCCCTGACAGCTTTGGGTCTTCCTCTCCGGGTCCACTCCGTACACTCCACATGGCAGCCTCAGCCGTTGCGTTTCCTTCTCACCTCCGAGCAGCCTCCCCCTTTCCCGTTTCGCACAGCCCACATTCCTAGCCTGTCGCTTCCACCGTCTGGCGCTCCCTTGACGTTCGCGATCCACTTTCAGTGATAACTTTTCGAGTAGCGCCTACGAGTGGGATACCACTCTACCGCATCCGGAGTGCTATGAACGTGAACGGATAACCCACCTCGTCTCGACTCTCGAGCCACGAATGTCTTATGAACATCCTCTCGAGCCCCGAGATCTTGACGAAGTACTCGGACAGCTACTTGACCCTGTTGGAATCGAGCACGACGTGGTAGAGCGTCACTTCTGTACATTACCGGCCTTCTTTGTGTCCCGTTCCGTTCGAGGTACAGAGATACGTCGACGCACCGAGTGATTGAGCGAAGAGGACTGCGTGTGATAGCCCTGTTCGTACCTCGTAATCCAGGTGCCGTTGAACCCTGCTCAAGCCTTTACACTAGCTCGACGGAAGCACCCAAACATCGAGAAACGCAACCGCGTCATCCCGTGTCCGCCACCGATATCCGCCTTGTTACCTCGTAACTAAGGACTCAAGGTGGCCCTGCATCATCCCATCATCCATCTTCCTTCTTTCGGCCTCTAGCGTGCTCCTCCACTCTGGTGTCTGACCATGTTCGGCTGAGCCACTTCTCACGGCTCGATGATTTGCTCGCATGTTCCCTGATCGGCGGGCTTCGGGGGTCGCTAAACCTGTGTTCTTGGGTTACCTGGGGGCTCACAAAATAGCCTCTCTGGGCCCATGCGCTTTCGATCGCCCTTGACTTGATTCTGACATCTGCATCTGGCCTGTGGGCCGCCTGGGCGACGCGGACAGTGACAAGTGACTGCGACAGCCTCTGTTCCACCAGTTCCAGGCTGCCTTGAATAAATCATCTCGCTACCCACTGGGTCATGGTCCGCCTGGCACACTTCGTACAACGCCACTCACTCGCTCGTGCCTCTCCCGCCTCTCGTGTCTCTTGATGGAGGAGACACTTCTGACTTCGGTTTCCCGTGGGACCACTCCGCACACCTGGTTGTTTCTTCTTGTGTCCTAGTCGATCATTTGCCATGAGGCCCCAGCGGAAATGTACGTGCCAGGTGCTGAGGGCAACTTCGCTAGGTTCAAAGTTGGCCTGGTGCCCACACGTATACGCTACCGTTGCCGCCCTTTTCCTGGATGCTCCTCGCCAGCTTGCTCCCCCTTCTTTCCAAACTGGCAAAATCGCCCAAAGCCGCCAATCAGATCCCTTCGAGGCCATCGGTGTTCTGACTATCAATGCTCGTCATGCTTTGACTTCACTTCACGTTCCTCAACCCTTGCGCTGGGTCGGACTGCTACACCCCTTGTTCGTTGCTCTGTTTGTGTTCACTAACTCTGACCAGCGGTTGCCGGGCGTGACTGATGTACCAATTTAATCTCGCGTGTTCCCCTTGGGACAACCTCCACTGTGAGCTCGGGTCTGACCATTATGCGTCCACCCTTGCTTGGGAAATAGATATGGGCTCGCAACTGCCACTCGATACTCCGAGCTCTATCAACCCGCCCACACCATCTTCTTCACCATGGCTACCTTCCAGCAATGGAGTTATCCTCTTCCAGACATGACTTCCAACACCGGCGTCTCTGCAAACGACTCTTCTTATTTCGCCCGTCCCAGCAAGATTGTAAAACCGAACAGTCGGAACAGCAGCCCGCGGAACTTGGGCAGAAGGAAAACTACGACGGCCGCATGCTCGTCCTCCCGAACAAGATCTGTTGTCGACCATCTTCGCTCAAACTCTCAATGGCAGAACTCGACCCCGGCACGATCCCGGCCGGTTAGTTGGCATCCAGACTATTTCCAGGCACCCAACTTCAATCTCAGTCCCACCGTGAATGGAGGACACTCGTCGTGTTGGGGGTTTTCAACGGCCCAGGTCAACGGTCTTATCACACCGGTCGCCTACACGCCGATGAACGAGCCTCAGATCCAGGAATTCTTCGCACCCCTGGACGATCTTCCAGGCTTAGATCCGAGGTTGGCCTACGACGGCCGGGAGTATTGCCAACAGGTATGGCCAGGCCAAAGCGAGCCTGAACCGTACTCTCTTCCTCTCCATGCCCAGCCGTCTCCAACGCAGTCATCATGGCAATCCAACCATATGTCGATGGACCCAAATGTCCGAACAGCGCCCTCCTCTCCGGATTGCCCGCCAGTACAGAACATTGGGCTTGACACCCTATCGCTCGGCAACGTCGACACGAAGTCGAAGGATAGCTCGGAGGAATTGGTTGCCATGGGCCTGTATGACTCTCCCGCCGAGGTCCAGTCATCGTCCCTCTTGTTTGGCGGACTTTCCGGCTCAGGGAGCAAGGCGCTGAAACTCGCGGAGTCCTTTGAGCCGACCGAGCAGGAATGCGACGCGGAGGAAGAAGAAGTAGAAGGCGGTCAAACCGACGACGACGACGACGACCAGCTGCCGGAAGAAGCTGACGAGAAGTGGCATACACCTGCTGCCACCGACTACGACTCACACTCCATTGCGAGCCATATGACGTATGGCATGCAGCCACGACCGGAGCCTCTGGCCACCCAGTATTTGGCGACCCTGAGGCAGATGAACAGCGCCTACTACCCACCAGAATATACCCATCAAGACCCTGGTTATGGATGGATCTGATGCACGATTGACGAGCATAACGACCAGCGGAGTTTCTTGTAGAGATGTCCGGCCTCGACAGCAGTGTCCACGACTTTGTTCTTTGAGCGATGATACCCCCTTTTGAGACGGTCTGCAGACGGCCCGTTAGATATTGAAGCTAGATTAGAACATTCGAAAACCATGTATTATTGTGACGGCTCTAGTTCATCCCCGAGTGCCATCTAGGCCATCAACAACACGGACCCATCTTCAGAAGTCTCGACGCAGGTTCTATACACATTGCGTTTCGAAGCAGCATTCCCCCGCGTCTGGATGTGCTTGATTGATTGTAGCCTCATCACGAACCACAGCGCAAAGGCACGGCAATGAATATGATGAAATACTTAGTAGCTAGACGAGGGAGTCTATCTGTTAGGGTGCGCAAAGGCGCAGATGATTATACTTAGACTCGGGATCCAAGTAGCAATAACCTACTACGGCCATTCTGAGTTGTAAAAAAAGTGTACTTTATGCCTAAGTTCGGTCGTGATAAACATTTATGGATGCCAAGACTTTACTCAGCTAAAATTGACCACGCATGGGATATTCCCGGGATACTCCGTGCATCCGATAAAAAGCGGCCAGCTCCTGGCGCAGCCGTTACCAAACCGTCGTTCTCGCCAGGGTCAACCCCAGAACCATGGTTTTACAATTTCCACCGTGGAGGCACCAATCCTACCTTGCCTTGGTCCGCGACTGGTTCTTCCCCCACCGCACGAAACAGGACGTGTTTTCTGCGACGGTATCAGATTCATCACAAGACATGAGACAGCGGGCCATTGACAAGATCAATCTTTGGATGTTTAAAGCCGGCCAGCTCCCCCCAGCCATGGAGGCTACTGCAAGCTTGACCGAAGCATTGCTGCACGATGAAGCGAGGAGAAATTCGTCAGCTCCATTCATCTCTGAGTCGGCAATGCAGAGCGTCTACGCCATGGCTCTCGCGAGGTTTGTCAACGCATTCGTCGATCGTGACGTTGCTCGCTCACATATTGCCGGCATGGCCAAAGAGGACGGTGCAGTGGAAAGCGAAGAGGTGACAACCATTTCAGGCAAAGGCGAGAGCTCCATGTACGCTCACGCCGCTACGATTGGGATGCCGCAAAAATTTGTTGATATCCGACATCAAGTTACGCATGGTAACATCCCCGGCGTGCCGCTTTTGAAGAAGATGACTGAGCAAGCCTTGGAATGGTTGTGGGAGAGATGGTGGGTGAAGCATGTGTCCGGAAATCCAGACCGAGCGTTGAGAGAGCTGCAAGAGAGACAACGAATCTCCAGGGAGGCCAGAGAGTCGGCAAATGGTACCTCCGGTCTGCCATTCGATGACGGCTCAAGCAATGGCACGAGTCAAGATGCATTGATGGAAGGAGGATCGAGCGCAGCTTCCTCTGTAGCGGCTGGCGCCACGTCGCGCAAACGTAAATCTGCTGTAATAGAAGACACCTAAAAACTAGAATGTCACTCGCAACCAAGCGCCTCTTTTGGCCTGTAGCGACGGCGACTTCGTGTCACGTTGCCAAGGCTGCTCAGAATGGCCGCATTTGGATACCATGTCACCTCCGCATTTGCCTCTTGATGCACACATTACACTGTTTGCTCGTCTTCAAAGCAGCTTGGTAGTGACTGCAGAACACGATCGAACCACGATACCCATCGCGATAGCGACACGGCACGCTTTCTCCTTTTCCCTTCTATCCGTTTGAACTGGTACCCATGGGAGAGACTCCTCCACCCACCTTTCACATAGCGTGCCTCTTCTCGAAAGCCCCCATTTCGCGCCCTCCAGATCGATATGAGCAGCCTCCCGGCTAGGGCAAACGAAAGCCCATCCTGCGACTTCTGGTCTCAGACTCAGACCACGTCATATCCTACGCAGACCAAAATAATATCTACCGTTGCCTTGCTGGTATTGGGATACTATGCTCTATCCTTCTTTGACGCCTGGCCGTCCACCTTCAAGCGATCCATCTACGAATTGATTCTATACGTTTTACCGTCTCCTCTCATTTACGCCATACAATATGGCTTGGTCCGTCTTGGGCACCTGAGTCCGGAAGACGCAAGATTTAAGTCGGCCAATTTCGGAGACATGGTTGCAAAACAAGAAGCCGTGCGGAGCATATTTGGACAGCCACAACTGCCTCTGGCGCTGCGGAAGGTTAGGACTCTTTCAGGCCCCTTGATGTCCTTGGGCAGTGCTAGTGGGCCGCCCGGTCTGGGAAACTGGGACAATTCCTGCTATCAGAACAGTGTCCTCCAAGGGCTCGCCTCTCTGCCAGCATTTTTCGAGTACATGGTGGAGAGTGAGAAGTTGTGCGATACATATGACATACCTGCGCCCACGCACCGAGCCCTGGTCGCTTTTCTCGAGCAGTTGGCGGATTCGAGTTGTCGGACGACCGTTCTTTGGACGCCCAGAGTGCTGAAATCGATGGATAGTTGGCAGCAGCAGGATGCGCAAGAATATTTCGCTCGGGTTCTTGAAGCGGTCGAGAAGGAGGACAAGCAGTATTCAAAGCGCTTGAGACGTTCTACCACCGCTGGGCTTCAGTGTCAGGAAACAGCGGGGACATCGGACGCCACCACCCAGGGGTTCTCGGAGGGGCATACCTCAGTAGGGCGAGGACGCAGTGTCGGTCGCGCCGATTCTCTATCAAACTTACCACGCCACGAATTGCGCAATCCCATCGAAGGCATGACCGCACAGTGCCTCGTCTGTGAGACTTGCGGCTTTACCGAAGGTCTCTCCCTCACCCAGTTCAATTGTCTGACATTGAATCTCGGGCTCCAACGTGAAAGCAATGTCAAGACCCTGCTCGACGAATTCACGGCACCAGAGGACATTGAGGGTGTCGAGTGTGAGAACTGCACACGACTAGCGCGGGCTGATACGTTCACCAAAGCCACAGAGGATTCCAACAAGGAAGCAGGGGCATCGAGCAACGACGCTGAAAAGAAGATTCAACCCATCTTGCGCACCAAAGCAAAACAGATCACTGTCGGACGCTTACCCAAGGACCTGGTTTTGCACATCAACCGAAGCATTTTCGATAACTACGGGAATCAACTGAAGAATACGGCACCGGTCAGCTTTCCGGCAAGATTAGACTTTTTGAGTAGATGGTGTGCTCCACTTGACGATAAAGATAATGCTGTCGAGGCCGTTTACGAGCTGAAATGCGTTGTCACACATTACGGTAGCCACCATGATGGCCACTATATTGCAGTGGGGAAGCGAGATAAGGACTGGTTTTCCTTCAACGACGAGCGAGTGACCAAGATATCCGAGGACGAAGTGCTGGCCCGGGGAAATGCTTTCATGCTCTTTTACGAAGTCGTGTCCTCCCTGCCTTCACCAAAACCACACAAGGAGGCTGCAGTCCAGGAGGTGGCGTCTCTTAAGGGGCTCGACTTGGAGGAGGTCGAGGCTGGGTTTCCGCAGAATCACCAAGGGCCAGTCCAGGACCAGATGGACGCACCGGAAGATATAGTTGCTCAATTTTCCGATGACGATGGACTTGGGTCAGCCGCTGACACTGCCATATACAGCGACGTTTCGCCAGACACGACACCTGCGTCGTCTGAGAGCAGCTCGCCTTCCAAGGCTCCGGCTGACGACCATGACCAGCAAAATGGGTTGGTATTCCCCGCCATGAAGACGGCCACAGACATACCGGACCATGCTCAAGACGCGCATGCCAGAGGATCACCCGTTGTATCCGTACTTTGACCTGAGTAGGTCGTCACGAATTCATGATTATGACTTGAAACGGACGGCATGATACCCACTGAGCGAGCCATTTGATTGTTGCATAGATAGAACCATATTCCGAATAGCATTCTGGATATCCCATGTCCTTTTCTGGCGTCGATCGGCTTAAAACTGGTTCTTGCTCGTTTATCACTCCAGTGAAGAGTGCCTCTACCTCATATCGAAGCCGGACGGCTTGATGTATTTTCCCGCAAAGGGCTGTTAGTCAGTAAATATGGAGTATACTCAGAATGATTGACATCAGCAGCCGTAGCGGGGCACCGACAGCCACGGACACGGTGGTTCATGCGAGGCTTTCGTCACGACCGGACATAGTTCATCAAAACTCCTTTCCGATGAAGCCCGTTAGAGGAAGCCACAATGCATCGGCGCGCAATTTATTGACCCGGATCCCTGAGTGAGGCATTGATCCCTCCTTCCTCACCCTCGACGCGACATGTCGGGCTCGAATGCTGCCCCTCAATTGAGCCACAGTATTGGCGACCGCGTTCACGATGATGTATGTCCCACTACAGATCTACGACCAACAGTCTAACAGGAATCGTTCTAGCAGTTTCACCATAGCGGCTCAAGTAGCGAGGACGAATACAATCGGAAGATAGAGGTGAGTTTCCTGTGTCGCGATTAGACTTCATCAGATGGCTGAACATTCTTCTACACAGGTCGTGTTCGACACCGAAGGAGCGCGCCGCCGCAAGTCGTCAACCGTCCTCCTTGAAACCCCCACGCTCGAAAGGCCCAAGAGAAGCACACCTGGACGGTCAATGTCACAATGCCTAGTCCACAAGCTCGTCGAGAAGAGCTCTCTCGGCCAACAACCTAAAGTCGAGTCGCAACTGGAACAGATCGATGAGGTCGAGCCGGAGGCTAAATCTGGCCGGGTTGACGGGGATTCGAGCAAAGACCTGGTTCGCACCACCCAGTCTCGCCTGCTCACGAAGAAGCAGCTGAGCGATATGGCCATCAGTGTACGCACCCTTGCGAAGAGACTGGGCAATCTTAAGGTCAAGCTGAAAGTGCGGGCGATCTTCCTGCTCACAAAGATCTATGACAAGACGTTAATCGTCAAGACGAGGGAGGTGACGCGATGGCTGTTGTCGAAGGACAGGTCTGTGCCCTACATCGTCTACGTCGAGGATAATTTGAAGGATAACCCGATATTCGACGCCGAAGGCCTGGTTGCTGAAGACCCCAGCATTGGAGACCGGCTAAAATACTGGGACACGGAGCTGGCTCGGAGACACCCTCACACTTTCGACTTTGTCGTGACTCTCGGCGGCGACGGCACGGTTCTTTACGCGAGTTGGCTGTTTCAGAGGGTGGTGCCGCCCGTTTTGTCGTTCGCACTGGGCTCGTTGGGCTTTCTCACGAAATTCGACTTTGAAAACTATCAGCACATTCTCTCACAGGCGCTCAAAGACGGCATATCGATCAGTCTGCGACTACGATTCGAAGGCACGGTGATGCGGTCCCACAAACGCGACGACGACGCCGAGCACCGGGACATTGTGGAAGAATTGATCGGCGAAGAGGCTGATGATCGAAACACGCACAAACCAGACCGGACGTTTGAGATCCTCAATGATATCGTCGTGGACAGGGGTCCTAATCCGACCATGTCGACAATCGAGCTCTTTGGTGATGAAGAACATCTGACAACGGTACAGGCGGATGGGATTTGTGTGGCCACTCCTACCGGTTCGACGGCATACAATCTTGCTGCTGGTGGATCACTGTGTCACCCGGAGAATCCGGTCATCCTTGTAACCGCTATATGTGCGCATACGCTCTCATTTCGCCCTATCATTCTCCCAGACACCATTGTGCTTCGGTTAGGAGTGCCGTATGACGCAAGGTCGAATTCCTGGGCAAGCTTCGATGGGAGAGAAAGGTAAGCGCAAATCACGGATTTTGGAACCGAACGAAACTGACAGCAAGGAAGAATCGAGCTCTTCCCGGGCGACTACGTGACCATCTCCGCCTCGAGATACCCCTTTGCAAATGTCATGCCCCCGGGTCGTCGAAGTGAGGATTGGGTCAACAGTATATCCAGAACATTACAATGGAACTCTAGACAGCGACAGAAGGCGTTTCACGAATGGGAGGAGAAGGCAATACAGGATGATCGCCAGATAAACAAGAAAGAAGCGGACTAAGGTGAACCCGACCCAGGCGGGACCTGCCTCGCAACGGATATGCAATGATAGGCGTGTACGGAGTATCATGAGACCATGGAAAGAACGGTGGAAGGGGTGTCCATACTGGTCAAGAACGTTGGTCAGAGCCGAGGTGTCAGTGGGAGATCTACCATCAGCAGCACAACGCAAGCTAGCCACTTTGACTCAGATATCGGCACACCACTGTACCTTACGGAGCACTTCATAGCGCACCTTAAATGGCCTCAATCGGAGCTGTAGTCGTCCATGTTCCTAACCTTGCTGGCAGCTGCATCGCCCGACTAGACAGCCGCCCCAAACCCACGCTAACCCGCCACCAAGCCCAAGCAGGATACACGTTTCCAAGCAGGAGATGCGTTGCCAGGCAAGAGTTGCTTTGCCGGGCCCGTAATGTCGAAAGGCGAGAATCAGGTTCTTGTAAGTCACCGGCCTTCGGCTGACGTTGGGTGGGGTTTTCGCTGTTAGCGATGGCTTGTAAGCTATACTATACGAGAAATTCTGGCGTGTCTACACCGTACTGCATACACGGACGCTTGCAGCTCCAGTCAGCGAAGCATTCAACATTCGTGCATCGTCGTTGTATCGATACAGCCAGCTCAACAAGGAAGAGCGAGGACATGACGCTCCCCGCAAAGAAGACTCGGAGAACCTTCCTTCTAAATTCCCCGCAGTCGTCCGCAGTACGCAGTTCGTGAGTACCTACTCCGTACATTTGACCTACCAAGCCATCTCGAGCGCGGCACACACCTCAAGTCTCACCTCTCCACGATGTCGCTAAGATGATATAAACATCAACACTTGCTCAACGTGGGGCAAACATGGCCGCCATCCCCCCTTCCCTGACGAACTATCCCCCAAGTCACACTTCGTCCCCGTCCCGACATCTCTCCCAATACTCGGTCTCCTCATCTGCCACAACGATCGCGGTTGATCGAACCGATCGCCCTCCCTCAGGCACACCCACCTCCATAACCTCGACTTCCACGCTACGCTACCCGTCCACCAGGAAGACCATCTACGACCGCAACCTCAACCGCTCGCGCAATGCCGAACTGTCGCGATCCAGCTTCGCCTACGTCTTCATGGAGATGGTCTCGTACGCGCACAAGAGAGTCAAAGGCATCCAGGACTTCGAGAAAAGATTGAACGAGCAGGGCTACCCGTTGGGCGTCAAGCTGCTGGACCTCCTGCTTTACAGAGCCACACCGATGGGCGGGTCGAGTAGCAGTGGAGGAGGGAGCAGCGGAAGCTCCCGTGCGGATTCCAATCGACCGCTAAGGCTGTTGCCGTTGTTGAACCTGCTGACGACGAAGCTTTACCCCTTGTTGTTCTCGCGGCCTGCGGATAGTCTGGAGCAAAGCACGACGAACGCCGGCGAGTACATGATCATTGACAATACGCCGTTGACGAACCAGTATATCTCGGTACCCAAGGAGATGAATCAGTTGGCCGTTGCGGCGTATATTGCGGGCATCATCGAGGGGATATGCGATTCCGCGGGGTTTGCGTGCAAGGCCAGTGCGCATAATACCGGTACGGACGTGTGGCCTAATCGGACGGTGTTTCTTATCAAATTCGAGGAATCTGTGCTCGAGCGGGAGAGGGAGTTGGAAAGGCAGGGTGTCAAGTGAGCAGCAGGAGAAAAAGGCAAACTGAGCACCGGAGACCGGAATGATTTCGGTGGTGATGCTGTGGGACGCAGGCCCGGGAAGGTGAGTCGGCGGGCTTGATGAGGTCAACTGAGCCCCGATCCGAACGATACAGTGGCGATGCTGTGAGCCGGCTGATAAAATGGGCCCGATATGGCCTGACCGAGGAACCGTGCACGCGTGCATTGACTAGCAAGACGACGCAGTACGCCAATCACCTTGATCACAAGCACTACCGATTGGGCCGGACATGTCGTTCTCGCATCTCAGCTTGGTGGTACATGTAGCGTCCCCTCAGCTTCCAACGTCGAATATCCAGCCTCTACGCGCCTCGCGGGGAAGCGTTTCGCTCCAAATTCGCCTCCATCAGCTATAACATTCAGATCGACGGCGAGGCCTCTCAGCTAGTCTCATATTTTCGGTGTTGGTGCACCTTCTCGTATCCGGTCATGTATCTGTGTCGAGGATCGACTCACAACGAGACCGGCCAAGCATCAAGATTCAACCAAGACCGGCTTTGCGACCGCTACACAGTGGACAGCCTTCACCGGTGTCATAGGACAATGTTGGGGCGCTGGACTAGGACGGATTGATCGGATCACCGGGCTAGGAATGCCTCCAAAGAAACTCCTCACCCCGCCCAGCTCCACGAGACCGGAGTGGAGGCGTCAGTCTCTATGTCGGATCGGTTTCCGTACGTTGCTGTCCCGGAGGGGTTCTCATATTGACACCAGGGCTATGGGCGGATTCTCGCTCTCAAAGATGAACATGAACAAGAGGCAACCTGGGCGACCTGATCACGGGACCTGAAACATTGTACCAGCTGGCCTTGGTCTGTCATTGCAGGGCTTACGAGGCCGAGACTCTTGCATTCTACCCCGATCTTCCGGTGACGGCGTCAGAAGGAGGAGATGAGTCAATACCGTTGGCCGCAGCGGGGGATACCTTGGCTAAGGCAAAGGAAATAGCAGTTGCAGTGGCAGTGGCACAGTGGTAATCGTGTACGAAAGTATGCACTTTTCCACGACTTCAGTTCTAGCGCAGTACTGTACTGTAATAGGAGCGCTGTGTCCATGTTCCATCCCTATGAGCATGGCTATGGCTGGCTATGGTATGCATATTGCTATGCCACGACAATACTCGAATTCATGGTCCAGCTTCAGAAACCTCGTCGTCCGGACAATCCACGCTCGTCACTGTACTTTAATGTACTTCTTGACGACGATATCTAAGAGCCACTGTACGGAGCACGCACCGACACGTCTGAGATCATACTGTAGATGGGACGGTCGTATTGTATGGAGTAACCACGACATCAGCCGGTGACCGAGACGGCAGCCACGCAGATTACAGTACTTACTTAGTTAGAATACGATCACCAAGTGGTTGATTCATGCCTGTCCGGGTCAGGACTTCCCGGTTCAGGACATACAGCAGTGAGCACCCAGACAGTCAGTACACGATATATCATATGGAATGCTTCACGCAATGCTCACGTACACGGTACAAGCATAAGTGCCGGTACCGGTACAAGGACCAGTCCCAGAACCAGAACCAGAACCAGACCCAATACAATAGTCCCAAGCCAGCAGTGCACCCCGTAAACATCGAGTTCGAATACGACCAATAGCGCTACTGCCAGCTACGCCGCCGCCACAGAAACCATCTCGACGGCACAGACTTCCAGCGCGGTCTTGGTCTTGCTCCTGGCCCTGGTCTTGGGCCTGACTTGAGGGGACATGCCCCGGCCCCTGCTCCCACCAATACCTCCTTCCTCGTCCCTGTACACTCGAGGTCGAGTGAAAGGAGGCCTCTGCGTCTGCGACTGTTTGTGTCTGCGTCTTCGCCGGACAGAGCGGATCCCGTTGGGCGATAGCCGTGCCCATACATAGCCCTACCCATACCTGAGACGAGTCCGTGGCCAATCACGCCGGGTCAAGAATGCCGTCGCATCAGTATTGCGTAGCCGCACACCGCATGCGCACCGAGGAGATCTCACCATATCCGTACGTCAGACGGCTCGTGCGTGTGAGTGGAGGTCGACGGAATCTGCAGGGGCCGGGTCGATGATGTCGATGCGGATCTCGGGGCAAAGTACGAGTGGCTCCCACGTGGGCATACGTTCGACTTGGGATGAGCAGGCGAAGGAGCAGTATCATCCACTCGATCGTCCGACATCGTGGCGGCCTTGTACTCGTGTCTGGGGCGTCTTTCCCCGCGCCTTTCGCCGTGGCTGTGGTTGCTGGCGGTCGGGACCTGAGGGTGACTTCGAGCGCCAGGAGCCGGATCGAGAACCTTCGTAGCCTTGCGTCGAGGGCATCGAGCGTCCAGTTTGGCCGCCTTCATATTCTTGCGTCGACGACGTTGCTCGTTCGGTGGAGCAGGAGGCGGAGGCGGTACTGGCCCCAGGCTGAAGTGGACGACTTCTCGTCTAGACTTCCTCTCCTTGGGAAGGGGTGTTGGAAGTCGACTCGTCCGGTTAATGGCTGCGATTGCGGCTTCGGTTGCGACTTTGACCGCTGGGCGAGCTTGATATCTGGGTCGTGTGCAATGAACAAGGCTCAGATCAGACTCTGATGCACATGGATGACGGGGTGAGTGCGAGGTATACTCCTGGAAGTCGTCGCCTCGTGTGGAGTGGAAGCTGAAGGCAGGTATGATATATTCCATGGTTTTGGTGTGTGCGACGAGGTGCGTGAAATGAGGTGTGTGCGCAAGGCTTTACTTTATACTCTGTGTCTCTTGAGTACGAGGGTGATCGCGGTAGAGTCTAGTATGGCGAAGATGCGAGAATACGAGGTGCTGAAGAAGCAGGCTTTCTTTATATCTCAATCCAAGGCTTCAAACAGATGGCGTTTAGCTGCAGGTCGTCGATAGTGATGATGATGTTCCTGGGCGTCAGGGACAAGCTAAGATGTACCATACCGGTATGACAAGAGGAGTGACCATGTCGATACCAGATGGTGAGGCAGCGTGCCAGAGACGAGTGACGGCCTAAATGCTGCGAGCAAGAATGTGACAGCGTATCACCAACAAGACGAGACGGACGGATTTCTGAACATGGAAATCGAAGGCTCACAGGGTCGGAAGCGGGTAGACTACCACCAGCTCTTGTCACTGTGTTTGAATTACTGGGCGCTCTCTGCTGGGAGAAGTCTAACCAGGGACGAACGGAGAGCATGCAGCGTGATGCGTGATGCGTGATGCGGAATGAGGTCGACACGACCCAGGACGACTGTTGCGGCTACCCACCGACTCTTTGGCGGATCACTCTCTTCGAGAATGGTCGCGGGAAACTGACCATCAGCCTCGAACGACATGTTGGGTTCTTCGTCGGGCCGCCATTACCTAGAGCCGAGATTAATTCTCGCAGTCACATAGAGTTCCTGCGTAAGATGAGATTGTCTTCGGGTAACGGCACAAGTTGTGGCGATATCATCGAGGCCACTCCATCCACGTAGCCTTCGAAGGATGTACAAGGAGAACTGAGCGGACACCGACTTTGGACGGAGGAGTTATCTGATCTCTTTCGACGAAAGCTCAGATATGACATGAGCACCTCAATTGACTGCTGTATCACATCAACTTGCGCCTGCCTCGTCAAAATAGACACATGGGCTGCCATGCTGTCTGCGCGAGAGGAAATGCTTGGAGGTAGCAAGCTCTTATCCCCAGGCGTTCGTGCTCAGGCCCTTACGCCGTCTCTGTGTTGGTGGTCGCCACGTTCTCTCGGGTCCCGCTCGTAAGAATGATCTCTCTTCCGTCTCCGAGGCGACCGCGAACGAGATCTTGATCGAGAATATGAGCGTTTCCGCGTGTCTCTGTCCGGATCCCGCCTGCGGGGCTCATCACCTCTCCGATCCCGGCTTCTCTCTCGGGACCGATAAGAGTCCGGATACCCGTCTCCGTTCCTATCATTGTCGTGGCCTCTCTCGCGCCGTGGGGCAACAGCACTCGCATTTGCACCCGTCGGGCCAGGCGTCCCTCCACTTCGGTGATCATCAGGTAGGAACCGCTCATCAACGCCTTTCATGGCAGAGTCAGCGTTCCTCCCGAAGCCAGGTCCACCACCACTCCCGCGCCACCTCATCACTTCCTCACCGAAACGTCCCGTGTCTTCGTTCTTCATATCCGTGTACCTCGTTCTTCCTTTCTTGCCGAGTTTAGTCATGTCACGTATGCGCATGTATTCTGGTAACGCGGACTTGTCGGATACTTGGTCTTCGAAGCGTGCGCCCATGACGTCTCTTCTCTTCAGGACTTCCGCTGCTTCGTCGCCTTGGAAGAAAGCACCTTTATGGTGGTACCGAGCTAGGTACGAAGCTTCATGACGATTCTCCTCGCGCTCGGCTTTTTGTTTCTCGAGATATTCTTTGTCTTCCTTTTCACGTTCTTCCGCCGTAAGATTCCGCCGCCGTTCGATTTCTTCGATTTCCTTTTCTCGTGCAATGAGGGCCTCGCGATCTCGTTTCAGACGCTTCAACTCGCGGAGTTTCCAGGCTTGATACTCGCCTTCCGGGTCGAGGCCGTCTGTGTCATCTACCATTGATTCGGGAAGGACGTCGTCGTCATCGTCCCATGCTTTCTTCCCTTGTGCGCGAGCAATTGCATCCCGTTCGAGTTTGTCTTTTATAAGGAGCTCTGCTTGTGCGAGCCGCCGGGTTTGCGTGTCCATCTCGGGGTCGGGCACAGGCGTGCCATTTGTGATCGCTTCGGGCGTAGCATTGGAGGCTTGTGGGGTAGATGATAGATTTCGGTCTGATTTCTTGATAAATGTAGGACGTTGGAACTTCCGCCGAGGGGCGTCGTCTTCGGAGCTTTCCTCGTCTTCCTCGTCTTCTGAGGATTCGTCTTCAGACTCGTCTTCCTCGGCTTCCGACTCCTGTTTGATGTCCGCCGGCCGCGAACTTGGTGTCTGTGCCTTGTTCTGCGGCGCTGTCACTTTCGGCGCCGTGGCAGTAGTAGCGTCCTCGTCGTCCGTAACAAATCCTTCCTCGTCCTCATCCTCGCTTTCTTCCTGTCTCTGTGCCTGGGGCTTTGCGGGCTGCGGTCGACGCGGCTGCGGTCTTCTCTGTGGAGGTTTCTGGCTTTGCTGGTGCTGCTGCTCCTCCTCCTCTGATTCTTCTTCGTCAGAGGATTCTTGCTCCGCAACTGGCTTGCCGGGACGATACCTTCCAACGGGTCTTGCGGGGTTTGCAGTAAACCGCTTCGCAGGATTTGGCATAGGTGGCGGCATGCTGAGTATGCCCTGCAACTGGCAGGTGGACTAGACTTCGGGAAGTGTGGTATTGAATCTGCCTCTTCTAATTGTCTTGAAAGTCTGTACAGTGAAGACCGCTTGTCGTCCGGTTGCAGATACGGCGGAGTATACGGCTCTCTGAGCACTACGTCACACCAGACAGTCAGGACTCAGACAGTTTACAGTTTTCCCGCTCCAGCTGAATGGTTTCAACGTTTCAACCTTCCAACGACAGACTGTTTGGATCTCAATCCCAATCTCATTTCACTTCACACTCACTCCCCATCAGCTCATGGTGGCTTCAGGGCCGCAGCCGTGCATGCAGGAATATGCAGGTGCATGATACGCCCGTTTGATACCAAGCGAGCATGCTCTACATCATGAAGTGATGACAAGCCTCCTTGCAGTGAGAAGTCTCCGGTTTGTCAATCGGACTTCACGAACTCAAAGGTAAGGAGTCACTCGCTGGTGGCGTACAAGAAAACCGCAAGTGATGCTGGATGTCGGCGGCTCCTGCCTTCCCAACGTCAAGTTGCGAATCCCTTGCTTTCCCATACCATTTGACCACGCCTCAGAATTGTACAAACACCGCGGGACGCAGAACTAAGGTATTTTGCTTATTTGCCGCGCTTGACAATCCTATCTCTCCTTTTGTGCAAACCTCCATCATTCTGAAGTTCTGAAATACCACGATGTCTGCTTCCACTTCCACCTCAGTACCCCAAGACCAGCTCTCCACACCACCCGCAACAATGGCATCTTTCCGCTCACGGATCATCGGCACCTGGGATCTCGTATACTACATCGCCATCAACGCCGAAGATCCAAATGACGTCGTCTACCCCATGGGCAAAGACGCCAAGGGCCAAATCATGTACACCCACGACGGGTACATGGCGGCTCTGCTCCAAGCAGGGGACCTCAGACCATTCGAGCACGACTGGAACCACGGCACCACCGAAGAACTGGCCGCTGCGGCGAAGAAGACCATGGCCTATGGCGGTCCCTTCTACCTCGACGAGGAGGGACCCCGACCCGAACCGGGCACACCCCGGACGATCATCCACCACGCTCAAATCAGCATGCACCCGAACTTGATCGATACGTTGCAAGTCCGACGGGCGGAGCTCTTCCAGGAAGACGGCCACGAGTACATCATGTTGGGCCCTGAGTCTCCGACTGAGTGGGAGGGGACCCGACGTCTTTTGCGCCTCAAGTGGCGGAAGCGCGATCAGAACAATGCGACGAAGCCTCCACGCGAGGCTAGAGAGTTGAAGCTGTGAAGGGATGGAGAATGACACAAAAAAACGAGGTGCCAAGCGGCTCACAACCAATTCACACACGAGGTTCTTCATGCAGTAAGTCCAGCAAGAGTCTTAGGTCGGAGCCGCCCTGTGGACGAGGACGGTTTCTGCCATTTTACATATGTGACACTTCAGCTATGGCTAATCGCTCTTTGTGGCTGATGGACGAGCCGAAGGGAGGCCGATAGTCCTTACTCCGTCATACGGAGGAGGACAGGAGTGACTTGGAGTCATAGAGGAATCCCTACTCCTGCAGAAAAATCGGATGGTGCCATGTCTAGTTGCTAATTGCTTCCAGCGACAGTAATAATGTAATCCACGTTACATAAAAGAACATGCTTTCCTCCACCACTCCTATGAAGAAACAAGCAATCCACGGAGTGATGAAATGTATGATCATTGTGTCCTAGCAAGAGGGTTCCAGAGCCTGTTTTTATCAGCATCATTTGAATCTGACGGTATTCTGCATCGTGTACTTAAATCTTCATGAAGCACATTCAGGTCGTCCATCTAGTTACCCATTCATCCGTCCACCCATCCCTAAGCCAGTTGGTGACCCGCACCATTTTTTGGTAACGCCGGGCTATGCTCCTGTCGGATCCTATGCTGGTATCCTCCCTGTTCCGACGAACCCCGGGGATCGCTCGAGTACCTTAATCCCAACTCGACCTTTTTAACGCCTCCTGTTGCTGGCTGGACCCTGAGTACACAGTCTCTCTGCCTCTCCTCCCTTAATTGCGATGCGTGTATCTACCGCCTGATGCGAGACTCACGCGCCAAGAGTCATTTTGCCTTCGACATGGCCGTGCTCCTCTCCGTCCACGAGCAGATAGTGCAAGATGTCGCTTAAGCTCAAGACACCCTTGAGGACGTTGCTGTCATCCACGACCATCATGCGATGCACACGGCTCTTCTTGATCGTTTCAAAGATGGTGTCTAGGCCGTCATCGATGCTGCAGCAGTATATGCCTGGATGTGTGGCGGAGCGAGCGCTGAGCGCACGGCCAACAGTCCAGGTCAGATTGCCATAGTCGCCGGACTTGAGGATTTCGATCACGTCGACGGCTTCAAAAACATTGAGGAGAACACCTATCAAATAGGTACATTAGCAAGACATAGTTCTGGTGAGAAATTGCACGAAGGGATGTGGTGCTTACCCTCCGTCGTCACTACAGGCACAGAACTGATATTCTTGGTGACCATGATGTCGACCACGTCCAACACACTGCTATCCATACTACACCTCACAATCTCCGTGTACGTGCCCAACTTGATCACTGCAAGAGGTTTCTTCAGCATGTCGGTTTCTTTCACGTTCATGGCGATAAACTTGAGGATCCGGTATTGGGTTATTACCGACGTGACCATGGTGCGCTGTGTATCGGAGTCGTAGGACACGAGGGGTATGCGACGAGCCCGGGAGACTAGCTGCTTGCGCAACGCGTCGTAGAGGATCGCTTCGGGAGAGGCGCTGACAGTTTCGGGCGCTCTGACATTCAGAACTTTCTCGACATCTAGCACAACATGAGTGAGTGCGCCAGCGAAGTAGGCAGGGACAGAGGGCGTACCCTTCAAGTCGCTAAGAAGGAGTTTATCGACGTCCTTTAGCTTGTCGGCGTGGAGATTGTAGTATCTCACGACGTTGAGGTAGTCATTCACCGTCAAGAGACCGGCATATGTGGAGGTATTCGAGTCCCATAGCGGCGCAGAGACGATGCCTTCCAACAAGTCAGTTAGACTGCCTCATTTGATCCATTCGGTCTTGCGTCTCGAGACATACCACATTGTACCATAATCTGCAGACTCTCCTTGACCGTAAGCCCGACGTCCAGCTCTATCAGTCGGAAACTCAGTGGCAGCACGTCATAGCACTTGCGCGCACGGAGGAAGTCGCGACACGCTTGTAGCCCGGCTCTTTCATCGCGGTCGATCTGACGTTCGGGCTGCGGCCGCGAAGGAGGTGCCAAAGGTTGCGGCACTGGCTTCGGTCGGAGGAGATCTGCGGGACGCACGAATGTGGTTTGGGCATCGTGACTGGAGTGAGATGAAGGAGGGGTGCTATGTTGGGAGCGTGGGTGCTGATGTGGTTGTTGACGAGGACTGCTGGACTGGCCGTCTGGCGGGGTAGGCGTCTGCGCTGGTGTCACCTCTGTATCTTCTGACATAGCGATCGACCACACTGCATGGTTTTGTGTTTGACAGGTGTTTTGCTCCCGCGCGTGCGACGGTAGATTTCCTTGTTGCTTAGACAAAGGACGACGGACGAGGAAGAGTGGGGAGAAAACGTGGGAAAGCGGGCAGTCTGCCCAAGTCAAAGCTGGAGGCGGGAGGCGGGAGAGGAAAGTGGGTAGGGCAGAGCGGGTCGAGGCGAGAGAGTGAAGTGAAGAAGTGATCGTCGGTCGCACAACGAGAGGATTTGGAGCATAACTACGTCTGCAAGAAGCCTTATTCTGCAAGGTAAAAAGTACAGAACACTACCTACATCGGCCTCGTGTTTGCGAGCATGCACGCAATGTCCCTCCCGTTGCGCCATCTCACCCTTTCCACAGTACGAGTACTCGCACAGGGCTGCCAGCGCGGAGATTTGTTCCGAAATGGAAATGGAGGGAGGGAGGGGTGACCGGTTCACGAAGACTCGGTGGGTTTAATTAAGAGTCAGAAGCTAAAATAGCATGTGAAAATCAGCCGAGCGCAGTCAAACAAAACTTCCGGTCACAAGACAAGATGCCTGTTCCTGTTCCTATCATCTGTGCGGTCTTTGGTGCCTGTGCCTGCGCCTGTGCCTGGTCTATTTAATCGCTTGCATTGCCTTGGACGCCGCCAATCACCCGTAGGATCCCTTCTAAACAGACGACTGACCCTCCGTCTCCCGCTCAACCAGCGACTTCTCGTCTCCTCCCTTGAGGTACCCTTCGTACTCTCCGATCTTCTTTCCGCCTTTCTCCCATCGTGCCTGGTACTCTTGCCGCTTCAGCTCGCACAAGTCATTGAGAGCCGGCCAGTATATCTCATGGTCGTACTCAAATTGCACCAATCCGCCGCTCTCCTTCAGTAGCTGCTCTCGAGGTACATGGATGCCCGAGTCCTCGTTGAACTTGATTTTCTCACGCGTCAAAGGGTCGATGAATGGATTGATCAGCTTGAAGAAAGCCCAGATGTACCAGGGCACATTGGTCACCAAAGCCCTTCCAAGGCGTTCCGGATAGTGGTTCTGTAAGATGTTGAGTGTCTGCTTGCCCTGCGACACGGTCGCCCCCTGGCCGGACTTAGTCTCTGCAAAGTTGATGAGCAGCGCTAAAGTCTCCTGCCCGGGTGGCATCATATCAATCGATCGCTCAAGCATGAACACCAAATGCTGAATCTGCCTGTCGCTCCGCTCAGTGTTCTGCTTGGACGGCCGCATGTACTGGCATGGTCGGCCTTCGTTGTCCCAACCCAGAATCAGTTGCTTGCCAGTGGCATTCTCGACAGAGATATAGTCCTTTGTGTGTTTCTCGAGGCCATACTCGCGTCGCCATACCAGCGTATCTCTCAATCTGGTCTCAGCTTGTGCCGCATTCCATTTTGTAGCTCTTAGATAGCGGAGTAGGCATTCCCGTGTCAGGAACATGCGCTCCGAGTCTGTCATTGCTGCGGCCTTGGACCCCTTGGCTGATGTCTCTGGTATCTCGGTCCATGCAGACACATTCTTGTAGACTGCGGCATATTTTGTCTCCTGTTCCGCCGTCAATGCTGGCCTCACAACGGGCTTCGAGGTGTCTAGGGGCTCTGCTAACGGCGTTTTGATAAGTCCATCAGAAGCGGTGTGAGGGAGGTTCAGCTTCGGAGCAGATGATGCAATCTCGGCGTGCTTCTCTGCTACGTTCCCGTTGGCGGCGATAGCAGTCTCATTTGCACTGTTGACATCGTGCACAGGTATATCCACCGCCGGGGCTGTGTCGTCCTCGATTTTCACCTGTCCGACTCGTGTCGCCAGATCCGCAGCCGCTTTTTCGGGGTCGGCGGACCCATTGGATGTTGTCGCATTGCTTGCCACGTCTACCGACATATTGTGGGATTGTCGCTTGAGTGGTGGGTCAGAGGGGTCAGGTGGTCAGGCAGACCGTTGAACGATGAAGCTCACATCACGGCTTGAGAATGTTGGGGAAAACGAGAAGCCACGACGGAACCCCCTGTGCCGGGCAGCCTGATGGGTCAATTTCACCGCTTCACTTATGTAAGCGCCCTAGATTGACCATGTGGGTGCCATGTGGGCTCCAGCTTCCCCCGCTATGAGGCTGGAGCTACAGCCACAACATCTGTCCGCATTCTCGACGAGCGAGACCTCAATGATACCTATTGTATTCGGTGCTTATAACTATCTCAGCTGTCTTGCTACATGGGCGCGGTAAGCTCCCATCCAGCAGTCGGCGTGCGTCTTCTCTGTGGCTTCCAGTAACTGCGTTCAAATGGAAAGCCTGCCGTGTGAATCGACCAAGCTGAAGCCCAGCCTCCAAATCTCGCTTCCCCCTACTCCGTATTCTCATTTCACCTCCCCTCACTACCTCGTTTAAGTCCGCTTAGGACTGCTCGAACCATCCCAATAGCTAAGCTCAGAATATGCACGGCAGAGGGAAAGGCAAGCTCGCGGCTTACTGCAGTAGCTCCTCTGCTTGCCACGACCGGCGTGTCTCTGGCCGCTTCTCTCCCATGAGCAGTACTGGAACCAAGCAACATGCCGCCTATTCTGTCCACTAACCAGCCGAGTATGTCAGCTCAGTCAACCTTCAGCTCTTATAACCTCCGGCGATCACTGCCGATTTCCTCCAAGCTCGAGGGTCAGTCGGGAGTTTCCCCATGATTAACTGATCAAGCACTCCAGCCATCCATCCTTTGAGGGGCGCTGCTCTGCCTGGCTGCTCTTCCTCATAACTCGTTTCCCCGTCAGACGAGCCTTTGCAATACCTTCGCACCTCAGCAACGTCTGCTACAATCCTTCAAGAGCTGTTGAACCACGAAAGCAGCAGTCAACCTGGGTTGAGAGCGCCGTGAGCGCACGAGAGGCGCCAATGCGCCTGTTCTTGCAGCTTGTAGACCATATTCGACCGCGGAATCAATCGCAAAGAGTATCCAACCACGAGCCATAGGGTGCCACAATGCCGAAACTGAGATGTCCCAACAACCGAGCCAGCCCTTTTCTCCCGAGCAGCTACGAGACTTCCAAATTGTTGCCAGAATATCATCCTGCCTGTCCTTGGCGGGTTCGTCGTTTACGATAACCAGCTTCCTGTGTTATCCGCCGCTACGCAAACCCGTCAACCGCCTGGCGTTCTCCATTGCTGTCGCCAATTTCTTTGGATGCCTCTCGTACAGTTGGGCCCAGGCCCCTGTTCACGCTGGAAGGAATTCCGCTTGGTGCCAGACTCAGGGGTTCCTTCTCACTTGGTTTCTTATGACAGATCCCTTACTTGTGCGCTCTAGCCCTATGCACCTGTCCAAGGCAAATATATGGAGCAGTTAATCTAATCTGTACCACAGGTGATGATAATGGCGTTTAACGTCTTTCTGACTGTTCGGACCAAACGGAATGCCACGGAACTGAGAAAGATCGATCTTGCTGCGGTTCTGTTAGCATTCATCTTACCTTTCATCCAAGCTTTCACCTACCTGTTCTGGAGGCCTAACGGCAAGACTGTCTACGGCCCCGCGACACTTTGGTGTTGGATTGCGAAGGAGTCGGCGATCATCCGGCTCGTGGCTTTTTTCGTACCGATATGGTGAGTTTCATTGTCAACGACCCTTGTCAAGGAAGAATTTCTCAACTAGGCCAGGTGCTTCGTTTCTATCGCCATCTTCTTCCTCGCTCTTAGCGGCAAGCAGATCCTTCGTGTTCGTAAGAGCGTCAAGTCCGCCAAAGCCGAATCCGCCCTACACAGGGAGGAGCCCGCCCCACGGCCCGACGGTGATTCTCTGCCACGAGAGCGCCGTTTCTCAAGGCTCGTGCGAGCTTTTACTGGGCCCACTGTCAGTTTAGAACCAGTACAATCAGTAGCGACAACCGCGAACGGCGAGCAGAGCTCTCAGCTGCCCCCCGTTCAATTCAAGGGGCTCGGCCCCTTCTCAACACCCGCACTGATACAACCGTGCGAGGTGCTGGACTTCCAGCGGCAACTAGAAGAAGGTCTCTACCCACAAGAATCACTATATCAAACCTCAACTTCCTCGACACCGTTCGGCACTTGGCACCCCACCTCCCCCACTGGTGCTCTGGACCGCACATTTTCCGATCAGCCGATACTGCAGAACAACGGACAGACTTCCTCGCGAAGGCCGTCCTCCCGCTTCGACAGGATCCACTGGAAATACGCAAAATTTGCTCTTCTGTGCACGCTTGTTTTGTTTGTGACCTGGGTACGTTCCATCTATCCCAAATCTCCCTTTGCCTTGAAGCCGATGCTACTCGGAATCTCGTTTTCCTACCTGGAGAAGCCGACGACACTCACCGAGTCGTGGATTTGGACACTAATACGAACAACGATCACAGGTCCCTATCAGCGTTAACCGCGTTTACAACATCGCCGCTCCCGGCAAGGCAATCTACGGCCTCTATCTGTCCTCCGCGGCCTGCGTTCCACTGCATGGTTTTGGCAACTTCTGTATCTACCTATCAATCAGTTGGACCGAGTGTATCGAATTTATCACGTGTTCAGGTAATCCGAATTCGAGACGACCTTCCGCCTGTCGGGTGGAGGGCGGCAAGAGAAGTAGATGGAGAAAGACAATGAGGAAATTGGTAACGATGCGGAAAGGAATCGACCGAGATCAATTAGAGGTAAACCTCCGAGGAGGAAGCCGATCAGGAGTTGGGTGAGGGTAGTTCTGGGCATCAACCGGGCGAAAATGAGCGACCACCATCTTGTGGATAGTTGGGAACTTCGTCACTTCTAACTCGCAGTTAGCGCATGTAACTCAATATCAGAAGACGCAAAGGAGTGGATGTCTGCGTAGAAGCATCATCCACATGTGAGTCGAGGGCTGACCTGGATCTATGAGTGTCCTCGTATCGTTCGGCAAAACCTGGCAAGTGACTCCGTTGCTGCTAATTGCCATCATCTTCCACGAACGATTTGGGAAAATCCCGATTAAGAGATATTTGCACGACGTCGGCGTGGCCTTGCAGATAGTGTCCAGAATACGAACTGCAGGCATGAGCTACCTCACGAGCCAAGTGTAGACCCATTGAGGCCATACCTGTCTGCCCCGCACATGGAGTATCTCACATGTACGCACGCCAGTCTTGAAGCAGCTAGCCTGGAACGCCTATCTTGGCAATTAACGCGTCCAAAAGTCGCGTCGCGTCCGCTTCACATTTCGTCGAAGTAGTCTACGATCAACCACGATCTGTTCTCAGACCAATCCTCCATCAAGACCACGACATATCAGCCAGCATGACCGAAGTGAAAGAAAACCTCAATGCGCGCTTCGACCCTGCAGGCAATGGACTTGCTCCAGACATCCTGGACGTCCTGCAGTCAGTACTCCGTGTCCACTCCCTAACCGCAGACGAGCTGTTTATAAAATGGGAGGTCTACTGTTTGAAGATGGGTAGTGAGGAGACGAAGTTGGATCTCGAGACGGCCCGCCTCTTCGCGAAGGACGTGCAAGACTCAGTCGAGAGAGGTGAACGGACGCAACAATCAGGACCCAAATCTGCAGTCAAGCAAGACAGGAAAAGCAACGTGCACGCTACTCCTCGGACTAATGGAAAAGCGGACGTCTTTGGCATGTATGTGACAGTCATGCTGCTTTCTTGGTATCATCGACAACAATACTGACAGAGAAAGGCTCGATGAACTCACGCCCAATGCACACCCTCGACGAAATGGCAGCATCAAGCGGAAATCGGAGTTCGACACGCCAATGCCCAGGAAGGTCAGTCGGCCTGACACGAAGAAACCTCCGGGCAAAGCTTCAAAAACAGATGGGCCCTCAGGAATACCCTTCTCGGAGCGACAGAATGCAGGCCAGACCATTGAAACACTCAATGAGCACCTCTCGGCGGCGGAAGCACCCATTGCGCCTTTCTCCCAAGCACGCCTGAAACTGGTCTCGGGCACAGACTACAAGAAATTTGAGTATAGGCCGATGGCGATGCATCTTTCGGAGGCATCAGAAATGCTTGATGAGCGCATTGACAGTTTCCTGGCTATCGTTCAGAAGGCTTACAACTTGGAAGACTCGTCTTTCGGCAATGCTGCCGCGCAAAGTACCAGCGAGATTGTTGCAGTCGGCAGGATCGCATGCGATACTGCGGATGGCAAACTGAATGCAGCATCGCTAGTGCTGGAGATGTCGAGACGCATGGGTGCAGGACTCCGCGTGCCGCTAAAAATCGACGCGCTACCATCCTACCAATTCTTCCCGGGCCAAATCGTTGCGATGCGAGGCACGAATGCTTCTGGACTCTACTTCTCCGTCAAGGAAGTGCTCTCAATACCAAAGCTCCCCATGCCCTCTTCTTTGCCAAACAATATCGAGGCGATCAATGAGAGACTGGAGGTTTCGGAGGATTCGACATCGTTGCCTCTCAACATCATTGTTGCCTCTGGTCCGTTCACTGCGGAAGACAACCTCGACTTCGAGCCTTTCCAGGCGCTGTGTGACAAGGCCGAGGAATCGATGGCCGATGCTTTGATACTGAATGGCCCATTCCTGGACATCGAGCACCCAATGCTAGCTTCAGGAGATTTCGAAGTGCCTGATGTGCATGGCCTGAATCACGAAGCCTCGTTGGCGGCATTGTTCCGGCTATGGATATCCGCACCACTCCAACGCCTTTGCTCAGCTGTACCGAGCATCACAATCATCATGATCCCCAGCGTCCGGGACGCTTTGAACAAACACGTCAGCTGGCCACAAGCACGACTTGCAAAGAAAGACCTTGCTCTCCCCAAACAAGTCACCATGCTTCCCAATCCGTCGTTCATCTCGCTGAACGAGGTTGTCTTCGCCGTCTCCTCCCAAGACATTCTATACGAGCTCAGTCGCGAGCAACTGTCGCATGGTCCGACGGCTGACCTGTTGACGAGGTTGCCGGGCTACCTGATTGACCAGCGACATTTTTTCCCTCTTTACCCGCCGATGTCGAGAGACAAGTTGGCCAGCAACGGCATTGTGAAAGCCACGGGTGCGTGCCTCGATCTCGGCTTTTACAAGCTTGGCGAATGGATGCAAGTCAAGCCTGACGTGCTGATCTTGCCGAGCATGCTGACCCCGTCTATCAAGGTATGCGTGAAGTCCTGGATCTGACTAATGTTCTGCAGCGATTGCTGACATTGTCCCGCAGGTCGTCGACAGCGTGATGGTGATCAACCCGGGCCAGCTGTCCAAACGCAAGGCCGCCGGCACATATTCCCAAATCTCACTGCATCCTCGCATCTTGTCTGAGGAGGAGAAGTCAGCCCGGACCGTCATCCATAACGTGTTCGAGCGCGCTCGAGTCGACGTCGTAAGGATATAGTCACAAGCGTCGAGGACAGTCCCTTTGGCTTGTGATTCCCAAGCACGTCTTCGGTAGCCATATCATGCTGTAAAGATAACGAAACATATCACAATAAACTTCGTCTTCGTCTTCTTCACCTCGCGTGGTCATGACTGTTCCCTTTGTGCCTTTCGTTTCCCGGTTCTGGCCTATCGCAGGAGGAGCAACCCCGTCCGCCGCCCCTCCCTCCTCAGCCCCATCTCCCCAAGCCCAACACCGGGGTTCCCATTCCGCGGCCCATCCGCAACCAACCGCTCCAAGCCCAAATCCCTCCAGATCGGCTCGTGCATGACTCCCGCGTGACTCGCCTCCCCAGTCGGCTCACCGCTGCCGCCGACCCCACCCGCGACCCCTGCCGCGGACGCAGCACCCCCCGCCACAATCACCCCGACCGTGGACTGGTTCAACGCGCGATTGATCCCGAACGCGGCGTGCATGTCCGGCACGACATCGTCCTCGTCCTCGGGATTGATCGGCATCAAGTGCGGGGGCAGCGCGATCTCCTCGAAGGGGAGGTAATGGCCCGGCAAGGCCGTCATGCCGCTCCCGTCCGCGAGCGTGCCCCGCGTGCCGGTCGTGCCGATGTTGGCGTTGGCGTTCGCGCCCGTGCCGCTGCCGGATTGTTGGTGGGCTTGGGTCGTTGCCGTTGAGCCGGCGGGTGCGAAGACCGTGGAGGAGGGCGGCCGGCAGAATTCTTCAAATACATCTGCCAGGCGCGAGGAGCGCATGTGGATGTGCGTGGCGGCGGAGTCGCGGGACATGGTTAGAGTGCGAATGCGAATGCGGCGGATTTTGTTGGTCAGCGAGGAGGACGCAGCGTCAAGTTTAAAGATGGACGGCAATTACTGTGTACAGTCAAATCGGTTCTCTTGCTTCCCGGCTCGTTGAAATAGTACACTTCAATCATGGCCACTTTCATCGCGTATCAAACACGAGTAAATACACCGTCTTTCGGAAATCGCGCCTTCGGCAAATCTTCCGTATTCGGCCTCCACAGTCAATTGTCGACCAGAAATACCTCCAACTATGAATCCGCGACAAGAACAGCCTGCGAGCAATGCGGGTTTCGTCGCCTTGGTGGATTTGATAACCTCCTGACCAGGACTCCGCTCGAGAATTATCTAGTGGAACGAGAGATTTTGGAGCCAACAGCTCATGGTCCCCGACAGACGCGGCATCCGAGCTACCAGACCCCGTAACAACGACGTAACCGACAATGACGGGATTGAAGACGACAGCGAAACCAGCGACCTTCCATCGCCCACGGACCTCTTTCTCCGAAGCGACTCAGGATTCGGGCAAATTGCCGGCCTCAGCAAGGCTTCCGCATCGCTCGCTCTCATTGACAGGACCGACGAAAAGTATGGGCACGAGGGCGACTGTGAGGACCATGCCGGTCTTACAGCCATAACCGCTGCAGGTATTGAGCCTGAAGCCAGTCAATGTGAGTCATAGAAATCCCATGACTACGTATATGAGGTGTCGCCACGAGGAGGCTTTAAAGTCCGACTTCGACGCCCCAGGAGCCCTTGTAAGAGGCTCTGCTGTCCAGGCCGGCTCATCTAGAAAGCTAGCAAACCTCCGTGCCCTCCGTGCTCCCCCTTTCCTCATTTCCAGACTCAAAGAGGGCACGGAGATCTCTGTGCGCGACTGATTCGATATCCAGCGGCGGTGCGGGCTCACGACGAAAAATTTGCTCATTCCCTTGCCTTTTTCCGCACCGTCGTCCATAATTTCTCCGGACATAAAAGAGCATCCTCAAATGTGTGTCGGTTTTGTGATTCATATCTAGTTGCCAGTCACATTCGCAAAAGGAGCACTTGAGGATTTCCGTGGGCTTCAAGGGCATCATGGTCGTGGACGCACCCTTGAGTAACGCCGGTATTTTGTCGTGCCATCCATTGGTTCGCCAATGCAAGCAAGAAGCCCAGAATAAGAGCTTGAACTGGTCTTCCCAATCCATACGAAGCTCTGCGTCCAGCCCCCATCGCGTAGCAAGCACAAGTTCTCCATCAATCATGCGTGCATCGTTTTGGAACAAGACGCTTTGCGATGCAGTCCGCTCGATCGCAAGCAAGACACGGCATACCCATATCGCTCACTCGTTCGTGAGCACGAAAAACCAACTCGATCAATGAGCGACTCATCCGAATATCAATAGTTCCTGCCAAGTACCAACATTCGTATGCCGCCGAATTCCAGCTAGACATAGACGGGTGCTGACCCTCACGTGGACAGCGGACACACATAAACGGAGGGCGCCATTTGAACATGATTCCACATGATAGGGCAGGGAAGATATTCCGGGTAGTTGGGCTCGAGGCATCTATAGAAACCGCAGCTTCGTACTGAAATCACTCAGTGTCGGGTCGAGACCCCTGAGTAGGAGGCGAAGCCATCGGCAGCAAATGCGAAGTGAGATTTGATATTCGGCTTCCAGGAAAGCGGTGTTCTGAAAGAGCAACTCGTTTGGCAGCTTAAGAAGTGGACTGTGGGGATTTGAGGTGTTTTATGGTGCTCTCCGTGGTGCCCTCAATTCGCGCGCTGGCTTGGGTCATGATTTCGAAGATCTTCTGTGCAGATCCAAAGACGTGAAGCATCCGAAACTTCTGCTTCGCGGTCATCGTAAGAGGTGTGCGCCTTCTCGGGGAGAGATCTACATGTGGGCTGGAAGAGTGCAGTGTGTGAAGAAGGGCACGGAACGGCTGGTTGCGTGCAGTATTGTGCCATCACGACGCCAGGGAATACAGAGAAGTAGGGATGAGGGTTGAATAATGACGGCAGCAAGAGGTCTGAACAGGCGATGGCGGTGGAGATAATAGGAGTATTTGCTTCGAGCACCAACTTGAAGTCGCTTGTGCTGGGCGCGCTATTTTGGAGGGCAGGTGTTGGTACTGAGCTCCCATACCTAATCTTCTAATTATCAATGATTCTGGAGCGACTCCTAGATCATAGTACCGCACGTTCTGGCAGCGAGCACCCTCACTTTCCTAGTCTGACAGACGACCAGTGTGGAGCAATCCCCTGCAGTATCTGGTGTTTAGCTGCCCGCACTCGTCGCACTGGACGAAGTGCATGTCCTGAAGGACACAACATCATTCAGTCAGCTCTGGGCCCGCAGAAATTGTCTGGCTATTCGCGCAGGATGGAAGCTTTATCGAAAAGTAGCTCTCTTGCTATGAGGTACGCGCAACTTGTATCTACTTCACCAGTACCACCCCTCGATCTGCCGTCTGCAGCCTGCATGACAGAGCCTTGCATGACCCCTTCTTTGTCATCAGTAGCACAGCGGGTAACTGTTAGGCGATCGTACTCCGTGCTCTATATCCCTTCCTGTCCCATTTACTTCCCAAGGGAACACGTGGACCCTCTTTCTTGACTCCATCACCACCTCCGCCGCCATCTCCTTCCCACCTAGCCACTTGTAAGTGAACCATGCCCGGCCTCCGAGTCGCATTCACAGGTGGCTCCGGCAAAGTCGGCCGGCATGTGATCCAAACCCTCGTCAACCACGGCCACCAAGTCATAAACCTCGATCTGGTGGACCTCTCGACCACCACATCAGGAGATCCGACCTTCTCGGCGCTTCAAAACGTCCACACAATCAAATGCGACCTCACGGACAGCGGCCAGGTCTTCAGCGCCCTCAACACGCACATGACGCTAGGCGAGCCGTTCCCGGCGGAGCCACCCCGCCCCGTCGACGCGGTCATCCACTTCGCCGGGATCAACAAGCCCATGGTCGTCAGCGACGGCGAGACCTTCCGCATCAACGTCCTGGGCACGCACAACGTCGTCGAGGCCGCCTGTAAGCTCGGCATCAAAAAGGTCATCCTGGCCAGCAGCGTGACCGTGTACGGCGTCGCCTTCGGCCAGGGCGACCTCGAGTACGCCAGCTTCCCCGTCACCGAGGCATGCGACACCAACCCGACGGACCCGTACGCGCTGTCCAAGCTCTGCGGCGAGCGGGTCGCGCGCGGCTACGCCGCCCGCTTCGGCGTCGACATCTACTGCCTCCGGATCGGCCGCGTGTTCGAGCCCCATGAATACACGGGAGGTGATATGTTCCGCGGGTACGTGCGCGAGCCGGAGAAGTGGTTCCAGCACGGCTGGTCGTACACGGACGCGCGGGACCTGGGCGCCATGTGCCATTGTGGGTTGTTGACTTCGGGGCTCGGGTTCCAGGTGTTCAACGCGGTGAATACCACGATCACGAACGAGAGCTCGGACACGGCCTCGTTTCTGCGCGGGTTGTATCCACATATACCACAGACGGGAGGGCTCGAGCAAAGCGAGGCGCCTATTAGTAACAGGAAGATCCGGCGCATGTTGGGCTTCAAGGACGAGCATGATTGGAGGATCTACTTGACGTCCTGGTAATACGTGGTGACATGATGACATCCTATGGTATGATAATATAGGCGGATCAAGGCTGGAGGACTGTTGCAATATTCAGTACTGTCTGGAGGGCCTAGGTTTCTCGGTCGCTAATTAGCGCTGTTGTGTACTATACTACCGGCTTCGTTGGTGAGCCTGTTGGTTAAGGAAGGCAGCCGTGATGGCGAATTGTCATGAAGCGATGTGCCTCAAGCTACTACCGTACACTACACGTCAGGGCTTCCGTCCGATAAAGGTCGCCATAGTGTAAGTCAAGCATTTCCCGCGAGCCACTTTCGCGGTCAACTGGTCCCGAGCCCTTTCCAGCTCCTTCATATCCAAAATACCGCCCTTCCGACGCACGGTATCCAATACTTCGTCGCATGACCATAGAACGAAGTCGGTCTCCTGCTTGAGGAGATGTGGCACAATTGGAGAGTCCGCCCTCTCGACCTCGACCAACCCTTCGCTCTCTAGCTCGGTCGCAAGACTGTTAAACTGCTGGATAGAGCTGAACAGCCCTGTATATTTGTCGAGTAATTTGAAGTAGTTCGCGCTGAGGGGCAGAGGGTCTAGCGAGTGATCCAACTCTGCGAAGCATTGGTTGACAGCTTCGTACCATTGGATGTAGCCGCCGGGTTCTAGCGGGTGGTAGTCAGTGGACGGTAGACCGGTCCAGCAGGATGGAGAAGAGACCTACTGAGCATCTGGACAAACTTCTTGATGACCGCCTCTCTACCGCCAGCGAGTAGAGGCGCACAAATCGCCCTGATATGGAGGACATCGAACCTTTCCACAAACTCAGGGGGAAGGGCGTCGAAGAAGTTCCATATCCCGAAGTCGATGTTTTTCGGACGTGTCCAGACCGGAGGGTACTGATCGGCGGATATGTCAAGGGCGAGGACTTTGGCCCGCGAATACTCATGAGCCAATGTCAGGCCCACGATCCTGTGCAACAGCTGTTCAGTGACGTGCTTTAGTGCTTCTTGCTTTGGGCCTCCACCCACCCATTTCCGGCAGCAATGTCCGCGATTTCCAATGACTCGGTATGTTGATGTTGAATATGCTTGGCGATCTTGGGGTTTAGCAAAAAGCCATTCTTCAGTACGAACAGGGAGTGTTGCCCTGTAAGTCTTTGAACGTCAGCGAGTCCAAGGCTCAATCTGGTGCTGCACATAATTACCGAGCAGACGACAGGAAATTTCGAGACAAAATGTAGTTGTCGCCTGATTCGGCAGTATTGCTGCCCATCGTGTCTGTTAGTCCACAGTAGAGCTTTAGATTGAGGAGGTTCTTCTCGCAGCTCAACCTCGTATACTAATACTCCCTGGTCTTCATGTCAGCAAATGCAGCTCACTAGATTACCCCTGGGATGATATGATAAAAATGGATTTCGTCATGGCTTCTCGTCCAATCCAGCCAGGTCGCCAGCTTACTATTATGGACACACCTGACTCTCGGAGACCACGCCGTGAGACGCATATCCATACCATGACTAAGTAGTGTTCACCGTTAGGGTCGGCTGTTCGAGTGCGTCAAGCTCCCCGTGTTCGGATTTGATAGTCTCAACTCCCATCTCATTAGTCGATAAGGCACGTGTAGGATTGACCGGGGGTTTCCTGGATATCGACAAAGGGATATTCTTAGTACATGAGGTTCTTACCTAGTGCTACACCAGGACTGATACATTATGCGGCCTCGGGGATGAGCGGCAGATCACCGGTAATGCAAGGATCTACTCCACATTACCGCGTTGAAGCCGATACTTCAAAGAGGCGAGTATACGTCAAGAGCACCCCCAGCGACTTACCGATGGGTCATACGACACTCTCGCTAGATTTGAAATCTGCTCCTATATGTGCCCTCTGGGTGGTCAGATAATTACGGCCGTAGTATAGTGAGGGGAGAGTGCGCCTTCAACAGAACGCTATCTTGAAAGGAACCAACACCTTGACCTGTTGGCGGATCGCGATGATTTCGAAGAAGGCTACGGCCGTATATGGCCGTTGGAGGACGATTGCCGTGTACGGTGGGCGACGAAAATGCTTGTGGCCTATCCTGTCGATTATCTGGGAGTTTGTAAGGAAGGTGAGGGTGCAGCTGCAAGCAATGGCGGCATCCGAGGGAGAGAAGTGTTCTGTTTTTGAGCTTCTGTGGCTGCAAGTCTGCCGAAGCACTTTAGGGATCCGTAGGATGCACGTCAACTTCCTGAAGGTGTGCCCTTTGGTTGGCCGCGTAGATGACGCGTCTCCATATCCAATCCCTGACGCGGAGGCGGAGGGAAACACAGACACAGTGAATGTACAAGTCTTGAGTTCACGTGCACAGGACGATTGGAGATTTTGCTTTGCAGGCCGTCGCATCAAGTGAGTGGCTGAACGAGCAACTAGAGGTGAGACGCATGGACCGGTCAATTGACAACATGTGCCGAGGATTGTTCGAGTATTGTGTAGATTCGAAAACTGGAGGATCTTGACGCCATTAGTACAAGGATGTTCGATATGTCCTTAATAGGTGCCCGTCCTTGCGGGTGTGTTTCTGTATAGAGCTGGTCAAAAACCGGAGGAGAATTGTGGTCACTCCATATGTTCACCATACGGGTACAGCGGCTTGCAGATCGGATGGCGGACGATTGATGTCTCTGACGTGCCCACTTGTGCTGTATCATGTCGAGTGCGCCGCAATGTGAAAGTGGTTGAATACCTAGGCAAAAGTATACTGTACAAGGGGAGAGGTAGTAGCCAAGTAGACAGTGAGACGGTGCCACGGTGATGATGATCCCAAGCCGAGCTTCAGACGAGGCTAGAGCGCAGTCGAATAGACGTTCATGCGGCCGAACGGGGTGTCATAAGCCACCGGATCCAGGGGCACCATGCTTTATCTCGCTGGAAGCAAGGGGTCAGCGTTTATCCAGGGAAAGGAGTGAGAGAGGTGATCAGCTAGAAAATCGTAGCCTTGCGCTGCCTCGCGGATAAAATTGCTAGTCGGTGTGTGAACCTTAACAGGCCCGGACAGGCAGTACTGGGGTGGAACGAGGAGTCCATGTTGCTCTACGGACCTTCTGCTCTACCCTAGTAGTCACGTGGAGGGCCTCAATTTCCTTGGCACTGTGGATCCCACATTCGAAATCGCGCCGAGAACTTTCGACTTCAGCGTTCGTCGCAGGCACGATTTCAACGTGACGATTAGAACTTGACGTCCAGCTCTTGCGTAGTCCCAAATGTGAGTACACAATATCCTGCAGAAAGTCTTCGCGAGACTTGATTCGCGCACACCAGACATTCGAAATCCCTGCACCTCGAACTATTCGAACGACCTGGTTTCTAACGTCAAATCATCATAGCAGCGGCAGTCAAAACTTCAGAACCGTCCTCTTTGTCCGCCCGCGCACACCTCAACCATGTCTCACGAGAGCGTCTGGTACTCGCGGCCCCGAACCTACGGCAAGGGTTCTCGATCATGGTACGTTCCCCGCATCCGAAGATGTCGCACCGGTTCAGTGCCTCTGTGTCAAAGAGATGGAAATTACATTTGGGTAGCGAGGCGTCGAACGGATATTCTCCGAGTCGTAGGCCAGTCAACGTGCAGAGGTGGCTTTGGTACAAGACAGGGTCATTCATATAACATGACTTGGAGGACAGCCATTTTTAGATGCCAAACTAGCCAGAGGAAGAAGGATCTTACTGACACTATTGTGGTCCTATAGCCGAGTCTGCACCCACACGGCCGGTCTGATCCGCAAGTATGGCCTGAACATCTGCCGTCAGTGCTTCCGGGAGAAGAGCCAGGATATCGGCTTCATCAAGGTACGAATATTGTGCCCGCGCATTTCGAGCAGAAGATATTGTGAAAGCGAGACATTTCGAAACGGGACGCTGGCTGACATATATGTTCGTCGAAGCACCGATAAATTTCTGCGACGTGGACGAGATGCAACTGGGTTGAGATCAGTGTGGTGATCTTGGGTGATGGGGGAGATATCAGAGTTTCGCGGTAGAGAAATCAATGGAGCCGCAAGCGACGCTCGGAGCTCGCAGTGATCGATCGGCGTGGCTGAGCGGAGAAGGCTGCAAGCATGTTGGGGAATGGCAGACCAATTTTTCCAATGCGTCATGAACGTTGCTATCCTGCAGTATTGGCGGGGAGCATGGCATGCTAAACGGGGGGATTCATAAAACGTGAGTCTGAGGAACGAGATCATATCTTCAAAATCGTTTCATTCTGCTCGCCTCATCTCTTCTCGCGATATCTTCTGCACCATTATGGGCGGACGACGACCGCCACGGTATTATAGGAATTATAATGCTCCGTAGAAAATTCGGGTAAGGATTAGTACAAGTAATTCAGAGACTCTGCACTGTCCGCAGCCGTGTGGCCACATATAATCATCTCACCGACAGTTAACGGTAAACTCGAAGACATAAACACCGTCAAAATCTCAAGCCAGGGCCTGATCATCGCCATGCACGCCATTGACCACCGGCACCGCTCGTGGCGGCAGACTGCCCAACTCGCAGACCACGAGATCCAAGAACTCGGCCGGCGTGACGTCGTACATGAGATTCAGGAGGAAGAGGTTCGGCTGATCTTTCCACCCTTGAAGCCCTCTTGACGCGTTCTTGTCGTCCGCATCCTCGTCGTCCTTGTCCTTCTGACCGCCGCCCTGCTGTTTCTTGCCGCCTTTGCCGGCGTCTACGGGAGTGGCCGGTGGTTTCGTCGAGGACAGGATCTCGACCTCTTCGACCTCGACCAACGCGTCCGCGTCACCCACCTCGTTCAGGACGATACTATCCAACGCGGCCTTTGCGGTGAACTTGACCGTCTCGCACAGGACGACGACAGGCACAACACGCGCCTTGTTCTTGCCGCTGCACTCCTTGGCCATCATGGCCACCATGGCCGACCCCGCGCGGGAGAGTAGGTTGCCGTTTCCGAGCATGGCGGAGGCGCCTAGGAAGCATTTTGTCACTGCGTCGCCTGGTGCGTGATACGAGAGCACGTCAGAGAGGCCCGAGAGCAGCGTGTACTGCACTTTGAGACCGGCGCGGACAAGGCTGCGCGCGAGGTTCCGGCCCTCGAACATCGGTCTGGAATCAACCACAATGATCTTGAACTGCTTGCCCTGATGGTGGGCGGTAAGCAGTGTCTTCTCGACGATGCTGCTCTTCGCGTACGTGAGGATGACGTCTCCATCTTCAACCCGCCCACTCGCTTCGCGAGCGATGACCTCGTCGGCGAGGGTGATGCGTTCGCGGATGAAGAGATCGACGGCCTGGCATATGTTGGACTTTGCCTCACTGTCCGTGGTGTCGACGGCCTGGGTGGAGATCAGGTTCTTGAGCCAGCGGATGCTATTCCCCTGGGACATGCTGAGCGGGCGAGCATTGCGGAGGTATGCGATTTGGTGGTTCAGATGGGTCAGTAGGTGGCGTGACAGGGCGACGCCGGGCGGCGTCGTGTACGTTTGGATGACCTTCTTGAAGGCGAGAAGGGTGGCTACACAGCGAGCATTGCCTCCGCAGATGACATGGTCGCGGAGTTGCAGGCCCAGCGATACCACCGCCGGGTGGATTTCTCGACCCGCCCCAGAGAGCGTGGCCTTCTTTTCCTTTGGGTAGAGATGTGCGAAGATGGGGACGCGCTTGACTTCGGCTCGTTTCTCCTTGTCGCCGGCTCCGGACTGGGGTGGTTGTTGTTGTTGCTGCTGCTGTTGTTGCTGTGGTCCTCCTCGGATCGGTAAGCCCTTCCCAGATGGTGTCCTCTTATGGTGGGAGCCTGTCTCGCTGTCCCTCTTGGATGTCGACGGCCGTCTTTGTGCCTCGCCTTTCGCGCCTGAAGTCCCTGAGTGAGTCTGCGCCTGTGCCTGCGCTTGCGCTTGGTTCTCTTCCACGGCTTGCTCCCCCTTGGCGGCGACTTTCTCCGCCCTCCTCGCTGCTCTCTCGGCAGCCCTCTGCCTTTTCAACGCAGCGCCCGACAGTTTGACTCCAGCCCCCGCTTCGGCAACGTTTTGCTCTGTAGTCGTCCGAGGGCCCACATCCGGTCGTGGCTTGGTCTTCTTCGATCCTTTCGCTTCTTCGTGGCCGTTGGACACTGCATTTTCCGTGGCTAGGGAGTCTCCGTTTGAGAGAGCAGTTTCGTCAGGCGTAGGCATGGCAAACGCTGCGGCTTTCGGGTTGAGAGAAGTTCCGCCACTAGCCGAGTTCGAATTCGAGTCGGCCATGACTGGTAGACACTCTGGCGGTAAGTCGTGCACAGTGTCAGGAGGAATTTCTCTCGGTGTGGGTAAGGGAGGAGGACTCTGGGCGGTAGGTTATTAGTCGTAGTGAGCATTTGACTCATTTTCCAGAAATGCTGGTGAGGCTTCACTGGCTCCTCCCCTCAGCCCTGCCAAGACGTGGAGAGGCCGACCACCACTGCTTCTGGCATCTGGCACCCATCTGGTACATCTCTATCACACTACCCTGACATATTGTTTACCTATTCTTCTACGTTCGGAAAGTATTCATTTCTCTGTCGGCAGCCGCTCTCGTCCGACCGACACTGCATCTGAAACAATATCTGATCGCTCCTGTAGCAGGTGACCAGCGAGTCAACCACCAGACGGGCAGAACAGAAGTGCCGGTGCTTTCAACAGAACACTACGTGCCTATGGAAAGTTGACAGACGGGGTATAGAGTTACTTTGGACTGCCGCAAGCGATACCTCGACACTTGAATACAGCGATCTTGACGCCTCCAGCATACAGCCATTGGGTGGCAGTTCTGGCGGACTGCCATAGCTGTCCCTTTCCTAAGGGTTTCCGCTCCTCTGTTCCTTCTCCCTCGCGTGCTGAGCCATGACCATCTCGAATACTCTATCTTGATAGACTGGAGGGCGGATTTGTCAGTTGCCTTCTCATGAGCAGAGCAGATCCGTCGGACTTACAAACCACCCCCGTCTCCTTTTCCGGGTTGAGGCATCCCTCCGTGTATACCCCCTTCTCGAGATTGGCCTGCGCACGCTCACACAGGTCGAAATCCTCATTCGCAACCTGGCGCACGAACTTATAATACTCTTCAAACTCCTCGCCAGACACCAAATTATAATAGTCAAACTCCATGCGGGACACGCCGGGTTTCGCCGACGGACACGCCCGGAACGTGGACATCCCCCCATTATACAAATTCAAGGTACTGATCGGGAAGAAGAACAGAAACAGCCCATCGTCATCGCGGTCTGGATTAGAAAAATGCCGCGACCAGTTGTGATGGTTCACCACGCGATAGAACGTCGGCGGATACAGCTTCGACAGGCCCGGGTGCGTGAACTGGCAGTGCAGACATTCCTGGAACCCGTCCATCATGGTCTTCCAGTTGAAGTTGCCATCGTAGGTCAAGGATCGGCGGTGCGGGAGACGCGTGAAGTCGTACGAGTCGAGCAGGTCCTGGAGACCGGGGAAGAAGTCGTCAAAGGACGGTGCTTCGGATGAAATTGTCGTGAAGACGAGACCCGTGCGAGTTTGCTGGCTTCGCAGTTCTTCGCCCTGCCAATGCATGCATTAACACCACCCAGCCATGCCTTTTGGCTTTCACGAACTTACATTGGAGGCATTTAACACCTTGACGGTCTTGGCGGAACTTCCGCCGGCCGCCGTGGTCACGACGGTTAACTCGATCTGGGCGATCTCGAAGCGGGCGGTCTCGCCAGTCTGGAATTTGTTGATGGTGCCCAGGAAGAACCAGGAGCGTAGGAACACGGCCCGCCGTTCCAGCTGGTGCAAGGCTGGGCTACAATACCAACTGGCGGGCAACGTCGTTGGGATGGCCATCGTACGGCAGGATATAGACCCGCATATCTCTCCATGTACCGTGGAAGTGAGGGGAGTGTACGTGCTTAATAGCGGAATCAATGGGCATCGGCCTCGGAATCTCAGATGGATACTTTTTCTACATGGGGAATAAATATGGCGTTATCCACACTGGTGCTAGCCTCCTCACCATCCAGACATCATGAACTGTGTGGGAGAATCGCAGCAACTTCGACCGACCAATACCGTGCCGGAGAATACCAGAAGCTTTGTCTAGCCTTAACTCCAACTGACACGAAGGGGAGCCGGTGAAGTCCGGCCTCCAAGATATGGCTGGGTTAGTCCTAGTGCTTGCCATTACCGTCATTGTTGCATATACAAGAGACGCAACTCATGTGCTTGTCAAGGAGATGGTCTGTTGTGTTCGCTTCAATTACCGAATTGCTGAAGACCATGCAGTTACCTCTTGCTAGGTACTGTGGATGAATACCAGGGCATGTCGCGGACCAGGAACCTCCTAACAGCCATTCCTCGCTGGTTCTGAAGATATCTTTTCAAGATTGTCTCCTGTCTCGGTATACAGCATGTCCAATTCAGTGGCTGTCCAGCTTCCCAACTCGAAAATATTAACACTGCTGGCGGCTGGAGCACTCGTGGTCAGCGTCGCTACTTTCAGAGCATGGCTTTCTCGGAGGCCAGCACCCCTCCAGAGCCACATTCCTCGGGGCAAACTATGTGACCTGGAGAAGAGGGAAGATGGACAAGTTGGAAAGCTTTCAGACCTTCCAGACGGTCGGTGGACATCACCCGAAGTACTTGACGAAGAGAGACGGGCCATATTCTCAACAGTAATGACGACGGGCCCATTCTGTGGCAAAGAAGACTAACATGGTAATAGATGCCTCTAGCCATCGCACACACCAGCATGTTTCGAACAGTAGGCTCTTATCGTGTGCTCGAGCATGTCGCGGGTTTCCCTCTAATTCTCGTGCTTGGGAAGGATTACGTCCTGCGTTGTTTTCACAATGTTTGCAGGCATCGTGCCTATCCCGTCATTTCGTCAAACAAAGTCGGTTGCAGACCGAACTTGGGGTGCAAGTATCACGGCTGGACGTATGACCTCAGTGGTAAACTCATCAAAGCGCCCAAGTTTGAGGACGCCGAGGGGTTTCGCAAAGACCAAAACTCGTTGTTTGAGGTGAAGACCGAAATCGATGAGGATGGCATTGTGACTGTGGATCTATCATCCGAGTCCAAAGGAAGTCCTGTTCTCGACATCAACAAATTCAAAGACGGTCAGGTGGAGACCTGGGATGTCAAAGGAGCATTTAACTGGAAAGTGGCAGGTACGCAAGACTTGGTATCAACGTGTTTGCACGGTCCAGAAGACTGATCTTGAATCAACAGAATGTGCGGATGCTTTCAACTTCCCAACACTTACTCGCAACGACCGCGGTGTTCAGGTAAGACTAGGGTTGGCGAGGAAGTTAAAGCACGTTAAACCCTCGATCTTGGCCGACTTTGTTGCTCTTCCTGGTCACAATGCTCACCTTCTGATGACAATTCAACCCACGACGGCGGATGCCTGCACTGTGCATTGCACGCTTTTCGTTGCTTCATCTAGCCATGCCTCATCACTCACCATCAGCTCAGCCAAATCCGACATTGCTCAATCCGTGTTATCACTGGAGAAGCTATATGCTAGAGTTAGAGAATCCGATGCCATGTGAGTTTGCTTAATATGCTGCTATTCCATGCCATTCCATCTGACTCTGTGCGTCCATAACAAAAAGTCTGCCGACTATTCATGACCTGGTCTTTCTCGACAAGCTCAAGGCGCATCGTCGTCTCGAGCAGTCTTTGGGGCGAAAAAACTGGCCGACTTCGCTTGGCAGCAAAACGAACAGCAGCAGGTACAACATTGCGGAGAGTCGTAAGTCGACACAAATGCTCGCCGACGGATTCTTAGCTGACTAATCCTCTTGTTGTGCAGTGTGTCAAGAGCTTGAGTTTAATGTACCAAACTGTGGAGTTGGAGGAGGGACTGAGACTTCGACTGCACCGTTCAGTTGGTGATGAGATATTCAAGGTCGCTTCACATCACGCAGTGAACAGAAGCAGATGTCGGTAAACTTTGTGTGGCCACTGGCGACCGCATGCCGTGTACGGAGTACAGTATGCGAGAAGATGCGTCGTCGGAGGCAGATGGAGGAGGAAGGATGCCTTTAAACCCAATGCGGGCGAAAGTGGGAGACTTTCAAATGACGACAATAATGAATGACACGTGGGGAAAGAACCTCCGACTTGTGACTCAACAGAGGAGGTCGGCTGTATCACGTGGGGGTTCGGCATGAATCACGTGTGCACGTGTATCGTTACCGAGATACCCCGTTCTGACAGACTGGAAGCAATCACTTGCAATGGCCTTAACCGAGCATATGCCCCTTCCGCCCTTTGGCGTGACACATTGAAAAGCCCGATCGCATCATGAAACACAATAAATACCCAGAAGTAGCACTTCTCCCACTTCTGACGAGATCCTGACTTCGCATAAACCAGCCTGACAACATCATGCCTGACACACTCAAGCTTGCGGAATACTTGCTCACACGCCTCCACCAGCTCGGGGTGCGATCGATCCATGGAGTCCCGGGCGACTTCAACTTGAAACTCCTGGACCATGTCGAGCCCGCGGGAATTCATTGGGTCGGTAACGCCAACGAGCTCAATGCGGGATATGCGGCGGATGGCTACTCACGGATCAAGGGTATCGGAGCACTCGTAACGACGTTTGGAGTCGGCGAGCTTTCAGCCATCAACGCCATCGCCGGTGCATACGCTGAGCGGGCACCAGTAGTACACATAGTCGGGACTCCTCCAAGATCAACACAGGATGCTCGACTAAGGGTCCATCACACCTTTGGCGATGGCGAGTACACCCGCTTTGCCCAGATGCACGCCCACGTTACCGTGGCACAGGCGAGTCTATGGGACACTCAATCGGCCCCAGAGCAGATCGACACGGTGTTAACGCAATGCGTTCTCCACAGCAGGCCCGTCTACATTCAGGTGCCGTTGGACTTGGTTGACGCGCCCGTCGATGCTGGCAGGTTAACGTGGAAGCCGCTATCACTTGACATGACCGCACCTGAAGCCACCACACCGTCTCAGGACCTGGCACTGTCAGTGGTGTTGCAGAAGATCAAAACTGCCAAACAACCTATGATACTGGTAGATGGCGAGACCCGGGCCCTTCGAATCGTCGACGACGTGCAGAATATCGTCCAAACCACCAACTGGCCCACTTTTGTCACCAACTTCTCAAAAGGCCTTGTCGACGAGACGCCTTCCAACATCCACGGGATCTATCGAGGCAGCTATGATCCGAAGGCCAAGGCATTCGTGGACAGCTGTGATCTCGTCCTCTGTTTCGGCCCTCACTTTACCACGACCAACTCGGCCCAGTCATCCGCCATCCCTCCTAAAGCAGCCACCATCAGCTTCACAGACAACGAGATACAGATAGGCGAGCAGACCTACCGCGACATCCCTGGCCAGTCTGCTGTGTCTCGCCTCCGGAAGGAGCTGAGTACCTTGGACCTGGAACCCCATTCTGATTACCACTCCGAAAACAACACCATCTCCTTGGCCTCGCTCTCCAGCACTGAGACCATCACGCAAGCCAAGATGTGGCGCGCAATCTCCGGCTTCCTCCGCCCAGGCGACATCGTCATGGGCGAAACCGGCACCGCAAGCTACGGCATCCAGGAACTCCGGCTCGCAAGCCACTCGCGCGCCCTCGCCGCCGTGACCTGGCTCTCGATCGGCTACATGCTCCCCGCTGCCCAAGGCGCCGCGCTCGCGCAACGAGAACTCGTCGCCTCGGAGGGCTACAACGGCCTTTCCCAAGCCCGCACAATCCTCTTCATCGGCGACGGCAGCTTCCAAATGACCGTGCAAGAACTCGGCACTATCATCCGCGAAGATCTCGACGTGATTGTCTTCCTGCTCAACAATGACGGATACACGATCGAACGGGTCATTCACGGCCTATATCAGAAATACAACGACGTGGCTCGGTGGCGGTATCTAGAAGCGCCAAGTTTCTTGGGTGCCGATGCTGGCGTGTTCACGGCCCGTGTTAAGACTTGGGGAGATTTGCAGAACGTGTTTGCGGCGGAAGAGTTCACGAACGGCAAGGGCCTGCGCATGGTGGAGATCATGCTGGATCGGGAGGATGTGTTGGAGGGCCCGTTGATGGATTTACTACTAGTGGAGAAGAAGGCCGCAACTCAGGTTAACGGGAAGGCTTGAGTCTTGATGGGGTTATTCTTCACATCAGCATTTTAGTGTACTGGTTGGTAACTTGGTATATCTGCATAGTGTGGTCTTTTGAATCAATTCCATCAACTCAGCATAGCTGTAGAGCTTTCGCACGAATGACGATCCTTAGCATGTGTCAGTGCCAGGCACCCAAGGTCCATTGATGTCGCTGATATGTATGGGGCATTTACCCGCAAGCCAAGTATTCTCACCCATCCGTGGATACCCGCCCGGAAAGCCGGCCAGCAAAGAGTGCCGCACCAAATATGCCCCCGGTTAGATACAGTGGGGAGCACAATATCCTCGCTCCCACATCCACTCGCGCTTCAATCCACACCATCCACAACCCCCTTCCTCTCGCGGTTCTTCACGCCTTCCTTCTCACATTGAGCAACCGCGTCCTCAGCACCGCCCAGAACCCCAACGGCTCCTCCCCGAAACTCTCCTCATAAGCATCAATCACAGGCCGTTCCCACACCAGGTCCGCCTCCCGCGGCCCCACGAACTTCGTCTTCTTCAATACCTTCCAGAACAGAAACAAAACAGGACACACAAAGCACATGGTGTAATAGGAGAAAAAGGTCCCCACGTCCCACCACCCGGGCAGGAAGGTCGTGTAGCCGTACGTGCCGACCGTGAGGATGAGCAGCACCATTGCGATCCACGCGCAGTAGGGCTGGAAGTAGCCGCGGTAGGGGAGCGTCGTGCGGTCGATGCCTTGCGCTTTGAGTGCGCGGTGGAAGGAGATGTAGATTATGCACTGTAATATGCACGGAAGAGCGGGGACTGTTAGTATACGTACGTGGATACTGTGTGTATGTGTGTATGTATGTAGGGAGGGGAGAAACATGGTTGGGAATGATCTCAAAACGTGGAATGAATAGGCAGGGCAATATGGTCCCGAGCGGTTTTGCTCACCATGACGATAAAGTTGATGATCTGGGATGCCTCAGTGAGGTTCGCTAGCCTGGTTCTTGTGTTTTAGCAGCCAATCCAGAGGTGAGTACGTCAGATGTAGAGATAGAGATTGGAAACGGATTGGGCAGGAAAGCTTTCCTCCCGGCTTACCAAGTAATGACTTGAGTGCTTCCTTCACTGAGGGCGAGCAAGGATAAGAGTGGAAAGAACATGGTGATGCAGAAGCAGTAGATGGGCACGCCGGCTTTGGTGCATCTCTGCAGGAACCGAGGTGCGTGGCCATCCAAAGAAAGGCCGTAGAGCGTCCTGGATGCGCAGTATCTGTTGTGTCATGTCTTTCGTCAGTATATCATGCCTCGCGTGATACCACGGGGAGATTTCAAAGCTTACACGTAGGTATTGCCGGCCGAGAAAATGCTCGTTACAAGCAAGGCGTTCGTCAGGTCCGGGAGCACACTGATGCCCATGTTCTGCATCGCAATGACATAGGGCGACGCGCCAGCGGTGCCGGTGGCGCCGTCATTCAGCACGCTGTTCAGAGTCGGGTCGTTGTAAGGCACGACAATGCCCACGCAGAGGGCTCCAAGGATAAAGAAAACGCCAAATCGCCAGTACACTGTCTTGAAGGCCTCTTTCAGAAACTTCCTCGGATACATGGCCTCGCCGCTGACCATGGCCACGTACTCGGGCCCGACAATGGTGAAAGCCGCCATGAAATATGCGCCGAGGAAGCCCTCGAACCGCCCGAGGGCGCCGGTGGTGACGTACGGCGCAAAGGCCTGTGATATGTCAGTGACTCAACACAGTTGTAGATTTTAGCAGTCTTACCCCCGGATTATTCCAGTAGCGAAATCCGTAGGCATCGTGCTTGGGGTTACCTCCAACCTGGATTAGGTCAACAAACGGACACCGTAAAGGCACGGGAAGATGAAATGTACCATTGTGACAAAGGTAAAGGCAAAGACGATGCCGACCAGAATGACTTTACCGCCTGAAAGCCAGAACTCGGACTCTCCGTACCACTTGACGGCGAAGAGATTGATCAATCTTGAATTATCAGCACCAATACGAGAAAGCAGCTCAGGGAAATGTCTTCGTTTACCCGTAGAGGACAATGCACCCAAGGCAAATAGCGATCTTGGGGATGTCGTCGGACCAATATGTCAGAACGAGGTTGAGCGCCGAAATCTCCCAGGGGATCAACACAGCCTCGTAGAGAAAGAAGTTCCAGCCGACCATAAATCCGAAAGCCTCGTCTACCCATTTGGAACCCATCCGAATGAAGGACCCAGAGACGGGCATGAAAACGGCCATTTCTGCCATGCAGTTGTTGACGAGACCCAGAATGCAGGCGTAGAGGGTGAACCCAAGGAGCAGACTGCCTGGGCCGCCCTCGATGAGTCCATATCCGATGCTGACGAAGAGAGCAGTGCCAATACTGCCACCTATTGCGATCAATTGCATTTGACGGTTCGTCAACCGTCGCTTGAGGGCGTCGACATTCTCGACGACCACGGTCTCGCCATTTTGGACTGCATACGCCCCCTTCTCCGACACCTCCAGCGACACCTTTGGGGGTGATACAGGCTTGATGAAATTCATGGCGGAGTCCGATTGTCGACATGACAAACAGCCTAGATGGCTTGACGGGATGTCACATCATTTAACCACAGAGTGGTCAACATCGTAGCCAGGTCAGCTCGCGAACGGCAGATCGCTACCTAGGGGTTCGGGTTTGCCCAATGAAGTGGCCAGGCTGAGCCGCTCCATGCTGATAAGGCGTATTGATGAGATGGGCTAGATAGCAGTGGCTAGATCCGCGATAAATTCCAAACCTCAAGGTACATGCCGCCCCAGCGTGCGTGCTTTCAGGTGGACTGTTGCTCCGAGGACCGAAACAGGGTGGTAATGCGAGGTCCGGTTATCAGTCGGTCCGCAAGGTCAAATCTAGATCCTGCATAGCGTAGTCCTCTGTTAAAGGCGGGACACTGCAGCATGGTGTTCAAATCAGCTCAGCCAAAAGATGCCGGATTAAGCATGGGGGCTTTTTCTTATCATGGGAAACAAGCCCAAATCCCAGAGCTTCCCGGACCAGGATACGAAGCGAGTAGACTTGAAGCTTTCCAAGCTTTCGGTATCTTGGCAACGGCAGGGGTGGCGCGTCTGACCAGAGGGATTTTCAGTACTCGTACAACCGTGACATCGTTACACCATTTCCGTCTGGATGACCCCGGATTTGGGGTGGAATATGTTGCGGAGTGCAGTCCCAAGACGTTCAACTGCTGCGACAAGTTGTTCCTCTTCACAAGACGCAAATGTCAGGCGCAGGAAGATCGAATCTGACGGCTGTGCCCCATTGCTTGAGGCACCACCACAGGGCGACGTGGACGCTCGGAAAAAGCTACCCTTGCAAGGCAGTACGCCTTCCTTTATCGCTTCCGTATAAATGCGGTCCTCAACCTTCAATAGGGCTCGCTGCCTTGCTTCGGCATCCACCGCTGTTTGGGACATCTCTGGTAACCTGCTACATTCAATCCTGAGCCAAATAAACATTCCGGCACTGATCGCGTTCCAGGAGCATACATCGGCCAGGATTCCAGTCCCCAGCTCTCTGTCCATGGCTCGGAGCATTACCGTGGCCTTTGCGTGGTAATAGCCCGCCAGGCCTTGAAGCCATCGCAGAAACCCATCATGTCCCCATGTCTCTGATACCAGCTTGTACGTGACCAGCTGGCTGACTCCGCTTGATTGGACGAAGCCCAGATCATGCGCCGCTTGGAATGTCTCGACTATGGCCTTTGGAGCTGTAAGCCAACCCAATCTCAATCCCGGCGCAAGAATCTTAGACGTGCTGTCAAGCCGTATCACACGTCCCGAGCGGGAGAGCGATAGATATGAAGGGATGGAGAGATAGTCCGACCCGCTACCGGGTCGTGGAAACTGGAGGTAATGGTAAGGATCGTCCTCAACAATCAGAAGATCATGTCTTTCGGCGACTTCCAGAACATCTTGCCGCCGGTGTCGAGGCTGAGTTACGCCAGTCGGGTTGTGTCCCGTTGGTATAATGTAGAGGAGTTTTGGTGCCCGGGCTCCAGGATGAAGTTCATCCCACGTTGACAAGATTTCGTCGAGCGACTCAGGATTTATCCCATCTGAATCCATGGCCACAGGTACTAGACTCAGCCCGAGAGGTCCCGCCGCCTCTATTGTGCCCGAGTACGTGTACTCTTCCACCAGGACAAAGTCGCCGGGATCCGCGAAACGTCGTCTCCAGAGCCATTGTGTTTCCGCCTGTAAGGCATATCTCCCAATCCGAATAGGGCGGAGAATGGAGGTAAGAGACATGAGTGGTAAGATATTGTATGAGTTGTTCAGAGCCCAGAGAGTAGCCGTATGACAGGGCTATTGCCAGGTCTATCGAGGCCGATGAATCTCGTTTGTTTACCCTTGTCGTATGATGCATCTCATTGGAGCCATCACGACTTTGTGCCAGACCAAGTCGCGCAATTGAGTTAGGTGAAGAATAGACGAATTCCATGCTCTCAAACGGGTACGTATCTGGTGACGGACGGCCGGTGCCCAGGCTGATCATGCCTTGACCGAATCCAGAGGCACTGGCTTTCAGAGATGATGGCTGTCTCACATTGCCTTCCCGACTGAGGAAGCGACTGATGTCGAGCCCTGACTTGGGCCTTTTCGAATAGCAATCATCCTTGAAAAGATCCGCCGTTGTGATTGGAGCAAGCGTTCTTTTCAACGTCCCCAGGTCCTTGAGACCTAACATTCTCTCGTTGTCTGGAATGCTGCTGCCTGCGAGCTTATTAGGTCAAAAAATGCAGCAGTTGTAGCTCTCGCCAGATGCTCCGTTTGTAGAATGTATAGCGCTTTTCAGAGACCCTGATCAAATATACCGCAAGATTAAACGGATTTCTTTTTTGGCAATCTGGCTGGCTCTTTTGCAAGAAGGTACAATTCAGCCTTTGTTGGCTCGATCGTTCTTGTTGCCAACAGAAACGGTCATGACACAGGGCGCCATTGACTTGATTGTGTCCACCGATCGAGCACCCGGTTTAAATGTGCACATGGTAAACCCCACGTTTCAAGGGTCGCTTCGGCTGCGCTAGTCCTGACAAAGGCAAGAAAAGGAGACCAAAACTCGACGAGCTGCGATGGGGTACAAATGTTGCAGGGATGGTTCCCGGTGTAATGCGGATGGAACATTGGTAGAAACCCTTTTGTAGCGCTAGGATCTTCATCTTGCTGCCATGGCGCTTCAACGCTGCCTTGTCGCTCGGAAGCATCAGAGTCCACCCTGGACTCTGGGAGTTTGTAAGCCTATCAGCTCTACTTGGTCAAATAACGTTCGCGTATGATACTGTCCTCATGGAGCATGCACTTCCATTGCGGAGAAAACCGCGTTCTTCGAAGTCGCAACTGTGTCAGTCTTGACAATGGGACTAGTATGATTACCTCCAGCCTCTTGGCCTTGTCACATATCGCTGTCCGTGCTCTTGGCGGCTTTTCTGTTGCACGTGGGATACTGATGACTATGCGCACCGATGTTACCTGACGCGGCGCAGTAGGCTAGCTGAACTCGGTTTCACCTGGTTTGCCCTATATCGAAGGTCGAAGAAGGGATGCGTTCGGTTGCCCCAGTATGGTAGAATAGGATGCCTTACTCGATTGCAATACTTCCCTTAGCGAAGTGGCATTTCATTTACTGATTGTGGCCTTGTTGGCAACGATCTCGCGGTATTGCCTACCATGGCCGCCATTCTCTTGAACACAGCTTCTGCAGTTAGAGCTATTGCTGTCTTTGATAATTAAGCTCACGGCTGTCTTCGAAAAGGCGACGTGATGGTACAGCAAGCATCATGTTAAACGTCGGGCAGTTGGAAAGGGAAGTGAACTTGAACTGAACTTGAACTGAACTTGAACTGAACCTGAACTGATTGAAAACGCGTCTATGGCTTGGCGCTTGGCAATGATTTAGCCTTACGACGCAACTTCGTTCTTATCAGTGACGGGCAACATTGTTCTTTCCCTGCTCTTACCACCAAAGGTTGGCTCAGATCTATAGACTCTGGATATCATCGACCAAGCCCCGAAGGTTCCAGGGCCTGTTTAGGGAGCCCAAAGGGTGCCTCAGTAGCCCTTGCAAAATGGACCTTCAGTTACGATAATGGTGTCTGGAGAGTCGAGTCCGTCACCAAATTCTCTAGCAACCAAAGGTATGCTTCAGATTGAAAGGCTGGAAGCGCACGCTTAACCTCACGCTTCAGATTGTCGGGTTTGCAACCGGAGGCGCATTCGTTGCGATCGTACACTGCCGTTGTGTAACAAATGCGCCCGGAAAGGCGTTGAGTGCCCCGGATTCGGACCCAAATTTCGATGGACCAACGCTATTGCCGTACGTGGTCGTTTCAAAGGCCGTGGGGCACCTATTGTATCACCACATGTTCGGGTTCGGGAGGCCGAGCCCAGCTCTCTGCAGAGGACTGCTCAAGAAGACACCCCTAGTCCAAGTTATCAGCCAGGCCTAGCTTTGGCTGAACAGTTGCCTCCCTCCACTGCGAAACGCCTGTTACAGTACTATGCCGATAGCATTGCGCCATTGATGGTTTGGCTGGACTCGGACCAGAATGCGTATAAGCGCCTGGTCATCCCTCTGGCGGAGAAGGATACTGTCCTCCGTCTTGCAGTCTTTGCTATCTCCGCGGCCCATATGCCTGACGAAGACAGCCTTGTACCCGGATTCTCCAAGGCCACAGGCGAAGCGGCCATTCTCATGATCACCCAGCGGGTACGCCAGGTGATCCAACGCGACCCGGTCGATACGGAAACAGATGCCAGAGGTGGACTCGCGGCTGAGATCCTAGCGGCCATACTCATTCTCTCAAATCAGTGTCTGTTACAATCAGCGTCAGCTCATGCCCAATTTCACAGACGGGCGGCTCGGGTCCTCATAAGCTCATTAGAGTTGAAACAGCCTTCTGGGGACGAGCTCACTTTCTTCCTCAAAAATCAAATGGCCATTTATGACGTCCTGGCATGTACAACGTCATTCGACCACGACCATATTCAGCACGCCATCGTTCCCAGTATCGAGCGACAAGATGTTCTTTTTAGGGACTTCCTCCACCTCATACACCGCATCACGCTCATGTCCCTCGACAAGAGCAAGCCAGCGAGCTCGCCTGAAAATCTTGAAGAGGAATTCGAACTGTCAAGTGGTTCGACATTAGTGGCTTCGGGACCCCTCGCTCAGAGGCTGAGCAGGTCAGCTAGACAAGACTTCATAAGACTCGTTCTAGCATATCAGTATGCGGGGATGCTTTTCGCGTGCAAGCGCCTTAGCATATTTCCCGACAGCGGACAAGTCGTGGACGTGTACACGAACAAACTTTTCAGAGTACTTGACCAGTTTGAAGACATAAGCGCCTCATTGCACAATCTGGCATGGCCCCTCCTCATTGCGGGAATTTGTTGCTGCGGAGACGAACAGCGTATGGCCATCATCAGTAACTTCTGTCAGAAGCTGTCTGCAAACACGCGGTTCGAGCACTACGCCCAACTTCTGGCCTTTCTGCAAGAGCTCTGGCAGAGCGGGCATTCTGACTGGACCTTGCTAGCCCGCGAATGGGAGCGGGAGGGCACGCCAGTGATAGCGGTCTGAGGGGATATCATTCCAGTACCGGATGATTCTACTTGAGGTACTCTCGAACAAGATCCTCGGGAGCGTCCTTGTGCAAGAAATTCGGAATCCGCTCGTACATCTCCCAAGCACTGCGGCGCAGAAACTCCGTCTGCTCCTTGACCCAGCGTTCCACCTCCTCCCGCTCGATCATCTCGCCACTCTTCTCCTTCTCCATCAGAGTCGCCAGAACCGAGTCCACGCGCCCTCGCAGACGAATGAGCTTCTCCTGCAAGTACTGGTTGCACATGACAGGGATATCGTCGTTCGCGGGATCCACGCTCCGAAGCGTCGTGTACTGGTCATCCAAATTGGGGTCCGCGTACGTATAGCTAGTCACCATGCTTATCCGCTCGGGCACATTTGTCGCCCGCAAAGCCGCATGCTCTGTGACTCCGCCCTGCATGATCACCGCGCCGCCCATGGTCGGGCTTTTGACCTTGACGATGGACCCGTCGCCGGTCTTGATGGCCGTCTCCCCCCCTTCCATGGTGCTGGAGTCGCTGAGCATGACCACGCACACGACGGGGACTTGATCCCGGTGCCACGCGTCGATCGGCACGCTGTCGTACTTGGACACTTTGATGTCCAGGGGCGATTGTGCCGGCGAGGGAGTCTCTGTGAGCTTGTACACACCCGGTAGGCCTTCAGGACCCAGCTGGATGTTGAGCATGCCTAGGTCGCCTACTTTGTTGAGCGGCCGCAGGGGGAACCCGGCTGCTCTGTCGATGGCCGCTTGGGTGGCGGGGTGTGTCCAGGCTTGGAGCATGAATTTCGCGGTCTGGAAAAGTTTCACGCGAGTTGAGTCAGTCTACACACTTGCTTGGAGATTGGGAGGCAAGAGGCTGACCCTCTCATGCCCGGCGACATAAGCCGGAGCTCGATCCCACGACTTGAGATAGTTGTCCAGTATGCGCTTGCTGAGCATCTCGCGTCTCAGGATACGGACGCCCTCTTCAGAGAAGAGGGGGAACGGATCCGTGTAGCAGAGGTCCGGGACATTCTGGGGCTTCTGCAAACCGACGTCGCTGAACGTGTGGCATTGGGCAGGTGGTCGGAAAGCTAGGTGGATGGCAGGGTCGAAGTCCGGCAACGCAAGGTCATCGAGTAATGTACCAGGAGCTGGCTCGGACGCCATATGGATCGCCGAGGGCGTCGCAACTTCTGCTGCCATGTTGTCCTGCCGAGCGGAGCGTAGCGTAGGAGGTATATAGTCTTCAATGGAAACCAGATGATACGCCTCTCCTGGTGCGTAGGTGGGCAATTGGTGGCAGTAGATGGGAGATCCTACCCAACTAGAATTCAGGAGTGCACACGTTGTCGCGGTGCCACAAGCACTCACGGTTATGTTTCTTCCAATTTAGTAGCAACCTCCCACATTGAAGTCTTGAGGCTTTATGCGATCCCTATATCTCTTTATGGCATAATTGAGGAGAACTGCAACGGCACAGCGCAGGGATCAAATGATCAGCTACCTAGTTAGAAAGCGATATAGTACGGAGTACGGAATCCAGAATCTTGAACCAAAATCTCGGAGGTCCTCCGTAATTACCCTGTGCTTATCTTGTTCCCCGTGCTCTTCCCATTTCGGCAAACATATACGAAGTACAGCCCTCGCCTAGGTATGTATGGGCGGGACACGAGGCAGCAGACACTGATAAGGAATGGGGACGGGTAGGCTTGTATTACCCCCAAAGTACGACTCGAGTAGGGAGGCAGCTAGCGATTCTGATTGCAGTTAGTGACGCGAGTAGAGCTGGGGTGGTTCAGGTCACCGTTGGTCAAGTCTCTACATTCCTCGCGCGGTTTGACTGGCTCGGGACTTGGTTAGGGCGTGACAGCATCAATACAGTTGACGGTATTGTCAGGCAGGGCTCGCACACTTCTAGCTTCATGATTCTCGGCAACGGAGCCGGCCCCCGCAAAGCCGACGCTCAGGCACCTTCCTCGTACCCCACCCACGCACGTGGCAGAGCAGACCAGCTCTTCCGTTCGACACAGGTACTCAATGGATGCGAGTGATGAACATCCCATGACTTGATCGTACAATCCGACATTGGTAGGAAGTGGGAGACCTGCCAAACAAGGCTTGATATTGCTGCCGACTCGTGGAAAGACGACCTTACCACTCCGTATCCCATGCACGGTCGGAAGTACTGACAGCATGCCTTGCCACCATATCAATGCATCTTCCCGACTACAAAACCTCAGGATGGTAGCGACGAAGGCGCGGAAGAGGGAGACTAACAAGTAATCGAAGATGGAGTAGCGTCAGACTTCTCGGACATTGTGGAAGCCGCATGTGGTGGTCCCGGTACGGGTACAGACTGCCCAAGTATGTCAAAAGCGCGTACGCGATTGAGAATGGCTTATCGTCTCAGAATTTCTGCCGCTACCAAACCTTGCTCAACCCGTGTAAGGACCAGTGCTTCATCTTCCAGCGCACAACACCCGAACGCCTCGCTTTGCGGTTGATCATTGTCATCATCCAAAGTCTAAAGCTTCCTTCCACTTCATGCCGCGACGCTAATTCCGAACGTCTCGTGGTCGGCGGCGATCTTCTTTTTGAACATACCCAGATCAGAAATCAAGGCTTCCATCTCGGCTTGCATTTCCATGGCCTCTTCATCAGGTTCGGAATCACTTTCCATCTCATCACTTGATGCCGTCTCATCTTCATAGATCATGTCAGGCGTAGGGACTCTAGACCTCTCGCCGACAGACTCGTTCTCCTCCTTGTGGATGATGATCGGGTTTTTGAGCTCGTCGAGGACAAGCTTCAAGTGGATACTCAGTGCTTCCTTCTCTTCCTCCAGCTGTCGAACCTTGGACTCGGAAATAGCCAGCTTCTCCTCCATGATCTGCAGCATGTTCTCGTACTTCGTTGTGAATTCCCGGATCTTCTCGGATTGGGCATCGGCAGATTCCTGCACAGCCTTCATGACAGAGGCACTACCGTTCTGTTGCTGTTGGCTGAGTGTCCACCTCAATGCTCGGATCGTTTCTGCCATTTCATTGATCTGAGCGTCCTTCTCTCCAGACGAGACATGATCCTGGTTGACAATAGCTTTGGTGCGGATGTGCTTGGCTTGATCTGCATATCGCAGGGTCGACAGAGTTTCGTCATAGTCTGACGGAGCAATGCAGGCGATCATGGCAGTCTTGGAGTTCCCTCCGAGCGAGTCCTTCAACAGCCATGTCAAGATCGAGTCGCGATAAGGTACAATATCGCGGTTCGATCGCTGTTTGCTGTGCATTCGAGAGTGCTTGGGGTCCGCGAGAGCAGCAATGACCCTCCCGAGCGTGGTCAGTGATTTGTTGATGTTTCCACCCTCCCTCAATCTCTGGCCGGTGGCCTCTGTCGCCTTTGCTCGCTCAGATCCTGCCAGGTCAACTAGCCGTATCCTGGCCAGCCTCTCGGTTGTCTCATCTGTGTGGTAATCATGGTGGATCTGCTTCAGCATGATCGTAAAGACTGCATGGGACCGAGAAGAGGTGTCATTCATCTTGGTGGAGGCCACGGTTCTCGAATTGTCGCCCATCCGCATGTATTTCAGAATTTCGGCGTAATTCTTCACCTGGATTTCTGTCAGGTCTTTGACGTAAGGTCCTTCAGTGGGAGACTCTCGGATTTTGAGGTACTGAGGCGGGTCGGTTCGAGGTTGAAATAGGTCCCTGACGTGCTCGTTGTAGACTTCGAAGTAGGACACCCTCACACTGTAACTGATGTTGGCGCTTTCGTTGGCCTCGATCCGCTGGAACAAGTCTTCACATGTTCTCGGTATCAATCCCGACTGTTCGGGCGTCCCCATCATTGTATAACTCTTCCCTGAACCGGTCTGTCCATAGGCAAAGATGCACGTATGGTATCCCTCAAAGTTGTGATCCAAGAATTCTTCCCCCAAGCAGTTGTACACATCCTCTTGTGTGGCATAGTGCGCATCCCTCGGGTTGTGTGACCAGAACGAATTGTCAAATGTGAACAACTTTTCATCCACCACTTTTCTGGTCTGTGCTCGTGAATTTGCAGGGTCGGTCGAGGGCGGTGCTAACAGCTTTGTCGATTGAGTATGCGGGTTCATCTGGATTAAGCATTGTGCGCCTCTCTCTATTTCTGCAGTGAAAAATTAACGACGGTCACTCAGAAGCCATTAAGTGCTCACCTCGAGGAAGAAACGCTCTGACTCTGACCACAACTTTGACGTTCCCGCCGGGATTCAGGCCGTTGTTTGGCGCCATTGCGACGTTCACGGGCGTCTTTGACCTGAGCGAAGGACTTGAGGCGGTTGAGGGTGTTTTGGGTCGCGCGTCATGGGAGATTGTGCGTGCCGGCGGCACCATTGTGTACTCTCTATCCAGAAGCTCGATGCACCCTTCAATGACCGTGAGATACCTACTGCGCAATGAAACATACATGAAAAGAAGGTCAAGCGACGATGCTTATTAGGCCGGGCGCTAGTGTCGCTGTCTAGGTTGATCGTGGAGTCGCAAAGCCGGCCGTTGCGTGAGTTTTGGGTTAGATCCAAACAATGACGCAAGTTGCTTTCCGCCTTCTGTTGCCCCCGCAGCCCGCCGAACTCATCTCATCCGAGCTTCATCTCGTCTCACCCAAGCTCCTCGACTTTTCATTTTGATTTTTGGGATTGATCTTGCAATGGGTTGACTCTGACTCTCATCTCTTCCGAATCGCTTGATTCGTCACCCATCGCTTCCGCGCGTGGTATTTTTACTCCCGGAGTTTCGCCTTCTTGCTCGGCCAGAACCCCTAGACCCAGGTCCATCTCGATATACTGTTCTGCATCGTCCGATATCTGATCAATCCTCCTGTCATGCGATGCCCCCGACCTCTCCAGTTCAGCATTTGCCTGTTGGAGCTGTGGCAGAAAAGCCTGCAGACGCGATTTGAGATCTGGCTGGAGAACTGCACCTCTCGTAAATGGTGGAGCCGTCGTTTCCTCGCCATGCACCGCTTCCTCTTCATCAGACGGTTCTCCTTCTGACGCGCTTTCCTCTTCTGTGTCTCCAGATTCCGAGGATGTAGTCGTTTCCTCTTCGTCTTCTGCTCCAACATCCTCTTCTTCGGTAGAGTTTTCATGTTCACCAGGCGGAGCGATGACCCGACGCGAAAGCTGTGCGTGTCGAATAGGCATTAGAATCTCCGAAGAAGATGAAGACGTAGTCGATGATGCGTCGTCATCTTCCGGGACTTGGATCTCCTCTGGCAGCGGTTGCGAGTGCCCTTTCCGTTGCTTGACGGGCCTTTCATCTGCATGTTCAGACATCTTCAGAAGCTTGTTGAATTGACCAGCCGTCCTCCACACCGCTAGCTCAGAATGTCGATTTCACCTGATGTTGCTAAAGTCAATCTTTGACAGGGATACTTAATAGGCTTTGCGAATGAACTGCCGATACCGAATCCAGGACTTGGAGCAAAATTCGAGTTTCTTGGCGATACCGACAGGTAGATTCGGTGTCGGGATCACGATTCATGGGAGAAGCGTTCTGACTGACGAAGTAGATGATACCGGATATGCATACCTTCGATCACGGAATAAGGATATCCGTCACTACAGCCTAGACCGGATCCGCTTTATTGGACAACAGTTATGAGGCCATTCACAAGGTATCACTCTGGTCCTGGGGGCACGGAATTCTCGCCGACAAAATACCCGCATCGTGACTCTGCTCCAGTTCCATTTGGAGGCGCCTCTGAACATGGAAACTTACTCTTAACTGCGACGTCAAGCTACAGTCCAGAGTATCTGTGGCTTCGTGCAAACTTCCACTTCCCGTGGATATTCACAATGTATAAGATATTTCGCACAACCGCTTTGCTGCTCATCATTGGTTTCATTGCACATGTCGGAAGTGCAAGTGCTGCTGCCGGTAGTTTCTTGGACCAGGCCATCAAGTTGATGGAAATATGTCCACTCCTCGATACACACATTGATCTCCCACAGATTATCAGAAGTCTGAGTACTATTTGTCGAGAGCACTCTCTACTTTGAGACATGTTTGACTGTCAATACAGACCGCCGACCACTTGACGCTCTCCTCCAGCTGAACGGCTCCTTCCCTGGCCATGTGGACATCCCGAGAATGAGACAAGGCCGGTTGGGTGGAGCGTTCTGGACCGTCTGGGCGCCCTGCTACGATGTGGTTGACGAAGATCCCGGGCCTGATTTCAACACGCCTACAAACCACCTCCGCGATGCGATGGAGATGCTCGATATTATCCAGAACATGATTGCTCGGCACTCTGGGGATTTACAATACGCGAGATCATCGGCCGAAGTTTGGGATGCTTTCAGAGCCGGCAAGATCGCGTCCCTGATCGGCATGGAAGGAACCCATGTGCTGGGCAATTCCCTGGGCGTGCTTCGCGTCTTTGCTCAACTTGGCGTCCGCTATCTAACACTGACACATACCTGTCATAGTGCGTTTGCTTCGTCTGCCGGGCCCGGAACGCCTATAGCTCAAGCACATGAGGGCACTGGGTTGACAGATCTGGGAAAAGAGCTTGTCAGAGAACTGAACCGCGTTGGTATCATGGTGGACCTGTCCCACACGACGGACGCCACTATGAGGCAGGCCATTGCCGTGTCTGAGGCACCCGTGGTCTGGACGCACGCCGGGGCGCGTGCACTCTGGGATCATCCACGCAATGTACCTGATGATGTCCTCAGCTTAATCGGTGATGGCCCGGGACAGAAAGACGGTGTCATACAATCCATCTTCTTCCCGCCGTTTATCGGGCCCAATCCTGGTGCGAACGTCTCACGTGTTGCCGACCACATGGAGCATATTGCTCGCATTGTCGGTAGACATCGTGTCGGGATAGCCTCTGACTTTGACGGGATGTGGACCACGGTGGACGGGCTGGAAGATGCCAGCAAGTATCCGAACATAGTGAGTCTCTACTGATCATATGCCACGTCTGCTTACACAGGTAGGTCGCCGAACTTTTGTCACGCGGGTGGACACCTGAAGAGATGTGCGGTGTCATGGGTGGTAATCTGATGAGAATCATGGACGCGGTGGATGCGGTTAGTGAGAGATTGAAGGGGCGTTTACCGTCGTCTGCAATCTGGGAGAAGAGAAAAGACCTGCCTTCAACAAAGTGGGGAGGTGGCGGTGAACAGGTATACTGGCCCAGAGATGTGAAGGACAAGGTGGAAAAGATGCAACTGCGCCATGATGAGTTGTAATGGAGAAGTGCAGGTAATGAGAGGGAGAAGGCTGTGATTGTTCGCACATGTTCTCCAGTCGAAGACTACCGATTATGATAACTCGAGGATCTGCCTCAGCCGCGTCCGCAAGGATGCCAGGGACCTTTAGCCGATTATCTGTTCGAGACTCGACTTGTGGTCGACTCCTCAAGGCATATAGCTGATACCCTCAAGGTTGGCTCGCCATTCCGAACCTGCCTTCCCACCAACGCGCTTGGTTCCTGTCTAACAAGGACGGGAAAGAGCATGCAGCCGCCAGAGTGAGCTTCGCACGAAGCATTCCTGGGACGTCACGGACCCACGGTGTCCAGCAAGATCTTCTGAGCTGCCATACCTGGTTCCTCCCTACCATCTTCGTGCGTAGGCAATTACTCTTCTTCGTTCTCCCTGGCCGAGCTGTACTGAGACTCCAAGCGGTGTCCTCTCGGTCTCTCTGTCTCTCGGTCTCTCTGTGTCTCTGCCACTCCAAGCAGTCTCCACTCTCTCCCTGCGCGAATGCTGCAAAACAACTTCCTTGGCGTCCGGTTGGCATCCTGCGGCCAGACAGTGACCTAATAGTATAACCACCCTACAACATGCTACGCAACCAGCATCGTCGCGACATTTATATACGCCGCTGTCTCGATAAGATCAGCACCTAGTAGCAAGCACCGCGATGCATGGGGCTCATTCTCTGTTATTGCCAGCGCCATCCTCGTCACCGAAACTTGCCGTCTTCTGTCCTTTCAGTGGTCAGTTCCACCACTAGACTGGTAGCTGTACCATTGACGGTTAGAAATGCCCGCGACATTCTCAATGCATGGTAATGTTTCCCCGTCTCTGCACCTGCATCCTGTAGTACTGTCTGCGCTGTGTAAGCTGTGTACCGCGCGTACTTGTCCGAACCTGCCCTGAACGGACGACAAACCGACCAGCGTTTCCCAGCTAATTACCTAGTGCACGCTGACGCGAGAACACCGACGAACGGTTCGGGCGTTTTACAGTAACCACCTCAACGGCCGAACCTATGGTCTGAAACTGTGAATCAGATCTGGAACTGGAACAAGAGTCGGGCTCGGAACATGTCGCACAAAGATCACTTATTCTAGCAGCAAACGAGTACCCATTACCTGCGAGGTAGATACTCCGAGTGGGCCATGCCATGCCCGCGTGGCTTGGCAGATCTCCCACCCTCCAAACGACTTCCAACCGGACCACGAAATATTCCTGTTCTGACGAAAGGCAGGCCGAACTGAGCCGCAACGTGTCATGCGCGTTGTTTCCAGGCCCAAGGCCGGATCTGCGAGGAAGAAACCCAACGAGCCACTCCCGAGGGCCCCTTAGCCGCCACAGCCTCGCGCCCAGGGGAAAAGTGCAGGGATTTCCCAGCCACCCAATGAATCTCCGGTGCCTCGACGCCGTCACGACAACCTCACGGCGCGTAGAACGGAGCACGGAGCACGATGCACGACAAAACTCCATAGTTACGCCGGGGTCGTGTTTCAGATTATCGAAACCAAGATGTGAGAGGTGAGTGCTGGGAGGTGAGAGGTTGTTTCGGACTCGGCACCTACTGTAGCACGCAGTACGCAGCATGTTAGCAGAAGGCTACCTACAGTACCAACCTTACCTGCCCATCTACCTACGCGTATCGCTTGTCGGAAAGCTTGGACGACATGTCACGACGTGTTCATGCAAGACTGGGATGCATGGATTGGGGATGACGAATCTGACCTTGGTCAACGCTCGGTTGGTCGTTTAATCGGTCGGTTGGTCACCCGAGTTTCGAAGATTGCGAGCATGTTGATAAAGATGAGAGTTGCTCTAATTACAGTATTTGAGTTTTTGACGGCCTGGGAATCATTTACTATAGCTAAAGAGGACGAAACCTCCGATATCCAACGTTGAACATCCACTATCCTCTAGAGGCCATGTCTTCCACAATAGCCAGAACAGCATCAACATCAACGACGACGACGCTGCCAACGTCAAGTGACACGGTGCTCCAGTCTACCAAGCCTATTCCCACGTCCTCACTCTCACCCTCCATATCAACAGCAGCAACGTCGACACAGCCCCGACGCACAGACAACAGCCATCCCGCTCCCTCACGACCCAGCCTCCCCCGCCGCTCCTCCTCCCTGCACAAACTCCTAATCACAAAACTGAGGCCCCTCCCTTTCCAGTACCTCTGGTGGGTATGGCATTCGAAATCCAAATCCGCCGCCGCAACGCAACCGCCACGCCCGTTGTCCTTCTCCCGACCCACCGTAATCGACGCCTACCAACTAAACCTGCTGGTCGAGAACGTGGCGGACATTGGGGCCTTTTACCGCATCTTCAACAACTTGCCGTGGACGGCCATCCGGGGAGGCGAGAGTATTCACATCTTCCGGGCGGGGGTCCGGCCCTTGTGGGAGGACGAGGAGAATAAAAGGGGAGGGAGGTGGTTGATTCGCGTGAGGCCTGAGATGACCGATGCACACGCAGATACGGACGAGCACGCGCGAGTCATAAGTGATGACGCTGCAAAGGACGGGAGGCGGAAAGACGTGAGGACTTGGGAGGAGGTGTGCCTGCTGTGTTTGGGCGGGGAGTTGCAGAGTGTGATTGCTCAAGGTATGCACGCCACGTCCGTTTCATGAGATTTTCGTTCGCATTCGCGCGCCTGCTGACTCTTATCTACCGCGCCAGAAAGGGACCATATCCTCGGCCTGTCCTTCTCGCCGCGGGCCAACTTTACGCATATTGCGATATGGACCAAGCAGGGCGACAATCCGCGGAGTATTCTGCTGTTGGAGCGAGCTATCCTCAGGGGCCTTTCCGCGGATCTGAGACCAAACACCAGCGCCGATTTCAACTATCGAAGACATGCCGATAAGATGGGGCTTGGGAGTGGCGTGGGCGTGGGCGTGCAGATGATGCAAAGCCGACAGCAGTCGCAAGTGGGGCAAATGATGGGCACGTTCCAGTCTTCCCTACCGACGACAACCTCAGCGGCAATGGGTCGACCTGGACCGATACGCGCATTGACCGTGGGATGAGGTGCTTCGTATCTCTGTGTAAATACCAGCAACAACGTGCCACCTGTTCGGTGGAAAGCCCTCTTTAACGTCCTGGGACATATCGGTCGATTTTGACAGAGTCGCGGTCGCGGTCGCGGTCTCGACCAGCGTCGCCAGCTCGGTCGCGCTCTCGTCGGCGGTCATCACGGTCACGGCGATCATCACGATCACGCCGGTCATCTTTCCTGTCGTCTCTTCGGTCATCATGACGATCATCTTTCCTGTCAGCTCTTCGATCATCACGACGGTCGTCCTTCCGGTCATCTCTTCGGTCATCTCGTCTGTCGTCCCTTCGGTCATCGCGCCGGCGGCTTCGATCTCTCCTGTCTCGCTCGCGGTCGCGGTCACGGTCACGGTCACGATCCCGATCTCGATCTCGAGACGGTGACCTCTTTCTCTCGCGATCTCGGTCTCGACTTCGGTCACGATCGCGTTCTCGATCGCGGTCGCGGTCGCCACGATCTCGCTGTTGCTCCCGGTATCTCTCCCTGTCCCTGTCACGGTCCCGAGACCTGTCCCGTTCACGGCTTCGGTCTCGACGGCTCTCCCGGTCACGAGTGCCTCGATCGCGGTCTCGATCCCGGTCCCTGTCCCGATCACGATCAGTCTCGGCTCGATCCTTCTCACGGTCCCTATCTTTATCACGTTCACCGGCCTCCCGATCACTCCGGTGACTGTCGTATTTTCTGCGTGAGTCCTTTTCAGAGTCTCGCAAATGACGCCTCTGTCGATCACGCTCGCGCTCTTCCTCCGTCCGATGAGTCCCTCCGCCAGGAACGTATCGGTCGATGCCCAATGGTGATGCGGACCGAGGCCGCCTCTCCCGAGTGTCCCTAGTCGTTCGCTTTTCCTGGGTTGGCGATGGAGAAGCCTGTCGACTGCGTGCCTCGCCCTCTTCACGGTCTCTGCTTGGGCTTCTGGCGTGAGGCGTATCAGACTTGACCTTCTCCTTTTCTTGGACAACAGAAGACCTCCTATCGCGGGACCTAGTTTTCTCTTTTTCTTGAACGACAGAGGACCTCCTATCACGGGACCTGTCTTTCTCCCTTTCTTGAACAAACGATCGGGGTTCCCGAGATCTGCTTCGGCGTCTGTGGCTGTCTCGAGATCTGTCTCTCGTTCTTTGGGCATAACGGTCCGAGGTAGAAGCATATTTGCGCGAACTATTGTGGAGTTCGGACTTTTCAAAATCATACGCAGGTCGCTCTTTAGCCTTTGCGGCCATTTTCTTGCCTTCGCTGAGGAGTAGCTCAAGCGCCGTAGCTTCCAGATCCTTCTCGTCCGCCTGTGCCACGTCTTTGGTGGTGGTGGTCGCAGCGGCTGACTCTGTGATTGAACCGCGGCGATCAGTGCTTCGTCTGCGCTCCCTCTCACGGTCGCGATCTCGACTGCGGTCCCGCTCAACCTCACGATCACGGTCACGGCCGTGGTCGCGATCTCGGTCTCTGTCGCGGTCCCGTTCCCTGTCTCGCTCTCTTTCGTATCGAGCATGTCTTTCCCGTCTCTCCTCCTCGCGTTTCCTATGTCGTTCGTCTCGAGCCTTGACGCGTTCGGCCTCTTTTTCTTCCTCTTCCTTTCTCCTCTTCTCTCTCGCAATTCTCCTCTCCTCCGCCTCGGCCTCGCGTTTCTTCCTCTCTTCTTCCTCCCACTTGGCTTCTTCCTCCTTGCGCTTCTTCTCCTCCTGCGCCTTGATCTTGGCCTTCAGCTCCGCCGTTTCCCGAAGCAGTTGCTCCATCCTGGACCTATTCCTCTCTCGTTCGGCAGCCCGATTCTGTGTTTCCTGCGAGTATTGTTCGTCACTCTTGCCGCCCCTCTGTTCCTCCTCGGCGGCGACCTCGACCCCAACATCTCCGCGTCGGATATCCCGCACCGCATCCAGCACCGTGCTCAGATGCTTTGCAATCTCGACATCAATACGACTCTCCACGTCTGCGTAGATCCCACTCCTCTCCACGGCACCTTGAATGAGCGTAGCGGCCTTGCCCCTCTCCCTGCTCAAAAGCTTGGAGTCCTTCTCGATCTCCTGCTCCGCAATGGTGTGAATCTGATCCGTCAACGCGGTCTTCGCGTCCGACGTGTTGTAGCTCGCCCAGACTTGCTTGCGGAGGGAGTCATAGCCGCCTTGTTTCTTGAATTTCAGGAGGAGGGCGTCGATGGTGGAGCGTTGCTCTTTGACCAAGGGCAGATCGGAGATTTTAAACCGGGGCCGAAGAGAGAAGGGTGCGTCGGAATCAATCGCAGGCGCGTCAGTCATCATGGCGTCGACCATGGTTGCTGTAGCAGGAGATGCCACAACCTGCGGCCTGAGGACGCTGGCGGTAGAGATATGGGAGAAATGAAGTTGAGGACGGACGCGAATTGCGCGTTTGAAAGTCAGGTGATTACGGCGGAGTAGTGGCGCACGAAGTGATCGCCAGCCTTGCGCTCTGCTCAGCCTCGTGCGCTCGTCACGGACCTCCGAATGGTGTCGAGTGGGCCATGACGATCGATTATTTCGGAAACATTATGCTAGGATATCCCCCTCGAGTTTGCACCTAGGGGTCCCTGTGTGAAACTTTGAACCGAGACGACGGACTGTGAACACATGACACAAGGAACGTGGATGCTGTACATCTGTCATCTCGTTGATTTGGTCGTCTCCTTGACGACTCGAATACATCAATGTTCAATGCTCATGATTGACTCCATCGGGCCCTCGCTATGCAAGCTGTACACACCTACTTATCCCTGGTCTTTTCCCAGGGCCATAAAACGTAATCCCGCGCAACGTGCTTCAGTCGTCGCAGCTTAACCTCAAATGCCGCCTTCTCCATTGCTCTTGGCTGCCTCCCCTGGCGCCTCGCCTGCTGGATCCTCTGCCGGCGGGGACTTGTACTCCTCCAGCACGTTCCTCAATGCCGTTCTCTTAATGGGCTTCGGCAGGAAACCGTTCATGCCAGCATCCTCGCATGCTGCCCGATTGCTCTCGTGGTCAAAAGCCGTGAGGGCGAGAATCGGCGCATCAAACCCGAGCTCCCGGATCCTCTTCGTCGCTTGAATGCCGTCCATCTTTGGCATTTGGATGTCCATCAAAACTAATGAGAAAAGCTTTGGCTTTCCATTCTCATCCTCTGTCGCGGCCAGCGACTTCTGAACCATGTTCACGGCTTGCTCTCCGTCCTCGGCCAAAGTCACGTCGAGCACCTTTTCGAGCTTTAGCAGTTTCAGAATGACCTGCTGATTGACTGGGTTGTCTTCGGCAACAAGGACTTTGAGGGAACCCGAGCTACTTGGGGTTGCCAGTGATGACTTCTTCTCCAAAGGTTTCTGCTTCTGCGCCTTCTCGTTCTCTCGCAGCTTCAATTCCGGATGTTCATCTCTTTCTTCAGGTGTGGATACAGACACTATAGGAGCCAGCCGAGAGCTCTGTTGCGGAAAGCTTTGGCTCCGCTCTTGCTTGGTTTGTGGTGTTGGGGTGGCGGTGCCGTCGACGTTTTCTGAACTCATATTTGCATCGATCAAATAAGGCTGAGAAAACCCGACAAGGCGCGGGACGTCCAGCTGGGCGTCTTTGTCTTGGTTGGTCGAATAGAGCGAATTCTGTCTTGATTGCAATGATCGGACGTCCCGGGTCTTGCCCGACCTAGTGGTGAAGGTCTCGAACTGTACGCTGCTGGTGATACTACCAGCTCTCGGTCGGGCGAGCGAGTCGGTGACAGAGGGGACGACCTCTTTGGTATACCGCAGGGGTATGGAGAATGTGAATGTGCTGCCAATGTCGATGGTGCTCTTCACTTGGAGGGTTCCACCCATCATGTCCGCAAGCTGTGAACAAATGGCTAAGCCGAGACCAACACCGCCGTGCTTCTTGCTGAGAGCCAAGTCTCCCTGGACAAAAGGCTTGAAAATGTCTTGCTGCAAGTGCTCGGGGATGCCAGTGCCGGTGTCTTCGACCTCAAAGTCAAACAGAAGCCCTTTCAAAGATGATTTCGGCTGGAACTTCTCGGGACTAACGCGCTGGAACGTCTTCGAAAGTGTCGCTTGTTGTGAGGTCTTGGAATTCGAGTATTTGACCTCAGGCATATCTTCGGGTTCGACGAAACCTTTGTACCGTATGCGCATTTCTACAGTGCCTTTCGCAGGTGTGAATTTCAATGCGTTGCTCAAGAGATCTGCGACCATGTCAGTATGTGCACACCTCTACGCATGACCGCGTGACCCAAGGAAAGCCTCCGAGTCAAGTAAAGAGATTTGGAGTCCACAAAGAGTGCGTCGGACTCGGACTTACTCATCAGAATCTGAAGGATCCTGTTCTTGTCGCCCCTTAGACCTATTTCCCGAAGAGGCCCAATATCGGCGGGACCCTTGGCCAGGACGTTGGTCTTCTGCCTCTGTATGGCACCAGTCATGTCATGGCGTGCAACAATAACATCTTCTTGGGCTTCTTGGTCGAAATCTCCTGTTACTGGCGGCTCTGTACCGATGAAGACCACCCTCAGACTAATATCCGACTCGGAGGCCTGCTTCTCGAAGATGGATATTAGTTGTGACCCGATGTCGACGAGCCGGAATGTGTCCTCCTCTATGGCGAAATTTTGGCCAATCGAACTGCGACTGAAGGTCAACAGATCATTAAGAAGATGCAACAGCAGATCCGAGGACTTGTAGATGATCTTCAGAGACTGCCGCACGCTGTTCATGTCCTCCTCTTGCATCGCAATAGCACACATGCCGATAATTCCGTTCAGCGGCGTTCTTAACTCGTGCGAGACATTGGCGATGAACAAGGTCTTGCTCTCATTTGCAGCTTCGGCGGCATTCCTTGACTGCTCGAGCTCCGATGTTCTCATTTTCACTCGGTCTTCCAATTTCCGGTATTGAATTGAAAGCTCGTCGGCCATCTCATTGAATGTGCCGGTGAGTTCTGAGAGCTCATCATAGATCACATGCTTCCTCTCCGGCACCCGTTCGGGAATCTTGAATACTCGTACCGGGCGGACTAGATTTTTCTTCTTCGCGGACCGTTTGCAAACATTTTGAAGAGGCCCTTTCTCCTGAAGAAGGTCCGTTTTCTCCAGGGTACTCTCGCTTGCCGTGTCCGATTTTGCAGACGGATCATATGCTTCATACGTGGTGACTGAGTTCTTGGCTGCAGTCCGCAATGCAATGATCGGTTTCACCGCGTAGTGGGCGATTGGGCTGTGCTTCAGTTAGCACGGCAAAGAACGTGATGGTTGCCTGGAGCAATACTCACAAACACACAAGCATGATGGCGCCAACGACAGCAAAAATGGACGCTACGACCGTTTTTTGTAGCTGCTTGATGGGTGCGACAACCTCGCGGTGTGACTGGGCGAAGACCAAAACCCAGTCGACGATGCCAGACGAGACTCTGGCGTAGCCAAGCGACGTTCTAAACCCCTCTTCGTTGTGGGTATACATTAATCCTCCAGCATTATTGAGCTCGCCGTTTATGTCGGACCAAGCGCGGAGAATTGCCGGGTAATCCTTCATAGGAAAGGGCAGATATGGATTGTTAATTCGTGCAGGATGGCGGTTACTGTATGGTGGTAGAACAAATTGTAGTTCGACGTTCGCGTTCTGCTCATCCGTACGACCATCGACACGTTCCGCGAACAAGTTGTCGGGCCGGCCCCCAGGACCAACGATGACAACCTCTCCAGTTTTGCCGAGTCCGACACGGGATCCAACAACATCGTAGAGGGCTTTGGCGTCCAGAACAACAGTCAGCCAACCGAGAATATCGACCCTGCTGGTGTTGTTGTTTATAGGAAGCGTCAAGGAGAGAAGGGAAGAGTTGCTCCGCAGAAACAGCGGACCGAGTAACAAGGTTGAGTTGTTGTCGAGGAGCTTGTCGGCGTAAATTGCATTGTAAGCGTCCGATGACTGATCGTACGTGAGATTAGGGTAGAGTTGAGGGGGATATCCAGGCCCGTCCTCGCCGAGCATGACAGGCGTGCCATTCGCGTATGTGGATGGAAGCGCGATATTGCCAGTGATTCCCGGCCCCGTCAAGTACGTAAGCGCGCGGTTTCCTTGGTCAGGCGTCGTTGTGCGCGGAAAGACAGCTGCTTGAAGAAGAATGGCATTCTCATAGCCGTCCGACAGAGTAACTTCGAGGTTGGTCTACGTCGAAATTAGCATCTCCGACTCCCACGGGAAATCCCCAGCTTCTCACCTTGATACTGTCGAATAACTGCTCCGAGTGGTTGCCGTTATTGAAGTCGCGCATAAAATCCTGGAGCACTTGTCTTGTCGAGATTTGCTGTACTGATGATCTGAACAGAGAGATTTGCTGGGCTACTTGATCGGCTTTGAGATTGGCGGTCACCACGAGCGTCTGTGCTTTTGCCTGTTTGAGATAGTGAACGCTCTGGTACCAGGTGGAGACGGCCAGGACCATCAACGCCAGAAGGTTGGTGAGAAGGATCAAAAGACATAGCTGATCGCGAATGTGCACGCGCAGCCTCATCTTGTTCCGCGGGTGCTGCTCTGGAAGATACCTTTCATACTTCAAAGAGCTTCCGGAGGAGTCGGAAACCAAAGTCGATTGCAGTTCCGGATTACTGGTCCATGAGAGACGTCGCACGGTCGACATGGACTGTGCAAGACTTCAGTGATGAAAGCCTTGATCTTTCGCTCTATCGTCGACAATGAGCATGGCGGAAAATGCGTCAAGGGGAAGAATGTTGAGGTTCACGCTGAATCAGTGCCACGCGAAGTCTCGTGTGGGTGTGGCAATTTTTGCTCCTAATCAAAAGCGAGGCCCTGCCGGGGCCCTGGTGGTGCCGGCCGTACACGCTGAACGCTGAATCCCGCTGAAGAGCAACGCCCCAAGCGAGCAGGAACAGGGAAAAGTCCCCGCTTGGCTGCAGATAAGCTGCCTCAAAAGGGGGCCTTTCCTAATCCTCCAGGCGACCCCGGGGCGTGTCCGGCTGAGCCCCGTCGATCGCCGCTGATGACGATGGATCGAAACAGAAGATTAGCAGCACCAGCAGCATGAACAAATACCGGATTGGGTACTCTTGCATTCGTATGCCTTACCAGACAGGTGCCTCCATGGCCAAAGTCTTCAAGCTCCAGCTGAACCACGGCAAGGACTGTATAGGTCCTGTACAAGTGCCTACGCGGATTGATGGTTCAGGGCCCTACGGCACGCCGCTGTTTTGGGGCAGTACGAGGAGCACCGAGTTTGCCACGTGCGAAATACGGTACATGTTCCACAAGCGCGAAGCAAAACACTGCCATCGCGATCGATCCCCTGGAACAATCTGTGACTGCGGCGAGCTTGACAATGGGACTTTCTGGCACATGTTGCAACAAAACCAGGCTTTGTGCTGTGTAGTCCATAATCGCACCTACTGAGTATTTTCTTTCATCTTCCCAGGGCAAGACCCACGCATGCCCAGGCCAGACGGTGGAATGGGAACCTGTAATCTCTACGGTCGACCATTATTTGCTTCAAGTGCGTTTGTACGGTGTAGAACTTGACGCATTCTGGAAAACTGCGTGTAGCGTCGCTTCACACGATGCTCCTCAAGCCTTGATAGACATTACATCCAAGCTCTTCCAAACGACGACGAGAAGACCACAGCTGCAAATTTATTACCCACGACTTGGGCCATCCTAGCTCTAGCTTCAACCTCCTACAACCACAAATTGTCCCCATAGTTTGACCGCGCACAGCGCGCGAAACATTTTCAACCATGGTTCACAAGGTCCTCTTCTGGGCCGGTTTCGGTGAGCCAGCACCAGCATGCACAATGAGTGCTGGGCCAAGCGCCGGTCGATACTAACGAGCATTCCAGGAATCGCCACACGCTTCGCCCAGCTCGGCATCGAAATGAGACCGTTCTTCCAACGAGGCACGTTATGGGTCTACCCCCTCTTCGCGAGCATTGGAGGATCGTTTGGATATTGGTTGAAGGGTGTGGAGGACCGACAAGTAAAACTGCTACACCAGAGAAAAGAAATGCTCATTGAGAAGAGACGGCGAAGAGCAGAGCGGGAATCTCAATTTACAGGAGCTGAAGGGCCCCCAGCTAGCGAGCCGGCGGGAAACCTGGCGGCCGCGAGTTAAGAAGCTCACTCGAGGGACCACGAGGGGCATTTCGAGAGCTTCGGGACGAAAGGGCCATGGCTAGGGGTCGCAGCCAGCACAGGCATACTCACCAAAGTGAGGACAGTCGAATGAACACCCCCATCCACACTACCTCTGTACAAAGGGACCACGACATCTGCATGGCAATGCATCGTGAAAGTACAGCATTGTCCACTAATGGCATGAAAAGACCAATGATACAACTCTGAGCGCTTCTACGTCGTTATATCGCAAATGCCTCCAATATCCTGCTTCTCTAGTGCACATTTGTCAGATCCCCAATCCTATTTCTCACCCTTCAATCTACCTTTCGATGATACTATACCTGAAAACAGGCAGGACTCTGTTCAGACACTGGATCGCAAACCCACAGGCCGCCTTCAAGCAGCTCGCACTCGTCAGTTCGCTGTTGAAAATAGGCAGGACTTTATTCAAGCACAGGATTGCAAAAAGGAAACTCTCCTTCTAAAACCTGACATTGGTCAATTTCAAAACGAGAAAGCCACCTTTAATCAGCTCACACTCGTCGATTCGCCATTTGCTCTCCATGGAGCGGGTCACGTTCAGATGTACAAGGTACGCTGTGCTGTGCTGTGCTGTGCTGTGCTGTGCTGTGCTGTGCTGTGCTGTGCTGTGCTGTGCTGTGCTGTGCTGTGCTGTGCTGTGCTGTGCTGT